ATTCGAATCTAGAGCTATGATATTCGAATCTAGAGCTATGATATTCGAATCTAGAGCTATGATATTCGAATCTAGAGCTATGATATTCGAATCTAGAGCTATAATATTCGAATCTAGAGCTATGATATTCGAATCTAGAGCTAGGATCCTCAAATCTAGAGCTATGATATTCTAAAAGTCGAGCTATGATATTCGCAAATTCAATTAAATTAGTAATTTCTGGATTACACTAAATTTAGAAAAATTCTGGATTTATTTTGTGCAAGAAAGAAATCAATTTCTTGTCGAATGTCGAAATAAATGCCGATTTTGGTGAATGAAGAGAAGAGCTAATTGTTGAGACGTTATCAGATGCGATAATCTCTTCATTCAGTATCATCTCTTAGGCATCCCGCTGTCAATGGATTAGAGGATTCATTTATCGGTTAGATTTTCAATAGGTGTACAACGCAAAAAAAACGAGATTTGATCATTTCAATAGCTACTTTTTCAGGATTTCTTGCTACAAAGCTGAATTTTTCAAGCTCTATCTTTTGATCTAAAAAAAGTAACCATTGAAGTGGGTAAATCTCGTTCTTTTTGTTGTACACCTATTGAAAATCTAACCGATAAATGAATCCTCTAATCCATTGACAAATCCATTGACGTTGACAAATCCATTGACATTGACAAATACAGGGTGGGTCAAAGTTACCGTTACAATGCTCACTCACGCGCAAATGCGAAAGCGAAATGAAAGAAAGCGAAATAAAAGAAAGCGAACGGCAACAACTTCAGCAAATGTCAAAAAAAGTGAGGAATTGCCTGTTGAAAACGCCAAACTAATCGGTGCAGGAAATGTCACAAAAAATAGGGATGAAGCGAACATCCCTTAGAAGAATCATCAAAAAACAAGCTCAAGTTAAAGGCCTACAAGAAAAATAAATCATAAACCTATCAGTTGGCGCTATCAACCACACAAAAATGTTGATAGTTTGAAAAAAGCGCTCGAAAAGGCTTGAGAGCTGGGCTTGAGAGCTGGGCTTGAGAGCTGGGCTTGGGAGCTGGGTTTGGGAGCTGGATCTCCTATACCTTCTCGCCACGATCGACGCTTTTCTATGACGTTTGGACGCCTGTGTAAAAGCTATTGGAGATCTGTTTGAAAAGGAATAGTTTTTATGAATTGCTATGAGACAATAAAAGTTATTTTTTAGGAAAAATCTTTGACCTTTTGAGTAGCTTTTTATACAAAGACTTTTTTATATGTAACGGTAATTTTGGCCCATCATGAAGACCAGCAAATGAACAGCTCGAATCTCGTTCTTCTGTTGTACATCTATTGACAAATAGACAAGCAAATGAACAGCTCTATAGTAGATCTTGGTTTAATGTAAAAGTTTTTTTTTCATTGGTACAGCTATTTCTCTATGTACAATCCGTTTTGCCGCTTGTTTATTTAAGAAAACTATCAATTCACGGTATATTGCTTTCTCGAGAGGCTAAGGATAATGATTTGAGGAGGATTTCTCAAGTATTTATGTGTTTGTGTGAGCATATGTGCTCTTTTCTTTCTCCTATAGCATCATCCTCTTCAATATTTCCCATTCAATGCCCACTCGACTCTCACCTCGTTGGCTATCGGTCATTTTGACTCAAAAAAAGGCATTGATATGAATTTTTGCCTTACGAAAGTAGGCAAAAACCTTTTAGTAGGCATAGAAATCGATACAACATATCCTTTATATTACAAGAAAGTGGAAAATTGAAAAACTTTCGATGAATTTTCCCGAGAATTTCCTATACAATTCACTTTATGTACAAAAGTACAAAAGTGCTTTATGTACAAAAGAAGGAGTGTCCTAGCATTTGCTCAGCATTATCTCTTCGAAACCTTTGTCTATTCTCTATTCTCAACTTATTGGTGTGATCGAGAGCCCGAGATTCTCCCTTATGAGTACCCGTTACCCTCTTCCCCCATCGATGGCCTTATGTGTCTTCTTTCCCTATCTATGCACAGGTCAAGTGTTCCCCAAATGTGTCGCACCCACATTATCTTTATTAAGAAAAGAAGCAGAAGAACAATCTTGGCAAAATAATGAAAAATAAAAAGATCTAAAAGTAAAAATCTGAAAGTAAAAAGTTTTTTAAAAGTAAAACTTTAAAGTTCTCAAATTCTTGGCTTGATAAAGAAAAAGCTTGGATGTTTAAGGAAGATTAGAGCTTAGAGCTTTAGTTCCATGATAGTTCCTGTTGAAAAGAACTCAGAATTAGAAATAGGTTTATGTTGTAGTTGAGTAATGTAAAGCAAAAAGAGAAAAGAAGAAAAGAAATTCTTGAGAGCTGGTCCATTTTGAGTGACTCAAAATGAGCCCATTAAAGTGGTCGGAAATGGTCTGAACGATGGTCACTCATCCACTATTTCTAGTAGAATTTTCAAGTAGAAACTGGGCATTTCAAATTCGTAATTTCTTCAAGTCTTGTATTTTTAAATTGTAAATTATCGAAATTTTAACGGATATTTTAACTTTTACTTTAATGAGCTCGATTTTGAGTCGCTCAAAGTCGCTCAAAGTCGCTCAAAATCGCTCAAAGTCGCTCAAAATGGCTCAAAATAGCTCAAAGTCGCTCAAAATAGCTCAAAGTCGCTCAAAATCGAGCAAAATCGCTCAAAATCGCTCAAAATAGCTCAAAATCGCTCAAAATAGCTCAAAGTCGCTCAAAATAGCTCAAAGTCGCTCAAAATCGAGCAAAGTCGCTCGAAAACGAGCAAAGCTCAAAATCGAGCAAAATCGAGCAAAATAGCTCAAAATCGAGCAAAACGCTCAAAATAGCTCAAAATCGCTCAAAGTCGCTCAAAGTCGCTCAAATTCGCTCAAATTCGCTCAAAATCGAGCAAAGAAGCTCTAAAAGAAACAAAAAGCATTCCAAACTAGATCCAAACTCATACTTTAGTGAGACGAAGACTGATAAATGACTTTTTTTTTCACTAACAAAAGATTACAATTTGAGGTTATAGTGTAGGTTGTGAGTAAAACAAAAATCGAGCTTCTAAAGGACAAAAGACAAAAATTGAAGCCAATTGGAGATTGCGCAACTCGGGGGGAAATCCCCAAAAAGGCACCCTCAAAATAAACACAAAAAGACGCCCAAGCAATCCCCATTAAAGCTCAAATTTCAGCACTCTTTGGGGTGAAAAATAATTTTCCCCTTGATAAACTACACACTTATCGAAAGTTGAGTTTTTAAAGGAGGAGTCTGAATTAGGGCCGATATTTTAAAAATATTAAAAAGATTAGCGCCAAGCAAGTGTAGTAATCGAATTTTTTTGATGGTTTTATGTAGAAATGGAGTAAATCGGCTAATTTTTCAGGGATAAAGTGATAAAATCCGCTTTTTGAGTCAGTTTCAACCTTGAGTCAGATACTTTGTTTTCGTTTGTAAAACTGAGACTGATTTTGGTTTGGCAGGAGGTCAAATTTTAGCGCACAGTCAGCCAAATTTGTGCAGGGATTCGGCCAAAAATCCCGGGAATTTGCGCATGGTGCGACAAAAACGGGCGAATCGGCTCAGTCGCTGATGATTTTACGATCCCGAAAGGAAATGACCCTTATGCCAGAGACCTATGCCAGCCGGTGAGCGATTGTGCGCGCACACAAAGAACATCTTGAGACCACTGCTCAGTCGCTGATGATTTTACGATCCCGAAAGGAAAAGCCCCTTATGCCAGAGACCTATGCCAGCCGGTGAGCGATTGTGCGCGCACAAAGAGCATCTTGAGACCACTTTGCATCAGGTTTTCCTTTTGCTTTGTAGATGGTACAAAATATAGAAGATCATTAGCTGTAAATTTCTACCCAAGGGTTTTCGGGGTCGGAGAATCCATTAGAGATATTCATTTTATAGAGTCTACCAATTGGAAAAGATGATTTCATCTTTTAATACCTGATAAATTATTAATAAATCGATTTACTTTACCCACATAAAGTCATAAAGTAGATAAAATTATATTACGAAATCTAACTGCCGATAATTTGATTTTAGTAAGAAAAAGAAAGAATCCTCCTTTAAAGAAGAAAAAAATGATAAAGAACCATTTTGGAACTAAAATACATAATGCTAAAAATCTCTACGACAAAATTTCTCTGCCATTTCCTTTGGACATTCAGAAAATCTTTTTTGGTGAGATCTTTTTTCAGCACTTCTTTTCATCTTCTCATCGCTTGTAATCCAATCCTTTTCTCGATTTCACGCCAAGTTCCTTTCTCTCAATTTCTTGGCCGAAAAGAAAGTTGCAACAAAAAAGTTGAGTCGAAAATAAACAAACCTAAAAAATGTTATATGTATTTGCCTTTATTCTAAATACAAAGATGATTTTTACAAAGAATTCACTGTACTAACAACGGGAGCACCAGAGAAAGAAAAATTAGGGTGATGGCAATATCTAAGACTATCACAGAGTACAAAACAAGAGAAGTGAACTTCTTAAAGTCTATGCGATAATTTGTTTGTACCACAAGAATTTAGAAAACGATACACAATATTTAGGGTTCAATTTCGATCACCAAATCGCCGGCCTCAAATTTGTCTCCTTTCTTGGCATGAATTCTCACAACAGTTCCTGAAAAAACGACAATTTCTGTAAATTGCACTATACAGGGAAGATATCAAAATATCAAGATTAAAAAAAACTAAAACAAAAAGGATATTCAGATTCGAAAAATACTATCCCATGTGCTAGACACTGAAGACATAGAGTCTTCAGTGTCTAGCAAGCCCCCAAAAAAACTTTTGGCATGCCATACAATCGATTAAATTTTTTTTGGGGTAAGCTTAAATGTATACTTTTATGTCTATTAGAAAAATGAATCATTTTTCTTTAAAATGAACCCTCATACAACCAAATTGGTTTCGAAATAGCCATTTTGAGTGGTTCAAAAAGTTTCAGTTAAGTTCAAAAAAATGATAAAGTGGTTCAGTGAAATAAAGCTCAAAAATCGATGCAAGTAGCCGAGATCTGTTAGAAAAAAATTTATCTAAAGTAAAAGTAATCAAATTTTTCGAATCTGAGGTCCGTTTTGTTCTAGCTCTTTTCAATCTTAATATAAATGGCCTTCTTTCTATCCTGTATATTAGGCTGTCTAGAAAGTCTTTTCATTTCTTTTCGTACTTCCGTTTAAAACCATCAATTGAACTATGGTTTATTTCATTAGAAATGTCAAGTATTTTTCTGCAACATAACATTAAAACGGGTTTAAAATGTCTTATTTCTGGCTTTCTTTGCGAGCGTGAAGTCGGGTAGTCAAAAAGGGCGATGGCTCGAGATGATACGGGTTTAGACACTTTAGCCATAAGGAAACCTATCTTCGCGTCAATAGATAAAAGATAGGACACAAAAAGTTTGGTATATAGCTAAATTTTTAAAGAAATTCATTCACTCAATTTCTTTGTAGAGGTTTTTATAGATTTTTACAAAAAAACACGTGTTTTCACTCTCGAATTTGCTTGAAAGTGGACCGAAATTGACTTTAAAAGATAGGAAATTGAGCAATAAACACTTTTTATTTAAAGCAAACCATAAGTTAATTGATGAATTTGTTATTTTTCAACGAAAATATGGAAAGAAACGAAAAGGAAACTTTCTGGACAACCTATTTACTAGCAATAAGCTTATTTATATAGTTAAGACTAACTAATTTATATAGTTAGCATTTTGGTGAACAAATAATGCTTTAATTGAATTCTTTCAGACTTACCAGCAATCGGCGCATCAATCAACATTTCCATTTTCATCGCTGATAGCACAAAGAGTGGTTGCTTTGGAGTGACCTGGAAAAAAAAAAATGATTGGCATTCGTATTTTTTTACATGTGTATAAGAATAATTTCTATAGTTTTTACCTTGTCCCCTTCTTTCACTTTCAATTCCAACACTTCACCAGGCATTGGAGCACCAATACTTCCCTTTACACCCGCGAGAGCTCTTGGTCGAACCACAATCTCCTGAAATGATCAATTTCATTGAAACGTTGCCCACTTTTGCCTACCTTGCTGGCTTCTCTATCTTGCACGAAAATCGATCGCATTTGTCCGTTCAAATCAAAGAAAACCGAAAATATTTCATTTTCTATATAACGATTTTTTTTTCACTAACCTCACGTTCTCCCTTTTTGTTCAATTTTCCCTCTGCAAGTAATTGAATGGCCAGAGTTTTACCAGTTTCAATTTCAACCTGAAAACCAAATCTCTAAAAATACTTTAGAAATCACATACATCACATTCTTCAGCAATATCAAGACCGGAAAAGAAAACTCGAGTTGGTAATTTGTCCACAGGTCCAAATCGTTGTCGGAATTGCTAAAAAGCAAAGTTCATTTGATAGTTGAAGTTTAGTTGAACCTCAAAGTCATCAAAAACTCGTGGGAACATGGCCGAGGACATCACATCGACCTCTCTGTAAAATTTGTTTGTTCGCAATATTTAATTAAGTTTTTACCTCAACTTTCGGCCATGCTTTTCCTCCAATTCAACTTTTACTTTATCAAAGTCCAAAGCTGGTAGTTGAGCGCCACTTCGTCCATCGATTTTCGGTTTTCCTCGTAGAACCTAACAAATTTCTCATAAAATGCTACTTTTTGCAAAGATTGTAGGACATTTGAAACGCGCCCCGTCCCTTTGTCATTGGCAATCCAACTTTGAAAACTCAAATTTCTTTGTGCTGGATTGTCCAATTTAAATAGTTTTTGTACTAATCGATAGAGAAAACTTGACGCATCTAATGATACCAAGAAAGTGTAAATTGGACAACCCAACACCAAGATATTTAAACTTAAAGTTGGATTGCCGATGGCAAAAGGGGCGGGGCGTGGATCAAATGTCCGATAACCTTTTGCAAACCTTTGTACGAAGCGGTTCTGGGAATCCATATGGTGGTTGTCCAACATGACCCTGAATAATTTGCGTTTACCAAAAACATTTTTGAGTTTAACCTGCATAAATTCGACGACACTCTTTGGGAAGGACAACTCGTCAGCTCGATCAACCAGTGTTTCTCGTGTCAAATTGTTTTGCACCATAAATTGAGCCAAATCGCCAACAATTTTTGACGATGGAGTAACCTGGAAAGTACTTTATTTTAGAAGAGTCGATTTTTGCGAGAGCACAAACTTTTATGATATCGCCAAGTGCGAGATTTGCTTCTCTGTACATCCGTTTCACTTCATCAAATTTATCCCCAAGACCCAGAGAGAAAGCCTGAAATAATTTGTTAGCAAAAGAAAAAGGATTTAGCATAACATACTTGGAATTGCAGATTTGTGTATTGTCCACCGGGGATTTCGTGTTTATACACATCCGCATTTCCGCTCTTCATCGTTGTGGCACACTCGAACGGAGCATACAATTGTCGAGCACTTTCCCAATAAGCCGAATACTGTGAGATGGCGTCAAGGTTTAGTCCTGAAATGTTGCTAGAAAATGTTACAGTGTGAATCTCTAAACCAGTCTCGAAGTTTGTTCCTTGTAGTGAGGCGACAATTGCTCCCATGCTTGGTTGTGACGTCATGCCGGACATCGAATCAACAGCCGCGTCTACAATGTCTGCGCCGGCCTAAATTTGAATGTATCACAAAATGAACAAAATAAAAGAATACTTGTGCCTTTTTGGAGGCCACTTTACATCAACTATATCAATTTGCATTGTTTGCGGGACATTTGGTACGCCGCGCCCCTTTATCATTGGCAATCCAACTTTGAGCTCAAATTTCTTTGTGCTGGGTTGTCCAATTTAAATAGTTTTTGTACCAATCGATCAATGATACCAAGAATATTTAAATTCAACAGCCCAACACCAAGATAGTTGAGCTTAAAGTTGGATTGCTGATGGGAAAAGGGGCGGGGCGTGGATCAAATGTCCAATAGCCATTTACATTTGAGTATGGTCTCCAAAAGTCACAAGTAAGTAATGGCATATTGTGACTTTCTTTGAAGGCTACTTCATTCGTAAATCGAAATCAAGCAGAATTCAAATTTACCTGCAAATTTTATTTGCACAATTTACAATTTAAAATCTTGCACCGCAAGGAGTGGCGGCCAAAAAAGTAGCATATACCATAAAAAGTTACCTTGGCACATTCAACCATTGATGCAACAGCCGCTCCAGCTGTGTCATGGGAATGCACATGGATCGGCATATCGGGGTATTTGTCTCGAAGAGCGGTGATCAATAACTTTGCCGCTGCTGGCTTCAATACGCCCGCCATATCCTTAAAGTGAGATGCTTTTTCGCGTTTCCGATTAAACTAACCTTAATACAAAGAATATGGCATTGTGCTTTCACAAGTTGCTCAGCCAAATCCATATAGTATTGCAAATTGTACTGGGTTCGCGTTGAATCAGAAACATCGCCTGGAATACCAGTTACTTATTAGATGTATGCTGAAAAATGTTGAAAAAAAACAAAGTTATTAAGTTCCTTGTGAAGTTTTGTCTATGTCAAAAAGTTGAAACTTCTTGAAACTTCACCGGTCTTCAGGGCGAATTTCTCACTAAATACCGATCCAAATTTACTGAAAATTTGTATACGCGGGTTTTCCGGGTCGAGGAATTCGAATCCAATGTCAAATATTCGAAATAAGAGTGCAGTGCAGGCCAATCTGAGGAGTTCTCAACTTCGACATTGAAGAAACTTTTTTCCTACTTGACTGCTTTTGATGCTTTTGATATCAAAGGATACCCTGAGAGCTCTACTAATAAAAAGGGAAGATGAAAGATGCAAGTTTTCATGTTTACGTAATCACATGGCTTCTGGCACACGGTTTTGATATATATGCACTATAAACGCAAAGATTTTCCATCATTTTGATCACTTTCGGTTTAATTACCCAACTTTGCTCTAGCAACATAAAATTTAGTGTATGCGTAGGTATTCGCGTAAGTATTTCGGTTGCATTCGGTTTTTCAACCCCGGAAACCCGCCGGGTGCACGTTTTCAGCATGTTCTAATCTATTTTCCAGCTAAAGTACGCGCTAATACTATTTCCGACCTTAGGGGTTACTGTAGTTGAAAAATAAAATCGGAATTAAGCCGGAACAGCTAAATTAAAATGAAACTTTGCTCATTGTTTGACAAATCCCTATCAAATATTCTGACAGAATTTCAAAAACTAGGCCTTGCTACTTTCTAAAAAAAATCCCAACTTTTAGACATGGACAAGCCTTATGCATACACAAACATAATCATGAAGCATGTAAGCCTTTGCACTTCTACGAGCCTACCCGTGTAAGCAATTGCAGCTTCAACGACTCCACCAGCCCGTCCCACAGCCTCCATTCCAACTAACAAATTTGGAAGATAATTGAGCGAATCGAACACACGGAAGATGTCCATTCCAGATTTGACAGCAAGTTCAGCAAACCTAAAAACGGCTCAGGCTCAGGCTTGGTTCTCTTACAACAAACTTGTTGATGACATTGTCTGGATAATTGCTGTAACCCATTGCATTCGCACCCCGTAGTAGACACTAGAAAATACTTTTTGACAATTTCATTGAATCTATTTGCTTGGCGTTGATTTTTTGTAGAGCGAACCTGGAAAGGAATGTTTGGAATCAATTTTCGGAGAGTCTCCAATCGTTCCCATGGACACTCGTGCAAGAAACGCATCGAAACATCGAAAGTAGCTCCTTAACAAGTAAACTTTAAGCTTAGGAAATTTCAAGAAAAATTCATACCTCCCCAGTTCTCCATTGAAAATAGATGTGGGAAAGCGGAAGAGACAAATGGAGAAATTTTGGCCATATCATAAGTGCGCACGCGAGTTGCGAGTAAAGATTGATGCGCATCTCTAAAATAGTGAATTTTGTTTAAAAGTGCGGTCTGAATTAGGGCCGATTCTCACTAAAACCAAATTATGAGTGTAGTAAGATAATTTTTGATAAAGTTTAGTTTAAAAATCCGTTTATCAATCATTTTTCCTCTTCTCTCCAAAATAGGCTACTAAGTTTTCGAATCCATCTAAAAGTTTAGACCAATTAAACCAAAGTTCCAATTGGTAGACTCAATAGAATGAATATCTCTAATCGATTCTCCGACCCCGAAAGCCCCGGGTACAAATTTACAGCTAAATATCTTCTTTTTGTAGCATCTATAAAGCAAAAGAAAAATCCCTATGTAAATGACTGCTTAGGTGTTCTTCGTGCGTGCGCACAATCGTTCGCCGCCTGGCATCCATAAGGAGGTTTCCCTTTTTGGAATCCGTGCAGGGGAAGATCAGTGATTGAATCTCCGGTTTATAACGGTCTACTGGCCGAACATCCGGTCCCTTCTCCTCCACTCAAGCATGACCAAATAGTGTAGTAGCAAGTGTGCGCGCTCTCGATCCCACTTTTGCTTTTTGCCCACGGGTTCGCATCCACTTCGCGAAAAACTTTTTGCTTTCTTTTGCAAAACATTTTACCAAAACTTTTTATGAAACTTGACCATTATTTTGCTTAAAATTTGACATCCTGTTAAACTAATATAATTTTGTTTTAGTGAGAATCGGTCCCAAGCCTAGGTCCCTCATTTAAGTACAATCTGTTTATGCTAGCTGTTGACTTAAACGAGGAAAGATCAGCTTACAATTAAAGAGATCTTGCACTAACCGGAAAGTGGTGTCTGTAATCATACATCCTTTCTTTCTTCGAACGGCTTTAGCGAAGGCTTCAGCTCCCTCATTGACCAAAACGCTATGCAAACCGACTGGTGGCCTTGATCCTATAAGAGAAAAATAGTTGCACTGCAGTAATTAGAAATTTGCATGCCAAAGCAGACAAAACATGCTCACTTACTGGTAACGGGTTCTTGATCTATAAAAAAAGTAATTTTTATCATTGAAAGAAAAAGCTAAATACCGGCTCGAACATGGGGTACTGGAGGCACAACATGCGCTGGCTTGAGTGAAGTGGCAAGGGGAGTTGTTGCACCATTCACTTGAACCTAAATTCTTCATATTAAAAGAGTTAGATTTTTTTTAAACCAACCTCTCCGAGATAGGCAAGTAGTTTTTGAGCACGGTTTTGGCTTGGCTGTAATTGAACTTTTCAGTGCAAAAAAAAACATGAAAAAACTCTACTTTGAATGCAAAAAGTTCTGGGTGTTCATCAATGAAATACGTGTCCACGGCCGCATCAGTAAACGATTGATGTTGAAGTACGTTTAGTAGAAATGGAATGTTCGTCTAAATTTTGAGTTTTGCGTTTGAGACTCTCATGATTGAGAGCACCTTGACTCCACGAATTCGGAACTCTTTCAAAGCACGAATAAGCTTAGCGGCAGCATTGTGATGACTTCTGGCTGAGGCGATCACTTTGACCTAAAAATTAACTCGGGAAATCTATTTTTTTCTTCCCAATTCCTTTACTTCTTTATTATTAAGACACGTGGTTCTGATTTTCAAGTAGTTCTGAAGACCAGGGTATTTCCTTCTTTTTTTTTCCTTTCTTCTTCCCCTTATCTTTTCTTCTTTCTCCTGGCTAGTTAAGGTACTAGATAGCTCACAAGGAATGGTCCAAAGTTAAGGTGAAAGATTGGATCGGCATAGTGATAGAAAAGGTATTTCGGGAATCCAATGCCGTATTTAGTTTTTGCCTAAACCCCCTGGTTTTCGAGAAAAACGCGTTGCAAATTTGTTTTAGAGTGTTCCATGTGTAAAATAATTGTCAATGTCCACTTCAAAGTTTATAAAAAGTCTTTTAAAATCTTTTGCAAAAAAAAGCAAAAAGTTTTTCGCGAAGCGGATCCAAGTTCGTGGGCAAAAAGGAAAGGTGAGATTGAAAGCGCGCACATTTATCACTACACCATTGGGTCACGCTTAAGTGGAAGGGAAAGAACCGTTATAAATCGGAGACTAGGCCAGTAGCGTGGGTACCCAAAAACCCCAGAAAACTGTAGATTCCCCAAAAAACGCGTTTATCTCGAAAACCATGCGGTTTAGGCAAAAACTAAATACAGCATCGGATTGCCCATGCCCAAATTACCTTTTCTATCACTTTGCCGATCCAATCTTTCACCTTAACTTTGGACCATGTCAGAGCAATTACCCGAAAAGCAAAAGGTCGAGGGTTCAACCCCCTCTCCGGAAATGTACTTCTTCTTCCCAATTTCTTCACTTCTTTATTGTAAAAGTTTTTAAAAAAAATTCAAACCAAAAGCGAATCGTAATGTGGTGTGATTACTGAGCCGGCATAAGCAGAAGCAGAATCCAATCGAATGCCCATACCCTCACCAGATCGAAAAACCTAAGTTGTAATGAAAAAAGCTAATACTGATCTCTACAAACTTCAATCCGACCGGAATCTGGTTGGAAACCTCGAGCTGGATCTTCGGTTGTAAGTCGACATTGAATTGCGGCTCCATTCACTTGAATTGTGCTCTAAAGTTGAAAATTTCTCGATAAAACTCTGCAGTTTTTACTTGTTTCAATTTTAGATCTTCTAACGCTTTTCCTTCAGCAACTCGAATCTGGGCCTGAACGAGATCCACTCTGAACAAAAATCAATTCAATTTGACTAAAAGTTGCCAGCTTACCCAGTAACTTCTTCTGTAACTGTGTGCTCAACTTGTAAACGAGCGTTGACCTCAATAAAATAGTGATGTCCTTTCTGATCAACCAAAAATTCAACGGTTCCTGAAAATTTTTTTCGGAAATGAGTCGATAAAACAATTATAATGTACCAGCATTTTGATATCCAACATGTTTTGCGAGGCGAATTGCATCGTCCAAAATCTTTTCACGAACTCCCGGTGGAAGTGCTGGAGCGGGAGCAATTTCAACCACCTGAAACAGATTTCCTGACTGATTGAAATTATTTCATTATGAAAATGATTTCATAATGATTATTTCATACCTTTTGGTGCCTCCTTTGTACAGAACAATCTCTTTCATATAAATGAACAATATTCCCATGGTGATCACCTGAAATGACTTTATTTTTAAAATGATAAATTATCAAATACCCAAAAGTTGCACTTCGATATGTCGTGGTCTTTCAACGAACTTTTCCACAAACAAACTTCCATCACCAAAAGCTGATTGAGCTTCGGAATAAGCTCGACGAAAAGCTTCTTCTACCTTAAACAAGCAAATATCAAATCTTTCTATACAGGAAAATACAGGACACCGATCACTCAAACATACATCTTCAATTTTGTCCACTCTTCTCATTCCTCGTCCACCTCCACCATAAGCCGCCTTCAAAATGATTGGTGTTCCATAGGTTTTTGCAAATTCGACAGCTTCATCAGCTCTAGAAATTTAAGTTTTTTTTGGAAATCTCTACTTTTCCTACGTGCTTATCGGTCCAGAAGTACCCGGTACAACTTGTACTCCGGCTTCAATCGCTGCTTGTCTTGCGGCAACCTGAAAAAAAGCGCTTTTTGTAGTTGGCTGCCATTCCGCAAAAAGCATTTTTCTCATTAAACCAACCTTATCACCCATTCTCGCCATCACATCAGGACTCGGACCAATAAAAACAATTCCAGCATTTTCGCAGGCCTGTAAAGCTTAAAATGGAAATAAAATAAAACAATTACTTGTGCAAAATCAGCTCGTTCGGAGAGAAATCCATATCCAGGATGGATAGCATCGATATTGTTCTGAAATTTCGAATGTCAAAAGAATTGAAATAGGTTCGCAAATTTGAACTTACCTTTAGAGCGGTGTCGATAATCTGTTCTATTGTAAGATAGGCGGCGACAGGCGGAAGACCCTTCCCCACCAAATAAGCCTCGTCGGCTTTCAGTCGATGCATCGAGTGTTTGTCCTGAAAATTGAAGCTTACAAAAGCTACAATGTTACAAAAGCAAAGCCATTTCTTATTTATATAGGGTGGTCGATAATGTGCTACGCCTTATATGAAGGCAGATTAAGCCGAAAATGTGTCAGCTCTCTTAAAGTTTGTTACAATTTCATTTTTATAGCATTTTTACACTTATATTCCAATTTTTAGCCCGATCAGTCGGGTATAAGAAAAATTAGAGCCATTAGAAACTCCGTAAATAAAAGCGTCTGGCACGGAGATGCTTTTTTCCATAAAGACTGGTGATTAAAATGAAGGCACTGAACTTTTCAGTGATTTTAATTAGTTATTAGCGCTTTAGAAAGGTTAATGAAATTAAAATTATTACTTTTTGCTTTAAGCTTTTGGCCCAATGTTAGTTTTGGAACCCTGTAAAACACTCAAAATATGCTTATTTCATCTCGTTTTCAACATGGCGATAATTAAAGCAGTTAAAAATTTGATTCTATGAAAGTTCAAATAAAATTTCTATATGACTTTAACATACAAAAAGCAAATAAACATTATTTGAAGAAGAGTTTTGAGATGTAAAGCATTTTAAGCATGATTTCATAAGAAAATCTACATTGTGCCAGACGCTTTTGTTTAGGCAACTTCTAATGACCCTAATTTTTCTTATAGTCAACCGATCGGGGCTAAAAACTGGTAAAAATGTTATAAAAATGAAATTATAACAAACTTTAAGTAATCTGATACATTTTCGACTTAATCTGCCTTCATATAAGGCGTAACACATATTATGAGCAACTCTGTACATTCAACTTATTCAACACCAAAGATACCTGTTCCGAATAAATGGCCACACTTGTTTTGTTCAATTCGGTGAGTGCTCGAAAAACGCGAATCGCGATCTCACCTCGATTCGCCACCATTACCTGAAATCAATCTACATATTATGTCAAAAATTTCTTTTTGCTCACTTTGTTGAATTCTCGTCTTTTCACGACAGAACTCCCATGTCGAAGTTGTGTCCATAAATGTGGGCGAAGACAAAGTCCGGTGAGATTTCGCATTTCTAAAAGTTTGTTTTAACATAAATTCGAATAAAAAGTAGGCAAAGAAAAATGACAAAAAGTGATGAAAGAAAAGTTACGACGGCAATATTCAATGATTAGTTTTACTTGAACTGCTGGAAAATAATAACGATAAATGATGAGAATTGTCTAGTGAAAGTGCCAATGAAAAGTTTGATCACTTGACAGATCAAAAATCATTTGATCATTTGAAATTTCACTGGGGTTAATTGGTCTAACAAGAAAACATTTTCTAATTGAATTCGAAAAAATAAGCTATCAAAGGAATCTTAATCGAACGATTCGAGGCACAAATAAAATGAGTATAGCTCAAAAATAATAGTATCAGTCCACTTTTTATGATATCTTTGAGGTGAAAAGAGAAGAGTGGTCAATGAAGTTTCACTTGATAGGGTCGAAAAAAAAAGAGAACGGACAGGAAAACAACTGGATTACAAGGGGAATGAGAGGAAGAAAGAAATGAGAGAATGGCTGAGTGATCGGACAAATTCGATAGTTCACTGAACAGTGAGGGGAAGACCTTGGGAGAGAGAAAAAACGAAGAAAAGGAGAAAAGCAAAGAATGTATCGCTCAAAGAACGAACCGAAAGGGAAATAAATAAAGCTGTCAGTAAATGCCTTGAAGAACTTTTTGACTTTTTAGGATTTTCTTTGCATCGATTTAAAAATTAGCACTTTGGGTGCACATAAGAATCTGGTAACGAATAAAAATTGGAAAAATTGTAAGAAATTTGCTTACAAGGTACAGAAATCACTTTGTTAACCCATCAAACTGTTATTATCAGGACCTAAAACAAGGTAACAAAGCAAGTAAGTTTAAGTCTATATTTAGACCTAATTTTACATCTTTGTTTCTTTTTCCTGTTTATTGTTTCTTATTTTTCTAAAATGAGATTGAGATCTAAAATAAGACAGTAAGCAACTGAAAAAAAAACAAATACGTCCAAAAATAAAATAATAAATAGTTAATGAAAATTGATTGAAATTGTTAGATTGCATTAAGTTTCTGTTAGATTTTTTTCGGTAAATTTTATAGAACTCTTCCGAGATAGTTTTCCCAAGATTTGGAACATTCCAAATCAAACAAAACTTTTTGCAAATTGTTTATTCAACGCAAAGCCACAAAAAAAACAACTTTAAATTTACAAACTATGTGCAAAAAGTATCACAAAAATATGGATACCCGTTGAAAATGACAAGAATCGGCTGAGGGAAAATGAGTGAAATCACTTGTCTTCTTCAATTTCTGCTTGTGTTTCTTCAGACTCAAAGCGATTCAAATGTGAACGAAGATCATTCAGAACTGCCCTAGATTAAAGAAAAATCAACAGGTTTTTTTGGAAATCTGCCGCACATACCGTAAATCATTTTGCATTCTTTCCAGAGTTGGCGATGTTGTCTCTGGTGGCCAATTAGCAATCCATTCACGCGTCCTATTGTTCGAGTGATTAGCTGAAAAGAATACCTTTTACATTATATTCGTTCATTCACCTTTTACATTAACTTTTCGTGCATTCGGTGTTTTCTGATTCTTATATAGAAACATAATGATTTTATGCCTCCTTTTTAACACACATATGCTATTTAGGTACTTCCATATCTTTTCCCCATCATACGCTCGTATTCTATTATGTTGGTACATAAGTCTTTACATTTTTTGTCCAAAAGTCTTTTAAAAATAATGCCGCCACCAGCCAAATTTCTATTTGAACTATTAAAAAGGTTAATTGTTTTTCTGCAAAATGGCTTTTGGGAAATTCTCGGAAGTCGTTTTTTTTCGTGGATTTTCAAAGGCACAAAGGCAAGCATCTAAAACTGCTCCCATGCCGAAGTCGCAATTTGGCCACTTTCTTCAATACAAACCTATTTTTGTGTCAAAGTAAAAAAGATAGAGCTTATTTGATTACATAAGTCTATAAAATTTGAAAACGATACGTTCAGCTATTTTCTTTAAAACAACAAATGAAATTTTACACAAAAATGCGTTTTTACTGAGTTGAAGCGAGCTTTGGCTTTCTCTCAAAAGCCATTTTCTAGAAAAATTATAGATTTTTTAATAGTTTAGGACACAAAAAATTTGGTAAAGGATTCTTTTCCATAGAAGCAAAAATTTGAAAAAAATTGTAAAGACTTATGTACCAGCCTAATAATTTGCACCATCCGCATCTTCTCCCCGGCATTAAACTCAAAAAAACTGCAAGTATCGGCTTTAATAATTTTCGGCTTACTTACTGCGATTATCAGGCTCAGCTAAATGAACCGAAAACATATCTAGCACTGTGAATTTTACTATTAGTAAAGTGATATTGCCACAGCAGTGGCGGGAAAACTATGGATCATGCAAATTAGCATTTATCTTTTAGACTGGGGGGAGAAAGTTACGGAAGTACCTCCATTTATACTAACCTTCCTCACTTTCCGTTGCAGTGTTCACCGCTTCCTTTGTTTGACTTTGTCCAGCGATTTTATGCTCCTCATCATCTTGACTCTCAGCAGGAGTTTCGAGTTCGTTTCCATTTTTAGCATCTGTATGTCTCTGCGAAGATTGAGCCTCCTGTTCATCTTCAACCACATCCCAATACCGAACATGTCGGTTGGCTAAAAAGATTGTTTTTTGCTATCGAATACGTCATAAATGTTATCTTTGTTCTTACCATGTCTTAGTGTATTATCGTTTTTTTGTTTTCAAACCAACCGATTGCCGACGGTGAGTTGAGGCGTCTAATGAAGCCTCTTTCTTCTGCTTCTGCTTCCCCATCTCCATCTCCATCTTCAACTCCGACTTCTTCATCTCCATCATTATTTTCATTGCTCGAGCTCGTGTCTTCACTGTATCCCATGTTGTAATCGTGAAGATATTCTAGACGAAGACCATTCAGAAGTTCATCGATAAATGAGAAGTGTCGTGGTTCACCGAAAAGGTAAACTTACAATTAGAAACTAATAAATTTCTGATTCGCGACGACTTTATTCCTTCTCCTGTGTACCACTTACCGTCAATACTCTAATAGAGAAGCCCCATATAGGAGCGTCGTGTCGTCTAAGTTTACTCTCAAACAAACGCTCATATCTCAGCACTAGTACGTTAGTTTCTGCGCGCTCGGGTATCAAATTAAAGTAGAGAGGATGGGTGATTGTTTGTCAGACTGGTGAAGTTTGGTGATCGAGAATCGATTTTTGGAATATTAAATTTAGTAAACTGTAAAAATAATCTAGAAAGTCGAGTTTATTCCAACTCTTATACAGTGCTTTCTTGACGATTTTTTTCACAAATCAGTTTGTGGCCAAAAAAGTCGATTTTTCAATCACTTTTTTCTAAGCGCTGGTAAAAGTAGGTGCTATGTCTCAAAAAAATCACCCATCATCTCCACTTTAATTTGATACCCGAGCGCGCAGAAACTAACGTACTAGTGCTGAGATATGAGCGTTTGTTTGAGAGTAAACTTAGACTACGCGACACTCCTATAGGGGGCGGGGTATTTAGAGTATTTACGCGACGCTCTTATTAAGGTATTTATTTTATTTACTATTAAAGTATTTAAGGCAAGAATTCACCTCGTGAACTATCATCATCATCGCTCGTTTCGTATGTATTGTCATTTGAACCAATTCGAGCACGCTAAATAACGTAAAAAAGTCAACATAAACAATCACCGGTTTACCAGAATTAATCTATCAAAATGACGCAGCATTTCTAAATCTTCTTCTATATTGTTCTCATTTTCCTCTTGAACGTCTTGTATGAGATCCATCAACATAATTCCGTTGTGATTGTGACGAGGCTAAATGAAAACACTAACGAACTCAATCACAACAAACTGTAATTGGACGAAGGTTCGGCGTCAGCGTCGACTCGCGCATTTCCAGTGGTGACCATAACTAGAATTTTGTCTTCTACCTGTCATGCTTACATTTTTTGCTTACTTTAACGATTTTCTCTACTCCACAACTTGCTAGAACATGTAACTTGCTGTTGTATCGAACATGATTCACAATTGAACGATGTCCTTTCAAAATTGCCGTCGCTTCTTCAATAACTTCGAAAACCTCAATGCCTTAACAAGTTTAAACTTAAAACTTAAACAAAAATAACAACCATTCACGGTTCCACGAGATTTTTGAGGTTTTACGGGTATTTTCCATGCATAGATGTCAAAGTTGTCGCTCCCTGAAACTTGGCGATTAAAAAAAGATCCGTTGCCTAACCAATCATCACAGTGTCATCATCGGCAAAATGAATCGATTTGATAGTTTGACTACTTTCATATCGCTCATCCTTCAGTCGAATCATGCTATTGTTCAGTAACTAAACAATAATTCAAAAAAAATGTGACAATAAGAGCTCTTTACATCAACAACGATAGGAGATTCTCTGAAACGGTTGATGGCCATTCGCTGTCCCGATGAATTGAACTCGCCATACATGCACGAGGCGGCCATTCTTTGGAGATCGAGCATTTTTCTGAAAAAGAAGTCAAAATACAGTTGTTGTACCGTCAAAAGGCAAGGCAGCATATACCGGGTGACCAGAAATAACCCGTCCTTTTTTCTAGGCTCATATTTCTGTTATTTCCTGTTACCAAAACGATCAATTTCCTCTTTAAATGAAATTTCACATCATTTTCTGTATATGTTCAAGATTTCATGATCATAGCATCGATAGATAATTTTTTAACACTCAAAAATGGCTGGTCAAAAAATATAGCCGCAACTCAAATTTTGGATTTTTGAAAAAAACCCACATAATAATTTTTTCTAAAAGCTAATATTTTGTTATGTTTAAGTAAATTCATTCCAAAAAAATATTAAATGCGTTAATATTTTCTAAGATCGATAAAGGAACCCCTATATTTGAGTTGCGGCTCGTTATTTTTTGACCAGTCATTTTCGAGCGTTCATAAAAAAATTATCTATCGATGCTAAGGTCATGAAATCTTGAATATACTCAGAAAACGATGTGAATCTGCATTTAAAAAAGAAATTAATCGTTTTGGTCTAAAAATAACAGAAATATGAGCCTACAAAGGGATGGGTTGTTTTTGGTCACCCTGTACATGAGTGTAATGTCTTTATAGGAAAGGTCCGAATTGGAACCGATTCTCACTAAAACCAAATTATCGGCAGGTAGGTGTAGTAAGATAATTTTTGATGAAATTTTCTGCAAAAATGATTGATGTAAATCGGTTTATCAATAATGTATTAGGTATTGGGAGATGAAATCGGCTTTTCAGTTCAGTTTATGCCTTGAGTATTTCGGCTAGTTTTGGTTTAATAAGATGTGGAATTTGTATCAGAAAAACAGCCAAATTTAAGACAAAAATTGATCCCAAAAATCTGGGCATAGTGACGCCCAGAACGGTCTCACCTCACCGCTCCTTCCCCTTTAAGGACTTGGTTTTAATGCGAAACGGTCCGAATTCGGATCCCGCCTTTAACTCTCACTTACTTGTCAAGAAAACGCGTATCATAAAGACACAATCCTTCATTATCTGAACAGACAGCAAAAACATGTGGTGTATCTGGATTGAATTGACCACTGTACACACTGGTGGCTGATGATTTCATCCTGAAATGATTATGAATAATCAAGTACTTGGTTATATACTTGATTGAAGCATTGTTTTCGTTTTCTTTGGACCTCAAATCGTAAAATGCAACTTCTCCACAGTCACGAGCAGCTGTTACCAAATTGACATCAATCGGCTAAATTGATTAATACTTTAAAAGACACTTTTTCTTCAAAAGAAACAAAATGCAAAAGTACAAACACTGCAGCACAGATTGAAGACAGGTCCGTACGAATACCAGGCACGAATCCTTTGATTTGTTTCCAAATTGTGAAGCATCGCAAACCCATCATTTCCACCAGAAAACAATGATTTATCACTAAAATGAACCCTAGCTATAATTAATGATCTAAACAAACTCATTTGAAAAAGAATAGGCAAAAATGTTCGTCAAATGCTTTGCGTCCATCTCAGCTATCGGTTTTGGATTTGCGTCGGCGAGCATATCTGAGACACTCCATAAAAGGACTCGTTGGTCATCCCCACCTAAAGTACAAAGTAGTATTTGGGCTACTTTTGTACACTCTTACCACTGGCGAGAAAATCTTGATTGTGACTGAATTCGACCGAATTCACACATCCATAATGTCCCTTGATGTCACGTTGAAAGAATGGTTTCTCTGCTGTGATTGGCAGTGGGCCCAACTTGCTAAAATGAACGATGATCAAATAACTATCGTTATATGAAAAGATTTCTTTCAAATTCCTTTGAACCACTCATTCAATCTCAATATACAGGGTGTTGAATATTTATAGGGAGTTTTGCGCTCGCAGTTCGTCTAGCACTCTCAAAAACTGGTTTGTGAAAAAAAATCGTCAAGAAAGCACTGCATAAGAGTTGGAATAAACTCGACTTTCTAGATTATTTTTCCAGTTTACTAAATTTAATATTCCAAAAATCGATTCATAGGAACTCGATCATCAAATTTCACCAAAAGGAGTCAGACGCCAGTTGTTCTTTTTAACGATGAGAAAGTTTTCACTATTTAACAGTTTTCGAATCTACGGGACAAAAGCCAAAATGCAATAATTTTGAAAAAAGTAACTTAAAGTTGTTAACGTTGGGCGTATCGATAAGTGTTTTTCCTCTTTAGCATTAAAATTGTATAAAGTGAGCTCTAAACCTAGTAATGTCCTCAAAAATATTGAACACTCTGTAGTTGAGCCTTCGATGCAATATCGACAATTCGTTTCCTTAATTTACCTAATCTTTTTCCTCAATCGATCATGATATGGGTCACTTGTTGGACGCTTTCTGCTTTGGTGATACATCTAAATGAGAAATATTGAAAGTTAACTAAAACGTTGAAAATTAACTAGTAACGAAGTTAGTAACCACTTAACCTTTTTCTAAAATAATTAGACACAAAACCCAAGCAGATTGCGCCGATTTGATTTGGTAGATTTTATGCGTTTTAGTTGAAAGAGAATTGGTTAAGCTAAGTTTATGCGGCACGTACAAAAAGATTCGAAGACAATGGAGTAGAAGGAAACGAAATAAAACCATTTTAGAAATTTACACAAAAGCGAGAGAAACGAAACAAAACCATTTTAGAAACATAAACAGGAAACATGGGCAGAACAATATAAAAAGGAGAGAACGAACGAGGGAAGAGGGAGTACTTTAAAAACGTGCTATAAGAACATCATATATTTTACGAAGGGGGGAGAGAACTTAGTGCCACTCGGCACAAAAGTCGGAAAAAGTTTTCGATTTCACCATGTAATGCCGAAAAATGAAAAGAATGACAAATGAGAATTTTGTGCGGGGTACGGTAGCGTATCCACGCTTTAGAAAGCGCGCCGCGCCACTTTGCGCCAGTCCCTTTAAACCACACGTAAATAGGATTCTAACTATGATAGAAAATCAAAGCTGTTGTGGAGAAAACGGAAACCAGCTGACAAGAAGAAAAGAGGGAAGAGGAAAAACTTTAAGTCTCGTGTTCTATTACGAGAGAGGCGATGTTTACGGTAGTCGAGTTGCATTTGAGAGTGCAACAAGTGTAAATTGCGTATCATCAATAACGGTTTATTTTTTCGAATCCTTATGTATCATTGCAAATTTCTATCTGGATTTGAGATTTGTAAAGACTTTATTCAACACGAAAACTTGTGGTTTAATACAAAGCATCGACTTTTTCTCTTGGTAGAAAGTTGTTGGAAAAATCTGAAAAGAAAATTGCGGGTAAGGCTAGTTTCCGCAACTTTTTTTTTGCGCAACAGGGTCATTTGCGCAACTGGGTCGTTTGCGCAACTCGCCATCACTTTTTTCTAAGTGGGCTAATCTTTATGATTTTGCTTTCATTTTGTTGCACTTATTGAGATCTACAAAATGAGACCAAAATCATAGAAATTGGCCGACTTAGAAGAAAGTAATGGCGAGTTGCGCAAATGACCCTGTTGCGCAAATAAAATGGCGGAAATTAGCCTACCCCAAAAAATTGGCTCAAAAAATCACGATGACTTATATACGACTCTTTTTAAAGATATTCCGCCATTTAGCTGATTTGGTGGCAAGTTCCCTTCAAATGTAAAGATATTCAATTTACTCAACGTGTAAAGAGGTTTACTCGTAGTTACTCGACAAAAACGTCAGTTAATCGAGTAAAAATTAGTAAATTTTACTCGAGTACCGTGATTATTCTAATACAAGCATAATAATGACGGCTGGAGCGTCACGTAGTCTAGCTTTCTGAAAGAAATCTGAAAAGAAAATTGAACACATTCACTACTAATGACGTTTATTTTTGGTGTCAACTGAAGTTTTTAAGGATTCTTTTATTTGTTTCACGGAAAGTTCTCAGTAACTTTATATCTGTTTTCAAAAGAAGAGGTTTTCAGGGCTATCGAATGACTATAATAGTTTAGTTTATCTTCCAATGTTCACTAAAACATTAGTTTAACAGTTAACGACCACGCGATTGTACGCCCAAAATGCCGTTGTCGTGAATGTGTTAAGAACTATCGCAAGTTTCAATTATTGGCTTTTAATATAAGAATTTTATATTCTAATTATTCAATAACTAACCATAACAAACATCGTTGCACATATAGATCACACTGGGTCCTTGCCGAAGATAGCAACAATTATATCCAAAAAGAAAGCCTAAATCGTTTTGCGTTTAATGAAACTTCTAAAAATTCACCTATTAATTGAAGAACAATTACCATTTTTAGCAAAAATTGTTGAGTCATGTCTGAAAATTTCAATTCATCAGAATTTCAAAAATCTTTAGAAATGGATTTAAGTAGATTCTAAAGCTTTGTTTTTTTCGAAAGAGAAAGAGAAAAAGTAATGAAGGAAAATGAAGAAAGAATGAAAAAACGAAAAAGCAAGAAAATTCGATTTTGAGAGTAGTTTTGTCGACTTCTCAACTTCGCTATCCCCAGAATAATTAGGATGAAACAATGAACTTTTAGACCGAAAAACATCGTAATAACGACTAAAAGAAAAAGGCGGAAATACATTAAATAATCTTTCGAATCTTTTGAATATTTTCTTCTTTCAAAACAGGAAAGCTTCATTTCCTGCTAAATCTTTTTCCGATTATGAGTGGGTTGTAATGATAAATTCGTTGTGAGCTTTTCCAGAAAAAAAAAATTATCATGCAAGAAATAGGACTTAACCTAAGATGACAACATTTTAGAAAAAAGATTGGTATCAATAATGAATTGCAACTGGAAACTTTTGAAATAAGAGATTTGAGAGTGGAAAAGTTAGCTTTAGTTTATTTGGATAGATACAATTTTCTATGCAAATTGGACCGGAGCTTCGTAGAACTTTACGTAGTTGAAATAAAGATGTGAGAATATTTTAAGAGATAAATTTGGCAACAATACTAAATCCAAACTGCTTCTAGACTAAAACGTATGAGATTAATGTTAACTAACTAACCATAATTATGGTGCACCCTGTAGTAAGATCAAAGGTCGTTTAGTTGCAGTATAGGTGTACTTCTCGAGAGCTGGGATGAGCTGTCCAGAATCATCGACCCACACTTGCTTGCTCTTGCTGCTCGCCTTGCTTGCTCGTCGACTAATCGTTGATTCCGATCTCCTCCACGGCAGTGATCACAAAGTAAGGCATCTTTCGATATCTAAAAAAGAATTACAAGTTGTAATCAAAAATGAATCAAAAATAAAAATGGAGAAAGGTTCTAGCTACCTTGGCTCAAGCTAAAAAATTCAAAAATCTATATCTCACTGGTTTAAATCCAACTAAACTGCTTAAGCAACTGATAGTGGCAAAAAACCCACTGAAGCCAACTGACCAGCCCCTTCAATGACACCCTAAATAGGGTTTGACGGATGAAAGTTTTCACCCCAAGAAAAAACAATGGCTTTAGGCCTACTATGTTCAAATGTGCCGTGTACTTTCCAACGTTCGATTGCTCACACGTTCCAAGCAACAAGCCCCTGCTTACCATTTTGTTACGCGAAATTCGAAAGAAGTTTACCGTTACACTGTGAGCCAGTTTAAGCCACTTGTCTTGCATGTGAAAATTGTGTAACGAAAACGAGATAGACCACAGAAAGCAATAGAAACACCCCTAGAAGCAACCACATAAGGGAACTCTTGACAGAAAAAGGAAAAGATTGTTGTTATTAGAATAATTTCTAGTAAATAAAAGCAGGTCAATGACAAAATAAAAACTTTGTCATAAAGAAAGTGTGTAAAATTTGGGAAATATTTGAAAGGAAATCATAAACACTAAATCATAATATAACTATGGATACGATGCGTCAAAATCGATCAAGATGAACTTTGTGCCATCGGGTCCGTCTTCCAATCTAATGGCACATAGGAGAAATGTTTCGGTCGCGAAGAGACTCCAAATCCAACTGTCTGCCTGAAGACGAACGAGGTCACGAACAAAGATACCTGAAAATCACAAAAATTCTGGTATAGTTGATAAAAAAACTAACAACGGAATACTAACCCTGAACATAGCTTTAAACTTGAATGGATAACGTCAAATTATGTAGTTAATAAATTCTAACTTAAAAGAAAAGTTGAAGTCTGGACAAATTCGCTTATCTTATACCCTACATTACCAGGTAATTTAAAACAAAATACCTTTATCCACATCCCACAGCTTGACCGAGCCATCATCTGAACTTGTCAACAAAAGTCCCGAGTCAAGCCATTGCAATGAACTGATGGCCTCCGTGTGACCATTTACGCCTTGTAAATGGTGAATGCACGAACCACCGTCACGAATGTCCCAAACCTAAAGAAAAGAAAGTAGTTGTCATAAGATTCATTAAACATACGGAAACAGCGGTCGAGTAGGCATAGCAGGAGACCAAAATATTTCCGCGAAGCTGCATGTCAGAGGTGAGACTTTGAGGACCGACAAGAATTGCGATGCATGCTGAAAGAAACAAATATAGAGGAGATTGCAACAAAATAGCGAAGAAGTAAAACACACTTCCTCTTCGCACATCCCAGACGCGTATCGTTCTATCCGGACCACTCGAGACGACAAGATCACGCTCCGGCTCAAACTAAAAAAGAAACCTGATTAAAGCCAAAAATCGACAATTCAACTCACCAAAAGTGAATAGACTGGCCTCGTGAGACCCGTCAGCGTGTGCAAACACTTCCCCCGTCTGCACATTCCAAACCTTATAGAATATTATAAAAGAACAAAAAAGCATTACAAACTTTTACAGTACAATCATCGGCACCAGACACAACCCGAATTCCATCAAATTTCACACACCAAACCTGAAATTTAACTTTGCTTAGGCTATAACTTTGATACACACACCTCCCCCAAGTGACCAGTCAAAATGTGATGGCATTTCCCGTCGACAATGTCCCAGACTCGGAGCGTTCCATCCTCTGATCCAGAAACAAGACTAAAACATTATGCTTTTAGCTGAAGCACAAAATTTAGATAACTCACGTTGTGCCATGTAGACTTATGCAGGTAACAGTATCCGTATGCCCCTGCAGAACATGACGCTGGACACCGGTTTGACCACACCAAATGCGCACGGTTTGATCAGACGAGCCACTTAAATATTTTGCTGCCTAGAAAATTGTTAGCTTCTTTGGAAACAATTATCAATTGCACTAGCTAGAGCCTATTAACTAACCTAACAGTGTATTTGCCATCATCGCTGACTAGAGTAGTCCAAATTGCATCCATATGGCCAGTTAGAGTGAAAGCCAGCTGAAACAGGACGTAAAATAATGGTAAAACGAAACAAACTTGAGCATCATCAACATTCCAGACCCGCAACGTATCATCATTTGAACCAGCTACGATACGACCAGAGTGAATTTGTAGACAATTGACCAGATGTTCATCGTGACCCTCAAAAACAGTTTTTATAGCCAAAACATTTGTCCAAACCTTTAGAACAGTGCTTGATTGAATCGGTCGGGATCGCCAATTGGCAATGATTCGCTGCTTCCGCAAGTACAGTGACTTCCATGACGATCGCTCATAACACCTAGAAAAAATTTAATTCAGCAACAAGTTGCGTCACTAACTGTCCATATGCGATCTCGCGTTCTCGTCGATTCCGATGTGATTCTTGAAGGTCCATTTGTGAGACGATTGTGATTCCCGCTTCCTTATTTGCTCGATTCGTCGCCCAGCCTCCGAGAAAACGAAAACTGAACAAAAATAAGTTAGTGACGAGTCTTTTTCTAATTGATTTCTTAAATGTGAGCCAGTTCATCGAAACAAACATTATCATTTGTTTTCTTTCACTTTATTTCTTTATTTGCTTTGGAACTAATAACAGTATCATCCTATACCTTAGAAGTGTAAGATCTAGTTTAATATAAATATATCAGATATGTATTTTTAAATGTTATATTATTTGTTCAAAACTGTAACACACCTTGGCGCATCAAATTTCACATATCCTTTCTCCAAACATTTCCGTCGCCACGTCCGATCATCTTCACAAATTCGCTGCCACGTCCGCGAAACGCCAGCACAAACCGTCAAATCGCACGGTGCCAAATAGGCAATGATGCGATAAGCAACCTAAAAATAAACAATTAATCCCACAAGCTTTAACAAAAGTCAAACCTCCTCTGGCAACTGTGACAAGAAATCCTTTTGGAACAATGGTTCGATGAGATGCCTGAATTTGAAAATTTCACTGTTTAAGGTCATTCTCTTTACCCTTCGCGTTGAGTCTTGCTGCTGTCCGGCTTGTCCGACATCTCCCCTAAATGAAAAATTACAGCAGAGATAACACCGTAAATAATAAAACCCCCGGAACAAATTACTCCTAACGTAAATACTGTAATAGTACCCGTCCCGTGGGTAGACTTGCATCACGTGATTATCGATAGAAATGGTAAGTTCATGTTTGAGCCTTCATATCTCGGTTTCTTGTACAGCTATAAACTTATTTCATTGGAAAGCTAAGAATGTCAGCTTTTGACTGCTATCTCACACTTAGCAAATTCTCATAATTGAGTGCCTTAAAAGGCTTATCAATACACAAATATCGATAAGTATCGATAAGGTTTATGAGGTGCCTACTCATTAAAAGTCGCGATGTATAAAATAGCAATCAAAAGCTCACATTCTTGACTTCCCAATGAAACAATTCTCAGATTAAGAGCTGTTCTAGAAACAGAGATCTAAAGGTTCAAACATTAGCATGTCGTTTGTATCGATAAAATCGCGTAGGGTAGGGATGGGATAATATTAGAGTATTTACGGTAGATAAGCCTACTAAAAGAAATGACCAGAATCGGGAGTGGGACAAATGCGACCTTTTTTTGCGCACCCGGACATTTGCGCACCTTTTTTTCCGCACCTTGCCCATTAGCGCACCTTAAAAAAGCTCTAAAAAGCTAATATTAACCAATTTCTATTCCAAAAGTGGTTTTTCTAGGTAATTTTAGGGTGTAGAATCGAAATTTTGACATATCAGAGCTTGTGGAAACAAATGGACGGAGTCATACAAAGAGAAAATTGACAATCAACAATTTTCTGTAATTTTATCTAGCCGTTTTGTCTTTCAAATTGGTTCCACACGCTCTGTTATGTCAAAATTTGAATTCGACACCCTCAAATTACCTAGAAAAACAACATTTGGAATAGAAATTGGTTAATATTAGCTTTTTAGAGCTTTTTTAAAACGCGAAAAAAGGTGCGCTAATGGGCAAGGTGCGCAAATGTCCGGGTGCGCAGAAAAAGGTCGCATTTGTCCCACTCCCAATAAAACAAAATAAAAGTTTTTAAGGCTTGAAAGTTTCAATGCTAGAAAGTTTCAATGCTAATTTAACGAGACTTTTTGCGATAAAATTGATTCTGGGGGAGGGGGACAAATGCGACCTTTTTTTTGCGCACCCGGACATTTGCGCACCTTTTTTTCCGCACTTAGCCCATTAGCGCACCTTTTTTCGCGTTTTAAAAAAGCTCTAAAAAGCTAATATTAACCAATTTCTATTCCAAATGTTGTTTTTCTAGGTAATTTGAGGGTGTCGAATTCAAATTTTGACATATCAGAGCTTGTGGAAGCGAACGGACGGAGTTATACAAAGAGAAAAATCAACAATTTTCTGTAATTTGACCTAGCCATTTTGTCTTTCAAATTTTTCTTTTCTAGAACTCACATTGCATCCTCCACTGCAACAACCGCCACCTCCACTGCAACGGGGACCGACTAGAATTTTGCTTTCTTTTTTGATTTGACTTTGATTTTGTCTGTGTTTAATATTTGACAACTTATTTTACTGTTTTATTTTTGCGATTGCTCACACGTTCCAAGTAACAAAGCCCTGCCTACCATTTTGTTACACGAAACTCGAAAGAAGTTTAACGTTTCTTTAAAGAGTTCCAGCGGGAGAAGAGTTCGATCGAATTACGGGGACTAAAGAATTTGAAGATTTAAAGACCACCTTGCATTAAAATGACACCAAAACAGCAAAAATTTATTTACTTAATTTACTCGACGAGGATTACTCGTAGTTACTCGGCCTAAAACGTCGATTAATCGAGCGAAAATTACTCATGCAAATTTTACTCGAGTAATTACTTACTCGGAAGGGACACACTCTAGTGGCGAGAAGGTAGGGCAAGCAAGAAAATTCGATTTTGAGAGTAGTTTTGTCGACTTCTCAACTTAGACCGAAAAACATCGTAATAACGACTAAAAGAAAAAGGCGGAAATACATCAAAGAATCTTTCGAATCTTTCGAATATTTCCTTCTTTCAAAACAGGAAAGCTTCATTTCGTGCTAAATCTTTTTCCGATTATGAGTGGATTTTAATGATAAATTCATTGTGATCTTTTCCAGAAAAAAAATTTATTATGCAAGAAATAGAGCTTAACTTAAAATGACAATATTTTAGAAAAGAGATTGGTAGTTTGGTTTGGGCTCAAAAAAGTTTAGGCCCAATGACGCCCAAGGGGAAGAAGCCGGCTCATTCGCTGATTGATTCCAAAAGGGTAGCCCTTTATATCAAAGTCCTATGCCAGATCGAGAGCGATTTTGCGCACAAAGAACACCTCGGGGCTCTTTAATGCAGGGATTTTTCTTTTAAATCGATTCTAATTCAAAAGAATAGGGATTTTATAATTGAAAACTTTACTCTATGATAGTCAACTTTATCTTTATAAAATCTCATTTACTCTATTAAAGTTTAACTCCAAAACGCAGCGTAAAACAAACATAAAGAATTGAAATGTAAGAGTAGATGAGTGAGTAGACGAGTTGAATAAAAGTTTTTATTTGTCAAAGATCATTGTGATGGCGATTAGAGCAAAGCCAGTCACAGCTCCAAGCCATTGCAGAAAATTTGCGCGTTTGTTTTCTTTCTCGGGACCCAATAACTAAATTTTTCGATTGTTGAGATTGTCAAATCAATTTTCAGACTTTCCTAGATATCTCACCTCAAAAAATGCAATATACAAGAATGTTCCAAGAGAGAGACAACTCAAAATCAGCATTGAGATGTCTTTTGCAGCATTGTCAACTTTCGAATCCTGAAATCTTGATTCTAAAAATGAGAGAACATTTCTTACCTGAACAATAATACCAATAGCACCTCCAAGTGGAGCAGTGATTGCAACAAGAGTTATTAGAGAAAACACAAGAATTACTCTTCCTTCATGAGCTCTCACCAATCTGATACCAATCGAGAAAAAGACAACACACTGAAATATTAACGATTATAGAAAAATAGCACTTTTTAATATCAAGTTTGATGATACTTGCGTATCTTTCCCAAAGATAAATGCTAATTTGCATTTGATAAATGCATTCCGTAGTTTCAAATTAGAATATGAGTGAGTTGAACACGTCTTTTTATGGATTGGGGCTGGTCGTTGCCGGGATTTGAACCAGCGACCTTTCGCTTACCAATGAGCTACACCGACATGTGTTTTACTGCTGCTACTGCTGCTGCCTTATGCCTTACTAGTGCATGGCAGTGGAAAGATATTCTATCAACAATTGTGTAAGAAAACGCTCACTTTATGCAACATGATTCCAACAAACAGAGAAGATATTGAGACTGTGTCTTTCTGAAAAAAAACGAAATTAACAACAAACAACAGCAATTAACAAATTCTTACTCACTTGTATCCCAAAAGCAAATCCCTCAAGAGCACAATGAAAGATGAAAGCTGAGACAAAAGTAAGCGATTTGGTGATTGATCCTTTTTGTTCAACAATGTCTGCCTGAATGGATAAATGGTTTCTTAAACAGAAAAATAGCTTGTCAATTTATACCGTAAATACCGTAATAGTACCCCACCGCCCCGTACAGTCACGTAGTCGCAAAAGTTTTTTAGTATTTCATTTTTTTCAAAGCGCCCGTACTTTCAAAAGTTGCGTCTTTGGTATCAAAAAATAGCCCTGAATTTCAGCGATTTTTTGATACCTAAGCGCTCATTGTAGCATAAACCAGTGTCGAGAAAAACTCGTCCAAAGCTAGACTACGCAGCACTCTGCACCGTCATTATGGGGGGTGGGATACTATTACAGTATTTACGGTAGGTTCATTCAAAACCTACGACTGAAGAGATTCTCGAGATGATTGTTGCTTTCCTTTGTCTCAAAATGTCTCCTTCAATGTCTCCATCGGAAGAGCTAAAAGTTTCATTCAATACTTCCGTCATCTTTCTATAGTATCGTATCTTCGTATCTAAAAAGTGCGCCAAAAGTTTTGCTACATTTATTGTATGACCAATATCTTCTACCGTTTTATATTTTAAATTACAATCATGCGTTTTTTTCTGTTTTTGTATTACTTTTAACAAATTAGAATTTTTTTATATATGTGGTCAGAGAACGAGTCGACATTGAACAGATCTGCATAAAAGGGGAAACAAATTTCTGAGATAATCACAAATCATTGATTATGATTATGGAAAATCGAAAGTGTTTAGAGCCGTATCTCCTGTACCAGATACACATCATTTAAACAGCTCAAAGTCACTTTGAGTCACACTTAGAGTGGGATTTTGGTGATCGAGTGCGCGAACATAGCTCGAAAACGTCTCAACAAGTAGATTGAAGCAAACAGAGAACATTTTGAGCATTTAATCTAATTCTTTTCTAACCTATATTGTTGTTAAATCTATTAAATTGGTTTTCTTGTTTGATTTTATGTAAATTTTGTTTGAGTTTGCGTGCGGTGGGATGCGTTCGGTAAGAAGCAAAACTTTCGGCGCGCCCTGTAACATTATCCGCATCTTCTCCCCGCCATTCACCTCAAAAATCTTCAAGTATCGTCTTTATTTACAAAAATCTACAAATACTACAAGCTTTATAATAATTCATTTCTATTTACTGTAATGATTAGGCACAGCTAGATGAACAGAAAACATCTAGCACTATGAAGTTTACTATTAGTTGAGGGATATTGCGACTAGAGTGTGTTCCTTGCAGACAACGCGTTTTCTAAAGCGCCAAGGATAAGCTACCGTAACCCTTTTTGCACACGCAAACTTTTTAAAATGCTAATCTACATTAAAATCTTGCGCTTTTTTTTCTATTACTCTTTCGCTAAAACTTAAAAATTTTTAAATGCTATGTAAAATTAAAGAAAACATTTAAAACGGGAAAAGTTAAGAAACACTATTAAACAATTATATTATTTACGAATTTACCAGGCCTATTGTCTACATTTGCAGTAGAACCATTCCAAAAAAAATCCCACGCCCTAAAAAACCTAAATCCTTAAATAAAACTATCCATTACTATATTTTTTTAGTAAGTTTGCAAATTTTTTTCGCGCGATCTTTATAGCTTTGCTTAAAAAGCGCACCTTTTAGAAAACGCGTTGTCGGAAGTCTTGTCGGATCAATTGTCTGACAAAAAAGTTGTCAATGAAAATTTGTCTGACAAATTGTCTGTCAACAAGGAGCACACTCTAATTGCGGCAGCAGCTGCGGGAAACTGCAAATTAGCATTTATCTTTTAGACTGATAGGGGAAAGATACGGAAATCCCTTTAATTAAGAAGAATTAAGCAAGAATTAAGCTCTGTGGCTTGTGTAAATCTGTAAAATCTTGCTTTTTTTTTACCTTGTTTCACTTTTACAATCCAGTCGCCGATTTGCATAGTTATGACAAAGAATTGTGAACTCCTAAAAGTGATTTTGAAGAAAAATATATCTACATTTCTATGTAATCGACTCTAATCGACTCTAATCGACTTAACCCCTATCTTTTAAAAATATTTTCGAAAATTTCCTCACTTCAAACATCCAAACAGCCATGAGACCGATTCCACAAAAGAGTGGCACAAAAGGGTAATCGGATGAGTAGGAAAGGGATTTCTGCACCGAATCCCATGAATCCCTGAAAATCTATTCATTTTTCTTTCTGAACTATCATTTTGTGAAAACATTTTCAACTCACAAAGCGTCCGGTAACACGTCAAGCAGACAAACACCCAGAAAAACTCCACCCGAAAAACAAGTGATCACAGAGATTATCAATTGACCTAGAGTTTCAGATATTTTCTTGAAAAAAAAAGAAATTAGTGAAACCTTTTTGTCGAAAAGCTCCTTTATGTGATGAGAGTTCGTTAAATTTTGAGTACAACTGAAGAAGAGATTTTAAAACTTTAAACTTTAAACTTTAAATTTGAAATAAATATGTGTTGTGTCCGATTTAGATTTCCATCCGATTTAGATTACAGTCTAAATCGGACGTCTTATATAGATTGAACAATAATATAAACATGTTTAATATATGTTCTTAAGCGTTTTCTGTAGCTTTCTGCATTTTCAAAGGTCTTTTATTGATTATTTCATAGTTGGGTTTTCATTTCAGAAAAGGACCTTTGAAAAATGCAGAAAACTACAGAAAACGCTTAAGAACATATATTAAGCATGTTTATATTATTGTTCAATCTACATAACACGTATTATTGTTCAATGTATATAAGATTTAGATTGAATCTAAATCGGATGTCCGATATAGACTGTAATCTAAATCGGACGTCCGCGATAAGTTCAATCTAAATCGGACATAACATATGCAACACTTACACAATTTAATCTTTAAAGAATTCAGAAAATAACCTTGATTGGTAGACATCCAAACATGATTGAGAAAATTGTCATTGCAATTAAGAGGATAATTTTCAGAATATCTGAACTCATCTTTTATCTAAATTTCTTATCTTTATGGTTATCTTTATTGATGGATAAGGTTTAGAAAGAATAAATAAAATGCAAGGAAATGTGAACGAGTGAATAGTGGATTCTTTTACCAAAGTACCCTAAAAAATAAAATGCTTGAGTTTTTAATAAAGAAGTGAAGGAATTGAGAAGATAAACTAGATTTTCGGATTTTCGGAGAGGGAATTGAACCCTCGACCTTTTCCTTTCCACTAAGCCTTTCCACTTTTGTTTTCCACAATTGCTCTAACCACGGAGCTATCCGGTAACTTAACTTGTCAAGATAAAAAAGGAAAACAAAGTACACTTAAAAACAAAATGGGTTTTTAACACATTGGCGAGCTTTGGACGTTAGTACAGCCTGGTGAGGCGTATCGTTGTGAATGTGTTAAACGTTGTGAATCTAAACAAAAGACTTCTAGACAAAGACAAAAATAAAAGCTCAAGACTTTTCAAGCGTTTAAATATCTCTCCAAATTGTTCAAGGTTCATCGCTTTTTTGTTAAAAACACGGATTACAAAATCTTTGAAATACTCACAGAATTTTTTAATAGACAAATAAAGAAAAGAATTCATTGTGCAAAAAAGGCCCTCATTTTGAATGCCTTTGAAAGGCCTTTTTTTCGTTTCTCTTTATTTGACAGGGCCTTATCAGTGAAGTGATTAGTGCTAAACAAGGGTCACTTGCTCGTTTTGACGCAATCTTCCTTGTCTTCTCTCACTTTTCCGAGATTCCTTTTTTCAAGGGGTTCTTCTAGTCTGGTTTAAACTTACTTTTCCAAAAGATTTTACTTTCAAAGCAAATAACTTTGTTAAAGCCAGAGTTAAAACCAACTCTAAGCAAGCCAATGAGGCTGATTCCACAGCCGTGTCGCCTGATTTTTATGGGAATGAAGTTTTAGCTTTATTGGTCAAAACACGACCGAAAAAATGCCCGTACAGACAGACAGCTAAAGCTCAAATCTAATCAAGTTCTATTTGATGTCATTAGAGCTCTCTAATCTAATCAAGCTCTATTTAAAGCCTAAAATCTTCTCTCTACAGTAAAGTTTACAAAAATATTATCTCTGGATAAAGTTATAGACATTCAAAGCTCAACGATTCATTCAAAATACTTGGAAACCAGACAACAGCCAATAAAGATCACTTCTTACCACAAAGGACTCTATTGATCACTTCTTACCACCTCTATTGAGAGCTCTCTGATCTAATCAAGCTCTATTTAAAGCCTAAAATGTTCTCTGTACAGTAAAGTTTACAAAAATATTATCTCTGGATAAAGTTATAGGCATTCAAAGCTCAACGATTTATTCAAAATACTTGGAAACCAGACAACAGCCAATAAAGATCACTTCCTACCACAAAGAACTCTAATTCGTTTTATTAATAGAAGAGATTTGTTGACTTTTATTTGTTGAAACACTTTGTTAATCAAAAATAAATATTTATTAATGACAAAGAGACTTTTCCTATTGAATGAGATTTATCTTCCTCCTTGTTGTTGAGAGAGAGTTGCAAAGACTCCTTGAAGCTCTTTTTGAACGGGTGCAGGAGCTGATTTCTGAAAATTCTTCGAATAATCAAAGGTCCAACATTTGTGATAGAAAATAACCCAAATTTCTTGCTGCAAACCTGAAGAGTTTCGATTTGTTGGGCTTTCTGAGCTCTGGGGATACTCTTGTTGTCGGCCAACTGAAATTCGAAAATCAATACGAGAAATCAATATTTAATTTATTGTACTGTAGCTTTTATCAACTAAAATTCGTTCTTACCGCTTGCATTTGTTTATCGAAAGCTTGAGCTGCTGCAGAAAGACGAGCAACAGCGGCGGCTTGTTGAGCACGGCCTTGTTGAGCATATTGTTTCCCTTGAGCATCCAAATCGAAGAAAACTTTCTGTAAACAAGAATGTAAACGAAGAAACGAAAATATAAGCTTTTTTTCTCAATATGACTTTCAATAAGTTCAATTCAATAAGTACCTTTTGTCCAGCTGGAAGAGTGTTTGCCCAGGCGAGAGTTTGCGCCTCAGCTTGTGCATCGGTGAGCGCTCCATTGTTTTGAATTGCGATGAATTGCTGCTTCAACGCGGCTGAGATCTAGAAATTATTGGAAAAATAAATGATTAAAAAGAAATGATTAGAAAGAAATGATTAAAAAGAAATGATTAAAAAAATCAATTTGTTAGAGAGAAAACGTTATTTGCAAAAACTCGATACAGCCACTTTTTATCAAATTTGTTTTTCAAATTCAATCAAATTTTACCCCTTGAAGAAATGGCGGCTCTTGTCCTTGTCCTTGCGCCAAAGCACATCCCAAAACGGCCAAAACAGCGAGAATCTAGAAATTAGAAGTGTAAAGAGTCGATTTAAATCAAAATCGATCTATTCTTACAATAAAAACAAATCTAAAATACTTTAAAATTCAAACCTTAATCATTTTTCAAGAAGAATAAAGAGATCAGTCTGCCAGATCGCCTCGAAAATCGCGTTTATATCGAAAAATTGTTGACAAGACTCCGCCCAAAAACCTTTCAATAGGTTTTTTTTTCTTTTCTCAGTTTTTTTGGTGTTGTGTTGATTTGTTAGGTGAATGGATTTTTGTGTTGGGAGAAATTGAGGAAGAGTCGGCCGAATTTCGCCCGCTAGGGAATAAGATAGAAAAGGAAAGAAAAGGAAAAAAGATAGAAATAATCATTTTCTCGCCGAGCAAAACAGCTCACTCGTCAAGGACATTTCAGAGACCGAGATTTTGTTCGTCAAAAAGAGAATTTTTTTACCGGAAAGAATAGGAAAATCGGCTAGCTTTGGGTAAAACTTTTCACATAACAATAGCGTTTTATCCTTGACACTTTCACACAAGCGCTTTTTCATTTTTAAATTCTCAAGACATAAGTTGAAGATAAAATTAAATGTAATTAAATGTAATTAAAGTAATTAATGTAATTAAAGTAATAATAAAGCTCAATCACAATTGTCTGGCTCATATTTGGTTATTTTTGTCTGGTTATCTGGTTACAAGATGACCCAAAAGTTCTGGCGCAACTTTTTGTTAAAGCAGCTAGCAAATGTCTAACTTATTTCAAAAGTGCTAAGTGTTAAATAGAGCTTTGAAGCCCGGAATCTTGGCTACATTTATATATCAAAAGCTTTCGAATTGCATTCACACAACTCATGTGAAAAGTTTTTGGAGTGAGTTAAGCGCTTTTTCATTTTTTCAGTGAGTTAAGCGCTTAAGGCTTTTTCAGCGTTAAAATTTTTGCGCACCACACTAGAATGCACTAAACTATCGTATTCCCCATGCAAATTTATGCCCAATAAAACTAAAAAAAAGCTAATTCCAACCTCTTATTATTGTTGCCTGTTGATTTCATTGTTGTTTCAATAAATTTTCGTTTTGACATTGGCAAGTCCTCCATCGGCCTGTAAAAATCCTTCTAACAAAGCGATCTGTTCGAAAAAATGTCTAAAATAAACTTAACTTTGGTTCCAGATGCCGATTTGATAAAAAAAACGTGGGTGGGACAAATGCGAGCTTTTTTTGCACACCTGGACATTTGCGCACCTTTTTTCGCTGGAAAAGGCCTTAGGCAAGGTCGTAGAGCTTCAAAAATGTTTTCATTTCAGGGAATCGTATGCGTAGATTCCGAATTTCGACAAATCAGACCTCGCTGACACGTCAAATTTGGACTAAAAGGCAAAAACTGCGGAAAAGCGTTAAGTTGCGTAGTTTTTGCCTTTTAGCCCAAATTTGACGTGTCAACGAGGTCTGATTTGTCGAAATTCGGAATCTACGCATACGATTCCCTGAAATGAAAACATTTTTGAAGCTCTACGGCCTTTCTTAAGGCCTTTTCCAGCGAAAAAAAGATGCGCAAATGTCCAGGTGTGCAAAAAAAGGTAGCATTTGTTCCACCCTTCTAACCTGTCGAGGTGATAAAAAAAACATGAAAATAATGGTGATAAATAAAAAACAAAGAAGTCGGCTAATTGCCAAAAAGGGAGTGGGACAAATGCGACCTTTTTTTCCGCACTTAGCCCATTAGCGCACCTTTTTTCGCGTTTTAAAAAAGCTCTAAAAGCTAATATTAACCACAATTTCTATTCCAAAAGTTGTTTTTCTAGGTAATTTTAGGGCGTAGAATCGAAATTTTGGCATATCAGAGCTTGTGGAACCAATTTGAAAGACAAAACGGCTAGATCAAATTACAGAAAATTGTCGATTTTTCTCTTTGTATAACTCCGTCCGTTCGCATCCAGAATTTCAAAGCCTCTTGAAAATTGTGGAAAGTCCTAGAAGAAAACGTAGTGATCCTTATCAAATTTCGATGAGTTCCCATCCCCATCATCTTTCCCTTTACTATTCTTTTGCGAACCGTATTAGTAGGGTTTGGAATAAGCTTCCGTCTGGTATTTTCTCGTCTGTAGGAAAATTCAAAGTATCTGTAAACGAATTAGATCATATAGCCATGTCAAATCTGCCCTATATTTAAAGCTTTTCGTTCCTGTGTTTCCTTTTTGTAGTTTTACTGTACTATTTTGAGTTTTCTTTATTTTTTGTGAAAATATCGTGGCAATATGTTATTTGCGTCTATGATTATCTGATTCGCTTTTATTTGCTCCCTGAATAGAGCATATATATATATATATATGTCGTAGCCGATGAAGGATTTCAGCCGAAGAAGTCTCAAAAATAAAATCTTGAGTTATGTATTGACTCAAGTCAATACCACAAACTCAAGCTCTCCAAAAAGCGCTTAAAAGCTAAAAACGCATTCTAGTTGCAGTTGCATTTTGCATTTTTCGACCAAACTAAACAACAAAAATAAACAATAATACCACCGGTTCACGAGTTCTTTGACCTAAAAGCAAACAAAATAAAGCGTCATAAAGAAATTCGATAGGACACAAAAGTAAAAGCTTACCAATCTGTTGGCGAACTCCTTTCCGTTGCCGGACTAAAGAATTTTTGGGGCTCCAAACGTTCCGAATATTTCCATTAGATGATCGACAACTTCAAATTGTGGTTTCCTTTACAATGCCCGCAAAACGACGAACTTTGTGAAATGATCCTGGTAGACCATCAAAAACTTGAATTCTCCATCGGAAACGGATTGAAGATCGATTAAATCCGTGCCTTTGACGAATGACGAAAAGGGCCCTTTTATAGCCTTTGGTTATGATAAAATGCGCACTCTTTAGAATGCGTTTTTAGCTTTTAAGCGTCTTTTAGAGAGCTTGAGTTTGTGGTATTGACTTGAGTCAATACATAACTCAAGCTTTCATTTTTGAGACTTCTTCGGCTAGCCGAAGAAGGTTTCACTAGCGAAAAAATTTGAGACTTAATCGGCTAGCCGAAGAAGTCTGAGACTTCTTCGGCTGAAATCCTTTATCGGCTACGACATATATAATTTATTCGTTAAAGGTTGGAATTAATTTTTTTAGTTTCATTGGGTATGATTAGTTTGGCATAAATTTGCCTGGGGATATGGTAGTTTAGTGCATTTTAGTGTGGTGCGCAAAAATTTTAACGCTGAAAAAGCCTTAAAGTGTGAGTACTCTTTCCAACACGCTGCCGCTTTTTTTACGATTTTCTTTAAAAAAGCTATTTTGTTCTTTATTTCATTAAAAGGCACTTTGTGGGTTGGAGGGCACCTATATTTTTCATTTTTTCACTTTTCTAGGGGTAATCGAGGGCGCTGAGCACGAATTTGACAGTTTTAGCATAGGGTTTCAACTAAAAACCCCCACTTCTACACGTTGAGAATTGCACTTTTTTTTGCACTTTAAATGCAACTTTAAATTTGTGTACTCAAGCTATCGACTATTGGGGCACTTCTCAAGGTCAAAACTAGAGCCAAGACCATTTTTACCACTAACAAGACCACTAAATATTCATTTTCTGACCTAAATTGCTGCTCTAGCTCTATAAAATCATTGAACTTCATTTTTTAAACAAAAATAATGCAAAATTGTTTTGGGATAGAATTTGAACACCTTCGACATATTTCGACAACATTATTTTGAGCGTACAATCGCGTAGTCGTCACTGTTTTACGGATAACTTGGTGAAACATTCAAAGATAAACCAAACTATTATAGTCATTCGATAGTCCTGAATCTCCTCTTGAAAACTGGTATAAAGTTACCGAGAACTTTCTTGCGAAATAAGTAATAAAAGTCTTTAAAAACTTGATTTGACACGAAAATCATCGTTATTAGTACCGCCTGGTCGATGGGTCGTACGAATATGTTAAAAAAGCTAATGTGTTAGTAGTGTATTTTTTTAATCTCTCAAAACAAAGCCTTTCCGCTATCACTTGGTGGTTAGCCGCGAAAGGGGGTCAAGGATTTGGATAAAAAACGCGATAAAACTGCAATTTGTCTTTGATTTCATTTTAAATCGTGATTTATTGAGCTTACAAATACTGATTACTACACAAGAAATGACCAATAATCGGCCAACATCTTTTCGTTATCTTTTCGAAAAAATTGAGCTCTAGTCTGATCGACGTTAACGATCAACAAGAAAATGATCTTCGGGAAGTTTATTGAGCGAATTGACAAAATTTTCTATAAGATGATTTGACGAAAAGGCGAAAAAAAAGCGATAAAGATTTCAATTGAACAAACAACTTGAGAGAAATACAGAGAAATACAGAGAAATTGTCCTTTTCTCACTTCAAAGACTGTGACGTTGATTTGGAGAACTCGCTTCGTGATCGCCGAACAACTAGACGAGCTTTGAAGAGGGAATGATAACATTTCGATTCATTTTGGGATTCATTTTGGGGTTCATTTTAAAGGATTCATTTTGATCGTAAAGAAAAAACGACGTTCACTCAAAAATCCTTGATCCAAACGGGATTGAATTTCAAGGCGATTTTGCATTATTTCATTGCTCAACGAATCTCAATCTTTCAATAAAGAAGCAGAGCAAAGAATCTATCACATTTCACAATCATGATTCGTCACACTCACAAAATCAAAATCTCTAGCATGATTCACTCTATACAGAATCATGCTAGAGATTCTCAGCACTTACCGTTTCTAAAATCTTAGCTTTTTGTTCAATCTTCTCATTTTATTATCACACAATCGATCTAATAAAGGGATCTTGAGATCCAGTATTGAAATATAGTTGATTAAGTGGCGAACACACAAAATAATCTACCACATTATACACAATTTGATTGGATAATCCAGCCTAGGAAAATCAAAGCCAACTTTGAGCAACCGAGGTCAATCCAACTCGGGTGCTGGGTCGCTTGGTTTGTATCGAAATCAAAAAATCGAATCAAGCTCTATTTAATGTTATTTGAAAGCTTGAATTCTCTTCTATACATTGATATCAAAAGCTATGAATAATATTATCTCTGGATAAAGTTATAGGCTTTCAAAGCGTCACGACTCACTCAAAATTCCCGGAAAGCCGAAAAGAGTCGATCTTGCTTACGTATTCTCTATTACATCCTTCCAAGGGATCTTTTGGAAGGGTTGCTCTCGAAATTTCCGAATCAAATGCATCGTGAATTTTCAAATGGCAAAAATCAAAGTTATAGGCCTTCAAAGCGTGACGAGTCACTCAAAATACCCGAAAAGCCGAGCTCAAACATCTTACTATTAGCTTTCCTTTTTTAGATTGCTCAAATTCTTATGCAAGGTCAATACAATGACATTCATGTTTTACTACCATAAAATCCCTCAAAGAAAAGAGGTTGAATTTCTTGAAATAAAACTGAATGGGTTGTGCGGTTCAGGGAAAATGGGTACTATCCTGCGGGAGGTTTTCCTTTCCCATAAAAAGATGTTCCCTCAAATTTGTGTGCGGTCCGTTCGAAGTCTCACCTCTTCAAGGACATTCAAAATACACAATTTTCCCTTTAGTTTTCAGTACATCAATTTTCGAGTAAGCTTTTATTTTGGTCACATAAATGTTTACAAATTCATTAAAAAACAAATTCACTTTTGAAAGGTTTACTTTAAAGCTGAAGTTAGAGTTTTTTTTGGAACTGTTTTCAGTGTTTCTATGCTAGCCAATAACTTTACTCTCCTAATCTCGGTACGCTTGATGTCATGGCAAATTTGGATTTTAAAAAGCCACTAATCAAATGCTCAATTTCGTTGGTACAGTGCAGAGAAAAGGATTGTTGAAATTGTATAACTGCTTTCTCTCTTTTTTTTCAATTTATTTCTTCTTCCAATATGTAAAATGACGAGGAAAATAGTTAAAGTATCCCAAATCTATTTTTGATTATTTAAAATAGGAACCGTATTGGAACCGTATTCGATCAAAATAGGAACCGTATTGGAACCGTATTGGAACCGTATTAGATCAAAATAGGAACCGTGTTGGAACCGTGTTGGAACCGTATTGGATCCGTATTAGATCCGTATTGGAACCGTATTAGATCAAAATAGGAACCGTATTGGAACCGTATTGGATCCGTATTAGATCCGTATTGGAACCGTATTGGAACCGTATTGGAGCCGTATTGGAACCGTATTGGAACCGTATTAGATCAAAATAGGAACCGTGTTGGAACCGTATTTCTCAAAATACAAATGTTCTAGCTTAATGTAAATTGGTGTGGAAAATAATTAAAAATGAAATCTCTTTAAAATCTTTCGCTCTTTTTTATCAATTCAATTCGTGTCTTTTTGTTTTATACTTTTGAATACTCAACAAATGAGTCAAGTTGACAATTTCATTTCTTTTTTGTCAACTTTATTTCTTTTCTTTTTTTATACGTTCCACCAATTTCTATCTTCCTTAAACTTGAAACACATAAACGAAAGCAATAAATGAGATGAGAGGGAATTGTTGATCAAAACGTTGATCATCGTTAATTGAAAGAAAGGAAAAAGAAGAGAAGGGGGGAACACAAAATAACTCCTTAAAGTATCTGTATGTTAGTGCAGAGGGAAAGAAAGAAGAAAAGGAAGAGGAAGAGAAAGAGGAAAGGAAGAGGAAAGGAAGAGGAAGAGAAAGAGGTTCGGTCTCGGTTCTTCGTCCATTCCATTTTTTTTTGCCTAAAGACTTTCCTCTTCTTCTTTTGTTCTTGTTCTTTTTGCCCTCAAAGTTTTTCCTCACTTTTTCCCCTTTACAACTCAAATCCTTTTCACCTTTCACCTCCACTTTTTTGAATTCGCAAAAGGAAAACGATTTTCACTCAAAACACAAAAGAGATATAACTGTTAATCCCCGATCTTTATATTTAAAAGGCGTTTCTCAAAAGTTTTTACTTTCTTTCTTAACCATTTCATTCACTAAATATCTAGATCTATAGCATATCTTTGTCATTTCTCATTTTCAGCTATTGTTTAACTTTCTAAAGATGTAAAACACCTTTCAATAGAGAAATTTCGGCTCTTTGATAGTTTAAAGAAGAGTTTAGGTGACTTTTGAATGGACTTCAAGTGACTTCAAGCTCTAAACGTCTATAACTTGCTACATAGAGAATCTATTCGTTTATTTTTAATATATTTTAAAAGAATACATTTCAGGCTTTCAAATGAGACCAAATAGAGTCAATTTGAATCGATCAGTCTCAAAAATCAACAACGATTTGTAGCGATTCGATTTTCTTGAGATTGATCTATCAAATTTAGCTTTATTTGGTCTCATTTGAAAGGCTGAAATGTGTTCTTTTAAAATATACCAAAAGTAAACAAATATATTGTCTCTACGGTAAGTTATAGACATTTAGAACTTGGCTACCAATTCAAAAGTCTCTTAAACTCCCCAAAAGTCCTTTAAACCACCGAAGAATCGAGATTTCTTTTAGCTTTTATTGCTCCAGCTTCATCATACGGAGATCATAGTCTATTTTGTCAAAAATCAATTTCACAGCTGTACTATGGATTAGTCATTCCAAAATACATTCCCGATAATCGAGGTTTCTGATCTATACATCTGAACCAATTTCAAAATAATCGAGAAAGCAAAATTTGTTTACTAGAAAGCTTACAAAAGAGGATTTCGATAGAAAAAGAAAATTTTAGAGAACAGCAGGACAGCTGCGTTGAGTGAAAAGAAATGGAAAGGAGAGGGGAAAGGGCAAGGCAAGGGGTGATCCCATGTGTGTGAAATCGGAGAGAATGAATGGCCATCTTTCTCTGTCTTTCTTTTGGTCACTTTAAGACATTAGCACGGCGAAAGTTTGGCTCAATTTCCCTTTCCTTTGCGCTTTTTGATGAACTCTGTTTTCGATTCGTTTTCTTTTCACAAACATAACGAACTTCCCCCCACCAAACGCTCGTATTCTAATTTTCTCCCGCATTAACCTCGAAAATCTATAAGTAGCTTTATAGCAGCTTTATCAGCTTTATTATCGGTTTATTTATTGTATCGACTTTAAATAATTCACGTTGAGGCTTCTGGCTTTTGAGAGAAAGCTCAAAGCTCGCCTCAACTCGATAAAAACGCCTTTTTAATGTAAAATTTTCAATTGTTGTTTTAAAGAAAATGACTGGACGAATCGTTTCCAAATTTTACAGACATATGCAATCAAATGAGCTTTATCTTTTTTACTTTGGCATAAAAATAGGCAATGACTAGGGCCAGGAGAACGGCCAAATCCGACCGTGAAATCGGACATTCATGGGAAAAAGGTCATGCTCTCAGTATGGTGGAATAACAAGGGCCCTGTGTATTTCGAGCTTCTACAACCCGGCCAAACAGTCACATCAGAACGGCGATGAGATACGGGAAATGGCTTCCTCACGAGTTAAGCAGTGCAAACGCTCGTTTATATCCGAACAACCTAATAGTTCGCATTTTTAAAATCATTAACACTGTCTTTTTATCGTTTATTGTAGAAATTTACTTTATAATGCTTTTTTGCATACAATTTTAGGCACTTTAGTGGTTGGAAGGGGTCACTTTTATCCTGGCTTAGTTGGGTCAACCTTTTTGAGTGGTTGGCTACTATTACAGCTTTTACGGGACATTTTTTACAACTAGAAACTTGCTCTTCTTCAATCAATCCAATACAATATCTATTTCTAATTATTTCCTTCAAGAACTTTTGCTTTTCATCTTTTGTAGCCGATTTCTCGTCGAGTTCCCATGAGTTTTCATTTGTCTATGCAAATTTTACCCCACTCTGGGCATTTTTAATGGAACTTTTTTATTTCAGATATTAGATTGGCGACAATTCAAACGCCTTCATCCTTTCTGTTTATTTGATCGATTTTTTTACTGATTCTGAATATTTAAAGTGATAAAAGTGATAAAACGAATCTATAAAGAATAACTGAAGTGAATATTTCTGTTCGAAGAGATGCGATGTGTATTGGTGAGAGAATATTCTTTCTCCTCACAACTTTATTCCTTTCACTCTATTTCTTTATCTCGAATGCACCAAATTCACGAGAAAAACTCGATGTAACCACATGGGAGACAATATCGCCAAAATATGCTAGAGGTATGGGGAAATGTGGCTGTAAATGAATGGCTTTTAGATTTGTCTTTAGATTTGCCAAATCTTTCCACAAACTCTCCAAAAGATCTCTTTGATAAATGCGATTTGAAAATTCACAATGCATTTGATTCGGAAATTTCGAGAGCAACCCTTCCAAAAGATCCCTTGGAAGGATGTAATAGAGAATACGTAAGCAAGATCGACTCTTTTCGGCTTTCCGGGAATTTTGAGTGAGTCGTCACGCTTTGAAGGCCTATAACTTTATCCAGAGATAATATTATTCATAACTTTTGATATCAATGTATAGAAGAGAATTCAGGCTTTCAAATAACATTAAATAGAGCTTGATTGTATTTTTTGATTTCGATACAAACCAAGCGACACAGCACCCGTGTTGGATTGGTCTCGGTTGCTCAAAGTTGGCTTTAGATTTCCCTAGGCTGGGTTATCCAATCAAACTGTATTTGGTATCATTTGAAAGCCTGAAGTCTCTTCTATAAAATGATATAAAAAGTTATGAATAATATTATCTCTGGACAAAGTTATAGACCTTTAAAGCGTGGTGACACATTCAAAATAATCGGAAATCCGATCTAATCTTTTTTAAAGTATTCTTTCAGACACCATCAACGATTTTCGAAAATGGAGAAATCTCAATATCACCAAATTGGTTGAAAAAAGTCCGAAAATGTCAAGCAAGGTTAAAAATTGAGATTTACAACTGGGAAAAGCTGAAATTCAGATGTCATTTCTACAAATCGGTTACTGAATTCACAGCTGGCGAATGGGTAGAGTTGTGGCCGAATGAGTGGAAACAAATGGAGTGCGATTTCGTCTTCGCACAATGTATCGGACATACGGGGAAAATCGTCGACAAGCACATGCACACGCAAATTTTTGAGACGGATTTCAGGTAAGGATTGAAGAGAACATTATTTCAACGTATTTCAACGTATTTCAACGTATTTCAACGTTTTTCAACATTTCATTGCACTCTCAGAACCGTCACCGCTTCACCCAGCCATCACCATTCAAGCTCCCCAAATTTTCGTCCCGATGTTCACATTTTTCTCATCGACTCTGTTGCGAGCACTCAGGCTCAAAGGTATAAAACTTTTCAGAGCTTTTCAAAGCTTTCCAGAGCTTTTCAGAGCTTTTCTAATCAAAAATTTCTTTCAGATCTCTTCCAAAAACATTAAGATTTTTGCAAGATCAAATGAACGCAGTTCTTTTTCATCATTTAAATAAAGTTGGCGATAATAGTCGACCAAATGGATACGCTTTATTATTAGGTAAAGCCCTATCAAGTACCATTCAGCTTTTAATATAAAAAAACTCAGGCAAAAGAACAGTAGCCGATGCACGAGAAATTTTCGGTGCTTCGGATTTGAAGCCGGAGATGAAATTCAGTGATACTTGCTTTAAATATCGAGATGATGATCCGGTGATCTTCAAAGAATACGAAAAAGCTGGTCTGTTTGATTTTAGAAACACTTTTAACACCCTTATGTCAGCTTGTCATTTATCTATGTTTTTGTCAAGTTTTTGTCAAAATTTCTACCCGGATTTTCTGAATAGGGAACTGTTTGATCTCGGCTTCTCGGCGAGTTCGGAAATGAGATCAACCTCAAAAACGCTCTCTCAAAACTTTAAGAGACATGTGTTTTTCAATTTTTACTGATCCAATACAAAATTTTCGATGAAAACGCTTTTGAAGTTTAAAAAAACGAAAAACGACGCCGCCGCGGTAAAGGGCTGAAATAGTTGGCAAAGTCAACCTAGCTGGGTGGTGTAGCGGATAGCGTGGTCGAGTCTCGACCCGTTTGATCCTGGTTCGATTCCACTCACTGTCAATTTTCTTCTATTTTATCTTTCTATTTTGTTAGATTACAAAAATCAATTTTTAAGTTTTCTAAAGTGTTTATACCCTTAGGAAGCTACAGGGGCTTAAAAATGCTACAAGGAAGCTACAAAAATGCTTAAAAGCTTAAAAATGACTCAAAATGGTGTTTTTCGTTTTTAATTTCGAAGCGAGTACAGCTATCACAAAACTCTCCAAAAACTTGAGTAATTAGGTCATTAAAACGGATGATATATCCAAAAATAGACAAAACTTTTTGCAAATCCAATAACGGATTCGAATTCCTCACTCTCGAAAGCCCCTAGTTGCAAATTTTCAGTCCAATCGGCTCGTAAAAACGCTAAATCTCGCGTTTGGTGACGGTAATCCACATTTTAAACATTGAATCCACATTAAAGCAACATTCACACGAATAATGTGGTACAAACAGTACATAAGCACAAGTGCTAAACCCTAATTGTAGAAAAAAAACAATATATACAAGAAAAAGAACTAAAAATGCAAACGGCGGGATTGGGTCATTAAACTGGATGATATATCCTCGACCTCCCGACTAGCCTTCCGACCAATATACAGGCCTCTTAGCCAGTCGGCCATGAAGGAATGCATTCGTCCACTTTCAATTTTAGGCTATAAAACACTGAACAATGAGGAATATGAGACAGGCGATGTGTGGACATGGCCGAAATGTTTTGGATTCCAACGACAACCGACCACTCACAATTTTCGGTCAATCATTCACAATCGATCTTGCTCTTTTCAATTTCTAGATTTCTTTCCTGGTTTCTGTCAATTACTGTCCATTCCCAGCCATTACTGTCACATTTAGTCCATTCCCAGCTTCTCTTCATGCGGATGATTTTCTGAAAAAAGTGATGTCACGACGGAATTGCATTGAAGCCCACCATCCGCAATTCAAATATCATTCACAATTTTTGAGAGCTTATCAAGGTTTCTATCAAATTTCGACAATACATGACAATACCTTTTTTTCAGGTCAGCCAAAATTTGGTCTTACCTGGTTGGGTTCGTTGTCGCATGATGATGCCGATCAATTATTTCATGCTGATACTTATTTTGAGGTTTCTATTCAAGAATCTTTATCTTATCTTTTCAAGCCATTCAAATTTCTACATTTAACAACCATTTTTAGAGAAAAATTCTTGGTTTTCAGTTACCAAAAGTCGAGTTTACTTTAAATTTTTGTTTTTTTTTTGTGCTTAGGATATTGATAGCTAGAAAATTTTCAACTTAACGGCTTAATGTTTTGTACCTAATGTTTTAATAAATAGAAAAAAAGATAGAGCATAAAAAGTTAAACATATAGCCAAAAGTAATCTATTTAGTCGATCACTTTATAGAATTTTAAATTTATCTATTGGTGAATTGGTTGGGGAGGATGAAAGAAGCTGCCTAACCAAAGCTGTCTATCGCAAAGGTGTCTAACGCAAAGGTGTCTAACGCAAAGGTGTCTAAGGCAAAGCTGTCTAACGCAAAGCTGTCTAACGCAAAGCTGTCTAACGCAAAGCTGTCTAACGCAAAGCTGTCTAACGCAAAGCTGTCTATCCACTAACCTAATTTCATATCAAAATAGTTGCGACCTCAGAGAGCTTCGAATGACTGTCAAAAAATATTGAATAAAGCTCTAAGATAGTCTAAGATAGAGTAGATTCAAAATATTCGATAATATTAGATTTAAAAGTAGTTTTTGTTTTGTTTTGTTTGTTTACTGATTCAAAGAGAGTTATGCGGTGAGTTTTAAGTAGACTTCGGAAAACAAAACTTAACCAAAACCAAAACTAACCAAAAATCGCCAATATCTCGCGATTGGGAGGAGCTAGCGAAAATTTGTTTGCAGATTTGAAATCAGCGTCCAAAAATCTACCCCATAGGCTATTTTTTGTTTCGAAATTTCGAGGTCGTGTTTTGGTCCTTTTTTCGGCCGCGAGATTTTGGGGAGTGTGAAAGTGAAAGTGAAAGGCAAATTTGCATTTTAAAATTTTAAATTTACATGTTAATTTATATGCAAATTGATTTTTGGTTTGTTTTGGTGTTTTGGTTTTGGTTTTGGTTTTGGTCTGTTTTGGTTTTGGTTTTGTTTGCCGAACTCTAGTTTTAAGGACGATTTATTTCTTTTCACCCTGTACATTTAGAAGTTTTTTCGAGAAAACGAGGAACTCCTTCGTAATTCTTTTGTTTTCTTTATGGGCGATCATGGGATACGATTTGGAAATGTGAGCAAATTTCTTATATTATTCAAATATTCAAATAAACCAACACTTTTCAGACATTGAATACGCGTTTGGGGCAACGAGAATTGAGTAATCCATTTCTTTTGATGACCATTCCAGAAAGATTGAGACAAAATCAACAAGTTAGTGAAAATTAAAGGAAAACTTATTGGGTTGATGGAAAAGTCCTTTCGGATTTTTTGGGAGAGTACCTTAAATTTGTCCAATTTTGAGGTTTTATAGCTCATCCTAAAGCTGAATTCAAGACGGATCGATTGGTGAAAACCGTTTTGAGATATCTCTTTTCTAAAAGTTTTTACAGCTATTTTAGTAAAGGGCGGCAGAGCCAAAAATGGCTGTTTTCACGTTTCGTTAGTTTTCCGTGCAGAAACCTAGGCTAAAAACATGTGTTTCGTGGTCGGCGTCAAAAATAACCCCTAGACACGCATTTTCAGAATCTTAACAAAAAGCAAAAAATTTTTGAAAAATATTGTCACCGGTGGAAGTCGAACCCTAAAAGTCGAGCCATTTAAATGGTCTATAACTCAAGATCTAAAAGTCGAATCAACTCAGGGTTACTTTTATTAGAATCTACATGAAATATGATTAAAGAAATATAGAATTTTTTTTATAGACTTACCAATAAAAACATAGAGAAAATTAGGGTCAAAGTCATGATACCCCAATAAATCTATTGAGGTATAACAACTCTTCTCGTTTCCCCCATATCTCAACTCCCAGTTGACCGATCAACTTGTGGTTAGTCTTAAAATGTTCCTTATGAAATTTGGTTATAGAAATCCACAATGTATTTACTACACACTAATGTAAAAACATAGAGAAAATTCCGGTCAAAGTTCGACTACCTACCATCCACTTAAATGGTCTATAACTTAAAATGTAAAAGCTGAATCAATTCACGGTTACTTTTGTTAGAATCTACATGAAATTTGATGGAAGAAATCTACAATTCGTTTTGTAGACTTACCGATAAAAACCATGAAGAAAATTAGGGGCAAAGTCGAGAAGTGTCTACCCCCCCTAGAGATTTGTCTAGGGGGGTAGAGAGTCGGAGTTTGACGACTCTTCTCTTTTCCTCCATATCTCAACTTCCAGTTGACCGATTAACTTATGGTTAGTCTTAAACCCTAAAATCCCTAAAATCGTAAGTCGAACCCTGTACCCTAAAATTTACCTTCTAAAACGCTATAAAATGCTATAAAACGTCAAAATTGGACAAATTTAAGGACAAATTTAATTTACTCTCCCAAAAAATCGGAAAGGACTTTTCCATCAACCCAATAGAAAAAGAGTTACTTGCGCATGTTTCCGATCAACTAAAAGAAGATGAATGTAAAAAGGATTCAAAAAAAGATGAATGTAAAGAGAAATTTCCCCCGGTATTTCTTTAGTTTGGTAAAGATAAGGGAAAAAACGTTTCAAAACGACTTTATTACGTTTATTTTCATTTTCATTTTTAGCTTTTAACTCTATTCAAAAAGCATATAAAAATTGGATAAAATATGTTAGAAATTCAATAAATTAAGATGTCAAAGATCGATTTGCATATTGCGAAAGTAATTAAAGAGAGATCTAAAGCTCGAAAGAGACGTAAAAATTTAAAAAGATCTAAAGGAGATCTTCTAAAAATGCTCAGACATCGAATTTTAGCTACTTTCGAATCTCAACGCGAATTCTCATCAATTACTCACACATTTTGATCTCCACGCTACTTTTGTCGATATACTAAAGGTCGAATCATCTAATTCCTTTGAGAAATTTTAGATTTTAGAATGCATTTCACTCGAATTTTTCTTCTTTCGATTTCGAAGCTGTTCTTCACCCAAATAACAACAATGCCACTTCAATTTTGAGGCCCCTTGGACCTTATGGAGACAGGTTGTTGGTTAAAGGAGACGAATTGAAACTGATGCTAATGAAACTGATGCAAAACCAGATTTGTGACTCTCTGCAAAAGCTTTAACTCTGTTAAACTGATGCCCATCAAAGCCAGATTTGTGACTCTCTGTAAAAGCTTTAACTTCCTTAAACTGATGCTCAGCAAAACCAGATTTTGTGACTCTCTGTCAAAACTTTAACTCTGTTAAACTGATGCTCGTCAAAGCCAGATTTTATGACTCTCTGTAAAAGCTTTAACTTCCTTAAACTGATGCTCATCGAAATCAGATTTGTGACTCTCTGTAAAAGCTTTAACTCTGTTAAACCGATGCTCATCGAAACCAGATTTGTGACTCTCTGCAAAAACTTTAACTCCTTTAAACTTTTTCCTTGTTCGTCTACCACTTCCGTCTACTATTTCCTATATTTTGTATATTTGACTAGATTCGGTTTATTGTTAGCAAAGATTTCCGTTTCCCGGTCATAAAAAGAAATATAATAAGGCTTTAAATCAATCTAGGTGGCTCATCTAGGTGGCTTGGGTGCGTCAATAACTCTACTAATCACTGCTACAATTAATACAGAATGAATTTTCAACTAAATTCCTCCTTTTCAAACTACAAACTACAGTACTTTGACGTAAAAAAAGACACAAAATATCCCTTTACGGATTCCAAAAGGAAAAAGAATTATTTAATCTTTCAGAACCTGCAAAAACATACCCGTTCCATCAGCGTATTGCCTTTGTGAGTATGAAAAAAGAAATTTGAAGTAAGAAGTCAAGGAAAAATTCAAGAAAAGAATGAAAAAGTTTTAGAGATCTTGAAAACTACAAGGATTTGGGCATCGCTGGAGCTGGTTTTATCAATAAATTGCTTATTAAAGAGAAAATTGAGGAACTTTGCGAGAAAGTCGTTCTCAAGAAAGTAAGAGAAAAGGCTTTAAGGAAAAGGAAAAGGCTTTGTTAATAAAGTTGTTTCAATTCTCAACTTCTTTAAGATCGAATCGATTGAAGTGTTTGAGCCAGAAAATGCGACTCAACTTTACGATGTCGTTTTCACCGTCACTCCAAATGATGCTAAATTCAAAATGGTAATTTATACTAATTTAAATACGAATTTAAATACTAATTTAAACAAAATAAAGACTTAAATATGGAGTAGAAAGTCGAAATTCCGATTTTCAGAACGGAAAAAGTTCGGGAGTAAAAAAATTAAACCCAATTCTGTCATACACTGAAATACGGAGAATTTTTGCGAATTTTATCTTTTTATTTGTTGCTGATATTGTCTCGAATCGGCTGAATTGGAGATTTTAAAAAAAAGAATCAAAATTAGTTTTTATCTCTCCAATAAAGCCGGACCAACCCAATAAGGAACCAGATTTGGAGGGGGGTAGTCAAAACAGCGCCATAATAGAAAACGTTCAAAACAGCGCCGTCAAATTTCTCAAAATCCAAAAAACCAAGCCGGTTCAAGTTTTATACCAAAAAATTCCTTGCGTTCTTGGCTACATGATGGGTGAAATAATTTTTTTAAAAAGTTAATATTTCATAGATAAAAAGAGCACTCAAAATGTGTGTCGAGTGATACTCAGTTGGTTAACTGAATATCTTTAGAGACCCATTTTGAGTGCTCTTTTTATCTATGAAATATTAACTTTTTTTAAAAACTGTTTCACCCATCATGTAGCCAAGAACGCAAGGAATTTTTTGATATAAAACTTGAACCGGCTTGGTTTTTTGGATTTTGAGAAATTTGACGGCGCTGTTTTGAACGTTTTCTATTATGGCGCTGTTTTGACTACCCCCCGATTTGGAGAGGTATGGAACCAAATTTAGAGAGATAAGGAACCAAATTTAGAGAGAGAAGAAACAAATTCAGAGAGATAAGGAACCAAATTTAGAGAGAGAAGAAACAAATTCAGAGAGATAAGGAACCAAATTTAGAGACACCAAATGATAGATTGAATAGAAATAAACACAAGGTTACGGTAGCTTTTGAAAGCTGACACGTTTTAGAAAACGCTTTGCGTGGGAGACCACACTCTAGTTATAACATTGACAATTAACAATTTTTTTGTTTTTTTTTTAAGAAAAACAGTGTACCTAAGCAGTCAGTAGATAGTTTTTCTTTTTTTTAAAATTTCTATGTTCATAATCCGACTCAAAACCTATCCTTTTGGAACAGGACAATTTCTGAACGTCCCGCAATTCAAAGCTGGTCAAAACAGCGCCGTGTACAAACAGCACCAGCCAAAATAATGCTTTTGCGGTTAACTTTATTTGTATTTCTTATTTTCATTGAATTTAGCAAAAAAGTTAGCTATTTGCTGAATTTTTTAGAGCCTTTTAGAACAAATCCGGGATGAGAAAGGTCAAAAAAACGAAAAAAAGACTCAAAAAGAGGTTAACTGAGCTTTCCGGGACATGAATTCTGTTTTAAGTGATCCCCAAAGTATACAAAATGTAGATGATTTAATTCTACATCCAATAAGAATAAGAAACACATCGAAACTCAATGGTGGAGTGGTTATTTTGGCCAGTTTTTGGCCAGCTTTTGGCCACATCAGCTCCCCCGGCAATCTCGGTTTTCTGGGAAAAGAATAGTTCGGAAAAGTTCGGAAAGCTAGAAATGTTCGTATCTAAGCTTACATTAGACTTTTATTCAATTTCAATCTTTAAATCTTTCAAAGATCTTTCAAAAGATCACGCAATTTTAGACAATCAAAGACACTATTTCCACAAACACCGCATTCGGGGGTATGAAAAAAGTCATTTTTTCCTCGACTCTCGAGACTCTTGACCGATTTTTTACCAGCGCATCAATTCGGCTGAGAAGAGAAGAATAGAAAAGCTAGTATTGTTAACGTATTTTGGGCGGTCCCGCTCGATCAAGTTGTTTGCAGTAGAAGCCTATTTCAAAGATCAATTTTCAGACAATCAAAAGACTTGGCACTTCATTTCCATACAAACACCTGCATTCGGGCGTGGTTGATCGATTGAACAAATACGGGTCATCAGGTGATTGTGTGGCCACATTGAAGCCATATTCACGGCAATTTTGCTATTGTAAAGATAAAAAACGGCAATTAGAATAAGAGTGTATTTCTTTATTTCTGTATTTCTTTGATTTTCTGTATTTCTTTTGATTGATCCCATTTTCTAAAAGTCTAAAAGATGCCTATTTTCAAAAAACTATTGTAATCAAACCGTTAATTTACAGTACTGGACAATGAAATATCATATTTGAAAAAAAACGATCGTCACTTTCGTGCGTCTGTAACTCTCTTGTCTTTGAGTTTAAACTATTAGTGTTATACTTTTTCTGAAAGCTCTTTTCAAGGGCTACACAATGGTAATATTAATATTCAGAAATACGGTAAAGACAAGGGAGTTACAGACGCGCGAAAGTGACAATCGTTTTTCCAATATGATATTTGATTGTCCAGTACTGTACATCCGATAAGCCTAATTTTTGTATCATTGATTGAATCTTTTAATTCCTCATCGAATAATACAAAAATTCGACTCATTAAATGAAAACTAATAGTTTGATTACGGTAGTTTTCTAAAATAGATTAGAAAATGGATTAATCAAGAGGAACAGACTCTAATTTGGTATAGATTTTGATACAATTTTTGTATCAAACTCCTTTCTTAACTTTGTTTTATTCAATTTCTTTTTTTTTGCTTTAATTATGCGGGTGTTTTGATGATTTTCTTGTCAATATTTTATTGCATATTATTGTCAAATAAATTATAAAGTTTCTCAAAGAAAAAAAAGAATAAATACAAAGAGATTGCGTGGACATCATTGAGGGATATAAGTAGCACAAGCGATAATTCAAAGATAAGGTTTAATTCAAGAAAAAGAGGCACTTTAAAGATCAAAAAAGATTTTTGAAAAAAATACACATAATTTTGAAAAGATATTGCATAAATAAGTAATAAATAGATATAAATAATAAATAAATAGATAAATATTGATATTGGGTAAAGTAAATGCACAAATAAATGAGTCATTCGTTTGTTTGAAGAAAATTGTTCGAGAAAATTCATTTGAAATTCGATTTCTTTCATTGGCAAGGCATTTAAATTTTTCGAAACTGATTTCTTTACTTTAAATGTTGTTTAAATATGTTTCAGTAAAGGAATAAAGAGGAGAAAAGTTGATAAAGCGGCTCGAGGAAAGGAGAAATATCACATATTGGAGAGAGGGATTTCGAAGTTTTCGAAGAAGTTTTCAACGCGAGTTTTCAGCGGATTTAAAAAAAGAAATACCACTTTCACCAAAAAGCACAACCATGTAAAAATCGATTTGAAAAGATGTGAAAGTAAATTCGAGAGAAAATTCGAAAGAAAACGTACATTTTGTGCATTATTGATGAAATTGGGCCAATTCACGCATCGGAGCCATTGGACGGCGCTCACTAGCACGACGAACCACACCCGATCCACCATTCTTTTGGGGATGCACCTAAAACTCAAATTTTCTTTACAATACAATTCGATTTTCGTTTTAATCGTCAATAGGTGTACAACGGAAAAAAGATTTGAAAGATTTGAAAGATTTGACCACTTCAACGGTTATCGGACCTTTTATACGCGCCCCGCCCCTTTTCCCAACGGCAATCCAACTTTAAGCTCAAATATCTTGGTGTTAGACTATTCAATTTCAATAGTTTTGTACCAATCGATAGAGAAAGACTTGGCGCATCTAATGATACCAATAATTTATAAATTGGACCACCCAACGCCAAGATATTTGAGTTCAAAGTTAGATTGCCAATGGCAAAGGGGGCGGGGCGTGTATCAAATGTCCAAAATTACCTCAAAATATAATATCTATGTAAAGTTGTTGACTAAAAACCTAAACTCCGCCCATAATGGGCGGGACTTAACTTTTTGCTTCATAACTTTGTATGGGAATTAGATTTTGAGATAATTTTGGTAACATTCGACGCGCAATTTTATTCTGCATCGAATGATAGGCAAAATAGACAAAATCGAAGAGTTGGTGCTGAGAAAAACATGAAAACCTTAAATTTCCAACGGTAAAAAAGGAAAACAGATGTTTTCTTGAAAATTCTAGTGTATAACATTTTGAGAATAATATATTTGGTGGTTTGTTTTGGAGATCTCAAATTTGAACGTACCAATGGTTGTTTTTGTGGTGGAGCAAGATGCCACGTCACTCGAGGTCCATCGCCATCAGGACGGCGATACTGAAAAACAAAATTTCTGTTTTCATTTATCAATAAAGAAGCTCGTTCCGAAAGAACAACAAAAATCAAAAATCACTTGTTAAAACTTTTTTTTTTCAGAATACCACACTCTTTGCATTAACTATAAGAAGCAAACGGTGAATGAAATTTCATGCATTTGTTTAGCTTTCTCCTTGCCATCAAATCGATTCATTGTTAGCTTACAACAACAAAAATCTGGACAATATCAACAATATTTCCCCACCACCGCTATTTTCGTATTCTGTTAAATCTCGCTCTTTTTGTTCGGCACAAAAAGCAATTGCCGCATCGACCGATCCACGTGAATTTGCAGCACACTATTTGTGAAGAATTTCGGTGAAAGTTTTGAAAAAAGAAAGAAAAAGGAATTTGGATTATAAAGCTAATAAAAGCTTTGCCTTAAATAAAACCTCAAATAAAGTAGTTATAGAAGTTTTGGGGTTATCAGAGTTTATAGTTAGAGTTATCTATCAAAAAAGATATAGTTGTCTATCAAAAAATGAAAGTTCGGGGTGGTGGAATAGCTAGAACTCAGGCTGCAAAAGGTATTGAACCTGAGGAAAAAGGTGGACAGCTCTTCCTTGAAAAAGGTGGACAGCTATACAAGCCTCTTATCCACTACACCACCAAGGGAACTGGAAGGCCAGTGTAGCCAAATAGAAGCGTTCTTTTGGCATGTCTTTTCATCGTTTTAAAAGTCGTTCTTTTAGCAAAGTTTTAAAGTCTAAAATTTTAAAGTTCTTTAGCAAATTATGGCAAGTGTTTAGTACTAAAAGTTAGCCTGAGAAAAGGGCTTTTTATTGGAAAAAGTTTCAAGTATGCTAGACGTTTCAGCGGAGAGTTCTAGCTGCTTTCGACCAAAACGAATTTTGATAGCAAAGTTTATCGGCCTGGATAGATCCAATCGATTCTTACCTTTGTGCTAGCAATATAGGCTGCTTTAACAGAGTGAACGACCGCGTTAAGCAGATTTCTTGCTGTTTGAATCAATGAAAGCGCTGAATCAAGATGGGTGACTTTGAGTTCATCTCCGACTTGCTGAACATCAGCTTTCACCTGAAATCAATCATTGAACACAATGAAATCGTTCATTTCTTCACAAACCCTGCTGCAAATGTTCAATTGATGTGTGAAAAGAGTGATCTTTGATAAATAAGCATCCAATTCATCGCGACTTCGACTTTCTCGAGACTCTTGACCGATTTGTTTAGCCAGCGCATTCAATTTCGAGCCTAGAAATGAGAAATTGAATAGTAAGAGCTAAAGTAACTCCTAGCTATTGTTAACTTTGATTTTGGGCGTACTAACCAGCAACAGAGATCTCTTGTGCCGCTCGAATCACATCAGATGTTGTTTTTAAAGGTCCATGCCCACTAAATTCGAATGATCCAATTCATTTCCATATTTTCTCAATCTAAGATCATTTTCTAAGACTTACCGAGTGAATTCCATCATATGTTGCATGATGATTGCCATATGTTTGGCCAAAACGATCAAATCATTTCCGGTTTCATCCCATTTTGCCACTTCACGCTCGAATTTGGTGTGAGCGATCTGAATGATCGAGTATTTGATGAGGAAATGAAAATTCTATTGCAGACTCACCTTGAAAACATCAATTTGCTCTTGGATCTTCTTTTTATCCTCTTCGGGAAGATGTCTCATCACTCTTTGTTGATTTGGACCATCCGATACCTAAAATTTGTTTCTGCTAAAAGGATCTTAAAGTGAACAAAGAAACAATTCAGGAAAGTGATTAATTGTTGATTGAAAAAAGCAATTGATTAATTGTTGATTGACTGGATAAAAACCTTTGGTACTAGTTGGTTATGATCTCGTTGAATCAAGCCGGTTTTGTCCCCCATTCAGGTAGAACGAAATCTCCGAGCCAAGACTGGCCTGGCTCTCGAAAAAGCCATATTTTTAACATTTAAAGTGTCCTTATTTAGTTTACGGGGTGTTACAGATCTTAGATTCAGAAGATTCAATTTCATGGTTTCATGGTTTTTTCATGGCTTTTTGTGGTCTATGGCCTGGCCGGGAGGACCAGCCACACTCTCACTGCATCAGGTCGGTGATGTCTCCGAAATTAGCATTGGAAAAATGCTATGAAATCAGTCATAGCTTCCAAAATATTCATTTAAAATAGTAAATCAATTAGCTTGGGGACTTGCTCCAAGAAGAAATCAATTGTCGACAAATTTGAGGGGCATAATCGGCTTGATTCAATGAGAGATATCACCGATAAGTACTAAACTTTTCTCTTACAAATCTCATACCTGACTACGACCATCTAAAACATTTGTTTGACCATCCTCTTCGTATTCATTATCCGAATCGACATCTTCAGGATTTCTGTAATTACAAAATATTTGAGGTGATTTTAGAAATTTGCTGCTTTCCGAAGAGTTGTTTTCCTTTACCTGTTTACAAGAAGAGCATTTCTAATGTCCTTGACCGATTCGTGAACTAATGTGCACGCATTCATGAACTCGTCAATGTCACGATTTCTGAAAAGGATTAGTTATTTTATATTTTACCAATAGTTATTTTATGTTTGATTATGTCGCATATGTCGCAGCCGCTCGTGATTTTTAGCAGCTACTGATTGAATCACCAACGGCTAGCCGCTAGTGATGATCGGTGATGATGCTGATTGAATAACTAGCGACTAGCCGATGATGATTCAATCACTAGCAACTAGCCGATGCTGATTCAATCACTAGCGACTAGTCGATGATGATTGAATCACTAGTAACTAGCCGATGCTGATTGAATCACTAGCGACTACTCGTTAGTAATTCAATCATCATCATCACCGATCATCACTAGCTACTGAATAACACGAGCGGCTGCGACATCTATATGTTTAGTAATTGTTTTCTGTTTGATTATACACAAATCAAGTCCAAACACTATCAAACGAACGTTTCTGTTTGTCCACGTGTGCTCGGATCTTCATCGGATAAACGTTGAACGACAGCAGACGCGTGTTCGGCAAATGTTTGAAGAACTAAACAAATGTAACAATGTTACGAATACAATTTAAACTGATTAGGTATTCGTTTTGAAATCCGTATGAACATTTATTAGATATATGTAACTTTTTTGAGGCTATTATTGTGCAAAATTAGCAAATGTTTGTATCAAAATTGCTTTTAAATTGCAAATTTGCAATATAGTTTGCAGCGAAAACAGCGAAAATTTAAATCCCGTTTGATTTACATTTAAAAATGAAAATGACCGTCAAAAAAAAAAGCCACAAATATGCCATTTACGTACTTGTGGCTTTTTGAAGGTCATACTTACAGGGTGACCATGATGAAAAATCGGCCTTTTCGCCACTTTTCAATCATTTTTTCTAAGCGCTGGTTAATGCTAAAAATATGTGTTATATCGCAAAAAAAAAAATCACCCATTCTCTCTACTTTAATTTAATACCAGAGCGCGCAGAAACTAAAGTACTGGTGCTGAGATATGAACGTTTGTTTGAGAGTAAACTTAGACGACGCGACGCTCCTATAGAGGGGGCTACTATTACAGCTTTTACGGGTAATCTATATGTCGTAGCCGATTAAGGATTTCAGCCGAAGAAGTCTCAGACTTCTTCGGCTAGCCGATTAAGTCTCAAATTTTTTCGCTAGCGAAACCTTTTTCGGCTAGCCGATTAAGTCTCAAACTTCTTCGGCTAGCCGAAGAAGTCTCAAAAATGAAATCTTGAGTTATGTATTGACTCAAGTCAATACCACAAACTCAAGCTCTCTAAAAGGCGCTTCAAAGCTAAAAACGCATTCTAAAGAGTGCGCATTTTATCATACTGTAACCAAAGGCTATAAAAGGGCCCTTTTCGCCATTTTCTATCTGATTCGTCATTTATTTGAAATAGAATTGTTTGTTTTTGTAAGTCAATTTGCCCCTTTTTTGGATCATCGATAAAACTTATTTACCACTAATCTGTTTATAATCGAACATAACCCCTTATTTCAATCCTATTCTTTCTTTTTGTTACTGTGCATTTTTGTTTAAGCTACACTAATTTCTGTTGATCGTTAACCGGCCAAAGAGCTCCTCGTTCTTGACGACTTTCTTAGGTTTGTCCAAATTGCCTTTGATCCCATGATTGTAAAGCACCTCTTGATTCAATTCAAGAGAGAATAGCACTACAAGTTTTTAGTTTTTAGCGCCTTTTAGAGAGCTTTTAGAGAGCGTTTTTAGCTTTTAAGCGCCTTTTTGAGAGCTTGAGTTTGTGGTATTGACTTGAGTCATAGATTTCATTTTTGAGACTTAATCGGCTAGCCGAAGAAGTCTGAGACTTCTTCGGCTGAAATCCTTAATCGGCTGCGACATATAAATGTTATGATCATGAAATCTTGAACATATACAGAAAACGGTGAGAATTTTCATTTAAAAAAAGAAATTAATCGTTTTGGTCTACAAATAACAGTAATATGAGTATAGAAATATAGAAGAATATAGAAGGGACAATTAGAACGGGTTATTTCTGGTCACCCTGTAAGTATGACCTTCAAAAAGCCACAAGTACGTAAATGGCATATTTGTGGCTTTTTTTTTGACGGTTATTTTCATTTTTAGATGTAAATCAAACGGGATTGAAATTTTTTCGCTGTAAACTATTTTGCAAATTTGAAATAACAGAAATCTGAGCTAAGAAAAAAAAGGACGGGTTATTTCTGATCACCCTGTAGATGCAAATTGATATTGCTGATGTAAAGTGGCCGCCAAAAAGTCAATCAAGCTTTTTTATCAAATACAAACCATCATTTCTGAGACGTCGTGTCGCATTTTTGACTCGATCAGTGAACGGCCCAGATGGCATTGCGCTCATTTCTTCATCAACTGCCGAGCACACCTAATTTCTTGTTTTAGATCTTGTTCTTGTAGATCAATGCACCTACGGTAAATACTGTAATAGTATCCCACTCCCCTCGTACAGTCGCGTAGTCAAAGTTTTTTAGTATTTCATTTTTTGCAAAGCACCCGTACTTTCAAAAAATGCGTCTTTGGTATCAAAAAATAGCCCTGAATTTCAGCTATTTTTTGATACTTAAGCGCGCATTGTAGCATAAACCAGTGTCGAGAAAAACGCGTCCAAAGCTAGACTACGCAACGCTCCGCATCGTCATTATGGGGTGGGGTACTATTACAGTATTTACGGTATATCTAACTCACCCTTAACGATCGTCCGCGAATCGCTCCAGCAGCTCGATCCAACATGTCACCGTTTCCTTGAATGATTGCCTAAAATACACTTGGTAAATAGTCTTTAGCAAAGTTTTGTATTTTTTTAAAATACTTTTGTTCAATATGAACAATGTGTACACAACAGATCATACAATACAAAACCCCCATCGCTAAATGTTGATAAGAAAAAAACCCAAATAGATGGGGAAAAAAGAACATATGATCTAGCCAGTGGGATTGAACCCTTGATCGTTCGATTAGAAAGCAAGGCTCTTAACCAATCAGCTATCTGGTATCGGGTTGGTGAATTGAAAACTGCGCGCTATTGTCATATGTGACAGTTTGAGCACCTTCTTCAAAAGAAACCCATTTTGGTGTCAATGGAAAAGTTGTAGAGAATCAAAAATCAAGCTTATATCCTAATTTTCAGAACGATTCAAAAACTGGTTTTCAAGAAATGCGAAATTTACGAATTTTTACGAATTTTGATTCTCTACAGCTTTTCCATTGGCACCAAAATGGGTTTCTTTTGAACAAAGTGCTCAAACTGGGACACTGGGACAGTTCCAGTCCTCCATTTTTGAGTCTCACACTTGTCTCACACACAAACCAAAATCCTACTACGAAAGAGGAATCCGCAAATTGCCTGTAAAATGGGCAGAAGTCTTCAATAATAATGGAAATTATTTCGAATGAATTCATGGTTTTATGTTCAATAAATTTTAGCTCAAAGTCCGGTAGTTTTCAATTCACCAACCCAATATTATCAAATCATTTGTTCAGCTCAAACCAGCCGAAAAATGTAAAGGCGGGTTTTTCTGAATGTTTTGGGAGTAATTGTTAGCACCGTGGCGGGGAGCGCGCTTGTCTGCAACCCACGCGGTCCGAGTTCGATTCCTAGACATTTCACCCAACTTCGATTTTTTAAAGATTTCTTTTAAATAACACAATTACAATATATTCTAAGATTTTCAAAAGAATTTTTAGCTTTATTGGTCAAACAGACAGACACTGTTCTTTTCTATATGTCGTAGCCGATTATGAATTTCAGCCGATTATGAATGAGTGGGTCTAGGAGCGTCCCAAGTATCAAGTATTTGGTATCATTCAACGCAGAATCATTAATAATTATGTTAAATTTTTTAAATTAGAAAGATTGGATAAAAAGAAAAAAAATTATGGGGCTTCAAAGTTTCTCGTGAACAAACAGTTTTTTTGCTCTAATTTTTTTTCTTTTTATTCAATCTTTCTAATTTTAAAAATTTAACATAATTATTAATGATTCTGCGTTGAATGATACCAAATACTTGATAGTTGGACGCTCCTAGACCCACTCATTCATAATCGGCTACGGGGGTCCCGCCGATTTTGAATGAAACGTTGTAGCGCCGGTAATTTTTAACCTAAACTCACAAATTTGGTACCAATCGACGGAGAATTTAATTCGCTACAAGATGATATAATATTGTCCTCATACATTAAAGGGTTGCTCTACTAGAAAGATTTGCCAAAAAATTTCATTCATAATTGGCTACGACATATATATTAAATACCTCTTGTCCATTAATTGCATCTTCGATGATGTGAGCCTCAGAAACTGCCAGAAAATCGTCCAATGTGATTACTGAGTCGACAGCCATTGTCAATAGTTTCACCTGACAATTTCAGTTTTTTTTTATTTTCTATCTCCTTTCTTTCTTTCTTTACCTTTTTGTTCCCAGATTTCAGCAAACATTTTCATGTTTTCTTGAGCGACGACACTGTCGTTGTTTTGACAGAGAAGATGAGCTGCGTTTATAACCTGAAAAAAAAGCAAAGAGTTTATTGTTAGCATTGCTAGAGCATTGCTAGTATTGAATAAGTTACATTTGACTCGCAAAATATTACCTGTGGAGCCAAATGTGAGAGTTGAGTGGCTGTGTATTTAATCACACGTAACCCTTCGTTGTCATTTGTCATGTCGCAAACGAAATGGGCCACCTGGGTTTTTAGATTTTAGCATCAAAATGTAGATTTTGTAACCGTTTACGAAATTCAGCTGTTAATGGCGGGGAGAAGATGCGAGAATGATGTAAATTATTACCGTAAATACTGTAATAGTACCCCTACGCATAATGGCGGTGCGGAGCGTTGCGTAGTCTAGCTTTGAACGAGTTTTTCTCGGCACTGGTTTATGCTACAATGCGCGCTTAGGTATCAAAAAATAGCTGGAATTCAGGGCTATTTTTTGATACCAAAGACGCATGTTTTGAAAGTACGGACGCTTTGAAAAGAATGAAATACTAAAAACGTTTGCGACTACGCGACTGTACGAGGGGAGTGGGGTACTATTACAGTATTTGCGGTATCTATTCCAAGGTAATCAAATATGCTTAATCGATTGGTGACTATTTTAGCAAGTTTTTGGCAATTCTAGCCAAATCTCATGTACTTTAATCAGCAAACGTTACCCCAAAGCTGCTTGCACTTGAAAATCAAATAAAAGCGGCAATATGAAACAGTGGAACATGTTGTAAATGCTCTAAATGTATAAGCATACGATGCTAGTTACCGCAAATACTGTAATAGTACCCCACCCCCATAATGACGGTGCGGAGCGTTGCGTAGTCTAGCTTTGAACGAGTTTTTCTCGGCACTGGTTTATGCTACAATGTTCGATTAGGTATCAAAAAATAGCCCTGAATTTCAGCTATTTTTTGATACCAAAGACGCATTTTTGAAAGTACGGACGTTTTGAAAAAAATGAAATACTAAAAAACTTTTGCAACTACGCGACTGTACGAGGGCGGTGGGGTACTATTACAGTATTTACGGTAGGTTGAGTTCTTTGTTCTTTGTAGAAACAATGAAAGGCCTAATTTAGTGACGTTTTTCATTAAATCAACTTTGTTCATTGTCTCATTTTGCATCTTTTTGAACAAATTTGAATGCATTTTGGGGAATATTTGAGTAGAAAATCGTGTTTTGTCGATTTTTTGGGGGCGCTGTGGCTTCCAAAACGCTGCTGGCGCATTCCTAGGGTTTTCGGGTACGCTGATTCGATTGGTGATATTTTCAGAAGAGCAAAGCTTGTAGATTTTTGAGGTTAATGGTGGGGAAGATGCGGATGATGCAAAAGAATACGAGCGTTTGGTGAGGGAAAGACACGAAAGTACTGAATTTTTCTGTAAAAACTCACGGCAATCATATTCTCGGCGTGTTGAATGAACATCTCTCCAGCTTCTCGCGTTGCATTCGTGTCACCACTTTCCGCTGCGGCAATCAAGATTGATAAAGGGGTTCTAAATGAAACAACGTGAAAACTTGATTGGAAATCTTTAAACCTTGAATCTAGTAAAAACCTTGTATCCAGAAAAGCATCAGACACATGATCGACAATTGCTCGGCGAAGATGGCGACGTAGATCTTTCGATTTTCTTGTTACAAGCACCATTGCCAAGTCGACATCTTCATTCATATCGTGTCGTCCACACTGAAAATATCGTTTTAGAGCTTTTATTTAGAAGATAATTCTTATGATTATGAATTATATTATATGATTTCATTTTTGAAACCTTTTTATAACCGGGAAACGGGAGCTCATTTTAGATTTGATACTATTCTTATCTCTATTCTTATCATCGATAATTAAGGGTCGATAAGAATTTGGATGGCCAATATGATAGATTTAATAATTTAATACCGTAAAAGCTGTAATAGTAGCCCCCTCTATAGGAGCGTCGCGTAGTCTAAGTTTACACTCAAAGAATCGCTCATAACTCGACACGAGTACTTTTGTTTCTATGCGCTTAGGTATCAAATTAAAGTAGAGAAAATGGGTGTTTTTTTGATATATAGCACATATTTTTAGCATTAACCAGCGCTTAGAAAAAATAGATTAGATACTATTTTTATCCCATCTCGCAATCATCGATAATTAAGGGTCGATAAGAATTTGGATGAGCAAATTGAATAATTATCGTTCTTTTCCTATCTACTTGATTCATTTTAAGCACACTTTCCAAAACTTACATTGTTCTCATATTCTTTTAGCAAATCTTGCAATGCTTGTCGAAGATTGTTGCATTCGTTGATGATCTTTTGCTTTCGCTCATTTCGAGTTGATGCCGAATCGGCAATATGGCCAGCTTCTAAAGATTTTAGATTCTTCTTTTGAAGATTATTTTGAAGATTGAAGATGAAGTCTTCTATACTTATATATTATTACTTATATCCAACAGAATCCGATCAGGCAATACAATTGGATCCAAATTGGATCCAAAGTCGACAGAATCCACATTCTGTAGAGATTTTTTTAATAAGCTCCTCACAACTCAATTTGTACCGAAATTTTTTTTAGCTTTTTTTTCTTTAAACGTTTATTAGACAGGAAAGGGTCATTTAAATAGAAGAAATATGATATTTAAGGTCTAGAAAGTACCGTAATGCTACAGCTACAGTAAGATTGAATAACTTGGGCTATACTTTTACTTTTATACTGGATCTCTCTAGTTAGCATTTATCTTGAATGTAGTCGGATCGAAAGCATCCGATCATCAGCAATCAACGATCGAATTCTGTCAACAGGATTCAATTCTATTGCCTGCTCGAATTCTATCGTACTACTTAGGCAAAACTTCTCCCAACTTACGTGACACAATCACTTCCAATAACTCTTCTAATTCGGGACGATGCTTGGTCGGCTTGTAAGCAGCTGGTTCCATAAAGACTTGTTGCTAAAAATCATTGCATTGATCTTTGATTAAAAAATTTCAAGGTAACTAACTTGAAATAGCTCTAGATCCTTCATCAATCGACCAGCGTGTCCCAAATTTGCATAGTCACCCGATTGTCCATTTAAAACTCTTCTCATCATTTCAAAAGCATGATTGATCTGAAAACAGTTTATTAGTCCATTTAGCTATTGCCATTTGGCATCATTTTTCACGAACTTCTTGATGAGCATACTCGCAGTTTTCACGAAGGCCAGCATTTGTTGGATGGTGGAGTAAAGCCTATAAAAAAGCTTTTTTTATGACTCTATGTTTTATGACTACTTTATAAGCGACCTATAACGACTGCTTGTTATCTGCTCGTTTATAACGAGGAGAGAATCTTGCCCGATTCTATAAGGCTTGGAAATCCTGGGGTCGAACCCAGTGGGGTTGGTTTTTAGCTAACAGCGACGCTAACCAATAGACTACAGGGTTCCAAAGGACCTCTCCAAAAAACCCCTTTTTCTTTCTAACCATTTGTGTCAATGGCAAATCTAGTAGATGTGGGCATTTTAGTCATTTTAGTCAGGACTTCACAGTTTCAGTAACATATTGCAATGTGACTTTTGATTCGGTGGACAACTCCAACAAATCTAATACTAACAATGATCTTACCTTTGTTGATCCATAAAGAATTGGTGTATGAGTTTTGAGAAGTGCGCGAGCTGCGAGGAAATCGTCTCGTTGCTGTAAAAGTTGACTGAATCTTTCTGCCAGGAGGCCAGGAGGTCTTTAAGTTCTCTCACGGGTCTCAAAAGTGGCTTGATGGTCTAGTGGATAAAAAGCTAGCATGCAAAACGAGGGTTTCTTTTTTTTTTTGCTTGAGTTCGATTCCTTTTCACACTCAAAAACTCTCTCACCGATGGATCGACGAGATCGCCAACTCGTCGTCTCGTGCTCGTCTCGATTTCTTCAATTTGGCCAAGAATAGCGCGATAACTGAAAAAAATGGGTTGATGTTTTAATACCTGTTTTAAATATATTTTAAATCTCATTTGTCCACATCGACATCTGTTTTCTTGTTAAATGCAAATTGTTATACACTACTGGACAATGAAATATCATATTTGAAAAAAGATCGTCACGTTCGCGCGTCTGTAACTCCCCTGTCTTTACCATATTTCTAAATATTAATATTACCATTGTGTAGCCCTTGAAAAGAGCTTTCAGAAAATGTATAACACTCATAATTTAAACTCAAAGACAAGGGAGTTACAGACGCGCGAAAGTGACGGTCGTTTTTCAAATATCATATTTCATTGTCCAGTACTGTAGATTGGATATATTTAGATCTATATTTAGCTCTATATTATTATTTTCTAAAACTGTATAGTTTAAATAGTTTAAACTCAAAGAAAGGGAGTTACAGACAGATTTCATTTTCAGTACTGTAGCTAAAGTGGCCGCGAAAAAGTCGAATTCCCTTACCGATCATAAATTTCCTGTTCTGTGGTCGCACTTTTCAACCCATTATACTCCTCTTGAGCCTAAAATCATAAAATAAAACAATTTCTGTTGAGAAGATTAGTAAGAAAAAGCTTTTAAAGCAAAGAAAAAAAAAACCTATGCATCGATTGTGATGTTGATGAGCTTTATTCAGTGATTAGAAATCATGAAATTATGATATTTACTCACCAAATCGATATTTGTCACAATCATCAAAACATCCAATTGATCACACAACTCCAAGAAACGAACCATTGTACTCAATAGATTTCGAGCCGCCTAAAAGAAATAGAGTTTTTTTTCTTATTTTAAAAAGAGATTGAAGATTGAAGCTGAAGTATTGGGTTGGTGGAAAAGTCCTTTCGGATTTTTTGGGAGAGTACCTTAAATTTGGCGAATTTTGACGTTTTATAGCTCATCCTAAAGCTGAATTCAAGATGGATCGATTGGTAAAAACCGTTTCGAGATATCTCTTTTCTAAAAGTTTTTACAGCTATAAAACAGTAAAGGGCGGCAGAGCCAAAAAATGGCTGTTTTCACGTTTCGTTAGTTTTCCGTGCAGAAACCTAGGCTAAAAACATGTCTTTCGTGATCAGTGTCAAAAATAACCCCTAGACACGCATTTTCAGAATCTTAGCAAAAATTTTTTGAAGAATATTGTCACTGGTGGAAGTCGAACCAGCGACCCTCAGATCAATAGCCTTTTCGCCGCTTTTCGCGATTTTCCTTCGTTTTTCCCCTTTTTTTTGTTTTATCATTTTTTTGATGTTGTTAAAAGGCTTTTTTCCGGAATGTCGTGTCAAAAAAAACGTCAAAATTGGATAAATTTAAGGCACTCTCCCAAAAAATCCGAAAGAACTTTTCCACCAACCCAATAGATTGAAGCTGAAATAGATTGAAACGACTTCTTACTTCAACAGCTCGCCTTCTCCTTTCTGATGATGACGTATCTTTGATCAATTCACGGCCAACTTCTACCATTTGATATCCTGAATTTTCTTGGTAATTGTTACTTTGTAACTAAGAATAAAGAGACTAAAAAAAATTGCTAAATTGCTAAATTGCGATCTGTGCAAGTGTTCTCTCTTGCACAGATCGCAATTTAACAATTTAGCAATTTTTTTTTAAACAAGAGAAGGTCAACAAGGCTGAGGTGGCTAAATGACATTAGCTATATGCTATACGACGCAGAATTTTACGTTGATTCTGATGCTGCTATCCGTTTTTGCGAAATGATTCATTCATTCACTTTATACATTGCTGCCATTGTGATTTTATTTGTTATCAATTAAAAGATTTCATAATACTTATTGTAGTTAATAGAGCGAGTTAATAGAGATTTAGTTAATAGAGCGAATTCGAGGACCTATATAAGGCTTCTTTCTTCGTCTCGAAATGCGAGCTTGTAGTCTAGAGGATAAGAGTCTTATTTCCGAAACAGCTATCAAATCTTTGCTCGGGTTCGATCTTAGAGATATTCATTTTATTGAATCTACCAAATATCGGGCTCATTCTGTCTATGTTCGACTTTTAAATAGACCAAAAACCATCTCAAGAAAAACCAAAACTAGTACATACCTGTTCTCTCAACATCGCTCAATGCACTTTGCAATAATCCTTTTCGAGATCCCGTCAACACTGGACATTCATTTAGGGTTATTTCAGCTAAAATTAAAATAAAATAAAATCAAAACAAATCTTTGTTATTTGCTTTACCATTTTGCAAGAACTTTTCTAATTTTGCTTCCACATCAATCACAAAAGATTCGGCTGATTCACCGGGTTGAAGTGGACGAGCCTCGGTGATTGTTGTTACCTGAAATTCGTTTAGAATTGGTTTAGAATTCGCTTAGAATTTGTTTAGAATTGGTTTAGAATTTGTTTAGAATTGGTTTAGAATTGGTTTAGAATTGGTTTAGAATTCGTATAGAATTCGTTTAGAATTCAATTTCCTCTTCTTCCTCTTCTTCCTTTTCTTCCTCTTCTTCCTCTTCTTGCTCACCTCACGAATCAATTCTGATAACAAATTTTGGACGGTGATCGTTTGAAAATGGAATTCGGTTCGTTGTGGTGGTTGCGGGACCATTGTTGAATTGACAGATGAGCTTTCGCACTGAAAGATCTGAAGCTCTGTCTATCTGAAAGAATTGATTTATATAAATATACTCAAAACAAAAAGAAATAAACAAAGCCCGCATCAGAAATACCATAACAAAAATAAATACAAAGGTATAACAATGGAAAGAGCGGGCATAAAATAAGAGAAATTGTAAGGGGAATTTGGAGGAGATTGAAAGAAGATCATTTAGTCACTTGTCTATCAAAGAAACAAAGAATTTAACAATGAAAAAAATGTTGTTGACTAAATTGTTGTTGACTAATCCATGTAGATTTGTAAGAAAATCTAAAATTTGATCATTTCAGCTATTCTTTTATCATTTACCATCAACTTTCATCCCTCCAATTGTTTATTTTTTGGCAGGCCCTAAGGCGAGAGGTTGGCCAATGTCCTGGAAAATAATTATAGTTAGATATTTTGATTTATATATACCGTAAATACTGTAATAGTACCCCACTCCCCTCGTACAGTCGCGTAGTCGCAAAAGTTTTTTAGTATTTCATTTTTTGCAAAGCACGCGTACTTTCAAAAAATGAGTCTTTGGTATCAAAAAATAGCTGAAATTCAGGGCTATTTTTTGATACCTAATCGAACATTGTAGCATAAACCAGTGCCGAGAAAAACTCGTTCAAAGCTAGACTACGCAACGCTCCGCGAAAAATAGCCCTAAATTCCAGCTATTTTTTGACACCTAAGCGCGCATTGTAGCATAAACCAGTGCCGAGAAAAACTCGTTCAAAGCTAGACTACGCAACACTCCGCACCGTCATTATGGGGCTGGGGTACTATTACAGTATTTACGGTAAGTTTATCTAGCTATTGCTATTGCTATTAAATCTAGACAAACCTTTCCACGAAGTTTCACCCCAAGTGCACGCTCCATTTTAGCCAAAATCTGCTGATTTGGAACGGCTTTTCCATTCTCGTATTCAGCAACAACCTAGAAAATGATTATATTATAGCTTTTTTTTGATTGAAGTTTTTGTAACAGTGGCTTTAGCCTCTGTCACAGCACTCGGTTTCTTTAAAAAGCTCCATTTTCTACCTGTGGTTTCTCATTGCATTTTGTTGCGAGATCCTTCTGTGTCCACTCTTTCGTAGCTCGAGCTTGCTGCATCACCTAAAGAAATGTTAAAGGGTTGTAAGAAATATTTCTCTGCTAGACTTAGTACTCTAAACTATAGCCAACGATTTTGTTTTAGCCAACGATTTTAGAGCTCTTCTTGCACTCTTAACTATATTCTGAACGTGTAAAAAAACCGCACCTTTATACCAAATTGTGCCAATTAGGCAACTTTTACATTTATCATCATGAGCAAAGGGAAAAGGGAAAAGGGAAAACATACTTTACCACAAACTTTACCACAAGCTTTACCAGAATTCTATTATTAATTAGATTTAACTTGTAACAATTGAACAATTGAACAATTGAAACAATTGAACAATTGAAACAATTGAAACGATTGAAACAATTGAAACAATTGAAACGATTGAAACAATTGAACAATTGAAACAATTGAAAAGAAGACCCGAAACAACCAATTTCACAGTTTAAAATGGGGAAAAAAATCTACGCAAAGATATTCAGGCTACTGTATTGCGGGCACGATTTAAAATGGAGACGCGAACACGATTTCTTCCAACTTCGCCACAAGTGGCTGTTCCAATTAGAAAAAAATGCAGCTCACAAAACTCAAAAGATTCAGCTATTCAATTGAAAATTTAAGGCAAAAGGAATTTTACAAAAATTTTACTTGATCGTCTTCTTTTAAAAATATTCAGTTAATCAATTGAATGTATAAGCGAAAAATCAATATAAGTTAATGAAGCTAATCAATCTAAGCGAAAGTTTTGAGCTGATTAATTGAATCTCTTCAAAAACATCGCTTGCTTCATTTTAAGGGTTTTTTGGACTGCCAAGGGACACGATTTTGCTCCGAAATCCCTATTTTTCTTGAGAACATCAGAGTTTCGTGATTTTCTAATGTTATATTCGTGATGAGGGGCTCAAAATACGTAGGTGTTACAGAAATCTGTTTTGATCTGATTTCTAGATGGGATATGCCTTTAAATCATTTTTATTATTGAATTCTTTGTGTCTAATATTCTCTAATACCTTTCCTCTAATCTTTCTATAATTCTAATAATGTCTAATATTCTATTCCTATATTCTGATGTTCTCTAATACCTTTCCAAGCGAGAGCGACACTTTCTCGTGATGAAGTTCTTCTGTTTCCTCATCGAGGCGAGCCGTATTCTAGAAATTTACCTCATTTCAAAGAGAATTCCAATCAACAAAGCCAAACATTTTCCATTATTTTATATAATTTTTATATTACTTTGTTTAATTTACCTTATTGGAGGTATGTTGTCGATTCCCGCCGGACATCATTTTCTTTTGTGTATCGACGGGTCCACCTGAGCGAAGAGCCGCATTCACAGCTGACTAGAATAGTAATAGATACTATTAACTATTACTAGAAATAGATACTATTAACTATTACTAGAAATAGAAATATTGCTTATTTACTTGAAGCTTTGCAAAATTTTAGAGATTCTGTGAGTTTTCTTGAGGTTTTTCAAATGCTTACTTGTGTTTTCAATGTTTTCGAAATAGGTCCCCTCTTGCTGATGATGACTGTCGTGTTTGCATCGGTATCCGAGTAAAGTGGAGCTGATTTTGACATTGTTGATTTGAAGAAAAGGTGAAGAAGCTTCTGAAGAAAAGTTTCTGAAAGATAAAGATAATTAAAAGCAAAAGAAATTGCTCAATGAAGAAGATGAAGAAGATGAAAAGCTGAAAACTTTCAAAAAAAAACTCGCAATAGTAGTAATTTGATCTTTACAAAAGACTGACACTATGTTGTGAAAGTTTGCATAGAAGTGACTGTTGAGGGGATTTGAGAGCGTACAAGCGTGTAGTCAATGACCAATCGTTGAAAAAGAAAAGGGGAAAGAAAAGACGATGGTCAAATGAGAGAAGAAAAGAAAAAAGAAATTGTGTCAACCCTCAACAAATGATACACGATTTGATTGAAGCACAAAGAATATTCGTCTAAAGTAAAGAAAGGGAAAAAGAAGATAACCTTGACATAAAATCGAGAACATTTTGAGATGTAGAAATGATTAGAAAAATGATGTAAATGTTGAAGAAAAGTGATCGATAATTGAGATGGAATAAAATAAATTGTCGGTTGAGTAATTGTCGGTTGAGTAATTGTCTTGACATTGTCTTGACATTGTCTTGTCTTGCCTTGACTTGACATTGTCTTGTCTTGTCTTGACTTGACATTGTCTTGTCTTGTCTTGACATTGTCTTGTCTTGCCTTGACTTGACATTGTCTTGTCTTGACTTGACATTGTCTTGTCTTGTCTTGTCTTGACATTGTCTTGTCTTGTCTTGACATTGTCTTGTCTTGCCTTGTCTTGACATTATCTTGTCTTGCCTTGACCTGTCTTGTATTGTCTTGACATTAATTGTCTTCACAAATATTTCTTTTTGTTTATTAATTGTAAGAAAAAAAAAGTTTAAATTGAAAAAAATACACATTAATTTGAAGGAATTGCAATTATTATTTTGAGCAGATGTGCTCAAGTGAAAATTTCTAGTGTTTATAGTGATCTAGTGTATGAAAACTTAAGCTGAAACTTCCAATGTTCCTTTTAATAGACATTCCAATGAGCTACTGATAACGGAATCTTTTCAAAATATAGAATTCCCTACCAATTAGCATTAAAACAAGTTTTTAAACAAGCAACAAAAAAGTTCCCCGTTTTTAAAAAAACAATTTCTTGTCTAGCACAATAATTACTATTTTTTTTGTATGGGAATTCCTATCGTGAAGCTATGGCTCATTCCACTCACTTTGAGTTTTCGCTCTAAACTTCTTTATTGTCAATATTATTTTCCCTCTTTCTATTCTTCTGCAAATTTTGCTGATCCACTTATTCATTTGCTTAATAAAGTATATGTTACGTCGGATCTAGAAGTCAGTCCGATTTAGAAGTCCGTCCTATCTAGAAGTCCATCCTATCTAGAAGTCCATCCGATCTAGAGGTCCGTCCGATCTAGAAGTCCATCCTATCTAGAAGTCCATCCGATCTAGAAGTCCGTCCGATTTAGAAGTCCGTCCGATTTAGAAGTCCGTTCGGTTTAGAAGTCCGTCCGGTTTAAACTGCAACTACAACTTTTAAAACACTTCTGTTAGTTAGCGGGCACAGGCAACAGGAAAATCTGGCTAGAAAAGAGGCATTATGGATCTGGCTGTGCTTTTTTCTGGAATCTATGATTTGAAAAGATTTCGTTATCGGTGTAAAGCCAACAAATGTGCCTTGTAAATATCTATTGTTTAAATATAAAATATTTGTTTATATTCATTTTTCAATCCCTGTTATTCTTTGACTTTTGCCCTTGCTTTCATTTATCTTTCCATTACCTTTTCTTCTCTATCAAAATCTCTCTTTTCTTACTTTCCCCACTAAACTCCGCCCAAATTTTTGTGCGCTTTTCTTTGCCGACTTTTCTATGTACAATCAGCTGATTCTCTTGCATCGGCTTCTATCTAACTGATTTGAAATCTAGATTTTCTTGCAAGAGTTTTTTTCTTTCTTTTCTTTCAATTTCTTTTTTAGTTTTTATTAACAAAAATAGTTTATTTAGTTAAAAATATCCAAAAATTCAAAAATTTTATTATTTTCATTTCCAGCCCATTTCTCTAGGTGTTTTTGTTTAAAATCTTATTCGCTTTTATTTATAGAAGAACGATATCCATATCTTTGCCCCAGTTAATATGCAAATTGATCTTTGACATCTTACTTTATTGAATTTTAACAAGTTTAACCTATTTTATTCAAGTTTTATATGCTTTTTGAAATTTTAAGTTAGAATTTAAGTTAGTATTAACGAATATAAACATCAGAAAGTCGTTTATAATTCCCTTTACCAAACTAGAGACATCAGAAATTTACATTTATTTTGTTTTCGTTGGCGGAGTAAAGATCCGGAAGTACCCAACAATTAGCTTTCTCATTTTTTTCAAGTATATTATTATCTATTGAAATATTTTAGGATGGGCTTTGATGATTTAGCGGATCTCTCATCGGTCACTTTCAATCAAGATGGAAAGTGAGTTTCTGAAGAGAACATGAAAGAAATTATATAATTGAAGATAATAAATGGATAATATATAATGATTATAATAATATATATACCGTATTTTCTCTAATAGTAGTGCACCCTGGTCATCGCCTAAATTCCTCAAAATCTCGAAAAGCGCTTATCAGAACCTATCGATGTGGGGTCGGAAAATGTAGCTGACGATGAGATCTTGTGGGGAATTTGAGTGTTGAGCTTCTGTGAAAACTTTGGAAGCCGTAAAATAGTCACCAACTCGCCGGGGTGCACTACTATTAGGGAAAAGCCGGTACATGAAAAACACACTTTTAAATGGCGCACCGAACCCTCCAGGCGCACAGAATGAATTCTAGAGTCATGAATAAGGAGAAATCTTGGCCTAAGCCTTTTCCTAAGCCTTTTTTTCTCACTTCCTACTGATAAAATACCGTTTTTTTTCCTCTAATAGTAGTGCACCCTGAGCGTCGCCTAAATCTCGCCGCCTAGTTCCTCAAAATCTCGAGAACCGCTTATCAGAACCTATCGATGTGGGGTCGGAAAATGTAGCTGACGATGAGATCTTACGGGGGATTTGAGTGTTGAGCTTCTGTGAAAACTTTGGAAGCCGTAAAATAGTCACCAACTTGGCTCGCCGGGGTGCACTACTATTAGAGAAAATACGGTAGTAGCCAACCACTTAAAACGTTTGACCCAACTAAGCCAGGATAAAAGTGACCCCTCCCAACCGCTAAAGTGCCTAAAATTGTATGCAAAAAAAGTATTGTAAAGTAAAATAGTGAGCAACTCGGCTCGGCGGGGTGCACTACTTTTAGAGAGGATACGGTAATGCTAAGAAAAGAAAAAAAAACAGTTTCTCTTTCATTCACCAATTTCAGATCATTAGCCGTGGGTCATCAGACAGGTTATCTTCTCTATTCAATGGGCAATTGTGCCGACGCTTCAACAATTGAACCAGATGGACATTCGGATCCAAGTAATTAGATTGTCACTTTACATTAATTTAAATCCAATTTTGAAGAGTTACATGATGCAATCATTGTGGAAAGACTTTTCAACTCATCACTAGTGGTTTGTCATTTCTAAATAGCGATTTTGAACTTACTTAACTTAAATCTTCAGGTAATTGTAAGCCGAACTCAGCCTCGGATAATGTACGTCTATCACTCACAAAGCAAAAATATGATTTGTGATTACAAATATGGAAATACGGTGTTGGCTGTGAAGTTGAATAGAGAGGTAATTAGATAAAGAGAAAGAGAAAAAACAAAGAAGATTTTAGCGTGTCGTCGTTTGTCTTGAAGATTCTCTCTACATCTACAATCTAAAGGATATGAAAGTGAGATCAGAACAGATCAGAGTAGATCAGAAGATCAGAAGATTAGAACAGATCAGAGTAGATCAGAAGATTAGAACAGATCAGAGTAGATCAGAAGATCAGAACAGATCAGAGTAGACCAGAAGATTAGAACAGATCAGTTTAGATCACATCAGATCAATCTGATTCAAACATGAAATTGAAACGAAAGATATCCCTGAAAGTGCCCAACTTCATTTCAGATGATGCACTCAATCTGTGATACTCCAGCCAATAAACATGGCCTTATCGATCTCTCATCGAATCAGGAGCTCTGTTATCTTGCTTATCCGGGAAGTACGACAAATGGAACGGTTCGTGAAAGGCTAAATCAGATTAAAAGAGGGTCGGGACCGATTCTCAGACGATCATTCAAACTAGGGCAGCATAAGCTCGACATGCAAACACCAATCGGATTTGAGCATTCCAAATATCTATTCAGTTTCTGCTCTAATAAAAATCCTGGCGAGAAAAATGCATTTTAAGTTTGAAGAAAAATGCCGGGCTGCAAAACCCATCTCGCCCAGTCGCCGCTTAACACCGCGTCACAAGTGGCTGCAACAAGAGCGGCGATGGTCTAGGTGTTAGTGTGCCGGACTGCAGAACCGGTGGCCTGCCGTTGTCCGAGGGTTCTACTCCCGGCACCCACAGCATTTTTGATTTTTTGAAAAACAGGCATACCATTTTTAAGGCTATTACAGTGTTTATCGACATTAGAAAAAAAATGCTTAATCTATCAAAAAGCTATTGTTTAACTTGCCAATACCTACCTGTTAAACTTGCCATTGTTGTCATTGTTTAAGTTGCCGGTTTTAGTGAGAATCGGTCCTAATTCAGACACTTGAGAAAGGTTATTTTCAGGTTCACATTTTCGATGCCAAGAATTTGACGTCAGTGAACACATTTCTTGCTCACAACAGCCCGTTGGCGTCACTCAAATTTAACGCCGATGGCTCAAAGTTGGCCACTGCTGGTGGAAAAGGTTTGATGGGGGGAATTATTGCAAACATTGAAACAATTTCAAGAATTGTTGCAAACATTGAAACAAATGCAAACATTTCATCTTAGCTTTTCATTTACCTTTTTCATCTTAGCTTTTCATATTCATTTTCGAGTGTGAAATGTCATTTTTCAGGCACAGTGATTCGAGTCTTTTCAATGCCAAAAGGAGAGAAAATTTTCGAGTTTCGTCGGGGATCTATGAGGTATTTTTGTGAAATAAGAGAAATTCTTTAAAAGAAATACTTTAAGAAAAATTCTTTAAAAGAAATTTCAACTTCAGAAACGCGACAATCTATTCGATGTGCTTTTCGGCTGATTCAAACTATTTGTGCACGAGTTCAAACACAGAAACCGTTCACGTCTTCAAATTAGAAAAACATTCACCGAGCAAGTAAGTAAAGTCAAGAAAATCATCTTTCAACCTTTAAAATTTCTATTACAGAGAAGAACAAAGTACAACAACAAATCAATCGAATAACGCGGGATGGCTTGGATATCTACAACAGGCTGCAAATTATCTACCGGTGTGTGAAATGAAGGGAAAAAGATAACAAAACATTACATTATATTCAGATGAACGAGTTAAGTATGTTGGAGAGATCGTTTGCTTCAGCTCATTTGCCATCACCCGGATCGAGAAATGTATCAGCTATGCCGACGTGGGTTTCATGTATTTTACGAAAAGCCTCTTTAGATAGTTTAGGGGACTTTTAAATGAATAGTCAAGCTCCAAACGTCTATAACTTACTATAGAGACAATAGATTCGTTTATTTTTGATGTATTTGAAAAGAATACATTTTAGGCTTTCAAATGAGACCAAATAGAGCCAATTTGAATCGATCAGTCTCAAAAATCAACAACGACTTATAACCATTGAATTTTCTTGAGACTGATCTATCAAATTTAGCTTTATTTAGTCTCATTTGAAAGGCTGAAATGTGTTCTTTTAAAATATATTAAAAATAAACGAATCTATTTTCTCTATAGTAAGCTATAGACATTTAGAACTTGGCCACCAATTCAAAAGTCTCTTAAACTCCCCAAAAGTCCTTTAAACCACCGAAGAATCGAGATTTCTTTTAGCTTTTATTGCTCCAGCTTCATCATACGGAGATCATAGTCTATGTAAAACACCTTTCAATAGAGAAACTTCGGCTCTTTGATAGTTTAAAGAAGAGTTTAGGTGACTTTTGAATGGATAGTCAAGCTCTAAACGTCTATAACTTACTATAGAGACAACAGATTCGTTTATTTTTGATGTATTTTAAAAGAATACATTTCAGGCTTTAAAATGAGACTAAATAAAGCTAAATTTGATAGATCAATCTCAAGAAAATCAAATGGCTACAAATCGTTGTTGATTTTTGAGACTGATCTATCAAATTTAGCTTTATTTAGTCTCATTTTAAAGCCTGAAATGTATTCTTTTTAAATACATCAAAAATAAACCAATCTATTGTCTCTATAGTAAGTTATAGACGTTTGGAGCTTGACTATCCATTTAAAAGTCCCCAAAAGTCCCATAGATTCAAGAGCTAAAGAATCTAATGATTTTGTTTAGATTTAAAACACTTTAACATAAAGATAAAGATAAAAACTATAAAGAAAATAAAGAAAAAGAAAAAGATAAAGAAAAAGATAATGAAATGTTTAGTTTGAATGGAGTTGCCCATTTGTTAGTGGCGACGACTGAAGGCTATTTGTATTGTTATCGAATTGAACCTGATGGAGGAGAATGTCATTTGATTAGACAACATCGAATAGGTTTATAATTCAACAACTATAATATAGCAGTATTTCTTTCAGTAAATAATATTTTTCTTATATTAAAGGACCATCTGGTAGTGGAGTGGTGCCAAATGGGAAACCGAGAAGTCCATCGGGAAGCATTACATCAAATAAAAGTCAAAAAAGTGCTGATGTAAGTGAAGAAATGAAAAGAAATAAAGAAATAAAGAAATAAAGAAATAAAGAAATAAAGAAATAAAGAAATAAAGAAATAAAAGGAAGAAAAAGAAAAGGAATATGACTTTAATTACTAAATTTATTGATTTTAGAATGTCGATCCACCAAATCCAGACGATGTCGGTGACTTCCCGCCAATGTCTCATACAAGTGGATAAATTCATTAAAGAGCTTTCTTTCTTTTCTATTTCTTCTCCTTCTTCTTCCTAACTCTTCGATTAAATTTAAAAAAAAATAATTTTAATGATTATTTTATTGCTTGTAAATATGTCATTTATTATGTGAAAAATTGTGAAAATTGCCTATTCTCACATAACCAAAAGCCAAACTTGATTCGATTTCGGCTTTTTGTATAAAATGTAAATCTTCCCCTCTCCCGATTGTATCATTTTATATTATTCTTTCACTTCTCAACTTCTTCAATGTAATTTTTATTTCTTAAGTATATTATGGAATAAAAAGCTTAATTGAAAGGTTTTTTAAAAGGCTTCTTTCTTCATTTCTTTCTTTATTCCTTCCTTTCTTCCTCCCCCTCGTCTTTCCCTCTTGCTTCCTTGCTTTCTTTCTTTTCTATTTCTTCTCCATCTTCTTCCTCCCGCTTGTCTTTCTTCTTTCTCTTGGCAAGTTAACCGAATAGTTCGAATAGGTTAAAGCAATTGCCTGGAAAGCAAAAGGTCGAGGGTTCAATCCCTTCTCCGGAAATCCACTTTTTTTGCCAACTCCTTCACTTCTTTGTTAAAACATTGATATTATCACTAGTTGCTTGCACATCAACATCAACATTGTACACAACTATCGCAAAGCTAGTTAGGTGATAAAATCACTTTTGTTTTTGTACTTTAAGAATTGCCTTGTAGTTGATTGATAGGAGAATTGCTTTAAGAGCTTTAAGCTAATTGTAAGAGCCATTGCTCTTACAAAAATCGAATAAGTCTGGAGTGAGCATACTGGATTACGGACTGGATTGAAAAAAACCAATGAACTGAACTGAAAAGCAAGGAATTCAACGAGTCACTTCTTAAATTCACAAATCGGCAGGCTCTGATAATTGGAAGTCGAATTGTAGAATTATAGAAAATAGAAAAGTGCGCTAAAGTGCCATTTTGACTATAGAAAAACGGCACTTTAGCGCACTAATCTTCAAGACGGTTTTTCTCTATGTTTTTATTAAAGAGTATACAAAATAAATTCTACTTTTCTATCACGAAATTTAATGAAGATTCTATTAAAACCAACCATAAGTTGATTAAACTTTTAAACCTCGAGTTATAGACCATCTAAGTTGATCAACTTTTGCAGGTAGGTAGTTCAACTTTGACAGAAATTTTCTCGATGTTCTTACACTTGAAGATAGCCAAGCCTCTAAACATCTCAGACTGGCCAGAAAGTCTTTTCCACTCTTTTAAAAGAATATTTGAAATGAATAATGACTTGTTTAATCTTTGAGGAAATATGGAAAGTGATTCGGAAATTCAAAGGTCATTTGAATTTCTAGATTTTCATTCCTCTAAACCCTTCTTTCATAGAGTAAAAGCTTAGATTAGAAAGTCTCTTTTAGATTGGCTATATTTAGATTGGCTATATTTAGATCTATATTTAGATCTATATTTAGCTCTTTATTTAGCTTCATTAGATAGTAGATTTTCTATTTTAAAGATGTGAATGGGTTGAAATGAATTAGGAATCCATTTTGTTCAGTATTTACACATTTGGCTTGAAAAGAAGCCGATTTCCCCCGCCAGAAGGCAAATATTCATTCACAAAAGCCTTTTTTAAAAGCTTCATTTTGGTGTAAAGCTCATCATTTTCAAATGTGGTTACACGTTATTTTATTAGCTATGATTCTATTGCTTATTGAAAGTGTCACAATTTGTCCGAGCACTCGTTTAACAACAAGAGTTTGTGAATGATGGTTTTGCAGGTTTTGCAGGCATTGTAGAGATTTTAGACGACTTCGATAAAGACGACAACAACACAGACAACTCCTACAACAATAAAAACAGGTAGAAAACAAAAGAAAGCAAGCCAGTCAAGTCAAAAGTCAAAAGTCAAGTCAAAAAATTGACTTAAAAAGTGATAAACGAGTCAATTTCATTGTACAATTCATTGTACATTGTACAATTTCAGATTGTACAACGTGTCAAATGAGTTCGATCACAATCGACAGCACTAGCACGATGTTTTCACAAGTTTCCGACAAGCACTTTTCTTTTATCGTAGATTTAAGGATTTCGAAAGTGATATCACGTCATTTGACCCAGCTACGGGCTGTTTAATGAGAACGTTCACGTGTACGGGACAAGCCTTAAACACTGTCATTATATCAGTGAGTTGAATGCAAAGCCAGTCCCAATTCATTCCAATTCAGTTCAATTTTGATCAATACACTCAACCCGGCATCACCACCACATCAGTGACAGTTCTCTGCAATGCACAAGGACAATACACGTATATGGTGAAGGATTTCCCTTGAGCTAACGATAAAGCGATTCAGGTCGATCCAGCCAATCCACTCTCGCTTTTTGTGGTCACTAAAGCATTATGCGAAGATATTGGATAATGATTGTTCGGCAAAGTTATCTTTTTATGATTTTTACTTGTTTACCAAAGTTATCTTTATGTACATACACTGTGAATAAACTTGGTTTTCGGTAAAACAGAACCGATTCTTAGAAATCTAGAGAAATCGGTGAATTGATCGAATCGAATCGATTAGAGCCATACATTTTATGCCATTCATTTTGTGAAAAGCTCGCGTTAGTTCATTTTTTTAAAGATTTGAAGTCGAGGAGTCAAAAAAATTGAAATTGAAACTGGGTTTTATTGGTCTAAACTTTTCTTGGAGAGGAAGAGAAATTATTGATAAATCGATTTACTTTTTCTAAACTTTTCTTTAATCATTTCTAAACTTCAGCCAAAAATTCTATGATTACACTACTTTAGAATATAATATTTTCTGCTAAAATCAGTAGTCTTTTGTTGGCTGAAAGTTTACTTTTTTCTAAAATAGTAGAGGAAAATATTAGTCAAAGTTCTTTTATCTGCTAAAATATATGTTACGTCTGAGCTAGACTGATTCTATTGGGTTGTCCAGTTATGAATGCGCGTTTTTACTATTTTGTAAATTTCTCAAGATATCGAACAGATGTATATGAGTGTTATATATCATTCGAAAGCTGAAGATCTCCTCTATATTTTGGAATCAAAAACTTCGTGAATTCATTCAACTTTTTGGGAAATTGACTGCACAAAGGGAGAGATCGTTTTCGAAAAAATCCACTTTAGCTTAGCTATTCCTCAAGTTTTTTAGTGTAAAGAAAAGAAAAGAAAAGCAAAGATGCTCTGAAACTGTTATATTTAAAAAAAGTTGTATTGATATATCTATTGGTCAAACATCAAACGGTTAACTCAATTTGAGCGGAGCCAAAACTTGATCCAAAGGCACCCTTCCATTTTTTGGCCACCTCTTCTTTTGTGCAGTCAATTTGCCCAAAAGCTGAACAAATTCAAAAACTTTTTATATCAAAATGTAGAGGAGATCTTCAGCTTTCGAATAATACTCATATATATCTTTTTCTTGATTTCGGTATCTTGAGAAATTTACAAAATAGTAAAAAACGCGCATTCATAACTGGACAACCCAATAGATCAGACGTCCAATCTAAAGTGAAGTAAGGTCAAACGACCGATCTAGAATCAAATCGATCACTCTAAATCAGACGTCCGATCCAGATTTTGATTTAGAGTGATCGGCTTGATTCTAGATCAGATGTCTGATCTAGAATCGTCTGATCTAGTAACAAGTATATGTTACGTCCGATCTAGATTGATTCTAGATCGAACGTCCGATCTAGAATCAGTCTAGATCCGACGAATTTCTAGCCATACATCAAATTTCAACATTCCTATTTTCACATAGAGAAAGCTAAATATTGAAAATAATAATGGCTTCTCTCTTGCACAAATATGTAGATTCAGCTGTGGAAATATTATGATCGCTTCTTTTTGTGATCAACGGATAAACACATATGGAAAGATGATATTAAATATCTCGTCTCGAAAACTCTCCACAAATAAACCTCAGTTATTATTGCCAAAACTTTCCTATATAAAAAAAGCGATTTTGCCTGGTGAAATGAGAAAAGCTCTAACCATTTTAATAATCTAATACCGGAGACTCTGCAAATGAATCGAATGGTCAGTTTTCTGTTTTCTGTGAGCTTGACTAGGTATTGAATCAGAAAATTTCCATAAAATATCATTCTTTAACAATTTAGATGATCCATTTGATGCTTTTTGCTATTTATGCTAACACTGGGATTGGTGAGTTTGTGAAAGATAGAGATTTTTTTATGCTGTACAAGTAAACCATGATAATTATAGGCCTCTCTATTCGTAAATAAGTCTCAATTGGCAGAGGACAATCGAAAGATTTTATTTAGTTTAATGACAAGCTAACTAATTGAAGCAAAAAGAAAATTTCAGTTACCGTATTTTCTCTAATAGTAGTGCACCCTGAGCGTTGCCTAAATTCCTCGAAATCTCGAGAACCGCTTATCAGAACCTATCGATGTGGGGTCGGAAAATGTAGCTGACGATGCGATCTTGTGGGAGATTTGAGTGTTGGGCTTCTGTGAAAACTTTGGAAGCCGTAAAATAGCTCGCCGGGGTGCACTACTATTGCAGAAAATACGGTATTCTTTTTTTTAGTTATTTTATCAAGCCATAGATAGAGCTGGGTTTTTAGGTCAAAATCTTGCTGAAACCTTTGTTATGTAAGTATTTTAATTCCAAAGTGATATCATTAAATGTATCGCAAATTATGGTGACATCTTTTTTTGAAAAAAGTTGCTGGCAAAGCCTAACTTATTACCAAAGTGCCAAGTGTTATATAGAAAAATAAAGCCCTTAATCTTGGCATCATTTACCTAGAAAGAACTTGCCAATTGGAATGATACAACTAATTTTACAAGCGCTTAAATCAACTCAAGCGATATCTCCGGTGATCTGCCATTTTTGACACTTTTCTTAATAAAAAAATTGTTAAAAAAGTATTCTCGACATTTATTTTGTGAGAAAATAACATTTAATAGCAATAAAAATAACAGCAAACTCTTTTTTCAAACTTTCAAAGCCAAAATTGGAGTTGATTCTTGGATTCATTTGGAAACTCTACAAAAACGGGAAATTCTAGCTTTTTCGAATAAGCATTTAAAAAGAAGATCTGCTGTATGAGCTTCTAGCATTAAATTTTTGTTCAATAGTACTTTTAAAGTAAAATACCATAAGTTTTATTGAAGAAATCCTTTTGTAAATGAAAATATTTTGTGTCAAAAAGTGTCAAAAATGAGCCGGAGAGAGGAGCCGAATTGATCTCATTCAAGAGCTTGTAAAATGAGTTGTATAAATCCAATCGAGAAGTTCCTTATAGATAAATGATGCCAAGATGAAGGGCTACAATATTTTATATAGGCTTGAACAAACAACTATCGCTTGAGTTGATTTAAGAGCTTATAAAATGAGTTATATAAATCCAATCGGGAAGTTCCTTATAGATAAATGATGCCAAGATTAAGGGCTTTATTTTTCTATATAACACTTGACACTTTGGTAATAAGTTAGGCGTTTGTCAGGAACTTTTTCAAAAAAAGGTGTCGCGTTGATATGCGATCCTGTAGATAACACAAAAGTCATCATTAGCGCCATCATTAGCGCCATCAATAATGCAATGCTCAAATTCCGAAATTTCAGCTCAAGTCCCATTCATCCCACCAACGGGAAGCAATTGCAATAATGTGCAGTGTGGAATGAATGAAATGTGTAATTCGTGTGGAAATAAATGTGAACAACAATGTGGAAAACCGATGATGGTAAGGTGAATTCAATAGGATTCCATAGGAACAATTCCATAGGAAAAATTCCATAAGAACAATTCCATAGGAAAGCCATAGGATTTTACTCTTCAAAACTGTTTCCCAAATTCTTGAATTGTAAAAATCCAGATAAGATAAACCTTTGAATTACATTACAAAAGACAAAAGACTTTACATTCTTCAGGCTTGCTCAACGATTTGTCCTCAAGTGTCATTTGGAGTGTGTCAATGTAAGATTGGATTCTCAAGAAATAGCCAAGGACAATGTGTGAAAGTGTGCACAGCAAGTGGGTAATTGAAGATGTTTCGTCTATAGTTTTCTCTTTATTGAAGCGTTTCAAATTTAGCTGGAGTGACACGTCAAATGGGAAATGGTTGTGCAAATGTGCGTTGTGGCGCCAACGAAACATGCAATGCGTGTGGGAGGAAATGCGAATTGAAATGTGGGCAGACAATTTTGGTGAGTGAAATGAGAAAAGAGATCGCAGGGGTTTGAGGCTCATTGTCAGAAGGGTTTGAAATTCGCTTTGAAACCAAAGTCAGTTTCAGCTTTGAATTTCTCAGCTAGTTTCGCTTCAACAGGATGTAAAATTTGAGGCAAAAAAACAGCCAAAATTTGAGCAAAAATTGTTCCCAAAAATTTGGGCATAGTGACGCCAAAAATGTGAGGCTTAAATTTCAAAAGTATCTCCATCAGCTTTATAGCAGGCATCCAAGATTGTGGGCCATTTGATATACGTCCCGTCCCCTTTTGCCATTGGCATTCAAACTTTGAGCTCAATTTTCTTGGTGTTGAGTTGTTCAATTGAAATAGTATTTGTACCAATCGACAGAGAAAGATTTGGCGCATTGAATGATACCAAGAACGTTTAAATTGGACAACCCAACACCAAGAAATTTGAGCTTAAAGTTAGATTGCCAATGGCAAAGGGGGCGAGGCGCGTATAAAAGGTCCGTCGCCCCGCCCCCTTTGCCATTGGCATTCAAACTTTAAGCTCAAATTTCTGGTGTTGGACTATCCAATTTAAATAGCTTTTGTACCAATCGACAGAGAAAGACTTGACGGATCCAATGATACCAATAATTTATAAATTGAACAGCTCAACACCAAGAAATTTGAGCTCAAAGTTAGATTGCCAATGGCAAAGGGATGTCCGATAACCGCATCCAGATCTTTCGAGAACGCTTCTACTGTGGCACGCAAGTAGGTAATGTCAAGGTCTGCCCAAGCTTTCTGCAGAATTTTCGACAAACAATTGATGCTTATGGGGCTTCTTAAAAGATTTTTCTCAAGGACTGACAAAACAAACATCAAACAGAAAAAAAATCATCGAATTGAAATCCGGGATCATTGATCAGACGCAAAGAAGTTCGGAAAGTTCTGTCGGCACCAGTTTTGGATAAAACGAGCCTTGTGGGCAGGAACCCCATTCTTTTGGAATGTCGAATGTCGACAAAACAACAAAAATCCCATATTAATACAAGAAACATAAAAAAAACGGATACGCAACTAGCAAGTTTATGAGCAATTATGATACACCCTGTAGATGGTACGAAAACGAAGAAGGCTGTTCAATTTATAAATCATTGGTATCATTGGATCCGCCAAGTCTTTCTCTGTCGATTGGTACAAAACTATTCAGCTGTTTTTCTTTTGAATTGATTCAATATCAAATTCCTTCTTTAATATCTAAACTTATTCCAGATGTGCCCAAAGATTGCATGTCTTTCCGGAGCGAAAGGCGTATGCCAGTGCAAAACCGGATTCTACAGAAATCCACAAGGGAAATGTGTTAGCAAGCAAGCATGTCCTGCCGGTAGTTTATGAGAGAATTTTTCGATCTTTTCCGATTTTGATTTAGCATCAGTCAACTCAACGATTAGTTGCGGGAGTGTTCGCTGTAAAACGAACGAGATTTGTAACACGTGTGGAAATAAGTGTGAACAACATTGTGGACAGCCGATGCCTGTGAGTGTACCCATTTTACTACAGTCGACTCTCGATTTAACGATTCTGAAAAGTGCCCCAAATTTCTTGCGTAGCTGCCCTGAACGGTAAACAATTGGCTGGGCAGCTACACAGAAAGCAAGGGCATGCTTTAGAATTTCAAAATCGTTCTATCAAGAGTCGACTGTAGGTGTCTCAAAAGTTCTAGCACAATTTTTGTAAAAGCAGCTAGCAAATGTTTAACTTCAAAAGTGCTAAATGTTATATAGAGATTTAAAGCCCGAAATCTTGGCTACATTTATATGTCAAAAGCTTTCGAATTGGAGCCACACAACTCATGTGAAAAGCTTTTTGAGTGAGCACTACTCGATCTCTTTTAAACACGCTGCCATTTTTGCCATACTTTTCTACCTTTTTTACTACTTTTCTTTACGAAGTTCTTGATTCTAGATGTGCCCTGACTTTTGTCGTGAAAATGCCCCTGTTTGCCAGTGTAGAGGCGGATTCTATAGAAACAATCAAGGACAATGTGTGAATAAAGCTGGCTGTCAAAATGGTTCTTTTTTATCTTATTTTAAACTCATAATCATTTACGGAAACTAAAGAAAAGTTTATTTTTTCAGTTTATTTCATAATAATCGAGAAATTCTAGGGATAAATTGTGTACAACGTGCCAGTAGAAGCAGCAGCAGCAGCAGTAGTCAAGGAAGTTTCGACGGGAATTTCGAATTCGATCAATAAGTTGATCAAAGAGTGAAAATATATTGTACATTGATGTTTGAAAACGATAAATATCTTTCTTTGCATGGAATATTTAAAGAAAAAAAAGCTTATTAATGTTTAAAATCTTGCACAGTTTGTGTGAGTATCAGCACGGTCATTACAATAGCCACAGCAATTCCGATAGTCCATGGAATGACAACATGTTTTCTCTTTTTCACCCATCGCCAACTTCTTGAGAAATGATCTTGGGGCTCGTATTTGACATAACCTAAACGGGAATTGATATTGAATAGATTTGAATACGTTTACTTTACCATTGCCCGAATGAATGTGAAATACCGCCCCACCCACCCGAACTACGTTCCCAAACTACGTTCCCAAACTACTTTCCCGAACGACGTTCCCGAACTACGCAGCCTTAAGCCTGCGGCGCCAGAAAGAACGTCTAAAAATGCAAATTTGAGGTATGGGGCTGCCTGCGGTAGGGGTCTACTTCTGTTTCGAGAGGTAGACCTATACCTAAGGTAGGGGTTTACCTCTGTTTCGAGAGGTAGACCTATACCTGAGGTAGGGGTCTACCTCTGTTTCGAGAGGTATGGGTCTACCTCCGTTTCGATCAATAATCGATTCGCTTCAAAAATTTTGGACTCAAACCGATTCGATTCGGAATTTTTTACACTTCAATCCAGACCGATTCAAACCGATTCAAAGCTTTTTCGACTCCGAAAACCAAGTCTACAGGGTGTTCCACAATTATGGTGACAAAATATCAACAAAAGTCTGACATGGACTTTATTTGTAATATTCCAAGCGGTTTTTTTCATTAAATCTGTCAAAAAAAATGTCCTTTTATCTCCTTTCTGACTTTCATTCCGGCTCTTTTGAGGATTCGATGAACCGAACTTTTTCCAATACTGGTCTTTTTCCAATCCAACACTTGGCCATTTTTCAAACAGAATTCTTTGAGGAGGTGGAGTTGCTTTTAAGTCGATCAAAAATCTTTCGACGATTTGTTGAATTGTTAGCAATCTTTGGCCTCGTCCCGTCCTTTACGGCCTTTACGGCAATCTTTGGCCTGGTTCTTTACGATCTTACGATGGAGCCAAAACGCTTCAGAGTGCGAAAAACTTTCTGTCTCTTTTCCTACAAGATTTGAGATATCTCTGCGAGTGTTTGCGAGATATCTCCTTGCTGATGAAGAGTAATAATCGTTTGACGCAGCTCTTTCTTAGATCTTCACTTTTTAGATCTCTTCACTCTTAGATCTTCACTTCACTTCACTTCACTTCACTTTAAAGTCGTCTCGTTAACGATTTCTTTCATCATCTTTGACATCTTTGAACTCGAAAGATCCTTCTTCTAAATCGGGAATGCCGGGAACGCCGGCGAAATTCGCGATTTTCTTTGACAAACAGACGTTCGCTTCACGAGCAATTGCTAAAAAGGAAAAAGGAAAAGCACCGAAGTTGGAAAAAGTGAAGATCAAAAACAATCAAATCAAATCAAAATTAAAGAAGAAAAGAAAAAAAAAAGAAAGACAGAGAGCATTTAAAACGTAGTAAGATGCGCGTCACCATAATTGTGAGACACCCTGTAGTATTGAATGTTGTTATTCTAGCTGATATTTCTGTATTCTATTCGTATCCTCAAATTCTACTGTATTGCATCGGTTTGTAGTCATCATAGAAATCATATCGTGGTGCTTGATCATTAAAAACTTCTTGTGAACATATTGTGTTCAAGCGAGCTCTGAAAAAAATGCATTTTCTAAACTAGAGGATTGAGATTTCAGCTTCAAAGTGCTAATTTGAGAAAATCGCGTACCGATTTGCTTGACGAACTTCGCGAGTTCTTGTTGCTTTTCTCACCGGAGCAGGCGGCAAACGTCGCTCGTTCATGATCTGAAGAAAATGATAAAGAAAAGGCTAACAATATAGTCTGAATCTGAAAAGGCTAACAATAGTCCGATATGTATGAATCTTAAATGTAAAACTAGCAAGAATAACTTCAAATTTCTGCACCTGAAGATCTCCAACGCAAATGCTACTGGAACGTCGCCTTGACGCTAGAGAAGATGGATCCAAAAACTGAAAATATCAATTTTCTTGTCAATTTCTCAATTCTATTAGGTTGTTCGGATATAAACAAGCGTTGCTAAGCTTATTGTTGTGAGAGAAGCTTTTAAAACATGTCTTTAAAAGACATGTTTTCTGTATTTAAAAGTACGTTATCTTGTGCATATTTGAAATCTTTTTAAACGGATAATTTATAATTTTTAAGATCTTTTTTTCTTGCTTTAGATGACCGATCTCAAATATTGAGTTGGTGAATTGAAAACTACCGGCTATTGTGACAGTTTCATATGTGACAGTTTGATCTAGAGTGAAGTAAGGTCAAACGACCGATCTAGAATCAAATCGATCACTCTAAATCAGATGTCCGATCCAGACTTAGATTTAGAGTGATCGGCTTGATTCTATTGGGTTGGTGAATTAAAAACTGCGGACTATTGTCATATGTAACAGTTTGATCTAGAGTGAAGTAAGGTCAAACGACCGATCTAGAATCAAATCGATCACTCTAAAACAGACGCCCGATCCAGACGAAATTTACGAATTTTCACAAAACTTGCATTTTAAGCGAAACTACTAAGTGTATCTTTTTGGAAATTTGGCTATAAGCCTCATTTTTGATTCTCTACAACTTTTCCATTGACATTAAAATGGGTTTCTTTTGAAGAAAGTGCTCAAACTGGGACACTGGGACATCTCCAGTCCTCCATTTTTGAGTCTCACACTTCTCACACACAAACCAAAATCCTACTACGAAAGAGGAACCCGCAGATTGCCTGTAAAATGGGCAGAAGTCGTCAATAATAATGGAAATTATTTCGAATGAATTTATGGTTTTATGTTCAATAAATTTTAGTTCAAAGTCCCGCGGTTTTCAATTCACCAACCCAATATATCAAGTTTGCGTTCGCCTACTTTACGACGTCAAACTGGGCAAAACAGTAGCGGAATCCCATTGAGATTTGGTCAAAGCATTTGGGAATGATGTATTGTCCCAAAGCCGATGCCGAGCCTGGTTCCAACGCTTTCGAAATGGTAATGAAAGTCTCGAGGATTGTGAACACTCTCGTAGAACTCAAACGGTAGACAACGATACTTTGAGAGCTGCAATCGAATCAGATCTATGTCAAACGACGCGTGAACTTGCTCAACAGTTTCTATGTTCAAATTCTACCATTGATGAGCATCTGCACGCCATTGGAAAGACGATCAGATACGGGAAATGGCTTCCTCACGAGTTAAGCAGTGCAAACGCTCGTTTATATCCGAACAGCCTAACATTTTGAAACATTACATTAAAGATTAAACATTTAAATATTTAACCATTACATTTCCAGTAGTAAACGTATTCCCAGTGGTTTCGAAATTCGGCGAACTTGTGTAGAGAGTTTGGCCTCGATTGCGATTAGGATTTTTTTGAAACATAACAATGATTTAGAAAATAAAAGGTTTAAGAGAAATTTGGTTTTATGCTTGAAGTGATAAATTCAGAAGCTTGAAGAGAAATTGATTGATAAGAAAGCGGGTGACATCTGTAAAAAGGGGATTGCAAAAGAAAGCAAAAGGGATTGCAAAACAAAAGAATCTATTGATTGTGGTAAAGTTGTGAGAAATTTTAGCAGTCAAGAGCTCAAATTGCTCAAATTATTGCAATAATTGTGTTTCAATATTAGGTTGTCAACTAAATAGCCGAATATTTGCACTAAAAATTGTTTTTATAAATGTTTACTAAAGTACGGTTTGCACTATTGAAAAGCCTATATCTGGTAGTGCAAATTTTCAAATTGAGGAATTGATACGTGAATTTTTAGGCCAGTAAAATGACATTTACCGTTTTGAGATAAAGATAGATTGTTGGGTTTAGTCGATAGAGACTTTTAGAGCTTTACGGTCATCGGGAGGAGGGTCGAGTTTTTGACATTTTTCCCGCTCATTGTTAAGCCTCGTAAACTTGTCAGAACGGAAAGTTTTAATAATATTTAAATAGCTTAGAACAGTAGTTTTCAGAAACTATTTGTTTCATTAAAAATTATCAACAAAAACCTATTTAAAATCGGGCTGCAAAATTGTCAAAAACTCGGCCCTCCCCCCGCTCGATAACCATAACCTAACCTCGATAACCATGCGCAAAAACCGCAACCTCAAAGCTATTAATACTAATTCGACTTTTTTTTCAGTGCTTGGTGATTGATTACATGTTAATTTTAACCAAGATGAACTGAAGTGATGAGAAATTTCCAAAACGGACAGAACCGAGGGATTCAATGAGACAACTCTCTAAATGCACGAATCAGTAGGCGAAGACAAGCCTTTAAACATTTACCTTGTGATGTTACAAATTGTACCTCTTTGGCTTTTATGTCTTGGGCCTGACATGACTGTAATCTTTAATGTAAACATTTAAATGGTAGCTGTTTGAAGTTAATAGTTAAAAGTTAACATTTTTAGTTTAAAGTAGTTTAAAAGTAGTTTAAAGTAACTTGTATTTGAAACGGAGAACAATTGACTTTGCAAATCCAAAAAAGTAGAACAGAGAGCCCGAACTAGAAAGGATTCGTGTTTCAATCTAACCCATTTCCACTCGGTCACCACTGCTTCTTAAAGCCTCGGGAAAATCTGCTTATAACTGCCACTCGGTCACCAATGCTTCTTAAAGCCTCGGGAAAATCTGCTTATAAACTTGGGGCATGATTTTTATGAAATCCCCATACAAAACCTTGAACGCTTATAACTTGATAGAGTGCTCAATAGCAGAAATGGAAAACAGATTCAGAATCAGCGTGAATTCTGCGTCGAATAGCTCATGTTATTGGGCTCTATGGCTTATGTTATTTGGCCAGCACTTGGCCAGCCAGTCATTTGACCTCCCTTTGTAAGTGGAGAGCAGGCATAGCTCTCTGAAATAGAGCAAAACTCTTTGAAAACTTTTCAATCCAAAGAGTTACTGAATTTGGTTGAAACAAATTCTTTCAGATCTTCTTTTATCGTTCACAATCAAACTTCACTTATTTATATATCGATTTCATTCTTTTCTCTATCCAGCAAATTTTCTTTTTTCCACTGGTGGAGAGAAAATTAATTTTCATTGGTTTTTTCATTTTCTTTCTTCCCGAAAATTTCTCTGGGTTGTCCGGGAGACGTTTCCCGAGTTGAAAAAAAAGAGAACCACTCAAATCTCTCGTGTTTTTTTCTTTTCAATCTATGAATAGTACTTACTTACTGTGCTTTTTTTGCCACATTAAACCATTCGAAACTTCTGCAGCGAATAATCGCTGCAGCAAAAACTCAGGAACGGACCGCTGCAGTTAAAGTCATTTTTTGTACTACTATCTATAGAATCGCTTTAGGTACAGCAAAAGCCCTTAAATGTTCAAAAAAAAGAAAATTGAATCAACTAAATGATGAGTTTTTGGAAAAAGGTTTACAATTTAGAATTTAGACTAAGTAAACTCGAATCCAATTGGTAGACTTAATAAAATGAAGATTCCCAATCAATTCCCGACCCTGAAAACCTCTGGGCACAAATTTACAACTGAATATCCTTTTATATCATTTACAAGGCAAAAGAGAAATCCCGGTAAATGACTGGAGAAGTGTTTTTTTGTGTGCGCGCACAATCGCTCGCCGTCTGGCATAGGGCACTGGCTTAAGGGGTTTCCCTTTCGGTATCTGCGAAGTGGAGCGGTAAACGACTGCGCCGTCTTCGCCTTGATTTTACGTAACAAGGAATGGATATTGAAAGGAATCGATGACGGAGGGACAATTGGGGGAATCATTTGAATGAACGGTCCCTTTTTAGTTCCAATACGGTCCCTTTTTAGTTCCAATACGGTTCCAATACGGTTCCAATACGGTTCCAATACGGTTCCAATACGGTTCCAATACGGTTCCAATACGGTTCCAATACGGTTCCAATACGGTTCCAATACGGTTCTAATACGGTTCTAATACGGTCCCAATACGGTTCTAATACGGTCCCAATACGGTTCCAATACGGTCCCTTTTTAGTTCCTATACGGTTCCGATACGGTTCCACTACGGTCCCTTTTTAGTTCCAATACGGTTTCAATACGGTTCCACTACGGTCCCTTTTTAATTCCAATACGGTTCCAATACGGTCCCTTTTTAGTTCCAATACGGTTCCGATACGGTTCCAATACGGTCCCTTTTTAGTTCCAATATGGTTCCAATACGGTTCCAATACGGTTCCAATACGGTCCCTTTTTATTTCCAATACGGTTCCAATACGGTTTCAATACGGTTCTAATACGGTTCATTCTTCAGAGCTCAATCGGAATGAGCTTTTTCCCCGTTTTCTCGGCGTCACTGAGCTCAAATTCAGGATCAATTCTTGTCTTGAATTTAGCTATATTTTTGCTTCAAATTCTACATTCTGTTGAAAGGAAATCTTATGGATCAATCTCAAAATCAGTATCCCTTCTCATTAATCCAATCTGTCTAACCATTTACCTCATTTTTCTTTTCTCAAAATGTGAAAAGCAATCAACTCTTTTTCTTTCTTTTGGTCTTTCCTTTTCCGAAAACATACCGATGACGTGAGAGTCTCCCAACATTTTTCCCCCGTCTTTCTCATACAATTTCTTGTTTTTCTGCATCGATTTCTGAGAAATTTGAAATTTTCCCAATATTCAAAGATTCAAAGATGAAAAGCTAGTCAAGACAAATCGGCATTCAAGAAAAAACTTGCGAAAATAATTTTCTGAAAGCTTTAGATTAAAATTGACTTTGTTTTTTAAGGTAATCTTTGATCTTTTACTTGTAAAAATGGCTTTTCTTTTCTTAAATGCTGATTGGCCGATTCGCCGATCCACAAAAATCCGTTTCCATGACATCCAAAGAAGAGAAAAGGGTATCATCCCAAAATGATAGCCCAACCAATCATCTCACTCTTTTACCGTACACTTTTTCTCAGTGTACGGTAAGGTAGCAGAAGGTCGAGGGGTTCAATTCTCCTCGATTCTCCAAATCCTTTCCCATTCATCTCTTTACTTTATACAGTCTTTAGAAAAAGCTCTTAATGTGCTCTTGGAATTGGACTTGTTAAATGAGTTGCATAAATTCGATTGCAAAGTTTTTAGTAGATAAATGTAGCGAAGATTAATGGCCAATCCATTCATCTCTTTACTTTATACAGTCTTTAGAAAAAGCTCTTAATGTAGCACTCTTTTACCGTAGACTTTTTGTCTTTTTGTCTTTTTCTCTTTCTTTTTGAAGAATTCAGAATATGAAGGTATGAAAAAAAGAGGAGAAGATGGGTTATTTCATTAGAAAATCGGTTATTTCTTCTCTTTCTTCCTTTCTTTCTTTCTTTCTTCCTTTCTCCTCCTTATCTTTCCTATTTCTTCTTACTTAAAGCAGTCGCCGATACCCCAGTGGAAGAGCATCCTGGTAAGCAGAAGGTTGAGGGTTCAATTCCCCTCGATTCTCCAAATCCTTTCCCATTCATCTCTTTGCTTTATACAGTCTTTAGAAAAAGCTCTTTTATTGTAGCACTCTTTTATTGTACACTTTTTGTCTTTTTGTCTTTTTCTCTTTCTTTTTGAAGAATTCTTCTTAATTTTATGTGTTTAGATTAACCAAAAGAAAAAAGAAATGACGGAAAGAATCTAATGGGAAGTGTTTGTAGTGGAGCATCGAAAGTGAGTTTAGGCAAAAGAAATGCCTTTTGAAATGCAAAATGCCTTTTGAAAAACATTTTCTTCTAGGGTACGGTGGCCGATGCAACGCCAGCAATTTCTGCACAAAAGGAGGGAAATGTGAACGCAAATGGATCGCCTTTACAACCGTCAAGACCACCATCACAACATGGAACTGGAGCTGTTGATGAAAATGCGGTATGAACTAATGATCTCACTATGAGGGGATAAAAATGCGATATTTTCTCAATTCAATTGACATTCCGTCTTATTCCAACTTTTGCAGATGAATATTTTACTGATGAATAGTACTATTAAGTTGATGAGTACGTCTTTCTTTACAGTTTTTCCAAACGTCATTTAGAAATAATAACGTCACCAACAAAATTTCTATTTAAACTATTGAAAAGCTTGATTGTTTCTCTGCAAAATGGCTTTTTGGAAAGTTCTTGGAAGTAGTTGTTTTTGTGGATTTTCAAAGGCACAAAGGCGAGCACCCAAAGTCGAAGTCGCGAAGTGCTCCAATGCTCCGATAACATTTTGAACACTTTCTTTAATACAAACCTATTTTTGTGTCAAAGTAAAAAAGATAGAGCTCATTTGATTACATAAGTCTGTAAAATTTGAAAACAATCTGTTCAGCTATTTTCTTTAAAATTGAATTAAAAAATTTACACAAGAGTTGAGGCGAGCTTTGAGCTTGGAGCTTGAGATGAGCTTTGAGCTTTGAGCTTGAGACGAGCTTTGAGCTTGGAGCTTGAGATAAGCTTTGAGCTTTGAGCTTGAGACGAGCTTTGAGCTTTGAGCTTGGGGCGAACTTTGAGCTTGGAGCTTGGGGCGAGCTTTGAGCTTTGAGCTTTGAGTTTGGGGTGAGCTTTGAGCTTGGAGCTTGAGACGAGCTTTAAGCTTGGAGCTTGAGGCGAGCTTTGAGCTTTGAGTTTGGGGTGAGCTTTGAGCTTGGAGCTTGAGACGAGCTTTGAGCTTGGAGCTTGAGATGAGCTTTGAGCTTTGAGCTTGAGACGAGCTTTGAGCTTTGAGCTTGGGGCGAACTTTGAGCTTGGAGCTTGGGGCGAGCTTTGAGCTTTGAGCTTTGAGTTTGGGGTGAGCTTTGAGCTTGGAGCTTGAGACGAGCTTTAAGCTTGGAGCTTGAGGCGAGCTTTGAGCTTTCTTTTAAAGCTTTGTAGGGAAATGATAGACCTTTTTAATAGTTTAGACCACAACAAATTAGTTAAAGAATTCTTTTCTATGGAAATAAAAATTTGAAAAAGAAAAGGAAAACTTATAAAATAAATAAAATAACTGTTTCCATACAAATAAATCCAGTGAAGCCTTTATAATGAAATCTGAAGAGCTGATTGTAAGCAACAATGTTATTTTATTTTATTTTTAACAAACAGTTGCGACAATGTAATGTGCGGTGATCAAATATGATATTTAGCGTTTTTACGATCCGATTGAACTGAAAATTTGCAACTAGGGGCTTTCGAGGGTGAGGAATCCAAATTTGTTCTTAGTTTTGCGAGAAAGTTACTCTATTTTTGGATATTTGTTCTGTTTTCGTTTACCCAAATGACCCAAATCCAGAAAAGTGTGTCAGAAGGCGATAAAAACGACAAAAATTCGATTTCGCTCTTTCTTTCTTCATTTTTGAAGAGTTTTGCGATGCTTGTATTGACTTTAAAATTAAAATTACTTTAAAAAATAACGGATTCGGGCTTTTCATCTCAAAAAACCACAGTTTTTTAGTTGAAAAAGCTGTCAAAAACATTCAATTTTTGTACAAAAACCGAGACTTTTAGGTGATTCAAGATATTCAACGTGCTGTAACGCCGAATCCTCATGCATCGACTAAAGGAGATGACGAGGAAAACTATCAAATAATAAGACTTTTATTATTAGGTAAAAATTGAAAAAAAAAAAACCCCCGAACTTTACAAGCTTTACAAGAAATTTTAGGTGCTGTCGAATCCGGAAAAACTACAATATTGGAGCAAATTCGGTGAGTGAGAGTTCTCCCTTGAAAGTGCGCCTTTTAACAAACGAAATTCCAGCATAATGTTCAAACAACATTTCACCGAAGCCGAGCTATTTCATCGAAAAGCTTTCATTTATAACACAATTCTTCGAAATGTGCGCACACTTGTCTCTAGGACAAGACAAATGGGATTGCTTTATGTGAATACGCAAAATGAGGTAATGAAAGAGAAAAAAACAAAGAATGATAAAGAGAGAATAGAGGAAAAGAATGGTTGCTTTGAGAAGTAATCTGGTTTAAAAGCCATACCTAGCCAAATCAAAGCTAACAATGGAAATGATATGGCTAAATGAAATAAGCCATAGATAGCCAATAAGCCAACGCAGAATTCAACGCAGATTCCGAATCTGTTTTCCGTTTTTGCAAAATGACTTTCTATAAACGGTTATACGTGTTAAAAGTCGAAAAAAAGGGGATGAAAATAAGCAAAAGCTAGGATTCCAGGAAACCTTTATAAGGGTTCTAAACCTTTATAAGGTCCTTTATAAGGTCCCAAACACGACTCGGTGGTCTAGTGGATAAGAGGCTTGTCTACAAAACGAATACGGCTTGCTTTTGCCCGAGTTCGATCCCTTTTTCTTTTAGCTTGGTAGGTACACGTACAGAAATAAGGTAAATAAGGTATTCTGTTCTGTTCTGTTCAACTATAGTATACGGGCATTAAGAAAAATTCGAAGTCTGATAGTAGTCTTGCTATCAGACTTCTGGATAGATAACTTCTGTGTAAAAATCTGGCAGAATACAGTACAGTATGTAGTGAGCAAAACAGAGTAAAGAGATACAAAGCTTGGACTGCTTGCTGATTGCTGATTGCTGATTGCTGATTGCTGATTGCTAGAATGTACTTTATACTATTACTGCTGTATTCTGTTCTGTTCTGTTCAACTATAGTATACGGGCATTAAGTAAAATTCGAAAAAAAAAACATTGGCCAAGGCAGGATTGGTCTGGCTTGGCCTGGCTTGACCTGGCTTGGGCTGAAAAATTGGTAATCAGCGGTTTCTTTCAGTCAGGTGCCGATCTAATTCTTGCGCAAGATGAGACCCAATATGGACATTTCACTCCAGAAGTCGAGAAAGCGATTATAAGCATTTGGGCGGTAAAAGAAAATTTTTGAAAATTGCGAGAGAAATGGGAGTATTTTGCAGGATAAAACAACTCAACATGTCTACTCAAAAAGAAGTGAAATCAATTTGAATGATTCAACGAAATAGTAAGCGATTTTTAAGCGCAAAGAACGAAAAAAAACGAAAATTCAAACGAGAATTGAGAAACTTTTTACCTTTAGCTTCTTGGACAATCTCGAAAAGATCAACAAAATGGATTTTCGACCAACTTCCAATGATCTCATTATGTCTTATGTGCCAACTGTCGGAATTCAGAATATCATTTTCTCGACAAATCATCGATCATTTCAGTATGTTGCCGGCAATTGTTTGAGGGTTTTCTAAAGAAAGACCTCTAAAGAGGTTATCGGACATGCTGCTCCTTTTCCCTTGCAATCTTTTCCCATTTCCTTTGAAATCCCAACTTTGAGCTCAAATTTCTTGGTGTTGAGCTGTTCAATTTACAAATTATTGGTATCACTAGATGCGCCAAGTCTTTCTCTATCGATTGGTACAAAAACTATTTAAATTGGATAGCCCAATACCAAGAAATTTGAGCTTAAAGTTGGATTGCCAATGGCAAAGGGGCGGGGCGACGGACCTTTTATACACGCCACGCCCTTTTTGCCATTGGCAATCCCAGCTTTGAGCGCAAATTTCTTGGTGTTGGACCGTCCAATTTATAAATTATTGGTATCATTAGATTCGCCAAGTCTTTCTCTATCGATTGGTATAAAAACTATTTAAATTGGATGGCCCAACACCAAGAAATTTCAGTTCAAAGTAAGATTGCCAATGGCAAAGGGGCAGAGCGTATATCAAATGTCTCACAATTGTCTATAGTCATTTGTACTGTTATCGTGAATCGTATTTTGTATTGTTTTTCAAAAAGAAATCATAATATTTAGACTATTTGATATGGGTGGACAAAGAATCGATCGACGCAAATGGGCAACAATGTAGGGAAAAATGTAGAGAAAAATTTCTAGAATCTTTCTAGAATCTTTCCAGAATGCTTTTCGATTTTCAGAAAAACTTTATGCCATTTTAGGTATGATGGAATTGATGCGATTTTCTTTTGTCTTGCCATTTCTGAATACAATCAATTAATGGATGAAGATGGGATTACGGTAGAAAAGAGCTATTTATTAGAATTAAACGACGTTTCAAGAGTTCAGAATCGTTTAAGCGATTCGATGTCACTTCTCGAGAAAATCGCTCAAGAACCCAAATTTCAAACAACACCAATTTTCTTGTTTCTCAATGAAGTGGACGTGTTTCGGGAAAAATTAACCGTTTTTCCTTTAAGCAATCATCTTCCAGAATATGAAGGTATGAAAAAAGAGAAGAAGATGGGTTATTTCAATAGAAAATCGGTTATTTCAATAGAAAATCGGTTATTTCTCCTCTTTCTTCCTTTCTTTCTCCTCCTTATCTTTCCTATTTCTCCTTATTTAAAACAGTCGCCGATAGCCCAGTGAAAGAACATCCTGGTAGGCAGAAGGTCAAAGGCTCAATCCCCCTCGATTCCAAATCCTTTCCCATTCATTTCTTTACTTTATACAGTCTTTAGAAAAAGCTCCTAATGTGCTCTTTCAAGGACTTGGACTTGTTAAATGAGTTGCATAAATCCGATTGAAAAGTTTTTAATAGATAGATAGATAAATGTAGATAAATAGATACACTACTGGACAATGAAATATGATATTTGAAAAACGATCGTCACTTTCGCGCGTCTGTAACTCCCTTGTCTTTACCGTATTTCTAAATATTAATATTACCATTATGTAGCCGTTGAAAAGAGCTTTCAGAAAATGTATAACACTAATAGTTTAAACTCAAAGACAAGGGAGTTAGAGACGCGCGAAAGTGACGATCGTTTTTCAAATATCATATTTCATTGTCCAGTACTGTAGGTAATAGTAGATAAATGTCGCCAAGATTAATGGCTACAATTGTAGAGAATTGTAGCCATTAATACAATACAATTCTCTACATAACACTTGAGATTTTGAATTAAAGTAAGCGTGCGACAAGTGTTTTTCAGTGTCCAAAAAGTTGTTCGGGTTGCTCAGTTTGCTCTGCTCAGTTTTTTTTATCAAATATCAGGGTTGAATGCACTAATTGCTTAGGTAAAAGTGTCGAAGAAGCGCTTGATTTTATCGAAGAATTGGCAACATCTCGAATGGAAGGACATCAGAAGAATTATGTCTACAGGTGAACTGCGTTTAAATCTTTACAATCTCTCTCCAGCTACAGCTACAATCACTAAATCTCTCTATCCAGCTAGAATCTTTATTTATCTAAATTGATTTTTAGAACGATTGCAATCGAAACACAATCGATGAGTAAAATTCTCGGAGAAATCTTTCAAATAATTCTTAAAAATAATTAATATTTTTCGATTTTTCATATTAAAAAGCAATAAATTTTGTGTCTTTTATAAATAAATAAAGTTTATATGAATGATTGAATGTTTGAATGATTGAATGATTGAATGTTTGAATGATTTTATAATACAATTGTCACAGTTAAGCCCATGTGGATCGATATTGAAGAAAATAGAGTTCTGAAGCTTTTCTCATTTCGCCTCGATAGCTCAAAACTGGTTCGATTCGTCCAAAAAGGCTACGAAAGGGTAAAAAATCAGATAAGATCTATAAAGAAATTAAGATTAGATTAGATTAGATTAGATCCTAAAAAGAATCGATTGGCCTATCGACTGGCCATACTGGCCTTTTCAAATTATCGTCATCGTTTCCAAATTTTTTGTGATCCAATAGGAGAACTCAATGAAGCTCATTAGAGTTGGATTCTCAAGATGATTTCTATAGAATAAACGGCTGAGGAGCATTGGAGACTAGGTTATGAGTCAACAATTTTCACAATGGTAGGTTCGACATGTGCGACTTTCGACAAACTCAACAAATTCAACTGCGATCACAGTTACACAAAAAGAGTGCACACAAAAAGGAAAGCATTACGGATTTGGTTGTGCAGTTGGACACCACTGTCCTTTTATTGGTTGAGGCTGGTCATGGTCGGCACCGGGATTCGAACCCGCGACCTCTCGCTTAGCGGGCCAGCGCTCTACCACTGAGCTACACGGGCAGCACCGCCCGACCGTCAGGAGAGGGCTTTATCCCTTCTTGTGCTGATTTCCCCATTGATTTCAGGATAGAATCGAACATTTTTATGCAGCCAAAAGCCAACATTCGATTCGGAAAATAATCCAGGAAACGACTACGATATTTTGAAATAACCGTTATCAGTCTAAAGCTAAACTTTTGCCAAATTGTAGAGCTACCTTTGAAAAACTTGGAAAAATCATCACTACACTTTTAAAGCTTATTGAAGAGACGAATTTTAGAGACTTAATTCTTTGAATTGACCTGTAAATTCTTTTGAACTTCTTCTTTGAAAGATGGAAGGCAGCGATAAGTTGCAATCATCACAATTAGACCATACCTGAATTGAATGTCAAGAGTTTTGATCATTTTCATAGTTGTTGATCTCCAAATCTCCAAATTCTCAACTTACATAGAAGTGAGCATATCAAGAAAAGCATAAAGAAGTTGTTCAATCAATGTTCCACGAAAGATTGTCACTCCCAAAATAATACTTAAAGCCATCAAAGCATTCAGCACTGTGCAAAGGTTGACAATTTGATGAAAACACTAAAGTCGAGCAGTGATTTTATCTCGAGTGTGTTCCTCTCGACTAACGCGTTTTCTAAAATGCACCTATTTGAGAAAAGTGCCGTAGTTAAACCGTTAGTTTTAGATCAATTCGATCAATTCGATCAATTAGATCAATTCGATCAATTCGATTTTTAAATCATTGGCTGAGCCTTGTAATTCCTCATCAAATGATACCAAAATTGAGCTGATCTGCTGATCTGATCGGATGATCGGATGTAAATTGGCAGTTTGACTACGGTGCTTGTCTCAAATAAGTGCATTTTCGAAAACTCGCTAGTCGAAAGGAAAACACTCTAATTTGATCAACAACTCCTCTTTTCTTACATCCAAAATGCGAACATTCTCTTCTAATTGAAAGCGTAAACTCAAGCAATACAGTGCATTTTGATGATATTTTTTCAATCTCAAAAGCTCTCTCGTATTTCGTTTTCTTAGTATGGTGAGACCCTGAAAATGTTTGAAAAAGTTTAAGAGATTCACGACGAGACGGCTCACCAGTACAATCACCAGTAAAACAAAACCTTTTTTTCCCCCCAAAAAAAAATTAGAGGGGAAAAAAAAATTTTTTTTTTTTTTTTTTTTATTTTTTTTTTTTTTTTTTTTATTTTTTAAAAAAAAATAAAAATATATTTTTTATAAAATTTTTTTTTTTATATTTTATTAAAAAAAATTGTTTTTTTTTTTTTTTTTTTTTTTTTTTTTTTTTTTTATTTATTTTTTTTTATTTAATAAATTAAAAAAAATTTATTTATATTATTTTTATTTTTTTTTTTTTTTTTTTTTTTTTTTTTGTTTTTTCTGATTCAAGAATTACCACACTTTTTCTCTAGTGCGTAGCTCTAGAGTTAACCATTTCCCATAAACTTTTTTGATAGAATCTACTGCTTATTTTCAATGCTTTCAATGCTTATTTTACCTCGATACTTTACTCTATTTATCTACATTTACTCATTACTCAAAATTAGCAATTCTATAGAACTTCAAATCACCAAATCTCGAAAGCCTCTGAGACGCGGCTCTTTGTGACCAAATTTCGAACTTAAACTTAAAAAATTACTTTAATAATATCCGATTATGGATGAAACACTTGTAAATAACTCGATTTTAAATTTAGAAAGCCTAATTTGTTTGCTACTTTTTTGGAATAGTAATTATTAGGCCGAGCTACGCACTAGAGAAAAATTTGGATGTAAGAAATTTGACACTAGAGAAAAATTTGGCTTCTTGAGCACCCTGTACACCTGTAACTAATAACTCAGCTTTCTCTGTTAACAGATTCACGAGGAGACGTTTTTTTGCGTTACTACCCCAGTGTACGAGGCTAATGGCCTCTCGCAAAGCTATTAGCCCCGAAATACACCTCCTATATGTAAAATTTCATACTGAATCCGATTCTCTAATCAGATTTTAAAAATATTGCTGCCTCAAAAAGAACTAATCGAATCTTTTTACACTTTAAAATTATCTTAAAAAGTTGAGAAGTTATAGTGCGCCAAAAATTTCGTCCACCGGTGGACCGAACCGTCCCAGGAGCCAGACGGCCTTCGTCCACCAGTGGACCGAATCGTCCCAGGGGCCAGACGGCCTTCGTCCACCGGTGGACCGAATCGTCCCAGGGGCCAGACGGCCTTCGTCCACCAGTGGACCGAATCGTCCCGAACGTGTTAAAAACACTTGTTGTTTATTTCGAAAAAAGTTTTCGTTAATTTTATACTGGTTTTCAAGAAAAGATTCAGAGCTATCGAATGACTATAATAGTTTAGTTTATCTTTGAACTTTCACTAATTTATCACCAGTTAACGACACCGCGACTAGAGAGTTTTCCTTGCGAGTAATGCGTTTTTTTTTTAAAACACGCACTTGGGGAAAAGTGATCGTACTTTTAGCGAAAATTATTGCAAAAAATTGGGGTAGGCTAATTAATTTCCGCAATTCTTTTTGCGCAACTCGCCATTACTTTCTTCTAAGTCGGCCAATTTCTATGGTTTTGGTGTCATTTTGTTGCACTTATTGAGGTCTACAAAATGACACCAAAACCATAGAAATCGGCCGACTTAGAAGAAAGTTATGGCGAGTTGCGCGAACGACCCAGTTGCGCAAAGGATCCTGTTGCGCAAAAAAAATTGCGGAAATTAGCCTACCCCAAAAAATTGGCTTAAAAAAATCACGATGACCTATATACGACTCTTTTTAAAGATATTCAGCCGTTTAGCTGATTTGGTGGCAAGTTCCCTTCAAATGTAAAGATATTCAATTTACTCGACGTGTAAAGAGGTTTACCCGTAGTTACTCGACAAAAACGTCAGTTAATCGAGTAAAAATTAGTAAATTTTACTCGAGTACCATGATTATTCTAATAGAAGCATAATAATGACGACCGGAGCATCACGTAGTCTAACTTTAAGCGCCTCGTTCTCAGCGCCGTTTTAAGCTACAGTGTACGCTTATATATCAAACGATAGCTCCAAAGCTCAGCTATATTTTGATACTAAACATCTATTTTAAGAAGATATGGGCGCTTAGAAAAAAAGTGAATTACTGAATTACTGAATTACTCAATAATGAATTACTGAATTACTCAATAATGAATCGCGCTTAAAAATGAATTACTGAGTTACTGAATTACTGAATTACTCAATAATGAATCTTACTCGCAAGGAACACTCAAAATCCCTTCATCGCCGATATGTTAAGTTTTCAAAAACAAACTGTGCTGCAAATGATCGATAAAGCGAGCAATGGTGGCACCGAACTCAACACAAATGTTTGCAAGTTGTAAACGGCAACTGAAATCAATTTATGGCTCAGCGAACCGCTTGCAATGATATTTTCCACTCACCAGCGGTAAACATATATGTTGGAAAGAGGTTGAGTGGAAGAGTTGCGAAAACGGGAATCAAACTCACATGGAGCTTTCTCGTTTTCTCATAATCGATCAAATGAAGTGTGGCAAAAGCTCTTTCAACAAAAATACCCAATAAAGTCGTGACAGAACTGACTGTCACATAGACTCTCAACGAAGAAATCAACAAAATCGAGATTGATGCAATTGTAGCTAAAATTAAAAGCATACCGTATTCTCTCTAATATAGGTGCACTCTCTAATAGTATTGCGATCCAGGAGGGTGTTAAAAAAATAGTAGTGCACCCCCGAAAATTTGAATTTCTGTTTGCTTCTTTTTCATCTAAACCTTTTTGACTTTATGTTTATGTGACATTCAGCTATTCAAAGCTGAATAATAAAGCTATGAATAAAGCTATTTAAGCAAGCAAAAGTGAGGCTTTTTTTATTCATTTATTAACTATTCTTCACATGAAAAAGTTAGCAAAAAATCTCAAATTGTTGTGCAAAGTGCAAAAACATCTTTTTGTTGTTTGTCAAGACACAAATTGTCAACTCGCCGGCCCACAACTGGATGTCAAAAGGAGCCAAAGGAGTACGTGAAAGAATTGCAAGAATTTTTGGAATAAAGTTTATATCTGTCTTACTTTGGTAAATGATAAAACTCTTTAATAGTACTGCACTCTCTAATAGTATTGCGGTCCAGGAGGGGGTTCAAAAAATAGTAGTGCGCACTACTATTAGAGAGAATACGGTATTTTTAAAAAAAACCCCAATTCCAGAGGCTCACAATTTCTATTAAAGTATTCATATTCAGCGATGAAAAGGAAAATTCTTCCATAATATTGAAGATAATTTAATCCGATCACATTTAACACAATAATCTTCATATTTTGATGAAGAGTTGAGCGTTTTGAAGCAACGAATAAAATAAAAGTCCAGAAAATTGAAATCGATAGAAATATTAAGAAAAGATCGATGAATTCGATAAAATGAAGAAGAAAAGAATAGATTTGAGAAGATCCATTGAAATCTTTTGGCTCAATCATCACCCAAATTAGATAAGAAGTATTCCATAATGAGATTTTCATGTCGAAATGATTCTAGATTTTGAGAATTTTTCATGAATTGGCTGAAAGAAAAAATCAAAGAAGTTAATCAAAGGGTTAAGACAAAAAAAAAGCTGTAAAGAGGTTTACTCGACAAAAAAATCAGTTAATCGAGTAAAGATGCAGCTGGACAATGGCAGCTGAACAATGAACAATGCAGCTGAACAATGCTGAACAATGCTGAACAATGAACAATGCTGAAAGTCACTCGACAAAAAAGTCAGTTAATCGAGTAAAGATGCAGCGGAACAATGCAGATGAACAATGGCAGCTGAACGATGCAGATGAACAATGCTGAACAATGGCAGATGAACAATGCATATGAACAATGCAGATGAACAATGACTTGGGTTCGATGATAAAAAATTGATACTTTGGTCTCTCTTGAAGGTCAAAGAAGAGATCAATGTTTAGCCTAAAAAAATAATTATAAAGAGTGACTGCAAATTATCGCCTCGCAGTTTTTCGGCTAAAAAAGAAAAGAATTATTGGATAATTGGAATTTAAAGGACAGACTGAGTCACAAGGCTGAAGAAAAACTGTTTGCTAAGTAAAGTTCGACTTCTGATCATTCCCGCAACATTAGAGACAAATTTCGAAAGGGAAAATGAGCACTACACTCTTTTTTTGTGTCCTAATAAACAGGTGATTTTGGAAGAATCAAGTGACTTGATCTCAATGAGTTTCCCTCGTTTCCCTAGAAATCGAGACTTTTCTTTTCTTTTGACTAGCATCATTCAGAAAGTTTAGCAAAAAGAGAAGCCAAAATTGAGATTTTGAATGTTTGTTTGAATATAGATGTTTGAATATATGTTTGCACTCTTTTTTGGCATAAAAGTAAAGCTTTGGTGCTTATAAAGATCAAAAATAAAGAAACGATCAGTAAATTTAGTTTACTATTAGGGGCTTGCAAAAGAAACTGCGGATTATAACCAACATTTGAACAGCCCAAAATTCAATAAGAAAACAACTTTATTCCAAAAGATATCTGTCAATATTATCAACTATGTTCTTACATTTTTTTGCGTAGACTTTGGATGTCTGATTCGAAAAATTCGGGGTCCCGCGACACAAAGTAGTCTTGCACCCAAATTTTGACTTCTTCAAGATTGTTAAAATTTAGATTTGCAAGAGAGTGTTGCATAGACAGGAACAAGTGGTAATCTGAGGGAGCGATATCAGGCGAATAAGGCGGTTGAGGCACAAGTTTCCAGCCTAATTCTTCTATGGTGTTTTGAGCCAAGTTTGATGTGTGTACCCGGAAATTGTGAGCGAGTAAATGGATTGTCCTTGGATTAACACCTCTTTCTCGTAGAATTTCATCAACTTTCTTCAGCTGTTCGGCGTAGATTTGAGAAGTTATAGTTTTTGAAGATTTTCGTAATTCAAAATAAACGATTACTTTCATATTCCAAAAGACCGATAGCATAACAAATACAATATCCATGAGGCTCGTCTTCCAAGCTGTCATCCCCTTCACGAAAACGTCGAAACCATTCCTGGCAAGTCCTTTCGCTCAAAATGTTTTCTCCGAATGCTTCACAAAGATTCCGGTGCGACTTCGATGCTGATTTCTTCATTTTGAAGTCATAGAGAAGACATGCCATCTTGATCCATCATCTTGGACCTAAGATTATGTAATATTTAATGATAGCAATAGTTGTGAAAATAGTTAAAATGAATAAGCAATAATAATACAATATAATACAATTTAAACCGGACCATCACACTTTCAAATAAAAAAAACTTTGGTCCTCGGAAGTAATCCGCAGTTTCTTTTGCAAGTACCTAATATAACATTGCAAAGGTTAACAACATTAACATTTCGTTTACTTTAACAATTGATCATTCAATTTTTAAAGAACAAAATACTGAAAATGAGCTTTTCAACACATTCACGACGACATCGCCTTACTAATGACGATTATTTTTGGTGTTAAATCAAGTTTTTAAGGATTTTCTTATTTATTTTGCAGAAAGTTCTCGTTAACTTTATACTCGTTTTCAAGAGGAGATTCAAAATGACTAGAATAACTTCGTTTATCTTTTGAATCTTCACTAAGTTATCAGTAAAATAGTAACGACTACGCGGCTGTACGCCCAAAATGCCGTCATTGTGAATGTGTTAATGTAGACTAATTCTAAAATCGGTTCCCAATCAAGTAAAAAGTTCAATGTTTCGAAAAAACTGAACAGATGAATAAAAACTTTTTATTTGAACAGATGAAAAGATGCAATTAAAAGGTGGAACAATTCGTTTGAGATTCTCGAGGGAATCATCAATCAGAACCACCATTCGGAACCAGGCTCGGCATCGACTTTCGGACAATACATCATTCCCAAATGCTTTGACCAAATCTCGATGGGATTCCGCGATTCCTATTTGGTTCCTTTGCCCAGTTTGAAGTCGTAAAGTAGGCAGACGCGAACTTGATAGAATTTGAAGTCGATCATCTAAAGCAAGAAAAAAGCTCTTAAAAATAAGGAATTATACGTTTAAAAAGATTCCAAATATGCGCAAGATAACGTACTTTTAAATACAGAAAGACAGGTTTTAAAAGCTTTTCTCATAACGATAAGTTTAGCAACGCTTGTTTATATCCGAACAACCTAATAGAATGGATTCCCAATCAAGTAAAAAGTTCAATGTTTCGAAAAAACTGAACAGATGAATAGAAACTTTTTATTTGAACAGATGAAAAGATGCAATTAAAAGGTGGAACAATTCGTTTGAGATTCTCGAGGGAACCATCAATTTATCACCTCATTCCCCTCTCTAAACATTCAAAATCAGAATCTTGAATCAAAATCTTGTCGTTAAACCCTGCAATTATCGTTTTTGAATGGCTTGCAAGATTTTATTGATCAATATTATTTTAAGTGTGTGTTTTACCAGATTCAAAAGGTTAAAAAAAGTTGATTCATTTTTATTGCCAAGTAGCAACTAATTGATTGAAATACATCTCGGTTTCTTTCGGTTTATCAATCGAGATTGAACTGATTTCTGTAGATCGCATCCCGTTTTGAGAACTTCTTTTAAATACCATCCAAACACTTTTCACATATTTTTTTACTTCATTTCTCCATGGCGCAATATCTCGATAACCGACTCCCGAAACGACCACTGTGTTCCTAAATGAAATTTCTCTTGAAAAACATTTCTTATTTGAAAATGCTACTTTAGAAATATCAGAACAAAAAGAAAGAAAGAAACTCTAACCAGAGAAAGGGACGAACTTAAGTTTTTGAGCTTTTGTCTTTTCTGTGAGCTCAGAAACATCAGAACAGAAGTTAAAAAAGAAACTCAAACTAAGGAAAGGGACAAACTGAAGCTTTTAAGCTTTTCTCTTGTCTATTAGCTTTTGTCTGGACATTTAGGGCATAGAATCGGTTATGAGGAATTCGAATCTGAAATCAAAATCTGTCAAATGACTTTTCAGGTGTGTCAAACAAAAAAAATTGGCGTCAAAACGGATGCTTTAAAAGGATCTTTCCAAGCTCTGAACAAATACGTTGATGGCCTAGTAGATAACGCATTATTCTTTCGCTCAACGAATCAGAGTTCGGTCCCTGATGCAGCTTTTTGTTTTTTCTAGGATTTTGCTGCTAATTGCAGACAAAAGCTCATATTGAGCTCGTCTTGAGCTCGTCTTGAGTTCTTGAGTTCGTTGAGCCTTTCCCTAGTCAGCTATTTCTATTTCTCTCTTCTCACATGGCCATGATTAGATCAGAAAGAGCCCAGCATAATTGTGAAGGAATGGATCGAGACTCAAAAACGAGAGTCGCTAAACAAACAGAAATGATGATGCTCGTATTGATCACTGTGACAATATTAACGACTTTTGTGATTAACTAAAGATAACTTTTGTCAATGATCGATCGCTTTAAACGAACATTTGAAATAGAGACATTTTCTTCCAATTGATATCTTTTACTCAGAGAATAAAACGATGATCGATAATAGTTCTTCAGTTTTCTCAAATTTTTGAGATTTTGATGTCGAACAAACATTAGAAGCTAAAAATTGGGCATAAAAGTAAAAGGCATAGAAGAGAAAACGATGTTCATCACTAAAAGCTTTAACATCAAACCCACAATGGATCCAAAAAGAGAAAATCCGAATAATATTGGGCTAAAGATCTTTATCCAAGTAGCTACATTCCGAGCATGAACTACAAGTGTGATTTGTGTGTAAAATGGGGTCAACTCACTGAATGTGAAATCAACGGTGACCCAAACATTGAGAATGGTGGTTGCGATGATTAAAACAAGAGAAATGTAGATTCTTGGATAAACCTCATAATCCATAATATAATATGTCGCAAAAGCTCTCTCAACAGCGATATTTAAAACAGTTGTGCCGGAGGTAGCTGTAGCGAACATTCGTTCAGCAGAGCAAATCGCCAAGAACAGCCGACCACAATAGCTTTCTGATCTTTTGACATTTTAGGGCATTTGATGTAGCTTATTACTCTCCGTAGACACTTAGAAAACTTAAAAATGGGTTTTTGTAACTGAACAAAAAGGCGCATAAGATTTGACAGTGAGGGGAATCGAACCGGGACGAAACGGCGTGCAGTGCGGGCACACTATTGCCCAGGCCATCCGGCTGTGTTTTGGAGAGAAGTAATTCGGCGCTATACCGTGGTGGCATCGTTTTTTCAAAAAGTGCGCAAACTTCAAAGAATTCTGAGAATTGTTGGTTTCAGTGCCAAAATTTTGAATGCCAAAATTGATATTCCTGGATTTGTGAGTTTTTTTTTTCACATTTTCAATTATTTAATTGATAGAATGGGACATTGCCAACGGCAAAATGAAGCTCCGCCCACTGGGTTTCCCAACTTGTATAGCACCTAATCTGCCACGCGATCTCCAATCTTCTTGTTACTTCGTTTTGAGTTTTGAGTTTTGTGTCAAATCATTTTAGCAAAGGGTTGATGAGAAAGTTAATTACTAAGTTAGTTACTAAGTTAGTTACTAACTTTCTTAGTTAACTAAGTTAGTTACCCTAAAGTCGCGAGTATAAGTTCTGTTTGCTTTTCGCATGCAAATTGACGGCTGTCTCCGGTGCAGTGTGTCGAGGGTTCGAACCTCGCTGCAGCATAACTTTTTTGCTTTTACAGCTCATTTACAGCTCATTGTTTTGATCGCCTCTCCAGAACCCATGCCTTCAGATCTTTCTCCACATCCGGCCATTTTGCCCTCAATCCTCGGAAAGCTCGATTATTTTTTGGTGAACTCATCAGTGCCGGCTCAGCTTGTTTCCAGCGGTTAATCATCTGTTCGGTGACTTCAAATTCGATCGCAGCCGCGTTCGTTCCAAATTTCCCTCGCAAATTTGACCTCTTCGAGCTTCGTTTCGGCGGTGTATTAAGGCAGAACTTATACTCGGATGAACTTATACTCGAGACTTTAGGGTACTAACTTTCTTACCAACCAACATTCGGGTAAGACTAAAAAGTAAAAGATTGAGATTGAGAAAACCCAGAAAAACTCACCTATATCAATGAGGATTTCATATCTTGCCAAGTACAACACCAATCTCGCAAAACATTGAATATATGATGGAAGTAAAAGGTTAACCAGAATTACACGAACATTAAAATGAAAAACAGTCGTTTGCATCATGACAATGATTGCAATCCAAACGGTAAAACAGGAGAATAATAACAAAAAGATGTCGACAATTTGAAGAGTATTCAGAAGAATGATCGATGATCGAGTTTGGAATGTTGATGGATAAACGAAAGTCCAGATTAGTATTGAAGTGTTCCCGAGGTCGATCAGCATCTGAATTCGTTGTCTAGAGAATTTTAGATTAATCAAAAGGCAAATATGAGGGGAAATTGTGTAGCTTAGAAATCGATTGATGAGTTTTTAAGAAATTAGAACTTTTGAGTCAGAAAAAGGTGAAAAAGGCAAAGGTTTAAAAATTTCTGAAAGAAAAAGTAATTATAGAGACTTCTTTTCCAGTGCCGTCACATGTTCGACAGATGTTTTTTTTTCTTTTTATTTGATCTCCCTCATTATATTTTCTAAGAAAAAAATGAGAAAATTTGCCTTCAAAGGGAAAAACGCGAGATAGCCAAAATTCGAAGCGGATTTCAGAGAACGCTTTTTAAATATGGGATTTCTTGTTTTAAAAGAGAGGACTGAATTAAGACTGATTCTCATTAAAAACAAATTATCGATGTCACGACAAAACAAACACCGCCAATCGATATCACGACAAAGCAAACACCGCCAATCGATGTCACGACAAAACAAACACCCCCAATCGATTCCCCGATTGGTGTCGTCACAGAATTTTTTTTGATTAAGTAGAAATGGGTAAAGTAAATCGATGTCACGACAAAACAAACACCGCCAATCGATTCCCCGACCCTGAAAACCCCACGGGTACAAAGTTACAACTGAATATCCTTTTATATCATTTACAAAGCAAAAGAGAAATCCTTGTAAATGACTGGCGAAGTGTTTTCGGTGTGCGCGGACAGTCGCTCGCCGTCTGGCATAGGGCACTGGGTTAAGGGGTTTCCCTTTCGGTATCTCCTAAGTCGATGGAGCGGTAAACGATCGCACCGGCTTCACCTTGAATTTAAGTAACAACGAATGGATATTGAAAGGAATCGATGACGGAAGGACAAATGGGAGAAATCATTTGCGAGGAGGAAAAAAATGATCGAATGGAAGAGCTCAATCCTAATGAGCTTTTCCCTCGTTTTCTCGGCGTCACTATGCTCGAATTTTAGGATCAACTTTTGTCTTGAATTTAGCTATATTTTTGCTTCAAATTCTACATTCTGTTGAAAGGAAATCTTATGGATGAATCTCAAAATCAATATCCCTTCTCATTAATCCAATCTGTCTAACCATTTACCTCATTTTTCTTTTCTCAAAATGTGAAAAGCAATCAACTCTTTTTCTTTCTTTTGGTCTTTCCTTTTCCGAAAACATACCGATGACGCGAGAGTCTCCCAACATTTTTCCCCCTGTCTGAGTGAGCTGATTGGCTCCAAGACTATTTTGACTCGAAACCAAAAATTTTCTATGAGAGAGAAATTGCCAGTAAAAATGGGCGAAAGTCATCGCAAATAATGGAGACTATTTCGATTAAACGACTCTTTTGATTTTCAATAAATACTCTTTTGAATTTGGGGTCAAGACTTAGACTATAACCCAATGGAAGGGCGTCACTATGCCCAAATTGTTGAGATCAAGTTTTGCCTTAAGTTACCTCAAGTTTTGCCTTGCCCTTTTTTGCTTTAAATTTTACATCCCTTCGTGCTCTTCATTGTGTTTAACTGTATTTGACAAAAATTTTAAATATTTATTAATATACAATTTTTTTTAAAGATGAAAGTGAGCAAGAGAAAAGAAGAGTAGATGTAAAGCATCGTTGAGGTCAGGATCGTCTAAAACAAACAAAAACTTTGAACGTATTTTGACATGTTTTCAACTTTGTAAGTCGATCGGCAGCTGCTTGAATTTTTGGCTGAGGAATTTGTTGCCCAGAAATGCAAAAAAGAATCTCTTCGACGAGTTGATTGCAGATTCCCGGAGACGAGATTTCAGCCTACAAAATGGTGACTTTATTTCGTTTCGATTTTCCTTTTCAATCAATTCTCGGCATTTATGAATTATACGAAGATTTAATTAGGGATTTTGCCTCCACTTTACAAAGAAATTCTGCATGCCAATTCTTTTTTTTTGACTGACTTTCATTACCTTCATTACCAACGAGTCACTAAGAACGACTCGTTGCCATAGCTTCATTTTTATACATAAACATCGAAAGTTACAATTGAAATGATAAAATGATAAAATACTATGATAAAATATTATGATTTAAATTGAAATAGGGGGGTGGAACAAATGCTACCTTTTTTTGCACACCTGGACATTTGCGCATCTTTTTTTTGCTGGAAAAGGCCTTAGAAAAGGTCGTAGAGCTTCGAAAATATTTCCATATAAGGGAATCGTATGCGTAGATTCCGAATTTCGACAAATCAGACCTCGCTGACACGTCAAATTTGGGCTAAAAGGCAAAAACTGCGGAAAAGCGTTAAGTTGCGCAGTTTTTGCCTTTTAGCCCAAATTTGACGTCTCAGCGAGGTCTGATTTGTCAAAATTCTGAATCTACGCATACGATTCCCTTCCATGAAAACATTTTTGAAGCTCTACGACCTTTTCTAAGGCCTTTTCCAGCAAAAAAAAAGATGCGCAAATGTCTAGGTGTGCAAAAAAAGGTAGCATTTGTTCCACCCCCGAAATAGGGGAAAATTCCCATGTTCGCCGTTTTGGTGACGGGATATAACCGAAAAGTACCCAAATTGAGGTACAAAAAGATTTCCATTTGCATTCAGTTTTGTGGGAATATAGCCCAAAAGGGCCCCAGATCAAATTTCAAAATTTCAAATGAAAATTAAATTGTAATTAAAATCGAATGCAGATTCAAATCAAATATTAGGCAAATTTTATGCAAAGTGCAGTAAAAGCCAGCCTGGGGGTATCTAAACTATTTTTAATCGACGAGACCCGTGGCATCAATGGGCGAGTGGTTAGCGCGTTCGTATCCAATACCAGAGATCAAGGGTTCGGGTCCGGCCAGGGCTTTTTTTTATCAAAAGCTCAAATATAATAGAAATAACCTTTTTAAGCAAAAAGGAGCGCTTCCAACTTTGCCCAGGTCTCGACTATGCGCTGTCCTCAAACCACGAGCAAGCAAACCGGTTGTAGGCCAGTTAGGTACCTAATCCCCATTACCTGTTTGAGTGCCAAAACGAGCGCATCAATTTCCGTTCGGGCATCTGTTGTTCTCGTTAATCTTTCAATCACTGGCAGTAGACTATATTCTAATGCACCCTAGAAACTAGTGATATTACGATATGATCTCTAAAATAAACCTTATTTAGTGGTGTTCTCGCAGGAGTTCCATTATTTCGACCACCCGATCCATTTGACGGTCGATACGGTGAATTCTGATAATAGAAATAATAAAGGTAAATCACTTTTGCTTATTTACCCTTTGCGGATCATTTCTACTGCTAACTGCATCGATCTCTTCAATCGAATTCCTGAATCTGAATGCTCGATAACTGTGATTCTTCCCCACCTCTTCCCATTCAAATTCATTTTTCTTGAATCACTAAGCGATGATCCATATCCGCTGTCTTTTTCAGAACGATCACTTTTGGTTAGCTGAAAAGGTTGATGAGTTTTTATTTAGGTCTTTTAATTCACTTGAATCGAAGAAGATGGTGATGAACTGTGAACTGATCCATGAGGAGAATTTCGAGAAGAAAGACTTTGAGCGAGATGCTAGACAAAGTCAATATTTAAGAATTTTTTCCTTCTACTTTCCAAGAAAAAAGCTTTCTCAAGGTATTCTTACATTATTGAGCGAAGAAAGAGTGGTAGCCGGTGAGTTTCTTGATGAAGGGCTTGCCTAAGAGAAAGAAATCTTTCTAATTCTCGTTTATCTATGTCATTTCTTTAACTCACTTCGTGCAATTCGTTTCTACTTCCCGATTTTTCCCTTCCAATCGCTTTCAATCGTTCAGCCATTTCACTCACTTTTAGGCTCGACTGAAATTTTTGTTTCTGTTAAAAAGTTCTGTCTACCTTGCCATAAACTATAAACTACAGGGTGGGCCAAAATTACCGTTACAATGCTCACTCACGCGCAAATGCGAAAGCGAAATGGAAGAAAGCGAACGGTAACAACTTCAGCAAATGTCAAAAAAAGTGAGGGAATCGCCTGTTGAAAACGCCAAACTAATCGGTGCGGAAAATGTCACAAAAAATAGGGATTAAGCGAAAATCCCTTAGAAGAATTATCAAAAACAAGCTCAAGTTAAAGGCCTACAAGAAAAATCAATCATAAATGCTATCAGTTGACGCTATCAACCACACAAAAATGTTGATAGTTTGAAAAAAGCGCTCGAAAAGGCTTGGGAGCTGAGCTTGGGAGCTGAGCTTGGGAGCTGAGCTTGGGAGCTGAGCTTGGGAGCTGAGCTTGGGAGCTGAGCTTGGGAGCTGGGCTTGGGAGCTGGGCTTGGGAGCTGGGCTTGGGAGCTGGGCTTGGGAGCTGGGCTTGGGAGCTGGGCTTGGGAGCTGGGCTTGGGAGCTGGGCTTGGGAGCTGGGCTTGGGAGCTGGGCTTGGGAGCTGGGCTTGGGAGCTGGGCTTGGGAGCTGGGCTTGGGAGCTGGGCTTGGGAGCTGGGCTTGGGAGCTGGATATCCTATACCTTCTCGCCACGATAGACGCTTTTCTACGACGTTTGGACGCTTGTGTAAAAGCTATTGGAGATCTGTTTGAAAAGGAATAGTTTTTATGAATTGTTATGAGACAATAAAAGTTATTTTTAAGAAAAACCTTTGACCTTTTGAGTTGCTTTTTATACAGAGATTTCTTTTATATGTAACGGTAATTTTGGCCCACCCTGTATAAAGGTAATAGAACTTTTGTAGCATATAGTTTAGCTTATCTTATCTTACCAAATTATGAGTAAAACAGTAACGACTACGCGACTGTACGCTCAAAATACCGTTCTGCGAATGTATTAAATGAGAAAATTTGTTGAAATTTTACTTTTATCGTTGCCGGGGGTGTCGCTTCATTTCCACTTTTGAATGCATTTTTCTCTCCTTTATGTCGAATTGTACCATCATCAATCTGTAAATGTTTTGTGTCTATTGTATTGCAGATTTTAGATATCAACAATTTTTCTACCTTATCACGTTTGACTGTCGGGTAATCCCATTGGTTCATCGTTCCAGCCATACTTTCATCATCGTCCAAATCACCATCGTGCGCTTGTCCGGCTTTCGCTCTACAAGTCATAAATAATATAATAATAATGTAATTTAATATAATAATAATAATAATATCTACTATATATAAAGCAAAAGAGACGTCTGTGTGTCCGTCTGTCTGTCTGTCCGTCTGTCTGGCTGTCTGTTTGTCCGTCCGTCTGTCTGTCTGTTTGTCCGTCTATCTGTCTGTTCGTTTATCTGTCCGTCTGTCTGTCCACCTGCCTGTCCGTCCGTCTGTATGTCTGTTTGTCCGCCTATCTGTCTGTCCGTCTGTCTAGCTGCCTGTTTGTCCGTCCGTCTGTCTGTCTGGTCGTCCGTCTGTCTGGCTGTCTGTTTGTCCGTCTATCTGTCTCTCCGTTTATCTGTCCGTCTGTCTGTCCATCTGTCTGTCCGTCCGTCTGTCTGTCTGTTTGTCCGTCTGTCTGTCCGTGTGCAAACGCGATGCTCCGTAATTACGTTTACTCTATCGGTTAAAAAGCAAAGTATTCAGCTTAAAAAGCAAAGTATTCATATTTTGTTCCCGGGGCTTTTCAGCTATGGGGAATCTGATTTTTAGGCCCATTTTTAAAAAGGGGGTGGGCTCAACATGGGTTACGGTAATTTCAGTCATTTGAATGGGTTCCCCACCTCCTCAGCCGAAAACGCGAACGAAATGAGCGTTTTCCGCTGGTAATAATAATAATAATAATAATAATAATAACATATAATAAGATTTAAATGTAAATGGACTAACCGATACTCCGCGGCTCTTTCAATAACTTCAATGAGAATCGTGTTTTTGCGTGCTTTTCGAATGAATGAATGTCGAAGAAGTTCTTTAGCTGTTGGCCTCTAGAAATTGAACTTGCATAAACAGAAACAGAAAAAATAAAATACACAAATGGTACTCACATTTTCTGGATCTTTGTTCAAACAGAGTTCAACGAAATCTTTGAATGATCGAGACCATTGTGGACCATGGAGTTGAGGGGCGGGGTTTTTCGGGATCAAAAAGAGAACCTGTAAATGAAAAGAACGACATAAAAAGGGTATTATTGTTACCCTCATTGGATGAAGATCCGAATGTGGCGGTTCTCCATTAGCCAACTCGATTGCCGTGATTCCTAATGACCAGATATCGGCCTGAAAACGAAGATTAAAACGAAGAATCGATAGCAATCGATCGATAGAAAGGAGAATTTAGATATTGAGCAAAGCACAAAGGAAAACAAATAAAGGGTAGTTTTTATTACCCTAAAGTCGCGAGTATAAGTTCTGTTTGGCTTTCGCATGCAAATTGACGGCTGTCTCCGGTGCGGTGTGTCGAGGGTTCGAACCTCGCTGCAGCATAACTTTTTTGCTTTTACAGCTCATTTACAGCTCGTTGTTTTGATCGCCTCTCCAGAACCCATACCTTCAGATCTTTCTCCACATCCGGCCATTTTGCCCTCAATCCTCGGAAAGCTCGATTATTTTTTGGTGAACTGATGACAGTGCCGGCTCAGCTTGTTTCCAGCGGTTAATCATCTGTTCGGCGACTTCAAATTCGATGGCATATCGATCGCAATCGCGAGCCGCGTTCGTTCCAAATTTCCCTCGCAAATTTGACCGCTTCGAGCTTCGTTTCGGCGGTGTATTAAGGCAGAACTTATACTCGAGACTTTAGGGTAATTCAATGATACAAAGACATACACTACTGGATAATGAAATATCATATTTGAAAAACGATCGTCACTTTCGCGCGTCTCTAACTCCATTGTCTTCGAGTTTAAACTATTAGTGTTATACACTTTCTGAAAGCTCTTTTCAAGGGCTACACAATGGTAATATTAATATTTAGAAATACGGTAAAGACAAGGGAGTTACAGACGATCGTTTTTCAAATAGTGAAAGTGGCGATCGTAAGCAGAAAGTAACGATCGTTTTTCAAATATCATATTTCATTTCATATTTGTCCAGTAGTGTATATTCAATGAAAATTCAAACCTTGAAATCATAACTGGCTTGTTTGATGAGTTCAGGTGCCATCCAAAAAGGTGAACCAACAAAAGTGATCCTTTTCTTCACCGTTTCTGTCAATTGACCAGCCACACCAAAGTCGGCAACTTTTACATCACCGTGTTCAGAAACAAGGACATTGGCTGCTAAAAAAAAGCACATAAACCTACAATAAAAACTACAATAGTACCCCACCGTCGCGTAGTTTAAGTTTACTCTCAAACAAACGCTCATAACTCAGCACAAGTACGTTTGTTTTTGCACGCTTTGGTATCAAATTAAAGTAGAGAGGATGGGTGAATTTTTGAGATATAACACATATTTCTAGCATTAACGCTTAGAACAAAATGATTGAAAATTGGTAAAAAAAGCTGATTTTTCATCATTTTTCAAGTGGTAAAAAAAGCCGATTTTTCAATCATTTTTTCTAAGCGCTGATTAATGCTAGAAATATGTGTTATATCTCAAAAAATCACCCATCCTCTCTACTTTAATTTGATACCAAAGCGTGCAAAAACAAACGTACCTGTGCTGAGTTATAAGCGTTTATTTGAGAGTAAACTTACAAGCGAAAGGCAACCGGTTTATCGACTGGTAAATGCTTTGCGACCTTTACCATTCGACGCAGAATTTACGCACGAAGACTACGCAACGCTCCTAAAGAAGAGGGGTTTCTATTAGAGTATTTGCATTAGGGAATTGTACATTTTTAGCTCAAAGTACAAAACGACAAGAACAAGTGGCAACAAAGGTGTCAAAGGACTTTAATAGAGGACAATTTTCACCAGAATAGCCAGCACTGACAAGTGGGGGCTTATAAAGCTCCATACAAAAGCTTTTTGAAACCTTTTGATCATATTTTGATTGAGTGATGACTTCTGGTGCCATAAAATATGGAGTTCCCACAAATGTTTCCGCTTTTTTCCCACTTATTGTCCACAAATGAGTGGCCACCCCAAAATCAGCCAATTTCACGATTCCGTCGTGTTCACCGCACAAAATGTTGGCCGCTAGAAAAGTTATCGAATGTACAGTACTGGACAATGAAATATGATATTTGAAAAACGATTGTCACTTTCGCGCGTCTGTAACTCCCTTGTCTTTACCGTATTTCTAAATATTAATATTACCATTGTGTAGCCCTTGAAAAGAGCTTTCAGAAAATGTATAACACTAATAGTTTAAACTCAAAGACAAGGGAGTTACAGACGCGCGAAAGTGACAATCGTTTTTCAAATATCATATTTCATTGTCCAGTAGTGTACTTAAGGAGAAAGGAATTATTGTGAAAGTAAAATATTGGGCTGGTGAATTGAAAACTGCGGGCTATTGTCATATGTGACAGTTTGAGCACTTTCTTCAAAAGAAACCCATTTTGGTGTCAATGGAAAAGTTGTAGAGAATCAAAAATCAAGCTTATATCCAAATTTTCAGAACGATTCAAAAACTGGTTTTCAAGAAATGCCAAATTTACGAATTTTCACAAAACTTGCATTTTAAGCGAAACTACTAAGTGTATCTTTTTGGAAATTTGGCTATAAGCCTAATTTTTGATTCTCTACAACTTTTCTATTGACACCAAAATGGGTTTCCTTTGAAGAAAGTGCTCAAACTGGGACACTGGGACATCTCCAGTCCTCGATTTTTGAGTCTCACACTTGTCTCACACACAAACCAAAATCCTGCCCAGAAAGAGGAATCCGCAAATTGCCCGTAAAATGGGCAGAAGTCGTCAATAATAATGGAAATTATTTCGAATGAATTGATGGCTGTATGTTGAATAAATTTTAGTTCAAAGTCGCGCAGTCACCAACCCAATACTTTTGATCATAACTTTTCATAGTCTTATCTAATTTATATGTCTTATAGTCTTATCTAATTTTTGTGTCAATCGATAGGAAATGTTCTTCAGCGTCGAATGACATCAAAAAGTATACAAATTAAATAAGATTATGAAAAGTTATAGCCAAAATACTTTGTACACTTATGGACGTGTTTGGGGGACAAATCTCCAAGTACTTAATTGAATAAAACGGCCTTTTACACGATAGATTTGATGCAAAACAACGAGCTCACCTTTAATATCACGATGGATTTTTCTTTCAGAATGAAGATATTCAAGACCCTGAAATTTTGAAAATAGAATTGTGACTTTCGTTTTTTCGAAAACCTTCAAAATTTCCCTCAAAATGACGGCAATTTGATTCTCATCCAATTTCCCGCTTTTCGTCAAATCGAGAGCTGATCCACCGCCAAGATATTCCATGATAATCCATAGTTTTGATCCCTGAATGCCTTTGTAGTGAGACAATGAGGTGTGAAAATTTAGATTTTATTCTGCTATTTTATTCGATTCTGCTTTATTCTGCTTACCCAGCCTAAAGGCGGATTTTTCTGGTGTTTTTGCGGCTAACGCTTAGTTTGACCTCTCAAGCCTTCGAAAGGACTCCTTCGAAACCCCTGTAACAATACCTTCACTGCGAGACAACTCAACTTCAACTCCATTCCAAAAACAAGTTTGGAGCGGACGGGAATCGAACCCGGCATCTTAGGGCGGTCGTTTTGGAGACGGAACCACATCAGTTAAACGTTTTGGATACGAGACCACCTCAGTTAAACGTTTTGGAGGCGGGACCACCTCAGTTAAACGTTTTGGAGGCGGGACCACCTCAGTTAAACGTTTTGGAGGCGGGACCACCTCAGTTAAACGTTTTGGAGGCGGGGCCACCTCAGTTAAACGTTTTGGAGGCGGGGCCACCTCAGTTAACCACCTCGGTCACGCCTTCCCATAGACCACAGGAAAAAAGGAGTTTGGTTTAACGGTTTTTCAAACTTTTGAGATTTTGTAATTTTTTGGAAACGACGTCAGTATGATATCAACAATCTAACAAACAAAAAAATGCGCATTCCGAAATTCAATCTAGGCGCCGAGAAAACCGTGTGTGACGGACAGACGGACACTTGCCTTTTATATTTAGTAGATGACAAAAAACAAAAGATATTCTATCAATTAACTGAATAACTTAATGGAAAAGATAAACTTCTGGCTGAGAAAAAGAGAAAACTGCAAATTTTCGTCTTTTGCACCTATGGCGCAGTGGGTGGTGCGACCATCTCTCGCTCACACAATCCGGGTTCGATCCCCCGTAGCTACCCCGATTTTTGTTTTCAAATAATTTAAAAGATGAGATGCATAACTACATAAAATTCCCTATCTAACAAAGAAAAAATTATAAAAATCGATTCACTGGGGCTGAGTTCTCGGCCGTATGGACGGACGGACGGACACACAGACACTTGCCTTTTATATACAGTAGATATTGTAGGCTTAAACCAAAATATGAGTCTTATCTTACCTTCAAATAACTGCCATAGTATTTGGTCACAAAGGAAGACTCGCATTGGCTCAAAACCTGAATTGTTGAATATTAGATTGAGGAAAAAGTAATGTCGGTTTTGAATTCCCGTTGTTGGCAATTTTCCACTTCTTTGCTTATGCGATTTTTTTTTTCAAATTGATATCACCTAGACACTTCTATACTTTCATATTATATTTGATTTTTACAAATTTAACAATATTTTCAGGTACAAAATGCAAGACGAAAAGTTTCGACTTCGAGCCGCTTTGTGGGATGATTTTAAATAAGGAAAATCGACGAGCTTTGTTGGAAACTTCTGCCCCCACGCACCTTTTGGTCCGGACCTGAGTCCGGACCAAAAGTCCGGATCTTTTGGTCTTTTGGTCCGGATCAGATTATTTTTTGTTTCGGTCCTTTAAGAGTTTTCTTATGGGAGAAAAGTTCGAGAATTATGCACAGATCAAAAAAAGTAGTCGACACTTATTTTGGCTCGAAAACTCCCCATTTTTTTTGAGGATGGAATCAGGGACAAAGATCAGACAAAGATGGGAACGAGTCATCAATAATAATTGAGAATATCTCATTGATTGATGTGCGTTTGCTTATGTTTTTAGCAATAAAAAGTTTTGTGACAAAAACCGACATTACTTTTTCCTCAACCTAATAGATGAGAGTTTGATTCTAAGGAATTCTTAGAGCTGGCTTCTAGCTGGCTTCTAGCTGGCTTCTAGCTGGCTTCTAGCTGGCTTTAATTTCAGCTAAGATTTCCATTTTTCCACAAACCTGAATCTCTTGTTGAATATCTTCAATCTCATCTTCGGCTTGTTCCAAATCGATTATTTTTATGGCGACAACCTAAAGCGTTTGAATTGAAGCTGGATGGAAAACTTGAAAAATGTAACTCCACAATACACAAACCTGTCCATTTCTCTTATCGATTCCTTTGTAAACTTCTCCAAATGATCCTCTACCAATTCGATCTTGTTTAGTGAAAATCGCCTCAGGATCAAGTTTCTAAAATTTCAATCAAATTGGATACAATAGAATAAAGTTCATTTTTTTAATGCTGATTTACCTGAGAAAAGGAACGAGTGCTAAATTTCAACATTCTTCCGAATGTTTACACAGTAATGATGCGTAAAAATTGGATACAATTCTGTAAAAGCTAAATTCCTAGATACAATTCTGTAAAAGCAAATAGTTTTGAAGAAATTAGGCGGTAAAAGTGTAATTGAATGAGAGGAAGGGATGTTCTCCCCTTCACCGATGGATGAAGACCCCATCCCCTCAGCATTCTATCTTCTCATCCTCTCTTCTTCCCTTCTTCTCTTCTTCCCTTCTTCCCTCCTTCCCTTCTTCTCTTCTTCCCTTCTTCCCTCCTTCTCTTCTTCCCTTCTTCCCTTCTTTTCTTTCCCTCTTCTCCCCATTCCGTGTCGATCCAAGTAAACATGCCCCTTTCCTCTTTTTCTTCCTTCAAGCTACTCGGCCCTTCTCTCGGTTCTCACTTTTTTTTGTGTATATCGTTCTGTCTGCATGTAAAGACTTTCATCTCTCAATTTACATGGGAAAGTGACCGAAGCGCTCTTGAGATCTTTGATCTATCGAATTTCTATATTTTATTAACTTATCGTTATTTAAATCTAGAACTATTCTTATCAAATATTCAAAAATCAAATGAAATAAGTTATTGCATCAATTGCTCTCTGCTACAAGTTTTACGGTTTCATAGCTCTTAAGCTCAGAAATACAGGCATTCTTACTAGGGAATTGCTTCAAATTAGCATCGATTTGGAAAACCGGAAAACGGATAGATAGAAACCGGACAGAAATGCAACCTTGAAATTTTAAGAGATGCTTGTTTTTCTGTTTTACTCCATAGCATCCAGTTTTCAAGAAAAAGCCTTTTAAAGTCTGGGGACTGGAAAAACGGCGTCGCCGCGATATGGAGCTGAATTACTTTCCATCCAGCAAGTGACCAAATGGTGTAGCGGATAGCATGCTCGGGCCTCGTCCCTTCTATCCCTGGTTCGATTCCCTTCACTTTCAAAAATCTTTTTGCTTTTTTGTTAAAGCACTAAAACCAATTTTTAGGTTGTCTATAAGCGGTAATAAGCTAAATAGGACTTCTGGAAATGATTGAAAACGACTTTCAGTGCCTACAAAAGACTACAAAAGATTGAACGACTACAAAAGAATAGTTAATGTAAAGAAAACATTTAGGACTTTCCCCGTATTCTAATTTGCATCATCCGCATCCATTCAACTCAAAAATCTCAAAGTATCGGCTTTATAATGAAACAACGGAAAGAATGCTGTATTATATAATCATTCTTGAAAGAAACTCTGAAAAAGAACTCACATTTTTCATTTCCTCAAAAGTGACAGGCGGTGGATTGACGATTTTATTGTTGCTTTTCTCTTTTTGATTCTCCTGTGTGCCGGTAATTATTCGTTTACCATAAATTTCTTTGATTTCTTTTGTCGACATCACACTGCTTACATCTCCATCTAAAGACATCGAATCTCCGTCGATTTCGATTTCTTTTTCTTTCGGACTTTTCTTGATCAAATCATCATAAACACCAAGCATTCCTGCTCCAAAATTTGCCGGTTTAAATTTCCCTCCACCACTCGATCCATCATACTTTCTCGAATACAATTCTCTGTCTTCTCTTCTTTCCGAATTTGGTGGCGACTTTCGGAGAAGAATATTTGACTCAAAAAGTGCTTTGTTTTGTTAATCTTTCATCATTTTGTGGTAAAGCGATGAATGATTTGGCCATATCTCTGCTCAACGATGTTTTCGGTCGATTTCTCACTTCTGAATTCGTTCTTTTTACATTTTTTGCTTCTTTCGTTTCCCCTCTTTCTATTCGTCTTTCAAAATTTGACGCTTTATTTGAAGAGATTCGACGCATTTCCTCATCTCGTGAACCTTAAAATAAAGTTTAGTCAATTTATACTTTTGAATATTTTATTTCAATTTTTAATAAGATCCTAAGCCTTAGATTTTATTTAGAATGCTTTTGTTATGTTATAAAGATCAATATTATTGGGTTGGTCAATAAATAATGAGTCATATCAAAGAAAGGAATTATTGTGAAAGTAAAATATTGGGCTGGTGAATTGAAAACTGCGGGCTATTGTCATATGTGACAGTTTGAGCACTTTCTTCAAAAGAAACCCATTTTGGTGTCAATGGAAAAGTTGTAGAGAATCAAAAATCAAGCTTATATCCAAATTTTCAGAACGATTCAAATACTGGTTTTCAAGAAATGCCAAATTTACGAATTTTCACAAAACTTGCATTTTAAGCGAAACTACTAAGTGTATCTTTTTGGAAATTTGGCTATAAGCCTCATTTTTGATTCTCTACAACTTTTCTATTGACACCAAAATGGGTTTCTTTTGAAGAAAGTGCTCAAACTGGGACACTGGGACATCTCCAGTCCTCCATTTTTGAGTTTCACACTTGTCTCACACACAAACCAAAATCCTACTACGAAAGAGGAACCCGCAGATTGCCTGTAAAATGGGCAGAAGTCGTCAATAATAATGGAAATTATTTCGAATGAATTTATGGTTTTATGTTCAATAAATTTTAGTTCAAAGTCCCGCAGTTTTCAATTCACCAACCCAATATAATACATTTTGGGATTTTGTCGCGTAGTGAAGGTCAGACGCACTTCGTCTGATCACCAAGAAACACAAGAACAATCCCAAGAAATTTGAGCTTAAAGCTTGATCGCTAATGGCAAAGGGGGCGGGGCGCGTACACGACGCGATGACGACGTATTTTGGGCGCACAGTCGCGTAGTCGTTAATTGTTTTACTGATAACAAAAGAGGAATCGGCAAATTGCCTATAAAATGGGCAAAAGTCGTCAATAATAATGGAAAGTATTTCGAATGAATTCATGGCTTTATGTTCAATAAATTTTAGTTCAAAGTCCCGCAGTTTTTAATTACTTTCAAAAAATGCGTCTTCAAGTCAAAGATCGTTCTCATCCACGACAACACGCGCTCTTATGTTGCAAAACTGATTCGCTCTAAAATAAATAGCCTTATTTGGGGACTTTTGGCGCATTACCCATACAGTCCGAACCTCACCCCTTTTGATTACTATTTATTCCGGATCATGAGCTTGCGGGAGAACACTTCGATTCCGGAAGAAGCAGTCAAAAATTTCCTTTGAAAGTTTTTCGATTCAAAACCAAAATCCTACTACGAAAGAGGAACCCGCAGATTGCCTGTAAAATGGGCAGAAGTCGTCAATAATAATGGAAATTATTTGGAATGAATTGATGGCTTTATTTTGAATAAATTTTAGTTCAAAGTCCCGTAGTTTTCAATTCACCAACCCAATATTTTGAAACTAAAATAAAAAAAACTATTTTGATTGATTTAGATGGCTTTATTTCGTCAATTTCTTTTTTGAAATTGATTCATTACTTATCGGCGAACTCAACACTTGAATACAACTAATATAATTTCAAAGAAACCTACCAGAAAGATTGTTGTTGTTCTTCGGAATATAGTTTTTCACTCGCGGAAAATCGTTTAAAATCGTGGACTCGGGCGAGCTTTTGTGCTCATTTGTTGGCGGTGTTAAACGCGGTCGGGGGATTCCCGGTTGAATTGGTCTTTGTAAATCGAAGCGATTTATTGCCGCTTGAACATTCGTATTTCGACATAAAGTATCCACAAAACGATCATCATCTCCTTTTCGTTCACCCATCGTCATATCGAGATCTCACATCCAAGATTTCGGATCGAAAATCGATAAACTAAAATGAAATTGATGAGTCAGAAAGCCATAAAAATCATTAGAAAACATAAAATCACTGAAAGTGAAAGAAAAAAGAAAAAGCAAATTCAATCAATATTCAATATTCAGCTAAGCGTTTCATCAGATTAATCAAAAAGAAAAAGAATGAAACTTAAGCCGATTCAGTCAAGATTTAATGGGCTTATTTGAAATCGGCTTATTAATAGCGAAATTGCGAGGAAAACGATTGAATTCTAAAGTCGAGCTATGGTTTTACATCAGAAAAATTTGGAGGACGATTCGACCTGGAATTCTTGATGAATTTGGAGGACGATTGGACCTGCTTGCATCGATGCCTACTCGTATCAAGGAAGTACTTTTGGCAAAAGGAGGAACGACTAAACATTGATTAAAGCTTAATTTCGTTTTGTGTGAAAAGACTTTTGCATCACGATTTTCAGGCGTGTTTTGACAATTTAAGATTTAAGCATTTAAGCTAGAAATTGTAAATAAATTGTACATTTATTTATGTAACTAAAACTATTAATAGCTTAAAGAGCGCCATGAACTTCATCAAAGAAAATTGAATGCGAAAAGACTTTTGGCAAATCTGAAGGGAAAAAGAAAAGGAAATACAATCAATATTCAGCTAAGCGTTTCATCAGACTGATCAAAAAAAAGAATGAAACTTAAGCCGATTCAGCCAAGCTTTAATTGAGTTGATTCAGAGAGGTGAAAAAGGTGAATAAAAAGAAAAACGAGCAAATCGTTCAGGTCTACACATTCCATTCTCAACTCTTCTCCATTCTTCTCCATTCTTCTCCATTCTTCTCCACTCTCCATTCAGTTATCATTCGGCTTTGCGCTATTCAAAAGAAATTTGATAAGAAACCAAGGAAAAGCAATAAAAATAGGAAAATATAAAAGAAAAAAGAGCATTTATTTTTCGTTTTTAGATTTTACCTCTCTTCAATCATTAAACAAAGCTTGCTCATAAAAAAAAATTGTGTTTTTAAGCCAAAAATTTGATTTGAATTTGAGCAAAGCAAATTTTGATTCAAACGATTAGATTGATCGTTGTAGATTGATCGATTAGATTGATCGAATCAAATACATCTTCTAAATAGATCTTTCTAGCTTAAATGCTTAAATCTTAAATTGTCAAAACACCGCTGAAAATCGTGGTGCAAAAGTCTTTTCACACAAAACGAAATTAAGCTTTAATCAATGTTTAGTCGTTCCTCCTTTTGCCAAAAGTCCTTCCTTAATACGAGTAGGCATCGATGCAATGAATTCATCAAGAATTCCAGGTCCAATCGTCCTCCAAATCCATCAAGAATTCCAGGTCGAATCGTCCTCCAAATCCATCAAGAACTCCAGGTCCAATCGTCCTCCAAATCCATCAAGAATTCTAGGTCCAATCGTCCTCCAAATCCATCAAGAATTCCAGGTCGAATCGTCCTCCAAATCCATCAAGAACTCCAGGTCCAATCATCCTCCAAATCCATCAAGAATTCCAGGTCGAATCGTCCTCCAAATCCATCAAGAACTCCAGGTCCAATCGTCCCCCAAATCCATCAAGAATTCCAGGTCGAATCGTCCTCCAAATTTTTCTGATGTAAAACCATAGCTCGACTTTAGAATTCAATCGTTTTCCTCGCAATTTCGATTTCAAATAAGCCCATAACTTCTCGATAACATTTAAATCCCGTGAGAATGGTGAAGCTTTGATCAAGGAAACGTGATTGATCCCAAACCATCCCGGTAAATGTGCTTTTCCTCCATTCGAGAGACTCACAACGCGGCCCATCAAAAATTTGCTTTTGTGTACTGGCGAATTATCTTGATAAAGAAACCATCCTGAATTCATCGAAGCAGTCGCAAATGGAAGTAGACATCTGTCCAATATCTCAATATATCTCAATATCTCAATATACCATAGCTCGACTTTAGAATTGAATCGTTTTCCTCGCAATTTCGCTATTAATAAGCCGATTTCAAATAAGCCCATTAAATCTTGACTGAATCGGCTTAAGTTTCATTCTTTTTCTTTTTGATTAATCTGATGAAACGCTTAGCTGAATATTGATTATTGATCGTTGAATCAAATACATCTTCTTCTAAATAGATATTTCTAGCTTAAATGCTTAAATCTGAGCTTAAATCTTAAATAAACTTTAATTAAATTTCGAAAAAAAAGGCCAGAAAGGTGTGAAAAATGAGTTGAATGAATGAAAATAAAAAGAGTGAATAGAAAGAACAAAGAGTTTAAGGGGGGAAAGGGGCATGTAAACAAGAAAGAGAAAACGGAGAAGGAGAAGGAGAACGTCCAAAAGAAGGCGTTGTATGCACACAACAATGTTCTGAACTCTGTACAAAGGAAAGAAAAGTCTCTCTTGAATAGATGGAATTTGTTTGAGAAGAACTCAAGAAAAAGAAACGCGCATTCTTAAAAGGAATGAGTTTATTTAGACGAAAGAAAACTTGCCTTTTTTTGCCGAATCTTTTCAAGTTGAAGGTAGAATTGATGCCTCAAAAAAATCTACGATACAAGATGGCGTACAATTATGGAAACTCGATTTTTCGACTCTAACTCGACACCCAATTATTCGATTCCCCTAATTTCATATTTCTATGAAATTTCAACTTAATTTCTGTTCTCAATTTCAAATTTTAGTTCAGAAACAAAGTGGTACGCTTTTTATAGTACTTCAAAGTTCAAAGGTGTCAACTACTCACTTTTTTCGCAGGATTTACACCTATTTTGAAGAATTTCCCGTTTCATGTTTACTTATTTTTGCTTTTTATTAAGAAATCATATTATCTGAAGCATTTCACATCAGAAAATTTTCAATAATTACAAAATTTTGAGACCTAATAGTTGAATTTCCTTGAAAGCTGAGCAGAGCAGTCATCTGTTTGGCATTCAAATCATTCCTGATTTGCTGTCTTCCAAAATTTATGCATTTATTTTGTGATATTTGTCGAAATTTATAATTGAGTGGAAAAAAAAACTCAAAGGATTGATTGATTTGTGGGGCAATTCTTGAGAGTTGAAAACTATCGAAAATGATGATTCTGCCGGCACCGCTGAACTTCAAAATACTATAAAAAGCGTAACACTGTGTTTCTGAAATAAAAAAAAATTGAAATTGACCGCAGAAATTAACTTTGAAATTTCATAGAAATCTGAAATTAGGGGAATTGAATAACTATTAGCTCTCAAAATTTTGTAATACCAAACAGATGACTGCTCTGCTCAGCTTTCAAGGAAATTCAACTATTAGGTCTCAAAATTTTGTAATTATTGAAAATGTTCTGATGTGAAATGCTTCAGATAATATGATTTCTTAATAAAAAGCAAAAATAAGTAAACATGAAACGGGAAATTCTTCAAAATAGGTGTAAATCCTGCGAAAAAAGTGAGTAGTTGACACCTTTGAACTTTGAAGTACTATAAAAAGCGTACCACTTTGTTTCTGAAATAAAAATTGAAATTGAGATCAGAAATTAAGTTGAAATTTCATAGAAATATGAAATTAGGGGAATCGAATAATTGGGTGTCGAGTTAGAGTCGAAAAATCGAGTTCCCATAATTGTGCCCCAAATAAAAGAGCAGTGTCTGTCCGTCCGTCTGTACGAGCTTTTTCTCAGCCATCTTTGAGCCAAAAAAATTGAAATTGAAAAAAAATAAAAAGTCTCCAAATACAAGAATAGTTTTGAGTTCATTTTTTTCTGAGAATATAGAGGGGAATATGGTTATTATTTGGCCTCAAAAAGACTTTTAAAACATTTTGTTTTTCTAGACTTATCCAGCGAAACCTTTTACAATAAACGCAACAAAAAGAAGCATGCAAAAAAATTTTTGAGGTAGTAGAAAACGGGTGGAACAAGTTTGTCGGATTGAACAATTCCCCATTCTCCTCAATCTCCCCTCAACTTCCCTCTCTAAAACCATCTTAAGTAGGTTTCTCCCGCTGTGATGGTGGGAAAATTTTTCGTGAATATCGCTCCGTTCCACTATAGTGTTCTTATGCAAATTGTTCTTGATAGAAAATGGAGAAAAGAAAGGCTTTGAAATCAATTTAGAAGTAACAGACAAAATATTGGGTAATTAAACCGGCAGAACGCATTCAATAGTAAACAAGCGTTTAATTGCATGGCTGTGCTGTATGGCTGTGCTGTATGGCTGTGCTGTATGGCTGTGCTGTATGGCTGTGCTGTGCTGTATGGCTGTGCTGTATGGCTGTGCTGTATGGCTGTGCTGTATGGCTGTGCTGTGCTGTATGGCTGTGCTGTGCTGTATGGCTGTGCTGTGCTGTATGGATGTGCTGTGCTGTATGGCTGTGCTGTGCTGTATGGCTGTGCTGTGCTGTATGGCTGTGCTGTATGGCTGTGCTGTATGGCTGTGCTGTATGGCTGTGCTGTATGGCTGTGCCCCAGTAACAGTAACCCCAAGTAGTACAGTTAAAGTACAGTACAGTAAACTACTTGACTACAGTAAAGCTCACTACAGTAAACTACTTGAAAGACTTGAGAATATGTAAATTGAGAAATGGAGTTTTTACAAGTTTCAATTTCTCTGCATATTTGTAAACATTGTAAAATTGTATTGTTAGGTTAAGCTAAATTCGGCTAAGCTTTTGAAGCTTTTTGAAAAGAAACTCAAAAGAAACTCAACGCGCTTCTTGGCCTTTTCATTCTTGATAGAAGGAAAAGGTCAAGAAGTAGAGAAGTTGGTGATAAAGGCAAAGAAATTTGTAAAGATTTGATGAAGAAGATGTAGAAAAAGATGAAGAAAAAGATGAAGAAAAAGATGTGAAAATAAACGCGTTCAAAAACTCTCCCCATCACTTGTCACACTTCTTTTTCGGCTTTTCGGCTTTTTTGTGTCAAAAAGTTATGTGTGCGATTGACATAAAGACTGGACCGATTGATTGTGTCTTTCTTTTCTGTTCATTCTGTCATTCAAAAGAGAAAAAGACAACTTCTATTCATCTGGTTCCCTTTGGACTCAAAAAGCTTTCCCACTCTTTTTCCACATTCTTTTATATCCCAAGAGATCCGGAATTGTGACAGGTTGTTGCATTCTTGATTCTTAAAGAAACAGAAAGATTTCTTAAAGAGTTTGCTTTTGATTGGGCAATGAAATTGATTGATTTGGTTAAAAATTGAATTGAAAATTGAGGAATGGGACAAATGCTACCTTTTTTTTGCGCACCCGGACATTTGCGCACCTTGTCCGCACCTTGCCCATTAGCGCATCTTTTTTCGCGTTTTAAAAAAGCTCTAAAAAGCTAATATTAACCAATTTCTATTCCAAATGTTGTTTTTCTAGGTAATTTGAGGGTGTCGAATTCAAATTTTGACATAACAGAGAGTGTGGAACCAATTGAAAGACATTGAAATTGAAAGACAAAACGGCTAGGTCAAATTACAGAAAATTGTCGATTTTTTTCTTTGTATAACTCCGTCCGTTCGTTTCCACAAGCTCTGATATGTCAAAATTTCGATTCTACGCCCTAAAATTACCTAGAAAAACAACTTTTGGAATAGAAATTCGTTAATATTAGCTTTTTAGAGCTTTTTTAAAACGCGAAAAAAGGTGCGCTAATGGGCAACGTGCGGAAAAAAAGGTGCGCAATTGTCCGGGTGCGCAAAAAAAGGTCGCATTTGTCCCACTCTCGAAAATTGGATTGAAGAGTCTGAAATGGCGACGTTTTCAGATGAACTTTTGAAGAAAAAAACAAAACAATAACTTTGCCTCAAATTTTCTTCTAATAATAATTGAATTTGTGTTGATTACCGTATTTTCTCTGTGTGATTTTCTTCCAATAAAAGATATCTTTAAAAAGATTAGCTACCGTATTTTCTCTAATAGTAGTGCACCATGAGTGTCGCCTAAATTGCTCGAAATCTCGTGAACCGCTTATCCTGCCTATCGGGGGGGCGGGAAAGCGGGGAACCGGGGGGGGTTGGGTTGTGCTTCTGTGAAAACTTTGAAAGCCGTAAAATAGTCACCAACTCGGCTCGCTGGGGTGCACTACTATTAGGGAAAAGCCGGTACATGAAAAACACGCTTTTAAATGGCGCACCAAACCCTCCAGGCGCACTGAATGAATTCTAGAGTCTACTTTCACTAATTCTCAATTCTCCACAACAAAAAAACGCAACCGATCTCACGATCCAAAACAAAGACTCCAAATCGACGCACACACAAGAGGACGTGATCTAATGGGATCGGGAGTGCTAAATAAAATTCGTATTTTCTCTAATAGTAGTGCAGCCAGAGCGTCGCCTAAATTGCTCGAAATCTCGAGAAACGCTTATCAGAACCTATCGATGTGGGGTCGGAAAATGTAGCTGACGATGAGATCTAGTGGGGGATTTGAGTGTTGAGCTTCTGTGAAAACTTTGGAAACCGTAAAATAGTTACCAACTTGGCTCAATTATTATTAGAAAAAAATTTGAGTAAAAGTTATGGTTTTGTTTTGTTTTTAAAAGTTCATCTAAAAACGCCGTCATTTCAGAGTCTCCAACCCGATAAGACAAGGCGGCAATAAGAAAAAAGAAAACAAATTAAAAAAAAGACAATTACTCAAACACTTTAAAGAATCCGATCACAAAAAGTATAGCAATGTGAAAGAAAGAAAGAAAAGAAACTGTTCACGCAAAAGAGAAAAGAAAATCTTTAGAATGAAAAAGAAAGAAAAGAAAGAAAAGAAAAGAAAAGCTTTAACGAGAGAAAGAGTGCGTGACGCGAAGTCAAACAGTCCGATGAACTCATGGAAAGAAAAGATGAAAAGATGAAAAGAAAGGGAAGGGCCTGAGGGGAAAGGGAAGATCCCATCCAGAGAAGACCTCATTCTGTCTTTTCTTTTGAAGAAATATTCTCTTCTGCAATAGCTAAGTATGTGTCTCTTATTAAAACGATGGGATTTTGAGCGTACAGTCACGTAGTCGTTACTGTTTAACTCATAAGTTGGTGGAAATTCAAAGATAAACAAAACTATTGGATTATTGCAATGGTCAAAATTTATAACATAACTGAACGATCATAATGAAAGCTTCGAAGAAATGTGATCCGAATCTGCGGCCAGAAATCAAAAAGAAAAAACAAAAGTAAAAAGAGAACCGGGATACGCCCGCACTTACCACTACGCCATCAGGCCATCTTTCGGTGGGCGGAAAAGAGCCTTTATAAGCCCGCGGCACGATTTCCCGAGTGGACACGAGAAATTTGGAAACGTTTTTCTCGTATGTTTTTGAATATGGGCAAAAACTGAATACGGTATCGGATTTCTCGTGTCCGATACCGTATTCAGATTGCATCTCAACGGTATTCAGATTGCATCTCAACAGCGTCAAAATCTGCTTCCGCCATTTTTTGGCATCCCCTTGTGAGTACAAAATTTTGTGTTTCCTTTTCAATTTTAGTTTCAATGAATGCTAATTGTCGTAGCTAATGTAAAAAATGTCACTTATTTTCTTTGTTTCAAAGTTTATTGCGCATCAAGTACAAGTATAGATTTGTACAATTGGTCTTTTGAAATGGATTAGATAGAAAAACATCGATTGATAGTTGAGCATATGATCTGAAAAGACGGAAACGATTGAAAAATGAAAGAAGGCCATTGAGTGAAGTGAATTTGAGTTTGGATTGAAGCACCAATTTCTATAAAGATTGAACTATTGAGGAGGAACTATTGAAAGGAAAAAGGGAAAAAGAGGACGAAGACCAGTATCGTTCGTTGAGTCGAAAAAGCGAATCAGGAAAAGAAAATTTGAAGAGATAAAGAAATCGGTGAAATTCTTAACCGAAATGAATTCTCTTCTCATTTCTTTATTGTATCCGACATCCATCATCGTCTGTCATCTCTCTTTGTCTGAGAGACGAGATTCGATCCGAATAAAGACTTGTCAATGTTCTTGTCAAATCATCCAAATCCTTTGTGATTCCGTTTAGTTTGCTTTGTTGTTTTTCGAGCTAAATTTTCACTTTTCATACTTTCAACACTTTCCATTCGTAGATTTCTTTGTTTTATCATTGTATTTTAAGCTTACTATGTAAAGCCTACTATGTAAAGCCTACTATGTAAAGCCTACTATGTAAAGCTTACTATGTAAAGCTTACTATGTAAAAATCTTACTTTTCTTTGCGCTTCATCCATACTCATCGCTGGCGTATTCGAGGCTAACATCTCTGCTTCACTTTCGGACATCGAATCAAACGCAAGGGCTAAACTTTTCAGTTTAATATAGTAAACTTGGTTTTCGGTTTCTTTTCAAATCGTATCGGCTCAAATCTCAAGTCTTTCGCATCAATTTTTGCCTTAAATTTGGCTATATTTTTGCTAGAAATTCTTCTTAAATCATTGTGTCACTTAAAGAATAAATTAAGAGAATGATGCGATTTTTACTCATTTTATGCTTTGCCTAACCCATTTTTACCTAGTTTGAACCAATTCTCATCTTGAACAAACCTTGAATCTGCGTGATACTCGTCAAATCGGCGCTACTTCCATTCTCGACTTGTGAGGCCAATTCAGCTAAGGCTTTCGTCAGCACTCTTGCATCGAGAAGGTATTTCCCTTGCTTTCTAAACGCTCACCGGGTAAACATTTTCTCACTCATTTCCTTACTGAATCAATTGAGTGATTGCCGGTGTCACATCTCCTTTCAGATTTCGATGATCAATTTGAAAATTGGAAATCGATTTTCTTAGATGACTTTGACTGCCGAGTGCGGTGAGATAGCTTTGTGATGAGGAAAGTTGGCCATTTGAAACCGATGGAGACATTGAGGCACCCAAAGTGGAATGAGCCTGAAATGCAAAGAGACAAAATGAGGGGCTTAAGATCAACTTGAAATCAGTCGTCTAGGCATTGCACCATCAAAAAAAAAGGTCATCTTTTGATTCTTTAGACGGTACTTGTAACTCTTATGTGGGTCCGCCTTACCCAGTATAATTTACACTTATACGCGCGAATTTCCATTTAAAAGCAAATAAAGGGGTGACACTTGGCGTTTTTAAATACATAATTTCAAATTGATCAATTAAAAAGTGTTTAGTTTTGTTTGTCGAAAGAATTTCTTGATTTCTGAAGATTGGATTGATCGTAATTTAGCACTTTTTTGAGGCCGATTTGACTGAAAATTTGCACCAGGAGGGTTTTCAGGGTCAACGAATTCAAATCCGTTATTAGTTTTTTAAAGAAAACTACTCTATTTTTGGATATTTCATTCAGTTTAATTACCCAAGTGCGACCCTAAATCCAGACCCGTGTGCCAGAAGGTACGCGATTACAAAAACGTGAAAATCATGTTTACGCAATCGTGCGGCTTCTGGCATACGGCTTCTAGAGTTATACAAAACCTAAACCCAGTTTTGCTTTTATTTTCTTCAATTCGGTTTAATTACCCAAGTTTTTCGAGTTTTTTGATGACCGTATTGGGTTGGAAATTAAAGTTGCTTAAATGTGCAAATGTTGGCGGCGTAAGAGTCACAAGTGCCCTTTGGGTTAGCCATGGGTGCTACAAACTACAAACACTTTTAACTTTCTTTAAATCTGCCGGATTGATCAGATCTATAGCTTAAAAGATAGAGAATCTCAAGAGCTTTCGAATGGACTAAAGCCCGCTCAAAAATAGGAATGTTAAAGAAAGTTACAGTGGTTTGTAGCCTGACTCGATCGCTTCGACTACGCGCGAGTACGGTCCGTTTCGAGTCAGGACTACAAACCATAGTCTTGATATTTTTTGGTGTGCTTCGGTCCATTCGAAAGCTCTTGAGATTCTCTATTTTTGAGCTATAGCTCATGTCAATCCAACAGATTTAAAGCAAGTTAAAAGCGTTTGTAGTGCAACAGTTTGTCATTTTTGTAGTTTATAGTGCCCATGCCTATTTTGGGCTGGATTTTTCAAATCTTACATACCTTTTTGTACATTTTCCTTGTCGAATCGTGTGCTATTATTGGCGTTCCATCATTTCCAATCATTGATCCATCCATTGTCGCTGTCTCAAGCTCATCCACAACAGGTGTCGATCCAGATGAGCAAGATTGTCCGTAGGAAAGATGCTAAAATAATTTAATGGTTGAGATTTCCGTCTGCTAGCTACCTCAGCTCGAATTGCCCCCAATTCAGCCTCAAGTTCTTTTATTCGCGCATCCTTTTCTTCCACATCTTTTGCCAGATTTTGAGCCTGAATTTTTCGAATTTTTATCAAATCTAACTTTAACTTAAAGACCTTGAATTCGGCAAAAAATTGATCTTCAGCTGCTTTTTCTAATTGTTTTTCGAGCATGCCAATCCGCTCTTGATATTGCTCGCAAACATTGTAATCCGATTCGAGTGCTGAGAGTCTAGAATTGAAATAATGTAAATGTATTATTGCTTAAAGAGTGCAAACCTTTCATTTACTCGATGCAATTCATCCTTCAATTCATGATTTTCCCTTCGACATTTGCTCAAATCACTTGCATGCACGCGTTGCTCGATTTCTTGTTGAGCGAGCGTTTTTCGAAGTTTATTCTAAAACATTTCACGTAATCATATCATTGTATCATTGTATAGAGAACATTTCAGGCTCTCGAATGACACCAAATACAGTTTGATTGGATTTTTCATTCCCATACAAATAAAAGTTGGATTGATCTCATTTGCTCAAAGTTGGCTTTGATTTTTTTCCTATTTATTCTATTCTAATTCTAAAACGCAAAACATTTAAAATAATCTTATGTCAGAGAAATAAAAACAATAAAATTTCACCTGTAGACTTGATATCTCGTTGTCTCTATCGTTGACGATTTGTTCAAAAGAATGAAAACCGAGAGTTGGACTTGTTACAGCCACAGGAACCACTGCTAAAAATATATAAATAAAAACAAATGTTTCTTAGTTTACTTTAAGATAAGTAAGCTTGTATAATAATTTTCGGCTATTTGACATTTGATACGCGCCCCGTCCCTTTTCCCATCGGCAATCCAACTTTGACCTCAAATATCTTGGTGTTGGGCTGCCCAATTTAAACTTTCTTGGTATCATTAGATGCGCCAAGTTTTTCTCTATCGATTGGTACAAAAACTATTTAAATTGTACAGCTCAACACCGCGATATTTGAGCTCAAAGTTAGATTGCCGATGGGAAAAGGGGTATCAAATGTCCCACAATCATAATTTTCGGCTCTTTTCTGGTATTTTCAGCGTCTATAACTTTATTCAGGGATAATATTATTGCTAACTTTTTATATCATTGTATAGAGAACATTTCAGGCTCTCGAATGACACCAAATACAGTTTAATTGAATTTTTCATTCCCATACAAATAAGAGTTGGATTGATCTCATTTGCTCAAAGCAAGGCTTTGATTTCCCTTGACTCAATTATCAAATCAAACTGTATTTGGTATTATTTGAAAGGCTGAAGTTTCCTTATTAAAACTATAAAAAAAGTTTACAAAAGTACAATCTCTAGCCAAAATTATAGGCCTTCAAAACGTGACGATTCATTCAAAATACCCGACAAGAGCCTAACTTTATAACTTTATAAAATAAAACTTTCTCACCTTGTGCAGTTTGATCCAATTCGAGACTTCGCAGTCTTTGTTCGATTTTCTCCAATCGCATCGCTTCGTTTGATGGCGGTGCATCAACTAAAAGAACGAAAAGTTAAAGTTTTTCCAAAATCCCTCACCAAGAACTTCTCGCGTGAAGAAAGAATCTTTGTGCTGTCGATTCGTCGGCGTTGAGTCATTTGGATGCGTTCGATAGGTTGGAACGATGACCGCAGAATTGTGTCCACTTGACGGATTCGAGCTTCGACGTTCCACAACCATTGCACTAAAAATCAAAACGTTTAAGTTTCTAGTTTCTAGTTTCTAGTTTCTAGTTTCTATTTTTATAATAAGCTTCTAGAAACCTGAAAAATCCAGCTGCAGTGTGCATCCGTGTAACTTTTAAGAAAGTTTAAAAAAGAAAAAATTTCTTTAACGTTAATGATAGAAAATGTTTTTTTAAAAACGCAAGAACATTAAACCAAATCAGAATTACCTAAATCTAGGTGAGGGAAATTGAAAGGCATCATTGTTTTATGATTTCTATGATGCCTATGGCAAAAGGTCAAGGTATTTATTCCTGAAGTAAATGAATTGGATCGATAATGAAAAAAAACTTTCGAGAACCAAAGATACTTGTGATTTCTTTTTCCACGCAATCAAACACAAAAGCAAATTTCCTTATAGTAGATTTGGCACTGATTTCTGAGACATTTCCATTTCTGAGTGTCCGTTAAATCATTTGGAATCAAAGTTCCTAATACGATTTAAGCCCAAGCTTATGCAATTTTCGAGTACAGTCGAACCTCTCTATAACAAAACTCGATATAACGTAAACCTCTATATAACGTAAGGCGTGACCGGTCCCGGCTGACGTTAAGCTATATAAAACGGTACTCTATATAACGTAAACCTCTATATAACGTAAGCTATAGCCGTCCCGTGAGTTACGTTATAGAGAGGTTCGACTGTATTTGTTATGATGTCGTGTTCGGGCTTTCCCCCCTCAGCATTGATGATTCTTGACCATTTTACCGTTGATGCTTGATCTATTTTACCGTTGATTAATCCATTGATGCTTTCATCGAAAGTTCACAGTTAGAATCCATTTTCATCTCTTGTCACAAGTAAAAACGATTTACGCTCGCATCGAGAAAGATGAGCGACGCTGATTGAAACGCATTGTCATTCCCGTTCAATCCTTTAGATCCCTAAGTCCAAGTCCTTAATACGATTTAAGTCCAAGCTTATGCAATTTTCGAGTATTTTTATATGATCAACTGATAGCTCTTCTGCTATTGCGCGAAAAGAAAGGCTTTTGTTGGTTTGAAAAATTTCGAGCAACTTGGCATTATCTAACTGAAGCTGATCCTTTCACATAAAAATTCTCAACATTGAATCTCAACGTTGAACACTAGAGGTCCTTCCCTTGTGTCTTTGTAGAAATTCATAAAACAAGGTGTCATGAAATACTAAAAATTAAATAGTAGTAAGAAAAGAAGTAAAGTAAGCGGGATGTTTCGCCTAGAAGGTGAAACCTGAGAAATTATTCGGTTTCTTTGCCTGGCCAGGCTTTGTTGCAGACACAATGAGTTCCTGGCCCAGAAGCCTGGCCTGGTCCTGGATTCTGACCGGACTCTGGCATGTTCTTTACCCTTCTGGTCTTTACAATTATGATCGGTTGGAATATTTCTGGACCAAACGAGACAAGGCTTTGCTCCAGGAGCAGTTAGAAGCTAGCCCTGGACTTGACTTCTGACTGAGCTCTGGCCTGTTCCGGTCTTTACTGACCCAGTTAGAATATCTCTAACCATCCGATTTCAGAGTAAACTTGCTTCTAGCCTGGAGGGCTAGAAGCAAGTTTATTACAAGCAAGCAAATTACAGGCCATAGGGCGATTAGTATCTAAAAATAAGCATGTCGCAGATCTCCAGGTATTAGATTTTCAATAGTTCGAACAAAGTAAAGTAAAATTCCAAAAAGTAAATGTAAATTTGCGCGAAAAAAATGACAAGTATCAATGAAGTTTTTGTGATTTTTATCGACGAACTTTGATCGATGAGCTTCAAATTTGCGTGGAAAGAAAAGTGACAAGTATCAAACCAAATTCTGCTTTTTTCAACGAATATATGCTAACTTTTGTTTTAGTAAATCAAATTTCGATGCTTTTCAATTCTGATTTCCCGCAGATTCAAATGAATTTCACTTACTTTATCCCATTTTCCCCGCGTCTTTCCTGTCCACTCCGACGTGTTTGCGGTGGAACAACAACCTAAAAGAAAAGAATTTAGTTACTTATATTTGATACGATAAACCTTTCCTTTTAACCTTTATTGGGAGTGGGACAAATGCGACCTTTTTTTTGCGCACCCGGACATTTGCGCACCTTTTTTTCCGCACGTTGCCCATTAGCGCACCTTTTTTCGCGTTTTAAAAAAGCTCTAAAAAGCTAATATTAACCAATTTCTTTTCCAAAAGTTGTTTTTCTAGGTAATTTTAGGGCGTAGAATCGAAATTTTGACATATCAGAGCTTGTGGAAACAAACGGACGTAGTTATACAAAGAGAAAGATCGACAATTTTCTGTAATTTGATCTTTTGTCGTTTTGTCTTTCAAATTGGTTCCACAAGCTCTGTTACGTCAAAATTTCGATTCTACGGCCTAAAATTACCTAGAAAAACAACTTTTGGAATAGAAGTTCGTTAATATTAGCTTTTTAGAGCTTTTTTAAAACGCGAAAAAAGGTGCGCTAATGGGCAAGGGCGGAAAAAAAGATGCGCAAATGTCCGGGTGAGCAAAAAAAAGGTCGCATTTGTCCCACTCCCCCTTTATTTCTATAAAACCAACCGCTTTTGTAGTTCTTCGGGGATTAACTGGGAGACTTTTACAAAATTTCTCGAAAATTTTATTGAATCCACAACAACAACAATCCATTTTTATCTAATCAATGAAAAGAGAAGAGAAGGATTGATAAGAAATGAATAGAGAAAATGAATAGATGAAGAAATGAAGAAATGAAATGATGAAAGAAGATTTCGATCGATTTACATCTAAAATGAAAATTTTTTTTATTGGAAAATGATAAAGAAAGAAGTGGACAAAAAAGTGTACCAAAAAAGTGCAAACTTTGATTCGATTTGATGTAATTTAATTGTTAATTGATATAATATTCAACTTTGATTCGAGTTTTGAATAGAAATAAGAATTGTATCTCTGAATGAAAGGTTTCAAGCTAAAATCTCGATGAGATCTTTTGTGCATCCAGCTGAGTGATGTGACCTTTCTCTTAGGAAAGAATCCAAAAATAGACAAGCAAAGAAAAGACACTCAAATTGGAGAAATCATCGTAAACAGTGGATTGTTTTAGGGGGGAAATATAGTCACACTTAATACAGCGGCATTTTGTCGGGTAGTCTTTACTATTTCACTGATAATTTAGTGAGAATTCAAAGATAAACTACCGTAAATACTGTAATAGTACCGCACCCCCATAATGACGGCGCGGAGTGTTGCGTAGTCTAGCTTTGGACGCAAGTTTTTCTCGACACTGGTAGATGCTACAATGCTCGCTTAGGTATCAAAAAATAGCTGAAATTCAGGGCCATTTTTTAATACCAAAGACACATTTTTTGAAAGTACGGGCGCTTTGAAAAAAATGAAATACTAAAAAACTTTTGCGACTACGCGACTGTACGAGGGGAGTGGGGTACTATTACAGTATTTACGGTAAGTTATTCTAGTCATTCAATAGCTCTGAATCTTTTCTTGAAAACTAGTAGAAAGCTTGAAGAACTTTCTGCAAAATGAATAATAAAACGAGTTGACACAAAAAAATAGTCATCATTAGTACTAATAAATATATTATCATAAGCGATCATTTAAATTTCAATAGGATTTTAAAATCCCATTTGAAATTTAATGATTTCAATGAGATTCCTTTAAGAAGTTTGATCGATCAAAGAGAAAAGACTGTAAATGAAAGAAAATCAAAGAAAATCAAAGAAAATCAAAGAAAATGAAAGAAAATGAAAGAAAATGAAAGAAAATTGAAGAAAGTGAAAGAAAGTGAAAGAAAATGAATGGATAAATGGATAAATAAAAGATCTCCATTAAGATTCTTTTCTTTTGAAGTAAAACCGATACTCTTTTTTTTGCTTCTCTTAAATAAAACGTCTGAAAGCGAGCTGTCAATGGGGTTTTTGTACCAAGATTTCGATTAAAGAAATCATTAAATTTCAAATGAGATTTTAAAATCCTATTGAAATTTAAATGATCGCTTATGATAATGTATTTATTAGTACTAATGATGACTATTTTTTTTCGTGACAACTCGTTTTATTATTGATGAGGTTGTTTAATTAATAAAATATAAAGTATTACATAAAATACAAAAGCTTTTTACTATTTATAAATTTATTTATATCAAGAAATAATAATTTCTATAGTACAATGGTGATCATTTGAAATGGGGTGAATCGCGTTTCCTTTTCCGGACGATTCCTTTTCCGAAAATCATTCAATCGGCCTCTTTTCTGTCAGGGAAAAGAGCCGATTTACATATGGATTCGATTTTGATCGAGACAATAAATAGAGAAATGAAGAGAGAGGAAAGGAGAGAGGAGAATGGAGAGAGAGGAATGGAGAGAGAAGAAAGGAGAAAGGAGAAAGGAGAAAGGAGAAAGGAGAAAGGAGAAAGGAGAAAGGAGAAAGGAGAAAGGAGAAAGAAGAGAGAAGAATGGAGAGAGAAGAATGGAGAGAGAAGACAGAAGAAAGAAGAAAGAAGAAAGAAGAAAGAAGAGATGAATCGAGGAGAGAACGATAGATAAAGAGCAGAGAAATTAGAAGAAAAGACATTGAAGTATTGATGTATTCTGTAAATAGAATATCCAATAGTTCACATTCAAAAGATATTCTCAAAAATTTTCAGACGATTCTCTCTGTTAAGCCCCAAATCTTTGCCAAAGCTGTTGAGATTTTGAAGGATTATTTTTCGATTAGACTTTTTTCTTGTTTCATTTAAGATTAAATGACCGAATCAAGACCGATCAACAAAACAACAACAAATTATCGTACTACCTAACGTTAATTTGATTTTAGTAAGATTTGGACTTTATGAGTGATTCGGTCCCCTCATTGAATCAATGAGGGGACCGAATCACTCATAAATTTCCTGAACTCACTTTATTGATTTGTGAAGTTGGATTGGTGAAATGATTGACGGGTTGAGGGCGAACAACGGGCACACTTCGACGCTGACTGAAATTTTTTTATTTAATTTCTTTACTTACTTTCTTTATTTACTTTCTTTATTTACTTTATTTATTTACTTTTATTTAATTCACATTTTTCTATATAATTTTCTCTTTTATACTCACTTTAAATTAAAAGCTCTAATCAACAAATCGGGCACCGTTGTCTCTCTTTTCAATTCATAGAAACGTTTTTGTGGTTCTTCTGATTCAGAATCAGAAACAGCGAATAGAGCTTCTCCACAAGATTTTGATGGAGGAATTCTTGGTGAATTTGTGGCTTGAGAATTTGAAATATAGGGAAATTTAGAGGAACGTCGTTGCTTCATCTTTTCGACATCTTTAAAAGATTTGTTTATTTATAAAAAGGAGAGAAATAAAAGAAAAAAGACAAAGGATTAGATGTAGAATTTATTGAGTAAACAATAGAGGCTAAAGACATCAAGCAAAGTAGAATGGCTGTTATAGAAATATCTGAAGAAAAAAACTTTGACGATCTGACAATTTTCTGACAATGAGAAGTCTGCAGTAGAAATTGCGCATAATTCTTTGGCCAGTCATAAGAAAGGAAGAGTTTCATAAGAAAGATGGAAAGGAAAGGAAAGGAAGAAGAAGGGAAGAAGAGGAAGAAGAAGAAGAAGAAGAAGGAGAAGGAGAAGAAGAAGAAGAAGAAGAAGAAGAAGAAGAAGAAGAAGACGGAGAATCGAATTTCACAAGATAAAGAAGAGAAGAACAGAAAAGGGAATGAGGAGAGGCGGAGAGATGGCGCAATCCCCTTCTTTCCCATCTTTAGTTCTGTTATAGCTAGGGGACTCTTCTCTATCGTTTTCCTTATTTCAAAATTGGCGGCAAGCGGAATTGAACCCGCAAACAAAATAAAATTGAAGCCGGCATAGGTTTCATAGTCATAGGCATAGGCATAGCACACAATCCCCTAGGCTATCGCTGCTTTTAATTTCTTTTGGCATGTCTTATAGGTAAGCGGTTTGCCAAAAATTGCCGAAACTTTAGACACGTTTTTCTCGAAAACCAGGGCCTATAGGGAAAAAATAAAAAAAAATACTTGTTTCTTAGAATTTCTTTTTTTGATCTGCCTTCGCACTTAGATGTTTCTATTTGCGCAGATCACAACCTGCAGAATTAGGCATTAGGCAACATTAGGCAGAAGTGTAGTTGTCGTAGCCGATGATACTCCGATGGCCGGGATGGGGCGCTCAGAGGGGAACCCACAAAAGTCGAACCCACGACGTTGCTTAACTTGGCAGATCGAACGGGATAGACCGCAGGCCCTTCTAGGCCTCTTCTAGGCCCCTTTCTTAGAATTCTACGAGAGTATTAATAGGAAAGCTTTACTTGAGATAACGTTTTTTATTATTTTTTGATCTTAATCTAAAACTTGGACAATAGTTTTCGGGCTTTTTAACGCATAGACTGAGTGAGGGTCGTTTCTCGTGAATGGCTTGATCAAATGTGGCCAAAATTTGCAAGAGCATTTAATTTTCGGTGTTCTTTCCGAATCCGCGGCTAGGTTCATTGGGAGGTTGTGTGATTTTTCGTAAAAAGTCGAAAAACATGGCCATAAGCCGAAAGATCATGGCCGAAAGGTCTAAGGCCAATCTGAGGCCAATCGAGGCCAATCTGAGGCTCCGATAGGGGGTGTATTTTGTAGCTAGATTCGATTTCGAAAATCGGTCGTAAATAACAGTTCTCTAGTCAGCTCTTTATCCCTTTCATTCTTTCTAAATAATGCTTGCCAATCAGAAATGTATGTGTGAGTGAAATCGGATTTGAAATTCACTCAAGATCTTATGAATTCTTCATTGAATCTTCATTGAATCTTCATTGAATATTCTAATGAATGGAATTGGATGAATAGAAAGTTTCAAATCTAATAAGTTGGCGTTGTTTTAAGAATTTAAAGAAGCTATCAAAAAATCAAGAATCATTGAATATAAAAGCAAATTGTTTACTCAAATGTATCAAAGGATTGAGAAGAGAAGGATTGTTGGCCTTTTCCTTTTCATCTTCAATATCAAAATATGTCATGACACACAGCACACATGCCACAAATCGACACGAGATAGCCAATCCCTTTGAGATTAATGCCACATGGGAGATGAGGGGGAAAAGAGGGAGATTGAGAAAGGGGAAAGTGAGGAGAAGTGAGAGGAAGTGAGGCCCAAAACTCTTCACTCTCAACTAGTAAACCCTAGTATTAAAGGAATCGAATTTTATAACGTTTTTGAAACAAACAGATAGATAGACTTATCCTTTTGCGGGGGCAAATTCTCATTTACAGAGTTTTCAATATTTATGGAGAGGATTACTAGGTTTAAAGCACGTTTTGTACAAATCTAATGTTAAAAAAAGGAACAAACATATCAAAAGCATATACTTTAAAAAGTTTAAGTCACGTTTATGTCAAAATTCTTGCCATTCGCGTTGATGTTTGTCGATGTTCCTTTTCTCTACAGATTTGGTTCTTTTTCTCTAGAGATTTGGTTCCTTTTCTCTACAGATTTGGTTCCTTTTCTCTACAGATTTGGTTCCTTTTCTCTAGATTTGGTTCTTTTTCTACAGAAACTCTCGTGGAAATAGTCACAAGTACCGAACTAACAAAAGTAATTCAAAACATTGCAACAGCGCAAAAACTAATAGAACTAATAGAATAACAAAAACTAATAAAATAAGAATAGAAGAGTTGAAGCAACGCTAAACAAAGCTCTTCTCAATTCCTCGTTCGATACGCAAAGAAAAGTTTCAATGTAAACAAAGCTAAGAAGGAGGATCATGAGAAATGTATTCCTTAGTAGTGTTTTTTCTAGAAGAGATTGAAAAGAAAAGAAAATGATTCATAAAAGTGAAAGAACGGAAAGAGAATGGAGTCAATTTGTGTTGAAAAAGCAGCCATCTGGTCGGATGAATAGAGGATGTTCGATGAGGGGAAAAGATGAGAAAAAGATGTTGGAGAGGGGAGTGCGAATCGACCCACATCGAGTGTCCAATCTAGAGGAGAAGATGGGGAATTTGGGTGGAGAATGAGAAGAAAGGGAAAGGGGAACAGAAGGTGGGAAAGGAGAGGAAGGGGACGGGATGGGCATGCCGTAATTGGATTCGACACACCGAATCGGCCTTTTCCGTGTCTTTTTCCGAGAAACCCCACTTGACACAACATCCGTTTAAGATATTAGATATTAGATTAGATAAGAGATAATTTCTTTTTGATTAAGAGCTATCTCAAGAGTTCATGCTTCATTGAGATGACAAGAGATTTCTTTGGGGCAAGAGGCAAGAGGAATCAGAGGGGAAAGAAGAATCAGAGGTTGATTTAAGCTACTAGAATATTAGGTTAGCCAATAAATCTAATAACAAGATTTCAGTCAGCGTCGAAGTGTGCCCGTTGTCAATCATTTCACTAATCCAACTCCACAAATCAATAAAGTGAGTTCAGGAAATTTATGAGTGAATCAAGGAGGGGAGAATCAAGGAAAATTACCCTAAAGTCGCGATTTTAAGTTCTGTTTGCTTTCCGCATGCAAATTGACGGCTGTCTCCGGTGCGGTGTGTCGAGGGTTCGAACCTCGCTGCAGCATAGCTTTTTTGCTTTTACAGCTCATTTACAGCTCGTTGTTTTGATCGCCTCTCCAGAACCCATACCTTCAGATCTTTCTCCACATCCGGCCATTTTGCCCTCGATCCTCAGAAAGCTAGATTATTTTTTGGTGAACTCATCAGTGCCGGCTCAGCTTGTTTCTAGCGGTTAATCATCTGTTCGGCGACTTCAAATTCGATGGCAAATCGATCGCAATCGCGAGCCGCGTTCGTTCCAAATTTCCTCGCAAATTTGACCGCTTCGAGCTTCGTTTCGGCGGTGTATTAAGGCAGAACTTATACTCGAGACTTTAGGGTAAGTCCAAATCTTACTAAAATCAAATTATCGTTAGGTGGTACGATAATTTGTTGTTGTTTTGTTGATCGGTCTTGATTCGGTCTTTTAATCTTAAAAGAAACAAGAAAAAAAGAGTCAAGAGGAATCAGAGGGGAAAGAAGAATCAGAGGTTGATTTAAGCTACTAGAAATCTTTGGTTTAGGTTAACCAATAAATCTTTGGACACATAAATCTTTATAAATTTTATAGAGTTTATATAGTTTTAACAAGGAAACTTCAGCCTTTCAAATAATACCAAATACAGTTTGATTTGATAATCGAGTCAAAAGAAAATCAAAGCCAACTTTGAGCAAATGAGGTCAATGCAATTCTGGTTTGCAATCAATTTCTTTTTGCAATCATTCAAAAAGTGAAAACTTTAAAAACGATATAAACAATCTATACAATGATATAAAAAGTTAGCAATATATCTCTGGATAAAGTTATTTTCTTTATCCAGAGATATCCAGAGATCCTCTTTATCCAGAGATATCCAGAGATCCTCTTTATCCAGAGATATCCAGAGATCCTCTTTATCCAGAGATAGCAATAGCATCTCTAGCAATATACTATCTCTGGATAAAGTTATGAACCTTTAAAGCGTGATTCGGGAAATCCGATCCGGATCTTTTTTCACACAAAATCAATATTGACAAACCTGAGATGCGTTGGAGTGATTCGTCCATTATTTGGTGGAGTCACGTTGAGAAGTTGAGAATGTTTTGGAGGAGAAGAGGGAAAATTCATCTAAACATTACAATTTTTGTAAACAAATGTAAACAAATCTGCTATTTCTACCTGATTCGGTCGTTGTGGAGATCCAGCGTATTCGTTATGAGAAGAGTATTGATGTAATGAGTAATTACGGTCTGAATAAGAATCCATTCGAAATGTAGTATGAAAATTTCGCTTACCATTAAAATGTGTCACATGTGGATCCATTGGAGTTGAATATTCGATCGATGCGAGCTGAAATCTCGAGATATTGATGAGCTCGAGATATTAATGAGCTCGATCTTCATTAACAACAAAAAAAACAAAACAAGGATTTCTGATTTCCTAAATCCTAATAGAGCTCTGCAAAGCTTGCCATGTTAGTTCAGCTTTCATTCATTCATTGACAAGTCTTTGCACAGATTTGAACCAGGATTTCTTAAAAACGAATCCATAAATTTAGGAACACAAGTCGAACGCTTTACAAGTCGACTTCAAGAAATTACTAGTGACAAAATCAATTTAGCTTTCCTTAGAGATTTTAGAGATTTAGAGAAAAGAATTACCGTATTTTCTCTAATAGTAGTGCACCCCGGCGAGCCGAGTTGGTGACTATTTGACGGTTTCCAAGCTTTTGCAGAAGCTCAACACTCAAATCCCCCACTAGATCTCATCGTCAGCTACATTTTCCGACCCCACATCGATAGGTTCTGCTAAGCGGTTCCCGAGATTTCGAGCAATTTAGGCGACGCTTAGGGTGCACTACTATTAGAGAAAATTTTCTCTAATAGTAGTGCACCCTAAGCGTCGCCTATTTACAAACTCAGCTCACTTTTTGCACGAAAAAGAAACGATTCTTTATGAGATAAATCTAAAATAAATGGGTTGCTTTAACATTTGCTAAAATCGGTCATTTTGAAAAGGTTAAGCAATTTAGATCAAATTTGTCTTTATTGCAAATTTTCACTGTTTTAGGTACAGTCAAATCTCTTTAGTGAAATTATGGAAGGGATTCTGAAAAGCCGTTCAGCGTCGAGATTTGATTAGTACTAAATCAACTCAGAGGGATCCTAAAAAAATCTGATTACTAAAATCGAGGTTAGTTGATTAACAAGCTTCGACTGTACTTCATTTTAGGTTTTGAATTACCTATCCATTCACCTATTAAAAAGTTGTTTAAAGGTTTGCCACTTATACAATTTTATAGTCGTTAAAAGTATTAGATAAAATTTGCCTTGATCGCAAATTTTCCTTATTTTAAGTACTTGATTTTAGGTTTTGAATGAAACCCATTGCCTATTCCTTAACCCATTAAAAACTTGTCTAAAGGTTTGCCACTCAAAAAGTCAACCAAGTCACTTGAGCTGAAGAAATCCCTTATTTTTACCTGAAGCCTACTCTGATTTTTTTATCAAAAAATTTGGAAAGAATTGATGGCTTGGTTTTTGAGAAATCACCGTGGAAACTTTTTCTACGAACTTTCTTTCCAACCTAATAAATCGTATGTTTAAGAGCAACATAACATACCGGAGAACAGTTTTACAAGACAATATGCGTCCTTTTATGTCATAGAAATAGAGGTTGAACAAAAAAAAATAGAAATATTTTAATGGTATCCTGAAGGGACTTCTCTATCATATTTTCACGGTCTTGAGAAGAAAAAGAAAGGAAAAATATTCGCGGAAACCTGGCGAACTTTTTCTACAAACTTTCTTACCAACAACAACAAATTAACTAAAATTAGAAATAGTTAGAATTAGTTAGAATAAATCAACTAGTGAACTAACTTTGGTGAATTGTTTCTTTTCATAAGTTATAAAATCAAACCGTTGAATTGAGGAAAACTCGTGGATCAAACTCGCTTCCGCCACCATCTTTGACGGCCAAACGAGAAAGACGACGGGTGGGAACCTGAGAGAAAAAGAAACGAAATGAATCGAAAGGGAATCTAGCTTTGAACGCGTTTTTCTCGACACTGGTTTATGCTACAATGCGCGCTTAGGTATCAAAAAATCGCTGAGATTCAGGGCTATTTTTTTGATACCAAAGACGCATTTTTGAAAGTACGAGCGCTTTGAAAAAATTGAAATACTAAAAAACTTTTGCGACTACGCGACTGTACGAGGGGGAGTGGGGGAATATTACAGTATTTACGCTAATTCATAAACGAGATCTTTTATGACATTTTCTATGCATTAGAGTTATTTATTTAGAAGTAATTTAAAAGTAATTAAAAAAAACTGTGTCAAATTACAGCTAAACCTAAAATGAATATCTAGATTTCCGTTTTTCGTCAACTCACTTCAAATCCCGCTTCCAACGCATCTTTTTTGATTCCCCGATCTTTCCGTAGTCGCACTAAAACGAGAATTTTTTGTTTATAATCTTTTTTTAAATTTTATTACCTCTAGAATCTAATACCGTATTTTCTCTAATAGTAGTGCACCCCGGCGAGCCGAGTTGGTGACTATTTTACGGTTTCCAAGCTTTTGCAGAAGCTCAACGCTCGAATCCCCCACTAGATCTCATCGTCAGCTACATTTTCCGACCTCACATCGATAGGTTTTGATAAGCGGTTCTCGAGATTTCGAGCAATTCAGGCAAGGCGCAGGGTGCGCTACTATTAGAGAAAATACGGTAATATAAATCTATAACCATTATCGAAGTTTAAAAATCAATTTCTAGATCATTTAGACTCAAAAATGTTTTCTGTTGAACTTACAAAAGCTCAGCAATAGCAATATCCATAAATTAGCAAAGAATTGCGTAAAAAGTATGATTGTTTCACAGAAAAAACACATTTTTTTGATGGAATATTGAAAAGAAAAGCAAGAAAATATAAGAGGATCGTAAAAATTGGTGAACTCACTCGTAAAAAAGGCATTCGAAATCGTTTCTGTCGATTCTACGATAAAGCAAATAAAGCACATTATAGCAGGCAAATTAAAAAGTCGTTCGTTTAGAAAATTTTCGATTTAAATCCTTTTCATTGACATTAGAATGATTTAGATAATTCGATTTAGACAGTAGATTCAAATATTTTGATCGACATTTAGAAAACAAAAATCGATCAAATGATAGGGTTCAATCGAAAGATTTTGTGAGTGTTTTTGTTTAGGGGAGATGAGGCTTTAAAAGTTGGAAAGAATTATGAGATTGGGTTGAAAGAAAAGAGAAAAGAAAAGAGAGAAGAAAAGAGAAAAGAACAGAGACAAAGAAAAGAGAGAAGAAAAGAGAACAGTTGGTGAGGACTTTTACAAACAAAACATTTCGTTTGGTTGATTTTTCGAGAGATTTCACTCAAGAAGGCTCCATTTTGTGAGTCTGATTGTGGGAAAAGAAACGATTTTCTTGTGAGTAACAAGGATCGAATTGCAAGAAGGGAAAGAATTGTAGGGCTTGTTGGAAATGTTGTACAAAGTGTGTAAGAATACGATCTCTTTAAAGAATTCTTCAAAACACAGACTCTTTTGTAAGTGTTTCAATGAAAAACAATTTCAATTTTTGAATGCCTTCATCACATGGGTTTTCTGTTTTTCTCATGCAAAATGTACATTAGACATTCAAATCTGTTTCCCGTTTTACACCTATCCACAAACTGGACAGAATTGGACCGAATTCGCATTTAAACTACATATTTTGAAATGCTCAAGGCAGTAAAAGTCAAAGTTCCAAGCTGCTGGCAATTTTGAGTTTTCATTTCAGTTCTTGCAGGTCGTGCTAGTCTAACATTGCTGCGTGCTAGTCTAACATTGCTAATTACTCTTTCTAAAGACTTTAGAATACTTCAAAATCAATTTTTATGGCTTAATCAAAAAAAGAAAAATTTCTTGTCGGCGAGAGGATTCGAACCAGCGACATGAGGTCCAAGAGACTAGCACGCTATCGACTAGACTACCGAAACCAGCTGGTTGCTGGAGGGGAAGGCTTTAAGTAGGCTAGCTTACTTTTTGGCGAAATTGGCCGAAACTTTGAAGGCTTATATCTCGAAAACGGCTTATGATAAATAGGATTTGAAAGCATTTTTGAGATGCCCTTAACCAGGGGGTTTTTGCGCTTTGGAATCAGAATCAAGATCGGAATCAGGTCTGAAATGCAATTTCAAAGGCTTCCCTGGCTAGTTTCTCAAGTAGATCCTTTATATCACAAGGTTTTGGACTACTTTTGTAGTTTTATCGTTTTACTGCTAAAAGTTCTCTTTGTTCAACTCTCTTTCAACTTTTTCCATCAATATTTTGTTATAGAATCCCCTAGAAAACCGAATACACTTAAACTTAAAGTTACTCAAATTTACCTAAAAATAAGCTAAACGTAATACAGTCGACTCTCTATGACGGAATGGAAGGGAGTCAAACGATCTTTCCGTTTTATAGAGCTTTCCGTTATACCGATTGCCGTTATATATAGCTCGGCCGGGACCAAAATTCCATTTCGTTATATAGAGTTCTGTTATAGAGAGTTCCGTTATATAGAGTTCCGTTATATAGAGCTTTCCGTTATACCGATTGCCGTTATATATAGCTTAGCGTCGGCCGGGACCAAAATTCCACTTCGTTATATAGAGTTCCTTTATAGAAAGAGTCGACTGTGTATCACAGTTGCCTTCTAGAGTCATTTTTTGATGCTCCATAAAGCAGTAATCATCAAGGGCATCACTCAGGAAGAGATAAAATGAATGGATATGGAAATCGGGTATCCATATCGTATCGCTTTATCGTATCTATCACTTTTCTTTTCTTGGCTCATCTCATCAAACACTCAAAAGAGAGCCGTGACTCTAACTGGAAAGGGCATCTTGATTGACCGATTGAGAACAAAGGGCGAGATTTTTCTATACTAATCTTTAAAAGACGAATTAGGATCGATTCTCACCAAAACCAAAACCGAAAGCAGCTGATTTTAACATAAAACTTTATCAAAAATCATCTTACTGCCGATAATTTTGTTTTATTGAGAATCGGTGCTAATTGAGGTCCCTCCTTTAAGAATTCTACAAGTTTTTTAGTGAACTTTTCTCTTTTCCAATGTTTCCTATATCTTTTGATCTTCTCTCTCTCTAACTGTCCTCCTTTCGCTCTAAATATCCTCTATTTGTATATTGTATTCTATGGGGATATTGTCCCCTGAGACTATGCCATATGTCGGCCATGAGAGAGAGATTTGAATAAATCTACTCACAAACAGTGAAACGTTCGAAAAAGTGACAAATTTGGAAAGTGTTTGAAAGTGTTTTAATATATAACAATGCTTTAAAATGAGTTTTGTGATCATTCTCGTATATAATATTGCTTGAAAAATGAGTTTTTATGATCATTTTGCTCATTTGCGATTTTTCGAAAAATTCAACAAAATTCCCTTGAAATTTCTCATGTATAAAATCACCGAAAAGCTCATACTTTCCTCCAATTAGAGATCACTTTTAAAATGCATGCTTAAAAGCGGTCGAGTTGAGGCTTTGTTACGAAAGATTTAAGTGAACGGGAAATTCGGAAAACGTTTTCGGGAAACACTTGAAAAAAACATTCTTGTTTATCCCGATTGCGGAATGATTCACACAAATATAAACAGAATTCTTTTACAAAAAGTATCTCAAATTTTTGATACAAAATGTTAAACTCACTTCTAGTATGGACTACTTTTAAACCGGAATAAAATTGGAAAGAGAAAGTTGGAAAGTTCTAAGCATCTTCAAGTCTACAGCAACAGCAACAGCTACAGCAATCTATAGCCTAAAACCAACCTCCAGGAAAATGAATGCCGCCAAAAAGTGATCCAGGACAAAACATCTTCTGAAAGAGGCCTTTAGGTAAAGGCTCAGAAGAAGATTGATCAATGAAACTTGATCGTTTTATTGATTTGTCGATCGATTCACTGGATGGTCCATTTGGAGACAAGACAGGAATATTGAGACGTTGAGAATCCAGGATGGTGATTTGGGGGAAGATGGGGAAGATGGAGAAGAGAGGATTACTGAAGATCACGGAAGTCCATTACCGTAGACTAAAGTCGGGGCCAAAAAGGGCCGAAAAGTCTCAGCTGTGGCTGTAAGTGTTCGAGGGGGGAGAGGCCAAAAAAGGTGTTCGTATTTGGGATGAGGATGAAGAAAATAAAGAGACGAGATGAGAAAGGCTCTCCAGCTGCATGCAAAGACTTCCCCGTTTTCTCTATTTCTCTCTTGAGAGACTATTCATGAGAGATTGAGAATATATTGAAAGGGAAAGAGATGGAGAGAAATAGAGAGAGAAAGGAGCAAACATAGGCAGGTGGAATGGTGGAAGGGGTGGGAGAGGGGAAGGGAATGAGTCCTCTGTGACCCCTGATCGGTCATCCATTTGAGGGTAGACCCCTCCCCGACCAATTTCGAGCCCCTGGGCATCAATTATCGGACACCAAGCGAGCAAGAAGAGAATAAAGCTCTGGTTTTTTTAAGTTCAAACAAATTTAGACCCGACCCAGCGGTGGTTCAAAAGAAAAGCCGGCCAACGAATTTTTCTTTTCAGTAATGTCTCAATAGGTTAAGGAAATGAATAAATTTAAATTTAAGTTGGCTGGCTGCAAAGTTACAACGAAGAACTCTTCTCCGGATAATTTTGCCCAACCCAACCCTGTAGTTTCGTTTATCTTTGAATTTTCACCAAATTATCAGTAAAACAGTAACGACTACGCGACTGTACGCTCAAAATATTGTTGTGAATGTGTTAAGAGCGGTTAGAACAACGTCTTCATAATGTAATCACAAGTACGCGACTACGCGAATGTACGCTCAAAATGTCGTTGTCGCGAATGTGTTAACGATAATCACAAAACTTAAAACCCATTCCATTTCCATTTCTCTTGAACTTTCCTTTCTTTTTCTCAAGTTGAGAGCAGTTGACAGTTGTGAGGAAAACAAACTTCTTTTTTCATTTCAAATGTTTACCCAAAGCATTTTTAAGTTAGAATCAGCTTTCAAAGAACATTTTTGACTCAAGAATATGAAAAATACATGTTTTTTCAATAAGTATCGCAAAATAAAGGTAAAAGGATACTTCGCGATACCGATTAGGATACAAGTTCAACTATTTTTTTTTCCGATTTTCTTGTAGTACAAGAACGTATTTTTCCCGTAAGAGCAAATGAGATAAGAAAAAGAAAAAGATGAGAGACTCTCGAGAAAATTTGGACGATTTGGACATGCTGACATCAAGAGAAACATGCACTCATCTCAAAAAAGAAGACAAATGAATGAATGAAAGAAAAGAAAAAGTGATGGAGATTCTTTATTTTAGAAGATTTAAGAATAACTTATTTTACAATAATCTAGATTTCTGGAGTTTCTGGAGTTTCAGTTTCAAACTTTCAATCATCTAGTTCCAAACTTTTTCAACTTTAGCTACTTTAAATCTTAAGCAAAACATAATGCGAAAAATTCTTTGAAAAGATTTAGATTTAGGGAAATTAGATTAAAATCATCGAGAGTTTTTAATTGTCGGCAGTTCAAAGCTGTTTGAAAGCTTGAAGAAACAAAAGCTAATCATTGAAAATCTTCTGAAAGGTTTGCTCAAGAAATTGCAATTTCAAGAAATTTTAAAATTCGCCAAAACTCACCGGGACTTTTGAGAAAGCTTCGAATATGATGAGAATTCCTTTTTCGATCAGATATTCGACTGGTTGAAGCTGTTGAAATGACGGATTTGCAATCAAATTCACACGGATCATCGTACTCATTGCTCATGTCAAAATCCTGAAATCTTGATATTAGAGAGAACTTTACAAAACATGAATATGTCGTAGCCGATTATGAATGAGTGGGTCTAGGAGCGTCCAACCATCAAGTATTTGGTATCATTCAACGCGGAATCATTGATAATTATGTTAAATTTTTAAAATTAGAAAGATTGGATAAAAAGCAAAAAAATTATGGGGCCTCAAAGTTTCCTCTTGAACAAACAGTTTTTTTTGCTCTAATTTTTTTTTCTTTTTATCAAATCTTTCTAATTTAAAAAATTTAACATAATTATTAATGATTCTGCGTTGAATGATACCAAATACTTGATGGTTGGACGCTCCTAGACCCACCCATTCATAATCGGCTACGGGGGTCCCGCCGATTTTGAATGAAACGTTGTAGCGCCGGTAATTTTTAACCTAAACTCACAAATTTGGTACCAATCGACGCAGAATTTAATTCGCTACATGACGATATAATATTGTCCTCATACATTAAAGGGTTGCTCTACTATGTACTAGAAAGTTATGTACTAGAAAGGTTTACCAAAAAATTTCATTCATAATCGGCTACGACAAATACATCTAGATTTAGAATAAACTTTCGTTAATACGTTCGCGTTCTAAAAAAGCGCTCTAAAATTTTGATTCTATTTTGATGTTTATTCAGTTTTCCTTTTCCACAAAACTTTCCCAAAATCAGTTATGCAGTCAAACGACTGAATAGCTTTCGTGGCAGCCGTATATAAAAAGCGCCTCTCAATATTTGTTTTGCCATTTTTTATTGTTAAATAATACGCAAAAACTATGGTACTCTTTTTTGCTGATAATGCATTTAAGAATGTCTAGTCACGAGTGTGCTAAGTATCACTATAAAACAAACTCTTAAAGTGGTGAGACTGGGTGATGATTGAAGAGTTTTGCATGATTGTGAAGTGAAAAGGCCGGAATCCCGATGATTGTATCCAATATTATGAGGATTGTGATGATGAGATGAATCATCGATTTCTTTTTGATCAAGTCCTCCGTGAGAAGAGGACAATGCAAATCGAGTACCACGATTTGGACTAAAAGAATGCTATCTAATAGGTTTGCCAAAACACTCCACTTCTAGTCTTGATTATTTCTTACCTTTCTTTGAAAACTGAACGATAGTTATGTGCGATTTGTGTTGAATGATCACCATGTATCTAAAATTAGTTAAACAGATGAAACAGCTGAAAAACAGTTAAACAGAAACAGAGTTAAACAGATGAAACGATTTCAAAAGTTTGTTCAAGTACTCACAATTGGTGCAGATCCCGAAATCCATTCTCCATCACAAAATACTTTCTCCAACTTTGAACTAACCTGACTCTAAACATTTTCAATAAGAATTTCTATCGAATAACTGAATACCTTTTCTTCTTTCTTTGATTTTTCGAAATAGTTTCCTGGCTCATAAAAAGAAACGGACATTGGAAATCTTTGTTGAACGGGAGAGGCTAAAAATCAAAAAGCTAATTTATTTCTATCAAAATCACCTCCACTTAATGCTTGAGCTTGTCGTAGTCCATTTCCTTAAAAATAATTTAAAAGATTCAAAACATTTCTAACCTGGATACCGCAGACTGCTATGCCTGGGAATATTGATAAGACTTGAGTGGGTTTTCCCTTCACAATTCTAAACAAGATCTCGAAATTTAATGGGCTGTTTTTACCTGATTTAACTGTAAATGAAGATTCGTTCCACTACTTGAAGCAGATCGTGGAATTGCTGATGAAGAGCTTGAGCTTCGATCTCTTTCTTTTCTTTTCGGGTCTGATGGCTCGGCTGATCCAAGTCTAGACTTTATTACCGTAATCATTCACAATCAAATATGCAACTTTCCAACCTGAGAGTATTCTTGATGGCTTTTGTGATTGTATTTCTCATTGACGATCTGACTGACGTTCTCACAATCACTTTCTCGCTCAATCGTCCCTCGGAAATACCGTGAATCTGAAAAAAATCAGTGAAGAGTCTTCCAAATATTTGAAAATTCTAGAAAGCTTACAAAGATCTGAAATTCAAAATGTTTCCTTGGTTGAATTGCAAATCTAGCCAACACCAACCTGTTCTCCAAGAGTTTTCCCCATCTTGGCACTAAGTCTCCCGGCAATTTCCCAAGTCTGAAATCTGAAAAGTCACAAATTTAAAATTAAAAGAAGTGAACAAATTGTGATTTGTGTGAATGGGGAAATTGAAAAAAATGCGGGAACATTGAAAATGGAAGAGTGAGGGAGGTGGGTGGAGTGACATAAAACAGCTGGCGAAAATCTGCGCTTACTTCAAAAAGACGAACTTTGTGAAATGTTCAGTGGATTTACTTTAGTTCAAGTTTTGAAATAAACCTTGCCAGAAAACAAAGAAAGATAGTTTTTCGTTTTCTTTTAATCAATGGCTTCCTACAATTTTTAAGGTAATAGATTCTAGGTCAATCATTACTACAAAGTAATAAGTGAGAGTTCAAATACAAGAACAAAAGAGGAAATCTGTTGAATGAGAAGACACAGACTAGTTGATTGGCCTTTGCATTGAATGATCACAAGAAAAGAAAAGAAAGAAGAAGTGATAGATTGAATCGAACAGCTGTCTATAAAGAGAAAGAGAAGAAATGGGGGACCCTGAGGGAAGATCTCGATCTATTTCCTGTCTTTCTTTTCTACTATTGACATTAGGGGAATACCTGTGCTTTCACGTGTACACAAATATCAAATCAGACTTGAGCGTTGAGGATAATGTCTAGTGAAAATTTTAAATCTAGTCTTTAAGTTATAGCTAGCGATTGATCGGTGAGTTGGACACACCGCCAGAGGTGTGTCCAACTTAGACCAAGATCTTAGGCCTTACTGATGAATTATTTAGCGATTGAATCAGTAGCCAAACCTCAAGGAAATCTGGGAACAAATCTTCGTTAGTTAAAGAGCTCAACTGAACACAAATATTAAGTACCTTAAACTTAGAAGTAAAAAATGAGGAATGAACAAAACTTTGAACAAAGAGAACAGCTGTTGGCAAGAAGTACAACAAAAACAATACAAAAAAGAGAAATGGAGATGATAATGCAATGAGTTGAGTTATAGGAATTTTCATTTCAAACTAACGATCATTACAAAAAATTTATGATAATGGAGTTGGATGATGGGCGAAAGGGTCAAGAAAGAATCTTTCACATTTGCTTTACTCTAAAGTTTGAATGATCTTTATTTTGAGGCAATAAAAGAGTTAGTAACTAATTCCCTTACCTAACAACAACTCTTCTCTCAAATAATTTGACATGAAACGCAAGACGAAGTAACAAGAATATCGCGCGGTGGCAGATTGTTTAGATTTGCGTTTTAGTTAAAAGGAATTGGTTAAGTTAAGGTTTATACGGCACGTACAAAAAGGTTTGAAGAAAATGGAGTAGAAAGGAGCCGAGAGAAACGAAATAGAATCATTGTAGAAATTTAAAAAGGAAACATGGTTAGAACAATATAAAAAGGAAGTAACGAACGAGGAGAGAGACTTTAAGTACTTTAAAAGTACTTAAAAGTACTAAAAGTAAAAGAGTACTTTAAAAACGCGCTACAAAAACATAATAGATATTACGAAGGAAGAAGAAGAAGAAGAAGAAAACTTAGCGTGACTCGGCATAAAAGCCGGATGTGGAATGTGGAAAAATGGCAAAAAAGGAATTTTCGTGTGGGGTACGGTATCGTATCCACGCTTTAGAAAGCGCGCCGCGACACTTTCGCGCCAGTCCGTTTTAAACCACATTTAAATTGGATTCTAATTAAAGTATATTGATTTAAACACATTAAACAACTAATAAGATTAGAAACATTTGTTTACAACCGATCAAGTTTTGAGGCTTTGTACATAAAGAATAATGGTAGATGGGGGATTCGTGTTGTGTCCCCAAAGCAGATGATTGAGAGTGGATGGGAAAAGAAAACAGAAAAGATGAAAAGAAAAGAAAAAGAAAAAGAAAAGAAGGGTTTATGAAGCACCCTTGGGGTACAGAATAGAAAGAAAAGAGGAAGAAGAAGGAGAACAAATAAATGAATGAAATCGACAAGGAGAAACATTGTACAGACAAAAGGCGAATAAACGCGAATTGCGAGATCGTACTTCTTGGCGTTTCTCTTGTGAGAGAAATGTAGCATTTTTATCGGAAATAAAGCCAAATTTGAGGAAAAAATTTGATTTGATCCCAATGATTTGGACATAGCCCAACAAAGCTGAAGTCGGCTCACTAGGGAAAGACACTAAGTCAAGTTGGCTTTTTTACTCGAGACCAAGTCCATTTTATAGATCTCATTTTATGGATCATTTTATAGATCCGGACCACATACATCTTACTAAATCGAGTATAGAGATCTTACTAAATCATCTTACTAAATCATAATCTAAAATCAACATCTGCCAAATAAGCTTGCAAACGCATAAAAATTCTGAAATTTCGAAGATAAGCTTTATCTCGAAGATAGCTCTTTCGAATCATATGGGATATGGGCAGCGGTGGCCTAGTAGATCCTGAGGCAGCCTCTCGGTAGTAAGATCGGGGCTCGGTCCCGCTCTTGGTTCCTGGTTTTTTTTTCTTTAGATCTAAAAAATCTAAAAGAGCTTTTGTTTGAGAGCTTTTGTCTAAAAGATAAAAAATCATGGTTCAGATATTTATAATCTGTAAAATTACTGATAAATGTTCTTACGGTTCTTAAAGTACAATTCTTAAAGTACAATTCTTAAAGTACAATTCTTAAAGTACAATTCTTAAAAGTACAATTCTTAAAGTACAGTTCTTAAAGTACAGTTCTTAAAGTACAGTTCTTAAAGTACAGTTCTTAAAGTACAATTCTTGTTTTTACCCGTTCATTGCTCATTGCGATGTCAAACCGTAATTTAGAAAAAAACGCAGAAAACGCACGCACTTTGCTTTTATCAGATGTTCGCATTGTGGAAATTTATAATGTTTTGGATGCTTGGTCATCTCGTTTCATACATGTTAACATTTCACCTTTTTCTTTGTTATATTGAATAGTTACAAGGAAAAGTCTAAAGAAAAAAAACCAAAAAACCAAGAGTGGGATTGAATCCCAGTCTTAAACCGGTTTGAACTACCGAGAGGCCGTCCTAGTGAGATCCACTAGGTCACCTGGCCATATCTGAGTGATTGAAAAGTGTCATTTAAAGCTTCAACTCAATTTTCTTCAATTCTTCAAAGTCCTTTAAAGCTTCGAAATTGAATTCAATTTTTACAAATCTGCAAGCTTATTTGGCAGATTTTGATTTCAAATTATGAATCTCCATCTTCAGCTTATGAATCTCGATCTTCAGCTTATGAATCTCGATCTTCAGCTTATGAATCTCCATCTTCAGCTTATGAATCTCGATCTTCAGCTTATGAATCTTACTCGATTTAGTAAGATGTCTGTGGTCCGGAATCGAAAGCTTACGAGAAGTTCGTGGCTTTCCCTAGTGAGCTGCAAATTTTGTACTGCAAATTTCAGAGTCGGGGAGTCGATTAGAGATATTCATTTTATTAAGTCTACCAGGAACCTCCTCGGGTACAATAGGAAGACGCAGCTCGACCAAGACCTAAGAAGTACGGATATGCGCCAGCTCTCGGGACTCAGAGATCCAGTGGAAGTGATTGAGAGAAAAAGACTCAGATGGGCCGGCCACGTAGCCAGAAGAACAGACGACAGATGGACGATACGGATCACAGAGTGGCTACCACGAGACCAGAAGAGGCCCATCGGAAGACCAGCAACGAGGTGGAGCACAAGAGTGGCAGAGACGGTCAGAGTAAGGATGGCTAGAGTGCAACCACCACCACCAAGTCGAAGACTTCGAACCAGGAACAATCAAGCTAGGAAACACTGGATGACAATAGCAAGGGATAGAGAAATATGGAAGCAGGTTGTGATCTGCGCAAATAGGAACACCTGAGTGAACAGATCAAAAAAAAATTAAGGCTACCAAATCTCGGGAACATTCTGTCACTGTTCCTGACCAAAAACCAGGTTTACTTTGTTCGACTTTGATTTAAACAAAAACCAAGTTACATTGTTTGATTTGTAAATTGTTTTATTTCTGTGTTAAAGTAATCACTATTTATTTCAAATTTTCTTCAAATAACCGACAATATTGTCTTTTATTTGTAGTTATTTGTAGTTTATTAGTCATATTCTAGAAGCACCCGAATTCATAATCTAACTCTAATGCGTAAAATTCTAGAATTTTCTAATAATTTTGGTAAACGATGAGATCACAGAAAAGCACGACCATGTCAAAAAATTCTTTGGCAAAGCTGCAATTTGAAAGGAAAAGAAGGAAGAGAAAGCTCTACAAATCTATAAAACAAAATTAAAAATGCCTAGTTTTAGTTGAAAGCTAAATTGTTAAAAGTCAAATTGTTAAACGCTAAATTGTTAAAAATCAAATTGTTCAATTGAAAAGCTATTGATACTTTTCTTTGGCAATTCTCATTAATCGTCGAATCGTCTCGAAGATCACTCCAATACCGATGAACAATACAATGAGCTAAATAAAATTTCGATAAAAGATAGATAAAATGCTTTTCTCTTTCATCGCCAAGAGGACGATCTCTGTACAAGACACAAGTGAAGCCTTTCACTTGGAGTCTCTCATCCCCTTTCGGTGTCCAAAAGATAAAAGTGTTTTTGCCTTTTGTTTAGAATGTTTAGATGTTTTACTTGATTTTATGAACTCACTGTAGCGAGGTTCTTTGGAAGAAATGGAGATGCCGTTTCGAGATCACAATCAAGATGAGCAGCATCAACGAGATTCCATGCAACCATGATGATACACAAATGGAAAAGCTGAAAGGATCCAAATTTTATCTTACAAGTCGAAATCTTTTGTGATTTTTAAAGTTAAAGTGAAAACTATCAAATATTTTTGTTGTTTTTATTGAATGGTTTGTCTATCCATATGTAAATGTAATTTCCCCTTTGCTTTTCTCTTTCATCGCCAAGAAGGAGGCCGGACAAGACAAGACAAGGACAAGGACAGACTCTGTACAAGACACAAGTGAAGCCTTTCACTTGGAGTCTCTCATCCCCTTTCGGTGTTCAACCTATTCTTCTCCGTAGCTTATTACTGTAAATAAACATGTACATATCTTCCTGCAACTACAGTACAGGTCGGTTATTTAACGAGGACTTTCCTCCAAAACGTTGAAGGAGTTGAGTCGAGTTGTCGAAGTGTTAGAGATACAGGATATTAAAGACTTCCACTAAGAAATGTGCTGGTCCAGGATTTGGATCGGGTCCAGGATTTGGATCGGGTCCAGGATTTGGATCGGGTCCAGGATTCGGATCGGGTCCAGGATTTGGATCGGGTCCAGGATTTGGATCGGATCCAGGATTTGGATCGGATCCAGGATTTGGATTGGATCCAGGATTTGGATCGGATCCAGGATTTGGATCGGATCCGAACTATCCAGGATCCGAACTATTTTACCGGGTCGGATCCAAGATCTGGATCCGGAATTTTTTTGGGATGGATCTCCGGATCCGAATCGAATCCAACGAAATTCCGGATCGGATCCAGATCCTAAGTCAACAGTTTTTGGAAGTGATTCTATTCACTTTTATAGCCATCAAAAGCCACATTTCTACAGCTGATTAAAACTGGAACTTGTTTTCTATATATATAAATAGATACATAGATTTCTATAGATACACTAAAGATAGATGTAGAATAGAATTATATAGAAAACAAAATGTTGTGGGACAACCCCAACAACAATAACTTGCTTTCCAGGTAAATTAACAAAGGAATAAGCATTTAAAATACATATATGACCCGGATTTTTTTTCCAGGACCGATCTTCGAATTCAGATCTTTTTTTTTGGACCCGCACATCTCTGGTTTTCTTTAGCCTAACGCGAATCAGTTCATAATCGTTTACGTCTAATACTAGTCCAGTCTAGTCTAGTACTAGTCTAGTACTAGAGTAGTACTAGTCTAGTCTACTCTAGTACTGGTCTAGTACTACTCTAGTACTACTCTAGTCTAGTCTAGTACTACTCTAATACTAGTCTAGTCTAGTCTAGTACTACTCTAGTACTACTCTAGTCTAGTCTAGACTCTATCGTACCTGATGTCCATATCCCACAAGATCGAAAATACCAGGCGCCCATCTTTCAGGCACATTTCCACCTGAAATCTTATTTATATGAATTTTGAGAAAAAGATCAACAATTTCAAGTATGTTTAGCATAAAATTCCTTTAACATACCCATAAATATTCCAGAGACGAGTAACCATTGAAAAGATTTCGAATGCATTTGAAGAGACGGAGATGTTTCAATGGGAATTGTCTGAGATTTTCGACTTGAAAATCGAGTACAAGAGTATTTATTTACTTAGAATTTATTTACTTATTTAAATGTATACTTTCTCCATGTCTCTGAATTAGAAAACTTACCCAAAATCTTCTTGTCAATGGAGCATTGAGATAAATTGCCATGATTAGACAAGCGAGGAGACGAATCAAATGTCTGAAAAGGTTTCTTAAAAAAGCAAAATTGTTAGGGGGAAACTGAAAACTCAAATTCTCTATTAGTTAGCTGTTCGTTTTTTGCTCCAAAAAACAATACCTTAATTTCCAATGTGGTCGAGTGACGAAGAAAACAGTTGTCGTCATGAATTGAATTGGAATCACAAAGATCAACAATGATGGAAGGTATAACTGCAATTTTAAACGATATTTTTCGTGACTTTGTTTGTGATTTTTGAGCTACTTTCAATAATTCTCAATTCTTACCAAATCAAAAAGCAATCCCGAATCGTGTTCAGCTGAAAATCTCTGCAATCCAATACAAAGACTCCAAATTCCGATTCCGGCAAAATCGACACAAAACCAGAAGACGTGATCTAATGGAGATCGGGAGTGCTAAGAAATGTAAAATACCGTATTTTCTCTAATAGTAGTGCACCCTGAGCGTCGCCTAAATTGATCAAAATCTCGCAAAGCGCTTATCAGAACCTATCGATGTGGGGGCGGAAAATGTAGCTCACGATGAGATCTAGTGGGGGATTTGAGTGTTGAGCTTCTGCAAAAGCTTGGGAACCGTAAAATCGTCACCAACTCGGCTCCGCGGGGTGCACTACTATTAGGGAAAAGCCGGTACATGAAAAACACACTTTTAAATGGCGCACCGAACCCTCCAGGCGCACCAAATGAATTCTAGAGTCATGTATAAGGAAAAATCTTGGCCTAAGCCTTTTCCTAAGCCTTTCTTTCTCATTTCCTACTGATAAAATATCGTATTTTCTCTAATAGTAGTGCACCCTAAGCGTCGCCTAAATTGGTCAAAATCTCGAAAAGCGCTTATCAGAACCTATCGATGTGGGGTCGGGAAATGTAGCTGACGATGAGATTTAGTGGGGGATTTGAGTGTTGAGCTTCTGTGAAAACTTTGGAAGCCGTAAAATAGTCATCAAATCGGCTCTGCGGGGTGCACTACTATTAGAGAAAATACGGTAATGCTAAGACAAAAAAGAAAAAACAGTTTCTCTTTTATTCACCAATTTCAGATCATTAGCCGTGGGTCAAACAGGTTATCTCCTCTATTCAATGGTCAATTGTGCCGACTCTTCAACAATTGAACCAGATGGACATTCGGATCCAAGTAATTATATTGTCACTACAATTACATTCATTTAAATCCAATTTTGAAGAGTTTTTGTAAAACTATTACGGAAAATACGGTAGATTGAACATTTCTATAAGAAAATTGAGCATTTCTATAAGATCCAGCCTTGTTATAGCTTATCGAATTCTATTTTTTTTTAAATATTTACCAATAAATGAGCGATCGTACTTCCGGCCATTAAACACGCCGTCCCAAAATGGAGAACCAAGGCTGGGAATCTAAAGAAATATTAAAAAGATCATATTTCATATCTCATTTCTCACCTTGGTGTTTCGGATTGAATTTCGGGAATCACATAGTAATAGGCAAGTAGGACTATTGGCAAGAAATGTGTCCACACGTTTATCTGACATTAAAATTAAACGAGTTTAAATGATCGTCACCATGGCCGACTTAAATCTCTCGAGTTTTTCGCCTAGATACCGTAATCCTTTCATTGGAATCACTACATAGATGCTAAATACATAGATATCACATAAAAATGACGATAGCTTAAATAGATTACGATAGATTTGAAACAAAACTAGCTGCTTGACAAAAAAAAGACACTAGAATACTAGAATTCCGGAGGTATAAGGCCGATTGACCGCCGTCGCCGATTGGCTCCCATGATTCAAAAGTTGGAACTAGGGCAGATCAAAAACTTGTGCGGCGCCGGGACTCAAACCCGCGACCTTTGGCTTACCGGATAACTGTGCTAACCAACACACCAAAACGCACTTGATTTCCCTTACTCCAGCGGGAGTTAACTCAAATTTATTGCCCGCATTCAGTTGCCGTCATGGCCGACTGGCTAAGAGCCTTGTATCTTAGTCGGGGCGTTAATCGAGGAGTCAAGGGTTCGAGCCCCCTTGCCCCCTTATTTATTCTTTTTTTCTCTACATTGAGGATATTTAGCTTGTATTTTTTAATTGTGAATAAATGTATTTAAAAAAATGATATTTTATGTTGATAATGTTATTGATTTATAAAAGCTTTTACCAGTTCATTATGCAGAAGAAAGGCGCTCCTGTAATAATAGAAACGTGGCTGATGAAGGGGACGATAGCCTGAAAGCTAGAGATTGGTTATAGTTAATATTCTAGCAATTCAGAATTGCTTAAAATTGACAAGATCACCGACCATTATGAATGTGAAGCCTTTGCAAAAGCATCGGTACCTCAGTTGATGTTAACATCTAAAAAATCAGTACTAAAAAAGTTGGTGAGGCACTTTTTTTTCGAGATTTTCATCTTTTTTAGGGTAATCGAGGGCGCTGATCACGAAAATCACATTTTTAACATACGTTTGCGTATTAAAAATCGACTTTTACAAGGCCGAAGCTTTGAGGGATAAGGGCGGGACTTATCAAGTTTGTTTGTTTGTTTAATTTGGTCATACAAGTCCTTTCCACTTAAGATGTAGAAAAGGTTGGAAAAGTCAATTTTTAATATGCAAACTCATGTTTAAAATGCGATTTTCGTAATCAGCGCTCTCGATTACCCTAGAAAAGATGAAAATCTCGAAAAAAAAGTGCCTCACCAACTTTTTTAGTGCCAACAAAATGTTTCAAGTAATTGTCATCGATCAACGTTCAAAAGATTCAAAGAAAAAAGAGAGATCAATGAATTAATCAATGCTTTTGTTTTTTGATAATCCATTCTTTAGAACTTGTCAATTCCAATTGTCAATGTGAATTCCCCATCGAAAATCCTTCCATCAAATCACTGTCGTGCAGTGTAACAAGTGAGCGTTTACAGAAATGTTTTGCTGAGCTGACTTTGCAAGTTATGGTGCAAAAAAAAGTTATGGTTTGATTCAAATTTTGTGTTATATATGTCGTAGTCGTTTACGAAATTCAGCCGTTAACGAATGACATTTTTCGCTAGCCGCTAACGAATTGTTCGTAAACGGCTAGTTGTTAATGAATGATTCGTTAGCGGCTAGCTGTTAACGATTCTTAACCGGCTAGCTGTTAACGATTCTTAACCGGCTAGCTGTTAACGATTCTTAACCGGCTAGCCTCTAGCTGTTAACAAATCATTTGTTAACGGCTGAATTTCGTAAACGGCTACGACATATACAATGAAAGAGTTGGCTTTCAAATTTTCACATTAAATTGAGAAAAATTTCCGGTGGTTACAGGTGAAATTGTTCATGATTGAAATCGAGATATAAAGCTCATTTTATCAGAATAAAAAGAACTATTATAACTTTCCTATAACTATATAAGAATATTTCTGAGAAAAAGGCACTATTTCTCTTAACTATTTAACTAATTGTTGAGTTCTCTGGTCTCTAGAACTATTTAAAACAAAGAGCTTCCAAAAATGCTCAAGATTTTAATGAAAAATAATCGAATCGGATCGAGATTCGAGATTTTATGTGAAAGAAAAAGGAAATAAAATCTAGCTTTGAAAAATAAAACTCGGGTTATGTTTGGAGAAAGGAATAGAAAGGAATAGAAAGAAAAAAGTGAGGTGAAAAGTGAATGAAATTTGAGTTGAAGTTGAAGGAAAGAAAACCGGACAACAGCTGACACTTTTTCTTTTCCTTCCTTTCCATACCTCATTCTCTACTTTTTCTTTTCTCTATTTTGTTCAATTTTGTTCATAATCAAAAGACAAAACATAAAAATATCAAAAAAATCAAAATATCAAACATTTTCTGTTTTAGAAAAGTTTTAAATATTATGAAGTGTTCAATGATGAGGTAAAATAAGGATCTAATTAAGATGACGACAGGATTTTAAGCGTAGCGCGTAATGCGTAGCGTAGTGCCTAGTCGTAAGCGTAGTGCCTAGTCGTAAGCGTAATGCGTAGTCGTAAGCATAGTGCGTAGTCGTAAGCGTAATGCGTAGTCGTAAGCGTAGTGCGTAGTCGTAAGCGTAATGCGTAGTCGTAAGCGTAGTACCTAGTCGTAAGCATAATGCCTAGTCGTTATTCATTGATAATTTAGTGAACATCCAAAGATAAACGAAGCTATTATAGTCATTCGATAGCTCTGAATCTTTTCTTGAAAACTAGTATAAAGTTATCAAGAGCTTTTTTTCAAAATGAATAAGAAAATCGTTAAAAACGAGTTGTGCTCAAAAATAATCGTCATTAGAACGGCTATTGATGAACAGGATCGCTGTGAAGAAAGTTAAAGAGGTTAAAAAAAGAAATTAAGATGAGAAATTGTATGAAGAAGCTATGAACTTATGAAATTGCATAACAAAATAAAAAAATATAAAAATATAGCTAAAAAATTGAAATTTCTTTTCAAACAATTTCTTTGTGCTTTCAGAGACGAAAGTCTAAAATTCAGAGATAAACTTTAGTCGGATTAGTGATTGCGGTTTCTTCATTCGAAAAAGAGATTAGATTTGTTGTTTGTTCTTGTTTTTATTACGTTTATAGTTTTTTAGATAGACTTTTTCTGGAGAAAATCGATATTAAAGTAGAGGGAAGTGGATTGCTTAGGTTTACTACTTAGGTTTACTCAAGCCATTCTCTCCAATCCACTTGAGAAATCTCTGAAAATCGAAAGAAAAGGAAAAAAAAGTGCCAAGAAAACGTTATTTTTTAAAGATTTCGATTCGATTATTGAATACTCAAATGTTTTTATTTTTTTTTGATGATGAACGAACTTCCCGAAGCGTTAATAAACGTCGATCAGACTTTGATCAGAGATGGGTAAGCGATACAATTGTATATGATGCTTAAAAACTACCGTAAATACTGTAATAGTACCCCACCCCATCGTACAGTCGCGTAGTCGAAAAGTCGCGTAGTCGTTTTTTCGTATTTCTTGTTTTTCAAAGCGCTCGTACTTTCAAAAAATGCGAATTTGGTATCAAAAAATAGCTGAAATTCAGGGCTATTTTTTAATATTTAAGCGAGCATTGTAGCATCTACCAGTGCCGAGAAAAACGCGTCCAAAGCTAGACTACGCAACGCTCCGCACCGTCATTATAGGGGTGGGCTATTATTATAGTATTTACGGTAGGTTTACTCAAGCCATTCTCTCCAATCCACTTGAGAAATCTCTGAAAATCAAAAGAAAAGAAAAAAAAAGTGTCAAGAAAACGTTATTTTTAAAGATTTTTCGATTCGATTATTGAATACTCAAATGTTTTTGTGTTTTTTTGATTTTCGTTTCACTTAAATGCGAATTAGGGAGCAAAAAAAGGAAAGAGATTAAAAAAAACGACCAAATTGGGGAAAATTGGGGAAAATTTGGGGTTGTTCTGTTGGAAAGAGTTTTTTTTGGCGTTTACGATTCAGTTTCTTTGTGTTTCCTCTTTTTCATTGGATTATTTTCAAAAACAATTACCGTAAATACTGTAATAGTACCCCACCCCCATCGTACAGTCGCGTAGTCGCAAAGTCGCATAGTCGTTTTTTCGTATTTCTTGTTTTTCAAAGCGCTCGTACTTTCAAAAAATGCGTCTTTGGTATCAAAATATAGCTGAAATTCAGGGCTATTTCTTAATATTTAAGCGAGCATTGTAGCATCTACCAGCGTCGAGAAAAACGCGTCCGAAGCTAGCCTACGCAACACTTCGCACCGTCATTATGAGCGTGGGGTACTATTACAGTATTTACGGTAGGTTTACTCAATTTAAAGTAGATGGAAGTGGATTGCTTAGGTTTACTCAAGCCATTCCAAGCCATTCAAATCTCCAAATCAAAAAAGGAAAAAAAAGTGCCAAGAAAACGTTATTTTTTAAAGATTTTTCGATTCGATTACTCAAATACTCAAATGTTTTTATGTTTTTTTGATTTTCGTTTCACTTAAATGCGAATTAGGGAGCAAAAAAAAGGAAAGAGATTCAAAAAAACGATCAAATTGGGAAAAATTTGGGGTTGTTCTGTTGGAAAGAGTTTTTTTTTTGTGGGAAAAAGAACGAAACGAAATGAAACGAGAAACGAAAAGGTTTCATTTAATAAGTTTAATAGTTTAATAGGTTTAGGAAATGAAAGGATTTAATTGTTGAACACGATTAGATCCGATTTTAGCTTTGTTTCGTTTATATGTCGTAGCCGATTATGAATGAAATTTTTTGGCAAATCTTTCTAGTAGAGCAACCCTTTAATGTATGAGGACAATATTATATCATCTTGTAGCGAATTAAATTCTGCGTTGATTGGTATCAAATTTGTGAGTTTAGGTTAAAAATTGCCGGCGCTACAACGTTTCATTCAAAATCGGCGGGACCCCCGTAGCCTATTATGAATGAGTGGGTCTAGGAGCGTCCAAGTATCAAGTATTTGGTATTATTCAACGCAGAATTATTAATAATTATGTTAAATTTTTAAAATTAGAAAGATTGAATAAAAAGAAAAAAAATTAGAGCAAAAAAACTGTTTGTTCACGAGAAACTTTGAAGCCCCATAATTTTTTTTCTTTTTATCAAATCCTTTTAATTTTAAAAATTTAACATAATTATTAATGATTCTGCGTTGAATGATACCAAATACTTGATGGTTGAACGCTCCTAGACCCACTCATTCATAATCGGCTACAACATATACAAACAATAACTTTGTTGGGATTCAATGGCAAAAAATATCTCAGGTTTTTGAATCAATTTGATCGATTTTTTCTGAATATTTTCAATAAATGCTTTGAATTTTTAAAGAAAAAAAGAAAGAAAGGAAGGGAAAGACGCCAAAAAATGAATGAGATTTTGAATTTTTGAAAGATTTCAACTTTGTTTCGTTTATTTTGATGAATCTTACTATTAGATTGAAAGAAATTCAAGAATTAAATAAATTTAAAACAAAAAAACTACTTATCGCTTAAAGTTTTTTTAATTACTAAATGTCAAAGGAAAAAGAATTATATGTGAATGGACGAGATTTCCAAATGCGGAAGAAGCAAGAGGGAGTCACTGAAAAAGGAGGGCCATCAAAGAAACGAGAAAAGAGAAAGAAAGACATCGATTCATCGAAAGAAGAAAATTTCTCTCCTTTTTCTTTTCCTTTCAGCCGATTTTCCTTTTTCGGTCGAAACGAGGGCCCGGGTCGAAAAGAATCGCGCGGTGAAAGGGGAAAAGAGCCAAGAGGAGACCCATTTTCTCTTTTCGAGTTCATTCTGTTCACCCTTTATGAAAGAAACGAGTTTTGAAACAAGACTCGATTGCTAGCCATGAAATCTTTTAACAAGGAAAGCTCAAATCGGCTGATGTAGCCAAATCGAATGAGAACTAGACTATTAGATGAGAGTGTCATTCAGGAAAAATGAAGCGCATAGCGTAAAATTCTGCGAATAGTCTACGTCTCATTTGATTTGGCCATATCAGATGATGTGACCAAAATGGTCTAGGGAAAGGCACAAACCCAAGGTGAGCTGGACACTTAGTGCACTTTATAGAATCGAGTATGAGGGATCTGAATCTGAAACCAAATCTGAAACCAAGACTTTCCAGACGGGTAAGACTTCAATCGAAAATTTCAAAACGGATACTTTAAAAGGCTCCTTTCTAGCGGAAAGAAGGGGTTTTGGTGGCCTAGTGGATAGCGCGTTAGGCTCTAGCTCTAGCGTTAGGCTCTAGCTCTAGCGTTAGGCTCTAGCTCTAGCGTTAGGCTCTAGCTCTAGCGTTTGGCTCTAGCTCTAGCGTTAGGCTCTAGCTCTAGCGTTAGGCTCTAGCGCGTTAGGCTCGAGCGCGTTAGGTTCTAGCGCACAGGATCGGGGTTCGGTCTCTGATGCCGCTTTTTCTTTTTGCCTTTCTTTTGGAGCAAATTCTAGCATTTTGCAGCTAATTGCATTATGGTTTTTCTTTTAATTTCTTCGATCAAATACTGTTTACTCAATTTGCACATATCTCTTGCAAATTTACACTAAAATTCGACATTCAAATGCAGTTGAAAACTTGAAAAAAACTCCAATCAGTTTAGAATTCCCTTGTGTTGAAGCGGTTTTTGTCTTTATTCCAAACTTGTCCGCCAATTTTCGAGCACTTTCGCAGAATCGACAAGCTACAGATGATGTGCTTTCATCGATTTCATGATAGCAATCAAATGCGGGCATTCATCAGAACTTTCCATGAGCAGAACTGGAATATTTTCTCGATTTCGTAGAGAAACTGGAAACACTATTGATAGAAACGCATAGCAAATTAGTAAAATATTTCAGTTGAACATGGATAACCGATTTGAGAAAATGGTAATCTTAGATCTTAGATTAGATTTCAAGCTAATCTATTCCAGCTAATTGTAAGCTTAGGTTTTAAGCTAAGCAGTTCATATTCAATTTTGCGATTCAGACTCGAATTGTGGTTGTTATTTGATATCTATTATTTGAGCACTAGTTGTCACTATAACATATCACAATAGATAGAAATCTCTTTTCCAAAAGGAGTAATTTGATTTGGAAAGAAATGCTCCGCCCATCTCCCACTCTTAAATTTCGTCTGTTTTTTTTAATAATAGTTAAACTTAAACTTTTAATAATTAAAACTTTTGTATTTTTAAAGATTTTGCAAGAGTCTTGTCTTTCTTGGTCAATTCTTCGCTGATTTCATCGAAAAATGAGCTGTCACGGAGCTAGTCCGATAAGAGAAAGTCTGAATTCAAATAATTTGCTTCTTGGAGTTTTTTTCTGATTCACTTAATATCTTTGCGAATTCTTGTAACTTCATCAACACCAAATTCTTGTGTGTTTTTAGGGTAGGGCGTTCCACGTGGCAAATGGCAATAGAACAAAAAAGGTTTGTGTCTTACGAATAGATAGTTTGATTTTTGATCTATCCAAGAAAAACTATTAGGTTTTCCCGAAATTAACCATGAGTTTTATATAAAATCTTTTCGTAAGAAAACGAAGAAAACGAAAACTATGGTCAATCTAAGACCAATTCTGATTACTTTCGGGACAACCTAATAAAACAAATCGATTAGCAATATAAAATAAAGGAGAATTTCAAGGATGTACAATCCTAGCAAAAATAGAGACAAATTTGAAAAATTTGGGCATAGGGACGCTAAGAAAAGGGGGAGCCGGTTTAGTCGACCAGTTAGAAAATTGAAGCCCCTTCCCCAGGGCCGTATGCCAGGCGCCGAGCGATTGTGCCCGCGCAAAAAGAATACCTCACTTCGGACTTTTCTTTTGCTTTGAGCCAGTCAGAAAATTAAAGCCCTTAGGCCAGCGCCATATGCCAGATGGCGAGCGATTGTGCCCGCGCACAAAGAACACCTCACTCTGAACTTTTTTTTTGCTTTGAGCCAAAAAGCTTTGATGCTTTGATGCACCCTATGATGCAAAAAGAATATTGATTGCTGTAAATTTGTACCCGAGGGTTTTCAGGGTCGGGGAATCGATTGGAGCTATTGATAAATAGCTTCAGACTCATTTATTTTATTGAGTCTACCAATTGGGACTCGGACTTAATTGACCCATTTAGCTTGGTCTCATCCAAAAGCCTCCTTTCAATATAATGACTCTCCTCAATATAATGAATAATCTTATTGTCTAGATAATTTTTTAATTCTTTTTAGAACAAATTTCTATAAAAGCCGGAAAGCCGGAAAGCCGGAAACTATACAAAGGTACAACATCACTTTGTAATCTGTGCCAATGAGCTCTGTAATTTGTGTCAATGAGCAATGAGCATTGGCCTTTCTGTTAGTTCAGTCAGCGAATCAGTCGATTCAGCTTATCATTTCTTTTCAGTTTCTAAGGGGTGATGTCATGAAATGATTAATCTGAGAATTCAATGAATTGAAATGAGATTTGTGAATTGAAATGAGAAATTCAGATTTCAGATTCAGATTTCGCGTGCTTTCACTAAATCTTTGGGTATCGGCTGTTCATGTTGAAAATGGATTGGAAAAAGTGGCAAAACATATTGATATTCTTGAGCCGGATATCATCGCTTTACAGGTTATTTTTCTTTATTTTATGAATCAATTGATCTTTATTTTAGAGTTAAAGGTTAAAAATAAACCTTTAGAGTTAAAGGATTATTCTGTCAATTAATAAACCTTTAGAGTTATTTATTCTGTCAATTAATAAATCTTTAGAGTTAAGGCTTTATTCTGTCAATTAATAAACCTCTAGAGTTAAAGGTTTATTCTCTCAATTAATAAACCTTTAGAATTAAAGGTCTATTAATTGACAGAATAACTTTGTCTTTAGTAAACACAAAAAAGAGATTCTCAGATTTAACTCAGAGAATTTGTTTGCTTTCTGGGTAGTTCCTGGTTCCTGGTTCCTGGTTTTTTCATGAGAATCATTGATACGGTTGACCTCTGTCGTTTGATATCAATCTATCAACTCAATGATAATAACTTTTTTTTTAGGAAGTGATGAATGACACAACTGTTCCTGAAATCATTCAATTATTGAAAGAGCCAAACAAATGGAAATATGCACACACAGAAGATAGTGCAAGTACAGCCATCATATCGAAATATCCGGTAGGATTTTGAATCAAAAGACAATAGAAATCGATATTAGATTGATGAGAAATCAATTTCTACAACTGGTTATTCAATCCATGCCACCATCCAGTTAAACGATGGGATTTCTCTCGAATTTTGGTCCGTTCACACTCAATATGTGTTGGTTATTCGTTTCTCAATAAAAACAATACAACTACAAAAAGTTTCCAGTAAGTAATTCCAGTAATTAATTATTTAGAGCCTACGGTCCACATGCTGCATACAATCGAATGGTGACTGATGTGAAACAAATTTTGGAAGGGGAAAACTCGCCTCCTGGACAAGGTAGGAGAAAATCTTGGATCTGGTAAGGATGATTAGCTAAAAACCTGCCAAATAGGAAGTAGATATGAGCTCAAAACTGAAGCTCTTGTCTCTTTTAGTCAGTAGAGTGTGTTCGAGTGATGCGTTTTCTAAACGGGACCTTGTAAATGCACCTATTTGAGAAAACTACCGTAAAAACCGTTATTTTAAATCCGATCAGTCCGATTTTGGTATCATTCAATAAGAAATTACAAGGCTCAGTCAATGATACCAAAATCAGGTTTATCGGATGTAAACTAACGATTTTCTAAGGTAGACTACGGTAGTTTTCTTAAATAGGTGCATTTTCGAAGACGCATTACTCGAGGGGAACACACTTTAGTCTCTAGACCTTTTTTTGATTTGAATTTAAAAAATACATTTATTGAAAACCAATAATGTGATACAAACAAAGGGTACATAATAAGACATAAAGACACAAAACACACAATTTTATGGCACTGCGGCCGTTCCCCCCCCTTTTACCCCTATTACCCAAAGTTTGGGAAAAACCCACTTGGTGGGAAGAAACTTTTTATCTTGCCAGAGTGATTGAACCCCCGACCTTCGGCTCAAAGCGGCGGCCGCCGGAAAATTGCTAATTGATTTTCGTTTAGGTAGAGTGCAAAATGTGAATGAGATTCTCGAGTCAAAGGAGATGTTAAAGGCCAAGCACAAAGTCGATACAACACCAATCATCATTGCTGGTGATTTTAATTCGCCAAGTCACCTAGATTGGACCCATAAAACAAGGTATGAATAGAAATGTTTGAGAAAAAACAAACGTAAAACTACAAATCCTTTGTATCTAATGGATTGCAAGCTCGGAACATTTTGTAAACATATAAAACCATATAGCCGGTCCTTTTATAGGTTTTGGCTGGGCGTACAAAAGATGATAGGCGCCGGGGTTCGAACCCGCGACCTCTCGCCTACCGGGCAACCAATGAGCTACCAATGAGCTACCAATGAGCTACACCGAGACGTAGCCCATTGCGAGAGTAGAGCCTTCTATATTTCAGTGATTTGCATCACAGCTGGGTAATTGAATGGCCGTCAACAAGCCTTCTTGAACAAGCCGGTTTCAACGATTCCTACAGAGTTGTTCATCCCGATGTGCTTACTAATCCTGGTTCGATTCAACTTCAATAACTTATTTAACTTATTTATAAATTTACTCATGTAATTCTAGGTCACACTTGGTCGACATGTCATAAATCGAATGGCGAATGGAATTATGCGATTCCTGAACCACAAGACCGAATCGATTTTATTTTCTATCAAGGACCGTTAAAACCATTGAGGTACTCAAGAATAGATTGTGTTCCTTGCGAGTAAGTAATTACTCGAGTAAAATTCGCATAAGTCATTTTTATTCGACATGCTTATCGATATCATCGATACAAACGGTATTTTCATGTTTGACCGTTTAGATCTCGGCTTCTAGAAAAGCTATCAATCTGTAAATTGTTTCATTGGAAAGCCAAGAATGTCAGCTTTTGATTGCTATCTCATACATAGCAAATTCTCATAGGTGAGTGCCTTAAAAAGGCTTATCAATACTTATCGATACTTAAATATCGATTATCGATAATTGATATTTTGGATGTCGATAAGTACCGATAAGGCTTTTGAAGTGCTTACTCATTAAAAGTCGATATGTATAATTAGGAATCAAAAGCTGACATTTGGCTTTCCAATGAAACAATTTGCAGATTGATAGTTGTTCTAGAAAGCGAGATCTAAACGGCTAAACATGAAAACGCCGTTTATATTGATAATATCGATAAGCAAGTCTAATTTTCACTCGACTAATCGACGTTTCTTGTCGAATAACTACGAGTGATCCTCTTTACACGTCGAGTAAATCGAATATCTTTACATTTGAAGGGAATTTGCCGGCTCGCGGCTGAATATCTTTAAAAGGAGTCGTATATAAGTCAGCGCTTGTGATTTTTTCGCGCCCATTTTGGGGGTGGGACAAATGCGACCTTTTTTTTGCGCACCTGGACATTTGCGCACCTTTTTTTTGCTGGAAAAGGCCTTAGGAAAGGTCGTAGAGCTTCAAAAATGTGTTGATAGAAGGGAATCGTATGCGTAGATTCAGAATTTTGACAAATCAGACCTCGCTAACACGTCAAATTTGGGCTAAAAGACAAAAACTGCGGAAAAGCGTTAAGTTGCGTAGTTTTTGCCTTTTAGCCCAAATTTGACGTGTCAGCGAGGTCTGATTTGTCGAAATTCGGAATCTACGCATACGATTCCCTTCTATGGAAATATCTTCGAAGCTCTACGATCTTTCCTAAGGCCTTTTCCAGCAAAAAAAAAGGTGCGCAAATGTCCAGGTGCGCAAAAAAAAGGTCGCATTTGTCCCACCCCCCAATTTTTATAATTTTCAATTTTCGCTAAAAGTACGATGATTTTTCCCAAGTGTGCGTTTTAAAAAGCGGATTACTCGCAAGGAACAAACTCTACTCAAGAATGGGCATTCAAAATCTTTAAATCCCTTTAGGAATTCAATATCAGTGAGAAACGAAAGCTTTTGCAAGACTAAGTAGCCACACAAACACCACATTTTTTTCTCTTTATCATCACAAATCTCTCGTACTTTGATGCCATACAAAGAATTTTTGAGAAATTGACGAAACTTTTGAAAAAAAAACGATGTTCGAAAAGTGGATATCTGATAGAATAAAAAAAAGCTGTATGAGTGATTGAAGACTTGGAATAAGTAAAGAGTGACAATGGAATCAAATGCAGAAACGTTTCAGCTCATCTCCATATGCGGGAACTGAGCCACTTCATCCGATTCCAAATCATTGTGACAACGATTGGCCATCGGATCATTATGCTCTTGTTACCGATTTCTCTTTTAATATTCCCAATTTTCGCTCTCGCCTTTGAGATTTTTTTTTATGAAAAGATTACTTTTGTAGATCATTTTGAAAGGAATTCAACTAAAAGTTATGCAATTTTGAAATTTTATGAAAATACTTTCTGTAATATACTATTGTCTATTTATTTGTTGGTTGAGGGGATTTTGTCTAAATCTTTTGAAGCCGTAATTTCGTTTTTCGTGGACCAGAAGGAAAAGCTTTCATGGAACTGATAAGAACAGAAAACAGCAAAATTCTCGGAATGACCCCTCTCAGAGTCACATTTATTGGTGTCTTGGTCTATTGATTCTGATATTTGAAAACCTTTTTGTTTCTCAATAATCATAAACTCTGTGACTTTTATTTACTGTTTTTGCTTTTATCTACAAGGCAGTATCAGAGCTGGGAATTTTTCGATTCATTCGTTCTTACAGTTAGCAGACAATTGCAAAACTTGATGGTAGGTATTTAAATACAAATACACATCACATTGTTGTTCTATTGTACCTACAAAACACTAAGGTACTGACACTGTAAACCCTTAGTCTGACTTGAAATGTTAGGTATCACAAAACCTAATGTTTCATCATTTATCTTGTGATCGGTACCAGGTACGGACTAGGAATAGTCATACATTTATTCGCACAAATAATGTGGCATAACCTCTAAGCCATAAATCTAGGGAAGAAAAAAAACCCATGTATATGGAAAAAGAACCGATCTAGCCGGCGGGATTGAACCATTGACCTTCCGACTAACTTCTCGATTAAGATACAGAGCTCTTAGCCAGTCAGCTATGCCAGCAAAGGCAGTGAGCTTTCAAAAAGTCTCTAAATATTTAAACTATTGCTTAACTCTCAAGCTTTCGAAGGATCAGCTCAATTTTTTTTCTAATCAGCTCAATTTTTCAATTTTCAATTAGTTTATCCATAAATCAAAAAGAAAAAGAATCAAAAAGACCTTCCAAAAGAGTTTAACATTGTCATTCATAACGATAAACAATATTAAAGTTGTGAGAAAACGTTTTGAATTAAAACTTTACTAAGAAAACTTTAGGACCTGTTAACGGATCTTCGTCCCGCTTGGCAGACAATTACAAGATATGAGCCAACACCGAGAACCTCAATCGATCAAGATAATTTTCTTTTGTGTTTGGATGTCGCTCATTTACATGAACGAAGTGATTCTGGAAACTACACTTATCCCCGAAACCACGTAAGTAAAAAAAAATCTGCATTCACACAACCCAAACATTCATACATTCATACAAGTCATTTATCTTCATAGCAATATTTTCTATGATGCCTTAATACCCGTAATAAAATATCCTCGTAATATAAATATCCGAGTCAGTTCCACGTTTTCCGTTTCCGTTTCCACGTTTTTTCTGCAAACAGCCCTTGTTTCTTGTTTTCTAAAGCATGGAGACAATGCTATTTCAAGCTTTAGAAAAAAGAGCTGTTTACTAAAACGTGGGATTGACTCATTTTCTACAAAACGCTCATATATACTTACAAATGACTTTCTTAAAATAGTTGTCACTTTTATGGTTACGATTAGACAAAAATTTACTTAGAAACTATGTAGATAAAATGGTGTCATAGTGAGGAAATAAATTTAAAGGGACAAAAGGAACAAAAGGAACAAAAGGAACAAAAGGACAAATAGGAACATAGGAACAAAGGAACTAAAAGGAACAAAAGGAACCAAGGTTTCTTAAAAAGTCGTCACTTTTATGGACAGACAAAAATTACTAGAAACAGGAAAATGGTGTCATAGTGAGGAAATAAGTTTGAAGTTAAACCAGTTTGAAGTTAAACCAAATTTCAGTTAGACAGCCACAATTGGTCATTCGGGAGACCTATCAGACAATCGGTTAGTGATTTCGAGTATTGAAATTTCATATTGAGCCAATTTAGACTCCAGTGCTAATAGAATCTCCATCGAAAAAACCCAAATTATGGGTAGGTTTTTGTTTTTATATATTTTTTTATAATCTGACAATGAGAACGAAATCAAAAACACTCCAAAAAAAGTGAAAAAACTCGTTATTATTCTAAAAGAATTTCAGATAACAATGGTCATCTCCCCACTCATCATCGGATCTTTACCCGGCTATAATCTCATTCGTTTAATAATTACAATCGGCAGGTATATTTAGATTTAAACAAAGCAATCAAAATCTTCTAAATTTAGTGCCTCAAGCCATGGCGTGACAGGCTTTCTCGTTCTTTCAATTTTCTTTTTTCTTTTGGCCACATTAGCTTTGCTATCGGGGTTTGGCTACATGTGGGAAAGTCGACATTGGCCCACTGAAACTTTAACGCAAAGGATATGTGGTCAGATCTACATGGCAATTGTGGTAAAAATATTAAACGCACAATCAAATTGAATAAAAATTTTCAGGCCTTTTACACATTTGTCAACCTTTCAATGACAATATCGAATGCCTTCAAAGGGGATGTCTCATTCCATGTCCCCATAATTACATTTGTCCTTTTTTTAGTCTGCTTATTTGCTCTTCTTTCTTTTCTATTCCCAAATTACAATATCAAACTACCATTTTCTAGATTTTTCTTACGCAAAAAAACAGCCACGCAAAAATACGAAAGGTTTACTCCTTAGAAACGTCGTACAAAATTTTGATTTTGATTCTCAATTTTGAAAGAAACGTTTCTTCTGCTACACGAAAAAACCTAATTTTTTCAAATAACAAAAAAATCTCAGGTTTTAAATCCAAAAAATCCAAGCCGTGATCGAACAACCTCGGCTAAATTTTGTACATATTGTTGTAATTGAATCTCATGTGCATAATTTGTTAACTATCTTATAAAAGTTTTTTTTAAAATAATAATTTTATTGGGAATTCATCTTTTGATAAATGGCGATCCTTCAAAACACTGATGCAAACTTAGAAAACTTTAAAAATCAACAAAATTTACAAAACAAAACACAAAAAGTTACCCGTATCACAAAAGAAGATCACTTTGCAGCGTTAAGTGGAAGATTGCTTATTTGGTCTGCAATTTTTGCCTGTAGAGCTTCAGTGATTGCCGACAAAGTGAATCGTTTCTCGGATAGAATTTTCTCAATCTTCTCTGTCTAAAATGAAATATTTCACTAAAAATATGACTGAAAAAATAAAATAAAATTTGGATGTCAGATACGTAAAGAAAGCTTACATTTTCAACAATTTTTCGGTGTTTTCGTTCAAAAAAGTCCTTGGCTTTCGTGGTGGGCACTTCAGCATAAAATCCTAAAGAAGTTTGAATTGTTTGAATTGAAATTGAAATTGCTTAGCAGTTAAAGCTATTAGGTAGTCATAAAACCTAACAATAAATAAAAAGACTTATTTCAAATCTGAAAATTCCTATTAAATTACTTGACGCTTCTATTTGATAAACTAGAAGCTTGCTATGAATTCTAAATTTCACCAGTGCCAAGTTCGACAAGCGTTGTTTGTGGATCCATTAATTCTCCACGTATATACATCTAAAATATAAAAATTATAAAATCTAAAGATGCAACCAAACCGATTCGGTTAATGGAATCAACGAGGCTGCACCGCGCTCTTTCTTTTGCAAATCATCAACCGCTTGAACACTCTGTGTAACCTAAAAACGAATATGTGATTTTAGTTAAAACATGCAATACAGCTTTATCCTTCTTTCAAGGACCAAACCTATAGAACTTTACCTTCAAATACGCATGCTTTTAAACACAGAACCAAATCTTCAAAAGCACCTCATTTTATTTAAACCTCGGCATGTGCTTTTAAAGTAAATAAGTGATTTGAGAAAAACCTTAGCTAGCGACTTTTTAAAAACAATTGATAAAGGCAAAAGTTATTTGTTTTTTGGGCGAACCTTTTAAAAACAAACCTTTTCCGCAAATCCTCTTAGTGATTCAAGAGACGTTGCAAAGAAAGTGAGTTCCTCTTCGAGTTGCTTCTGCAGATGGTTGAGTTGTTCAACCGATAGTTGCGAAATTTGCACGGCTCCCGACTCGGCCATCTAAATCTCAAAAATCAGCATGTTAAAACAAAGCAGTAAAAGCAGGAATCCAACAAAAATAAAAGATCAAAGCAACGACTTTACGATTTACAACTTCAATAATAAAAAAAAGAACCAAACTGCGCAACTATTTATACTATTTGCCAAGGCTTTTAGCAACATTCTCAAACTATTCAATTGATTGCTGACTGACTTCTTTAAAGGCCTTTTCTAGAGCTGAAATATTAAACCGATTTGACGTTTGTGTGCGTTCAATTCTGTCGTCATTTGTAGTGTTTTGGTACTCAGATTTTTGTAATTTTTAAATTTGAAAACATATTTTTGCTCTCTAAGTGAGAATGAAATCTTTTGTTTTAACTATTTTCTTTGAGTTTTCTACGCTAAACGAGTTTTATATGATTGTGCTCATTTGTTTACAGAGACAACGATACTGTTGAGGCGACGACTTGCGGTTTTCAGCCGATCAACAGCCATTCATCGAGTAAGTTTATAGTTTTTAAATCTAAATGTGAATGTAGGTTTTTGAAAGAGTTGAAATGAATGAATTTAACAAACTTTTAAAATTATTATGTTTTAGATGGCAGCATTGACCCGATATGAACTTGTGGACATCGGCGCCAATCTCACGCATCCATCCTTCAAGGATGATCTAGAAGATGTGATCAATAGAGCGAAACAGGCTGGTATAATTTTTGTGCCGAATCATTTCCGTGAGGTTGTGTTTTGAGACAGGATTCCGTGTTGTTGGCACAACTTATTTTTTTTTCTTATTTAGGTCTTTGCAAAATAATGCTAACGGGAACTTCCGAAAAAATCAGCAAAGAAATCAGTAAGATCGCCGAGAAACACCCGGGTTATTTGTATTTCACAGCAGGTAACAATAAGCAAAAAAAATGTTTACAATCTAGTTTTTGGATTAGGTGTTCATCCACATGATGCCAAGGATTTTAAAGAATCAACAGCTGCTTGTTTACGCGATTTACTGAAACATCCACAATGTGTGGCAGTTGGGGAATGCGGTGAGGTTTTATGACTTATGGTTAGTATTGTTCATGATTTCTAGGCCTCGATTACAATAGAAACTTTTCACCTCCAGAAGTTCAAAGAGAAGTTAGTGTTGAATCTTTGGAAATCAACAATTCAGTAATAGATCTTCAAAAAGCAAGTTGAATGGGCTGTTGAATTGAGGAAACCATTGTTTATACATGAACGAGAAGCCTCTTCAGATATGGTTAGTAATCTTAGATTTTTTTGTTACTAAAACGTGCTTTAGTTGAATATCCTGTCGTCATTTGGTGATCAACTTCCCTTTGTTGTTATACATTGTTTTACTGGGACGGTTGACGAAGCCAAAGTATATCTTGAGAAGGGGTATTACATTGGATTAACCGGTGTCTAATCAGTTTGTATAAAAATAATTGCGGCGCTTCAGGTTTTTTATGGAAAGATCGCTCAACAAATGGAGTACAACATGGTCTTAAAACTGGTGAGCTACCACTTGATCGACTACTTCTTGAAACGGATGCACCATTTATGTACGTTTCTCATTTACATTATTAGGTATTACTAGTTAGTGCGTTTATGAATTTACCGCATTTTTAAGGTATCCCAAAGTTAACGACAAGAAAATACCACAAGAAGTTCGCCAGAAGTTAACACAGTCTGCACTTGATCTGCATAAAGTAAGAGTTGATTGCCAGTTGTCTAATGTGATATTTTCCCTCAGTTTTCGTCGTTCAACCGAAACGAGCCTTCCTCTTTGCCTGCTATTTGCGAGTTGATTGCCGCTTTTATGGACAAGAACCCGGTCGAAGTAAAAATTTGATGTTTAAATTTAGGATAGCTACAATTTTGCTACAAAATTAAAAATAAGTGGTTTCGATTTCTGATTTTCACTTTAGGTTGCCAAAATTACCACCGAAAATGCAAAAAGGATCTATGGTCTACAATAAAAGAATTTAAATGTTTTTGTGTTTTTGTTGTACCTGTGATATATTTTTAGAAATAAAAAGTTTACTAATCTTTAAATTTTTGACAGGAAAAGTTTGGAAACCTGGTTTGCATATGTCGTTAACTATGTAGTTAGTTTTGTGTTGAAAATAAGGGAAACGTTTTGGTATTATCAATTGGGGACAAAAAACTATCATGCGTGCTCGCGCCAAAAACGTCGCTCTATGCCATGGGCATTCAAATTTTTATTTTCGAACCAGTTTGAGCACTATTGAACTGTCAAGAAATTAATAAACCTAGAGTTTTTAGCACGACCCCAACCAGATATAAACAATGCAAATGGCCGATTGCAAGATTCGCAATTTACTTCGACTGATGAAAGAAAAGAATGTTTTCAAACTTGACCAAAACGAAGGTTTCCTACTCAAAAGTGGCTTGGTGGGGTTTCAGTTCATTTACCTATACTAAAAAAAATTTTGATTATTACTAATATGAAATTTCAGCGTTCGCCCATTTATATTGATCTACGCGAATGTTTTGGTTATGCCGATGTCATGGTCATGATTTCCTTACAAATATATAACATTTGTTTTTAGAAGCTTGCCTACAGCTGCTTCGCTGAAATGATCGTCAAAACAAATGAGAATTTTGATGGAATTGTCGGAGTTCCATATGCTGCATTACCCTATTCAACAGTGAATATACATATTTTTGTGCCTAACTATAAAAGAACAGTATAGAAAACTAACAATTCAAAAAATTTAGACGGTTGCACATCAGCTCGGCAAGCCATTCATAATCATTAGAAAGGAAGCGAAAAGTTATGGTACAAAGAAGTTGATTGAAGGTTTGATCTTTTTCGTTTTTCGTTATTCACCAAACTTTAGGGCTTTACCAAGCAGGTCAAACTGTGGTGATTATTGAAGATGTAGTAACAACAGGAGGAAGCATTCTGGATGCAAGTTTCAACTAGAATAATAATTTTCAAATACCTGGTCCATCTTAGCGTTAGTATTGTTTAGGTTGTGAAAATTATTCGCGAAGAAGGATTAATTGTGAAAGACGTCTTTTGTTTGCTTGATCGACAACAGGGAGGAGCAGAAAGATTGAAGGACGACGGAATTACTTTACATAGGTAAAAGCTTTACTCTTTTTGTTAGTATTTTGAGTTTAGCCTCTTCAACATTGAGCTGATTCTTTCATTTTTGTTGGGTGTAAGTGCCATTAACGACGAGCAACTACAGCAGGTGCGTTATTGGGATACCTTAAGTCAGAAAATTAACATTTAGATCATCACAGCGTTGAGTCTTCCTTTTAAGACGGTACCAAAATGCGATATTGGAATGCAGCTCGAGACGTTGAATACAAACGGGAAATCTCATTCAAGAAAAATTATGGTTTGTGACTTTTGAGTTTTGCAGACTTTAGAATAAGAAACAGAAATAAAAATGACCTTACTACATAGGAGTTTTATCTCATAAAATCGAACGATTTAGGGCAATCGTTTGCCACTAGCTGATCGATTGAACAAAACGAACAACCCACTTAATCAACAAATTTTTGCATTGATGATAAAAAAGAAGAGCAATCTTTGCTTGGCAACCGACTTCCAGAAAACTGTGGACGTTCTACAGGTATCATTCGGAGTTTTTTTAATAACTTTCCCGATTAACATCATAGCTTGCTGAGGCTGCCGGTCCGTCAATTATTGCCTTGAAGATTCATGCGGATATTATTGTTGATTTTAAGTAAGTGCTTTCATAAGCTTTCACAACGCATATTTTAGCCAAGATTTTACGGTTAAACTTCGACAGATCGCTTCGAAACATGATTTCCTGCTTTTTGAAGACAGGTTTTCTTTTTTAAGAATTATAAGTAAATCTCGATAATTTAGAAAATTTGCTGACATTGGAAATGTTATTGATTTGCAATTAAAGGGATTTCACAAGTAAAACTAAGTTCACGACGTTTCATAACCTTTGTTTTAGTATCTGCGATTGGGCTGATATGGTTACTTGCCATGCTGTTCAGGGGAGCGAGAGCATCATTTCTTCTTTTAAAAAGGTTATTGAAATTTAAATCAATGCAAGCTGTTTTAGTACGTATCATCTGATGCTTCGCAAATTAAAGGAATCCTTTTGATTGCCGAACTCAGCGCCAAAGGGTCTTTAACGACGCCTGATTATGCCGAAAGTATTTTATTTAGAACTATATACAAAAAAAATCTGTTTAGAAGCCATATCCGTGGGCGAAGAGAATTCTGATGTCGTTTCGGGTTTTATTTGCCAGACGCAAGCCAGTAATCATCCAGGAATGCTCAACTGGACTCCCGGTTTAAATTCTTACTTGCAAAAATATTGCTTTGCCAAAGAATTTTTAAGTACGTTTTTTTATTTTCAGGTGTTAATGAAAGCAAACAGCAAGACGGCAAAGGCCAACAATGGAGGACTATTGAGAAGGTAAAATACTAGATATGAAAATGCTATTTATTTTTTTGTTTTAGGCAATAGTCGAACAGGGAAATGATATCATCATATTAGGACGAGCTATCACGGAGAATTCAAATCCAGCTCAGGAGCTCGAAAGGTAATTTCTCTTTTTGACAATGATTATTGAGAACAGCTTCCAAATCTAAGTTTTAGATACCAAGTAGCAGCCTGGAAAGCCCTCACCGGAGAAAGTCAATAAATAATTGTTGCCATATCATTAGTTAGTTGTGCCTTTTCAAAATATCTGTAATGTTTATTTGGTGAAAATTTTTACTTTGAATTCAGATTGTAATTTATTTTATAAGAGGATAATACTGGTGAAATAAATTTTTAAATGTTTAGACTTTCTTGGTTTTCTTGAATCCGCCGACCAGTCGCATTAATGCCGAATATCCGTATGGAATACATCGACAATCCCTCAAAGCACTGTATGCATTTGAAAAGTCACGGCAACCGCCCTGAAATTGGATTGATACGTCACTTTCGATATCCGAGCTTACTCGGCAAATTCCTAGTCCGTCAGTGCAGCGTTGTTGAACACCATCCCAACCGCAACCTTGAGGCTAGAAATAAGAGTAAGAGAAATCGTGCTGGCCTACTAATAGCAAAGTTTCATACTTGGAAGTTTTCCTTGTCGTGTATCATGCTCAAATATGAAGAGGCTTCCCCGGGTGGATAAGCACCTCCATATAATAGAGGGTTATAGCCTATAAAAAATTCACTTTAATTGTATTTTCTGTCTTGACCAAACCCATATTGTCATGGGAAGAACTTCTCCCGTAGTATGGGGGAGCGCCATAATGCCTTGGACCGGACATGTACCAATGAGAGGAACCTTGGCTAAAAATTAACCTATTTATACAAGGTTCATCGAGGGCGGAATCTCACTTGTATGGATATTCATAGCCTGAACGATGATATCCATCCTGACGATATAGCGGATTTTCATATAGAGATTCTCCCAGGTGATATTGATTTCCTGAAATTTATTGGAACTTGTTTTTTTCCACAAACGTCCTCCCCTTGCGCTTAACTAGCGCAATAGTTTACCTAACTACCTAGGTATGTAGCGCCTGTATGAAAATACCAAGTACACCTCTTTACACTTCTACACGAAAGACTTTCAGCAACCAGTTCATTCATATCCAACTTCTTTCATCGAAATCTTAACTCCCCAGTTTGCTTTCGCGTTCTCTTCAAAAAAATGTTTAACTTAAATTTACCGCAGGTTCTTATGGTTTTTTAAATTTCAGTCTCGTTTGGCTTCGATAAAGTAGTGAAAGTGTGTCATGGAGAGCAACCCGCGCAAGGTAAAATGTTTTAACATCGTTATGATTCTCGAGGGTTTTAAAAAGAAGTTTTTGCTAACTTTCTCTTTTTAGCGCAAAATTGTCGATCTTCGAGCTCCGGACAAAGCTGTCGAATTGAGCGCCTATCGAGATCAACGCTTTCAGGTTTTGTTCAACTTTTCTTATTTCTCATGTTCTTTGTGCACTTCAATGGCATAATCAAATTTAGGGATCGTTGAAGCAGCAAGAACAGCTTCTCAAAAATTCGACCACTTTATATGTTGGAAATCTATCCTACTTTACTAGAGAAGAGCAGGTTGTGATTTTTATTTTGCTAAAATTATTCTTTTTGCATTTAGATCTACGAACTTTTTGGCCGAGCTGGTGATGTGCGCAGGGTGATTATGGGACTTGATCGCTTTAAGAAGACACCATGTGGCTTTTGTTTTGTGGAGTGAGTTTTAAATCTTGCTATAAAGGTGTGTTCTTTTTGTTTATTACGAAATATTCAGGTATTATACTCGTGACGAGGCAGAAGTCGCTCAGCGTTGCATTAATAGTATGTTTTATTTTCGTAAGATAAATTTTGTATTTGTTTATAACTTTTAAACAAGAATCTACTAGATATACTAGTTAGTATATGGTGTAGCAAATGTAAAGAATATGCTAGATAATAATTTAGGTACGCGACTGGATGAGCGACTCATTCGTACGGACTGGGATGCGGGTTTTGTAGAAGGACGTCAATTTGGACGAGGAAGACATGGAGGACAAGTATTATTTTTAAGTAAAATCTTGGCATGTGCTTGCTGTACTATTAAGACAATGGTATTGCTAAGTCAAATTTATGGTTATTTATACGGCTTTTGCTATACATTAAATTAAATATTGAAAAATTTTATGAACAAGGGAATGTCAACTGGGTGTAGTGACCAAATGACATGTGCCACGGGTTATTCGACGCAGAATTCAACGCCGATTGCGAATCTGCTTTTCGTTTCTGCTATGGAGTACTCTGTCAAAAGTTATAAGCGTGCAAAATTTTTATGGGATTTCAAAAATCACAGCCCGAGTTTATAAGCAAATTTCCCAGAGACTTTAAGAAGCAGTGGTGACCGAGTGGGAATGGGTTAGGGTATACAAGGAAAAGACTCGAGTTCGAGTCCGCCGTTCTACTTTTTTCTTTTGCATTTTTTGATTTGCAAAGTTAATTGTTCTCCGTTTTAAATATTTCAAACTACTTTCATAAAAATCTTTATTTTTAACTATTAACATCAACCAGCTATCATTAAAATCCAAAAACCTTTACATTGATGACAACATTCTCGATGAGAAGGGGAAAGCATGGTTTGAATACAGTTATGGCAGGCACAAAACATAAAAGCAAAGACGCACAATTTGTATCTTCACAAGGCAAAACATCAAATTTGAAACAAGCATCTTTTGGAGTATCGAATGAAACACGCTCATTGTCATTAATGTCGAAGGCTTGTTTTTTTGGATTTTAATGATAGCTTTTCTATGTTAATAGCCAAAATTAAACATTTTTATGAGAAGGGAAATCTGTTTATAAACTCGAGGTATGATTTTTGAAATCTCATAAAAAACATTGCACGCTTATACTTTTGGCAAAGTGTTCCATAGCATAAACGGAAAGCAGATTCGGGATCAGCGTTGAATTTTGCATCAAATAACCCGTGACACATGCCATTTTTCCACCACACACAGTTGACATTCCGTTGTAAGTTTTACTATACTCAAATCTTATTGTTTAGGTTCGCGACGAGTACCGAAAAGACTACGATCCTGGCAGAGGTGGATGGAACAAGATTGTGCAAACACGAAATGAGAGAGATCGAGATGACTAACGTGTTGCCAATTATTACGACCAACGACTTCACCTCCTCTTTTTTTTTAAAACTACATATTTTTGTTGAATATTGACAGGATATCAAATTGTTACAATTTTCCTTGTTACGGGGCACCATATTGATAAATTTAATTTTGTTCTAATCTCACCTGATGAATAGGGACTGAGAAAGCCTTGTTGAAACGACGGATTGTAGTATTGGCCAAAAGTTATCCCACATGTGCAAAAGAACAGTAAAAATGAAAGTAGCAGAGGCATCTGAACTTTAAAATTTAAAAATTTCAAAGTTGATTGATGGACTGATTTCAAGACTTAAATATCTAAAGCGAAGAAAGGTATGGATATGGATATGGATACTGAATACACAATGAGTAAATGATTTCTTTCTCGGCAGAACCACAGACACGCTGTTTACTCGAGAAATCCACAAATGACCGCTCACTTGAGGACTGTGTGACCCGATTCGAACAATGCGGTAGTCGAAAGTGTTAAGTGTGAATGGTTCATCTATGAGCGTTTCATTCACTTTACCCTCATTCACTCAATTCACTTCAACATCCCCGAGGCTATTGTGAAAGAAAAGAGAGCAAGAGTGACCGCAATTTCATTCATTCGATTTCAACTCTCACCGTTGGAAAAGATCATCCGGATACATTAGGGAAAACGAATTTCCTTGAAACTCATTGTCAATAGGTGTACAATGAAAGAAAAAAAACGAAATTTGACCACTTCAACAGCTACTTTTTAAGGATTTCTTCCTACAAGAAGGTTGAATTTTCAAAACTCTATCTTTTACTCTAAAAAAACCCCCTAAAAAGTAGCCATTAAAGTGCTCAAATCTCGTTTTTCCATTGTATACCTATTGACAATTAGACCGGCAAATGAAACCAGCTCTAAAGTATAGTGTGATTTTACCAAAATCAGTACGTTGAGAGGGATTTATCTGTTATTTTCTCGAAAAATTCAGACTATGCATACCTTTCCAGAACAGCTGAATTAGATTAACATTATCTTTTATTGTTCATCCACAAAAATTAATTGTAGCATTGCTCTCACTAATCCCTGACTCATAATGAGAAATATGTAGCCGAAAAATGTTCTTTATTTTCGTGAGTGTGTTCTGGATTAGAGATCGCGTGTCTTTTGGGGATTTCCGCGAATATTTTTCCTTTCTTTTTCTTCTCAAGACCGTGAAAATATGATAGAGAAGTCCCTTCAGGATACCATTAAAATATTTCTATTTTTTTTTTGTTCAACCTCTATTTCTATGACATAAAAGGACGCATATTGTCTTGTAAAACTGTTCTCCGGTATGTTATGTTGCTCTTAAACATACGATTTATTAGGTTGGAAAGAAAGTTCGTAGAAAAAGTTTCCACGGTGATTTCTCAAAAACCAAGCCATCAATTCTTTCCAAATTTTTTGATAAACTTGACTTTCAAAAAGTTTTTGATAAAAAAATCAGAGTAGTCTTCAGGTAAAAATAAGGGATTTCTTCAGCTCAAGTGACTTGGTTGACTTTTTGAGTGGCAAACCTTTAGCCAAGTCTTTAATGGGTTAATGAATAGGCAATGGGCCTCATTCAAAACCTAAAATCAAGTACTTAAAATAAGGAGAATTTGCGATCAAGGCAAATTTTATCTAATACTTTTAACGAATATAAAATTGTATAAGTGGCAAACCTTTAAACAACCGTTTAATAGGTGAATGGATAGGTAATTCAAAACCTAAAATGAAGTACAGTCGAACCATGTTAATCAACTAACCTCTATTTTAGTAATCGGATTTTTTTAGGATCCCTCTGAGTTGATTTAGTACTAATCAAATCTCGACGCTGAACGGCTTTTCAGAATCCCTTCCATAATTTCACTAAAGAGATTTGACTGTACCTAAAACAGTGAAAATTTGCAATAAAGACAAATTTGATCTAAATTGCTTAACCTTTTCAAAATGACCGATTTTAGCAAATGTTAAAGCAACCCATTTATTTTAGATTTATCTCATAAAGAATCGTTTTTATTGTGCAAAAAGTGAGCTGAGCTAATTCGAAGTACACCGGAGACCGGTGTACTAGGCAGACAAAATTTTTGAGAACAATGGCCTCAAAGTTCATGATTTTTGAAAGATTTTTCGAATTTCTGGCACACCATTTGTGTCCAGTTTCTACTGCTCAATTATGCTCTCTCAAAAAGTGCCCTGCCGCCTAGTGGTTAGTGTGCTAAAATGAATATCTATTGGGTTGGTGAATTGAAAACTGCGGGCTATTGTCATATGTAACAGTTTGAGCACTTTCTTCAAAAGAAACCCATTTTGGTGTCAATAGAAAAGTTGTAGAGAATCAAAAATTAGGCTTATAGCCAAATTCCCAAAAAGATATACTCAGTAGTTTCGCTTAAAATACAAGTTTTGTGAAAATTCGTAAATTTTGCATTTCTTGAAAACCAGTTTTTGAATCGTTCTGAAAATTTGGATATAAGCTTGATTCTTGATTCTCTACAACTTTTCCATTGACACCAAAATGGGTTTCTTTTGAAGAAAGCGCTCAAACTGTCACAGATGACAATAGCCCGCAGTTTTCAATTCACCAACCCAATATTTCTACGATTTCTATGAGCAAATATACTTTTAACCGTTGCAAATGAAAGCCTCGCTGGTCTCGAAAATAGTTTTTATTAATTTTACCAAATTAACAAAGAAGTATGACCATGAGCGGTATCGAACCAGGGAGGAAAAATGCATACTAATCACTAGGCGGCAAGGCACTTTTTGGGACATTAAAAGAGGGGGCGTTAGAATTCTTCCATTTTATTCGTCCAGCTTCTAATTGAGCATTAGAAGCTGGACGCAAATGTGTGCCAGAAATTCGAGAAAAACCTTTCAAAAATCATGAAATTTGAGACGATTTCTCTCAAAAATTTTTCCAATAAAATGGGTGTTTTCGTTTGACTGGAGACGGTGGTCAATCTTGCATTCATAGTCAGTGCCAAGAAGATGACACCAAAAAAATTAATTACCAAAAGAAAACGAAACCTTCAATTCCCATGGTGAGAGCAAAGATGAAGCCCTAGAAAGTTCCCCTCGACCAGAGTCTATTACATAGAACAATGGCTGATTCGTCGAAGTTCCGTGTCACGCGTTCCCATTTTCTCTTTCACTTTTCCTTTCAAATCTGTTCATGGTGTCCTTATTCGTTCCTCATTTTTTCCTCACTCTTTCCTCATTTTTTTGTTTCTTTTCCACCCACGAATAATTGCTTTCCTGTTCGTTTCTATCCACATTTCCCTATTCATTTTTTGGACCAAACCGAGCGGCAAAATTTTTCACACATTTTTGATTGATTTCCAAATCTAGAGATGTGCAGAACTTGTAGCTTAATTGGATGATTTTGTATTCAGTTTTGCTACAATTTGAAAGAGATGCTAATTCGCGGATTTTCTTTCGATTACCTACGTAAAGCGCTTACCTACACTGATTTACAGTCGAATCTCGTTAGTGAACTAATCGGATTTTTTTAAGATCTCTCTGAGTTGATTTAATACTAATCAAACCTGAGTAAACTATTAATTTAAATAGAACCCATTCACATTCTCCTTCTTTAGAAATAGAGTTAAACAAAAATATGGAAAAAGCAAAAATATCCATTCAATCAAATGAAATCTTCTACAAACACAACTTTAAAAAATTTTTTTGCACAATTAAACTTTAAGTCATTGTTGTCTTATTTTAGTTTAAATATGAGTGGTTTCTATTTAAATTTGTTATTTTGAAAGCACAGCTATCGGGGGTGGGATAAATGCGACCTTTTTTTGCGCACCTGGACATTTGCGCACCTTTTTTTTGCTGGAAAAGGCCTTAGGAAAGGTCGTAGAGCTTCAAAAATGTTTTCATAGAAGGGAATCGTATGCGTAGATTCAGAATTTCGACAAATCACACGCCAAATTTGGGCTAAAAGGCAAAAACTGCGGAAAAGCGTTAAGTTGCGTAGTTTTTGCATTTTAGCTCAAATTTAACGTGTCAGCGAGGTCTGATTTGCTTTGATTTGTCGAAATTCGGAATCTACGCATACGATTCCCTTCTATGAAAACATTTTTGAAGCTCTACGACCTTTCCTAAGGCCTTTTCCAGCAAAAAAAAGGTGCGCAAATGTCCAGGTGCGCAAAAAAAAGGTCGCATTTGTCCCACCCCCGAAAACACAGCTATCTTCAAAACAAGCTGCTTAACTACATATTTTGGCATCCCATTTCTGTCATTTACACATTTTACTTTAATGATCGCTTCATATTTGTTTTTTTGCATATCAATAATATTTTTTTATTTAGGTACGATGAAAATGACGATTTCTTTGGAGTGAAAGAAGTCTTGCGAGAAGTTGATGGGAAATCAATATCTCAATTGGCCGAAGTATTCAAACTCCCCTATGAAAATATTCGAACGATTTTACGAACAAAAACAAAGATTTTGAGGGAAATCAATGATGGGACGAAAAAGGAACGAAATCGTCTTCAAGGAGGAAAACACAATCTGATCGAAAAAGCCTTTGTTTCTTGGATTCGCACTTGGAAAAAGGTACAGCCTTGTTTTTCGGGTGATCAAAGGAGAAAGTGCATCGGTGGATCAAGAGGCGGGCCATCAAGAGGCCATCAAGAGGATCAAGAGGACCAACAAATTGGCGGCAAAACATTCTCATCGATGTTCTCACCGATGTTCTCACCGAATATGATCCGAAAAATGTTTTCAATGTCGACGAGACTGGTTTATTCTGGCAAATGCTTTCTGAAAAGACCATCACATTTCGAAGTGATCCGTGCAAAGGATGAAAGCAAGAAAAGCAAGGAATGAATCACAGCCTCCTTGGCGATAACATGGACGGAACCGAGAAGATTTCGCTTCTTGTCATCGGGAAATCAAAGAAGCCACGCTGCTTCAAAAAAGGATCAACTATTCCAGTAAAGTACGAAGCAAACTCTCCTGGATTACTGGAGAAATCTTCAAACGTTTCTTGAAAGATTTAGATCGAAGTTTGGGAAAGCGAAAATTTTTGCTTTTGTTGGACAACTGCCCAGCACATCCCCGAGTTCAATTGGACAATATCAAATTGCAGTTCTTCATTCCAAATGCAGTGATTCAGCCATGCGATCAAGGAATTATTCAGAATTAAAAAGTCCACTACCGCAAGACTTTGCTTGGTCGAAGGATTTTGGCTATTGAACATGTAGTTGATTTCCAGTTCGATCTTCTCGATGCTCTTTATATTGCTAATCGAGCCTGGGGTAAATGTTAAAGAAGAAACAATTACAAATTGTTTTCGAAAGGCTCAAATATTTGTTGATGGTAACAATACGGCTTTATTGCAAGAGAATGAGGATTTCGGAGAAATGAAAGAAATATGGAACCGGCTAAAATTGAAAGGAGACTTCAAAGAAGATTTAAATTTTGATGAATTCATCGAAATCGACAAAGATCATATCACAACCGGAAGTCGTTCACCTAGTGAAATTGCCTTTCTGATTGCTCAGCGTCGATGGAAGTCGACAAGGATTCAACTGATGAAGAGGATAATATATTGGAGTCTCCGGGAGTGACAAGAATACGAAGCTTTCACCATTTTGCAAAGATTCTTGCGGGATAGAGGTCATTCCTTACAAAACCTTGATAGTGAACGGTTTTTTTTTTCAGAATCCCTTCCATAGTTCACTAACGACTGTACTTCAAATTCAGTGCACCAATAAAAGGATGCTCCTATTTGAGCACAAAATAGATATGGACCCTAGAAACTACAAGGTCAGACTATAAACCGTAGAGTAGATATTTTTAAAAACTTTTTCTACTAAAAAATCCGGCCAACTTTAGGCTTTCGAATGGCAACAAAACCAAGAAAATTCACCATGAGAACGAGCCATTTATAGCCGTTTGTAGTCTCGTCCCACAGGACGAAACTACAAGCCTGAAAAAAACGTTATATCACAGTGCAGAGAATATGATTTGGCTTGGTTTTGGTGTCATTCGAAAGCCTAAAGTTGGCCGGATTTTTTTACTAGAAAAAGTTCCCAAAAATATCTATTCTTCGCGTTTTTACAATGGTTTCTAGTTTGACCTTGTGGTTTGTTGGGTTCATGTCTAGCACGAAGCACAAAAATTATTGTAGCTTATTTTGTAGCAAAACAAGAGATGAAACTCTCATTAAATTCAAGTTGAGAATGCTTTTCAAAACAACATTTTCATACTTTTTCAATTCACAGGGTTTCAATTCAGACTTTCAAATTGAATTTTTTTTTTATTTGGGGGTTTATCAAGAAATTTTTCAATTTGATTCCTTGAAAAAGACGAAAGTTTCACTTTATCCGGCATTTTAAGTATTTAAGTAGAAAAATCGACACTGAAACGTGTCGAAAATAGTTATTTCTATTGGGGTATTTCATTTTTGAATTTTTGAACTCTTAAAATTTCCTCTTTTCTTCGCTTCTTAATCCGTGAACCCATTTTGTTGCATAACATCATGAAACTTTTTCTTAAATAAATTGCGGAAATGAAAATTTTCTCTTTCTTTAATCGAATTAGACAATAAAATCTAGTTACAGAGTTGAAAAAATATTTAAATTCTCCAGAGAATTTTTGACGTCGATCTGTCGATCGTCGACGTTTGATTTGATTAATTTAATTTATTAATAGGGAGTGGGACAAATGCGACCTTTTTTTGCGCACCTCTCCTGAATGACTAGAGAAATCTTCAAACGTTTCTTGAAAGATTGGGATCGAAGTTTGGGAAAGAGAAAATTTTTGCTTTTGTTGGACAACTGCCCAGCACATCCCCGAGCTCAATTGGACAAATTACAGTTCTTCATTCCAAATGCAGTGATTCAGCCATGCGATCAAGGAATTATTCAGAATTTCATTTGCGCACCTTTTTTTCCGCACCTTGCCCATATTGAATTCCTAAAGGGATTTAAAGATTTTGAATGCCTATTCTTGAGTAGAGTTTGTCCCTTGCGAGTAATCCGCTTTTTAAAACGCACACTTGGGAAAAATCATCGTACTTTTAGCGGAAATTGAAAATTATAAAAATTGGCGCGAAAAAATCACAAGCGCTGACTTATATACGACTCCTTTTAAAGATATTCAGCCGTTGAAACTGATTTGGTGGGAGTGGGACAAATGCGACCTTTTTTTTGCGCACCCGGACATTTGCGCACCTTTTTTTCCGCACCTTGCCCATTAGCGCACCTTTTTTCGCGTTTTAAAAAAGCTTTAAAAAGCTAATATTAACCAATTTCTATTCCAAATGTTGTTTTTCTAGGTAATTTGGGGGTGTCGAATTCAAATTTTGACATAACAGAGCGTTTGGAACCAATTGAAAGACATTGAAATTGAAAGACAAAACGGCTCGATCAAATTACAGAAAATTGTCGATTTTTCTCTTTGTATAACTCCGTCCATTCGCTTCCACAAGCTCTGATATACCAAAATTTCGATTCTACGCCCTAAAATTACCTAGAAATAGAAAAACAACTTTTGGAATAGAAATTCGTTAATATTAGCTTTTAGAGCTTTTTTAAAACGCGAAAAACAGTGCGCTAATGGGCAAGGTGCGGAAAAAAAGGTGCGCAAATGTCCGGGTGCGCAAAAAAAAGGTCGCATTTGTCCCACTTCCTATTAATAAGTTTTCCTTTCCGAACCCTTTTTTGAGGATTTCCTTATTTTCGTATTTTTGCTTTATAATTTTACTCAACTTTTCTTATTTAAGCGCAAAAAGGCAAACTTTTGTGTGTTTTTTTATGAAAATAGAAAATTCGAGCGGAAATTCTTGGGTTTTTCTTTAGTTCATCCCGGAAATTAGTGGCCAATACTCGCAATTAGAGGAAAAAAGGACGAAAACGAGATTTCAGCCGAAAACTTTGTGTTCATTGCTTTTGCGAATGAAGTTTGAAGTCATTTAGATTGAGATTTTTATGAGGAAACTCTCAAGGCAATGACGATATTTTTCGTTGGGATTATATTAAAAGAATGCCGTTTAAAAGAGCGCCGTGATCAAAAGGGTGCCAATGCAAAAACGCTCAAAAGAGCGCCAAGCCTTATTTCCTTTGATAAAATGCGTCTTACCTTGACTTGCCGGTCCTTTTCTGCCAAAACCAACGGCGAATTCGAATTCCTCGTCGTTCTTTTATCTAAAAAATGTAAATAAACTTAAAAAACCAGCAAAAACATCAAGAAAAACGAAAAAAATTGGGGCGCAAAAATCTAGTCGCGCTCTTTTGAGCGTTTTTGCATTGGCGCTCTTTTAAACGGCGCTCTTTTGATATAGTCCCTTTTCTTTGTTTTCTGGAATCATTTTCCTTATCAATTACCCCTTTTATTCATTTTTCAAGTTTAAAATTTGAAATCGTTTAAAAAAAACTCAAAATTTCCTTTAAAATCTGTTTAAAAAATGTTTCCAAATCAAAGGACGTCAAACCCTAATTTCTCGAAAATATTCTTGATTTCTTGAATCATATTGAAAGTTTACGAGACGACTTGACAAACATTCTAATTATTTTTCAAATTTCAACGAATTTTCGATGATCTCAAGGGAAATTTCTAATTGGATATTTGATCAGAAAATTCTCATGGGAAATCATACTTCTTATCTCTTAAATCTCAAAATTTTCTTACAAAATTTTATTTTAAAAACTCTGAAATTTACTTTTTGAAGTTTTCTCTTCAATTCCGGGAGTGGGACAAATGCGACCTTTTTTTTGCGCACCCGGACATTTGCGCACCTTTTTTCCGCGCTGAGCCCATTAGCGCACCTTTTTTCGCGTTTTAAAAAAGCCTCTAAAAGCTAATATTAACCAATTTCTATTCCAAAAGTTGTTTTTCTATTTCTAGGTAATTTTAGGGCGTAGAATCGAAATTTTGGCATATCAGAGCTTGTGGAAGCGAACGGACGGAGTTATACAAAGAGAAAAATCGACAATTTTCTGTAATTTGACCCAGCCGTTTTGTCTTTCAATTTCAATGTCTTTCAATTGGTTCCACACGCTCTGTTATGTCAAAATTTGAATTCGACACCCTCAAATTACCTAGAAAAACAATATTTGGAATAGAAATTGGTTAATATTAGCTTTTTAGGGCTTTTTTAAAACGCGAAAAAAGGTGCGCTAATGGGCAAGGTGCGAAAAAAAGGTGCACAAACGTCCGGGTGCGCAAAAAAAGGTCGCATTTGTCCCACTCCCTCAATTCCTTTGATTTTTCACGTTTTTAATCTCAAAAACGATTTTGATTTCTTTCTGCTCAACGTTGTTAGCGTTATTCAACAATTTCAGGGGTTAACCGGGACAAAAAAGGAAGCGATGTTCTCTAAATTATTCTTGATATCATTCACAGTCATCTCAATAATGGGAAATCCATTGGTGAGCGAAGAAAGCTCGCGTTTAAGAGAAAATGTCATCGATGAGACAATGCCGGAAATGAATAAAAAAGCTGTGCCTGGATTTCAAGGATTCGACGATGTGGTGAGTGGTGAATAGAAATCCGATATTCGATATTGACGCTGTTCTTAAGGGTTTAAAAAAAACATTTATTCAAACGAATAATGTGGCACAAACAATACACAACTCCTAAACCCTAAATATAGAAAAGAAAAAAAACAATCGTATCGTGATATCAAGAATAATAAACAACAAACAAAAAACAAAAACAGCCGGGGGGATTGAACCCTCGACCTCCCGACTCTGATACGAGGCTGTTAACCACTCGGCTATCACGACCAGCCCTCTCGTCGTCGAGAATGTACTAAAGAAGCTCGGGTTCCAAAAAAAGAAACGCTACGGCAAAGACATTTAACACATTCGCGACGACGGCATTTTGGGCGTACAGTCGCGTAGAAGCTAACTGTTTTACTGATAATTTAGCGAACATTCAAATATATACAGCGGGGACCCCGGATGTGGTTTATTCGGCACGATAAGCACAATTCGACACACACAATACTAGGCTATACCCTAACTTAACCCACGCCTACATTCTCCTTAATCCCTACTCTTATTGGGCGATAGCTTGTTCTGGCGGCGAAGGGAAAGCAAAGATGGCTGGATAGGCTTCTTGCATTAAGCACCTGGACCATGAACGGGATCGAACCCGGGCCTCTAATTCCAGAGACAGCCACATTGGCGTTGCGCTACCGCTTCAAACATTCAAAGATAAACTAAACTATTATAGTCATTCAATAGCCCTGAAGCTCCTCTTGAAAACTAGTACAAAGTTACCGTGAACTTTCTGCAAAATAAAGAGCCAAAGTCCTTAAAAACGAGTTGACACCAAAAATAATCGTTATTAGAACGGTCTATTGGTGGGTCGTCGTGTATTTGTTAAAGCATTCAGCTTGTTAAAGAAAGAAAAACAATCAAAATAAATCTTCGGCTTTACTGTAAAGAGATAAAACACAATAATCCTTTTTTTTTTATTTCAGGAGAGCGTTTGTCAGTATTTCCATCGAAAATGTCTGATGGGAGAAAACTCGAATGAGAAATGTGAAGAGCCATTAAAGGAGTGTCAAACATACGGAAAGATGTTACTCAGAGGATCGTACAAATTGTGTAAGTGAGCAAGAAAAAGAAAAGCAAGATCAACATGAATGAAATGAATAATGAAATTTCTATTGTACTTTTCTATTGTACTTTATTGTACAAACGGAGAATGTTCAGGCATGTACATGTTGGTCGACTCAACCGAATGCGAAGTCCGTCAATCGCAAGTGATCAACAAAATGGCCAGGTTAGAAAAGGAAATTGCACGTTTTTGCCAAATGATTGATTCTATTTAACTATTGGGTTGGTGAATTGAAAACTGCGGGACTTTGAACTAAAATTTATTCAACATAAAACCATGAATTCATTCGAAACAATTTCTATTATTATTGACGACTTCTGCCCATTTTACAGGCAATTTGCGGATTCCTCTTGCGTAGTAGGATTTTGGTTTTGAATCGAAAAACTTTCAAAGCCAATTTTTGACTTCAAAGCCTTAACGACTACGCGACTGTACGTCCAAAATACGTCGTCATCGCGTCGTGTACGCGCCCCGCCCCCTTTGCCATTGGCGATCAAGCTTTAAGCTCAAATTTCTTCGTGTTGTTCTTGTGTTTCTTGGTGATCAGACGCACTTCGTCTGACCTTCACTACGCGACAAAATCCCAAAATGTATTATATTGGGTTGGTTAATTGAAAACTGCGGGACTTTGCACTAAAATTTATTAGACATAAAACCATGAATTCATTCCAAATAATTTCCATTATTATTGACGACTTCTGCCCATTTCACAGGCAATTTGCGGATTCCTCTTTCGTAGTAGGATTTTGGTTTGTGTGTGAGACAAGTGTGAGACTCAAAAATGGAGGACTGAAGATGTCCCCGTTTGAGCACTTTTTTCAAAAGAAACCCAGTTTGGGGTCAATAGAAAAGTTGTAGAGAATCAAAAATTAGGCTTATAGCCAAATTTCCAAAAAGATACACTTAGTAGTTTCGCTTAAAATGCAAGTTTTGTGAAAATTCGTAAATTTTGCATTTCTTGAAAACCAGTTTTTGAATCGTTCTGAAAATTTGGATATAAGCTTGATTTCTTGATTCTCTACAACTTTTCCATTGACACCAAAATGGGTTTCTTTTGAAGAAAGTGCTCAAACTGTCACAGATGACAATAGCCCGCAGTTTTCAATTCACCAACCCAATATTTCTACGATTTCTATGAGCAAATATACTTTTAACCGTTGCAAATGAAAGCCTCGCTGGTCTCGAAAATAGTTTTCAATTCACCAACCCAATATTTATCTATTTAATAAAACTCGATTCTTTTACAGAGATATTCATCGAGGCAAAGTGCCCTTCATCATTCGCTCACCGGCTCGACGCTCTCAAAATTGATTCTTTTCTATAAAAAAAGCTTTGGTGATAAGTTAAAACTAATCTACTTTTTATTATTTTGCAATATTTTTTATGTTTCTTTGTTTTTCTTATGTACTTTATTATCTTTGCAATGTTTTTTTCATGGCTAAAATCCAAATAAAATTTTTTCTTGTTTGAGAAAAGGAAATTGATGGACTTTTCTTTATTGATTGACTTTTATTGAAAGGCGAATCATCTCAAAAATGAGTATCACATCGAAAAACAATTCTGTACATACAATACAATACAATTGATACAAAAAGAATGATAAAATGCAAAATTGGAATAAGTAAGAATGGGAAGAATGGGAAGAATGGGAAGAAAGAGTTCATAAAGAGCTTGTCGTTGAGAATAAACAGTTCTATATCAATAGCTTTATATCAATAGCTTTATATCAATAGCTTTTTATCAATAGCTTTTTATCAATAGTTTAAGAGGCTCGATTAACTCGAAAAGTATTCATTTCTTCTTCAGTAAATAAGGCGAGAGTCCAGTGCCCAATCCGCTTCCCATTCCAGTTCCCAAACCACCCAAACCACCCAATCCTCCATTTGTGCCCATCATCCCCAAACCACTCATCCCTCCACCATTCAACGCTGCTCCATACGGTCCCAAGCCCGACATTCCACTGAATTTATCTACTATTGCTAGACATGGACACTACAAACGCTTCTAATTTGTTTCAAATCTCCTGGATTCACATAACTATAGCTCAAAAAATAGAGATTCTTAAGAGCTTTCGAATGAAACAAAGCACACTCAAAAATATCAAGGCTAAAGAACGTTACAGTCGTTTGTAGTTACTCAATCGCTTCGACTACAAAAGGTTTGTGGTCAGAACTAGAAATCACTGTAACTTTCTTTAGCATTCATATTGATAGATTTGCTTTGCTTCATTCGAAAGCTCTTGAGATTCTCTATCTTTTGAGCTATAGATCATATCAATCCGACAGTTTTGAAGTAAGTTAGAAGCGTTTGCAGTGACAGTTCGTCATTTTTATAGGTTATAGTGCTCATGTAAATACTCTAATAGAACGCCATCCTCTCGTACAGTCGCGTAGTCTAACTTCTTTTCAGAAAAACATTTTTTCTCAGCCCCTAGATCTTTCTCAACTACACTTTTGGTACCAAAAGATACTAGATTTCAAGAGCTATCATTTGACACCAAAGCGCATACTGTAGCATAAAGCAGCGTGGAGAATGAAACGTTCAAAGTTAGACTACGCAACTGTACACCCGTCATTATGACGTCATTATAGCGTCATTATGGCGCTCTATTAGAGTATTAGAGTTACGGTATTTTCTTAAGTGAAACAACGCTGCAACAAGACTTGATCTTTCCTTAAAAAGCTTTAAATTTCATACAACAAACTTTTGAGAAATCTTGAAGTTTTTGCTTTACTCTACCATGTAAATTTCTTTATGAATGTGTTATTCTAAGGCATTTCTACGAAACAAACCCCATTCCATATCCTCCACCAAATGAATTTCCCAATGGGAATCCACCCATTCCTCCGAGACCTGGCGGGGGAATGCCCATTCCGCTCATTCCGCTCATTCCGCCCATTCCATTCATTCCATTCATTCCGCTCATTCCATTCATTCCATTCATTCCATTCATTCCCATACCTATAGAAAAGAACTTAATCTTGAAGATATAACAGAAAGAATAGAAAGAATAGAAAGAATTGAATCTTTGAGATTGAAGAATAAAACTTAATCTTGAAGATAAATATCTTCAAGATTAAGTTCTATTCTTCAATCTCAAAGATCTCAAAGAAAGAGTCTAGTATTGGCTCTAGGATTTTTATGAGCATTCTTATGAGCATTTGACAAACCGAGATTTCCATACGGATTTCCGTAGATTCCCATTCCGCCCATTGAGCCTAGAAATGTTTTCAGAAATAATTTCAAAACCAAAAAAGCTATTAGTGATTTTATTTTGAAAAAAAAACTGATAGATAAAGCTTTAGAAACCGATAGATAAAGCTCACCATAGAAATCAAACATTGCTGAAAAGGAAAAATCTTAGATTTGACAGGAAAGATTTGACATATCAGTGTTTCTATTCGACTTTTGAAACTTTCAAAAGTTTTAGTATAGTTTTTGGAAGTATAAAAAATCTTTTCTCATCTAATATTTACCATATGGTCCAAGTCCTGTACCCATTGACATTGGATCGGAGAAATATCGGCCTGGTGATCGTCTAAATGAGTTTAAAGGTTGATTTTCATTTCTATTCATTTCAAAAGCTATTCATTAAAGAAACGATTCTCACTAAAACCAAATTAAAATTAAAATAACAAAATTTTGATGAAATTTTATGTAGAAATGATTAAAGTAAAATTTCTCAATCATTCAAAGATGAAATCAGCTTTTCCAATTGGTAACTCGATAAATGAATATCGCCAATCGATTCCGCGACCCCGAAAACCCCTGGGTACAAATTTATAGTTAAATATCTTCTTTTTGGAGCAACTACAAAGCGAAAGAGGCACTTTATAAAGTGACTGATGGGGTGTTCTTTGTGCGCGCGGACAATGGCTTGCCGTCTGGTATAGGGCTCTGGTGTAAGGGGCTTCTCTTCGAATCCTCATGAAACGGCGTCTAAGCTATTTCCGCTTTCTTAGACCACACTATGCCCAATCAATTCCTTCCCAAATATCTAGCCCATATCCAGATCGGTCAGTCGAGATGCCCAATGGTAGAGTGGTTAGCGCGCTCGCACCCAGTTCGAGAGGTCGGGGGTTCGGGTCCGGCTCAAGCTAAACTCTACTTCTTTATCGTTTTTTACCAAAAGCTTAACTAAATAACCTTTTCAAGTAAAAAGGTTGGTTTTTTTCATGAATTCTACAGTCATTAAACAAGATAATTTAATTTTAGTGAGAATCGGTCGCAATTCGATGAATTTGATTAATGTTATTGGTCTGGTGAAGGAAACGATTGAACACAGACTCAGTGATTGAAAGTAAAAACGAAAAATGAATAGATCCATGCATATCTAAACATTATCGATAAACAAAAATTTACCCTTTAATCGTTTCTTTCTTCAATTCAATATGCGATTTTTCTCCTCGTTTTGGGAGAAATTTTTTTTCTCGTATTGCTTCAGAGAGTGCTTCAGAGAGGGGAATTGGAGCCGCTCCAATAACGCGACCGAATTTTCCGACTGGAAAAACCAACTTTTCGTCGATGTCTTTTCGTGAAACGCGTTTTAATTTTGGCTCTCCAGAACATTTTGTTGTTTTCTTTTGAGATTTTGTTGATTGATAAGGTTCATTGATTATTTCGCTTGATTGACAACCAGTTGAATCTTCTTGAAAATCGATTTGAATATCTTTTCCCTCATTGTTTCCCTCATTGTTTCCATCAACGATCTCCAGTTGATCATTTTTTCTTTTCTTTTGCAATTGTTCAATTGAGAATTTGTTTAATTTGTGTAATTTGTGTAATTTGTTTGCAAGTGTGCTTTTAGGCAATTCTCTTTCCGATTCAACGATTGCTTCGGAGGCAATATTTGGTGAGATTTCTATTGAGTGTATTTCATGAGAATTATGTCTAAAAGTTTAAATATTATAAGATAAGGTTAGCAAGTTTTTTTTGACGAATTTCTTGAAAAGAATAAAAGGGTGAATTTGTGAATAAAAGGGTATGTTTTATAAACTTTTAAAATTGAACATTTAACTACCGTAAATACTGTAATAGTACCCGACGCCCATAATGACGCCCAGAAAATATAGCTGAGATTTTGGGCTATCGTTTAACACTTAAACGCCCACTGCAGCATAAAACAGCGCTGAGAACGAAGCGCTTAAAGTTCGACTACGTGACGCTCCGATCATTATAGGGGGGGCCGTCGATTCGAATAATTACGCTATAGTTTAAGGTATTACATAGCATAAAGGGGCGCGGAGAATGAAACGTTCAAAGTTAGACTACGTAACTGTACAGTACCGTAAATACTGTAATAGTACCCGACGCTCATAATGACGGAGCGGAGCGTTGCGTAGGCTAGCTTCGGACGCGTTTTTCTCGACACTGGTAGATGCTACAATGCTCGCTTAGGTATCAAAAAATAGCTGAGATTCAGGGCTATTTTTTGATACCAAATTCGCATTTTTTGAAAGTACGAGCGCTTTGAAAAACAAGAAATACGAAAAAACGACTACGCGACTGTACGAGGGCGGTGGGGTATTATTACAGTATTTACGGTAGTTTTTAAGCATCATATACAATTGTATCGCTTACCCATCTCTGATCAAAGTCTGATCGACGTTTATTGACGCTTCGGGAAGTTCGTTCAATGAGGGAAAATAACGGGAACTTAAAAGGAAATAAACAAAACTGAATGAAAACTTAAAAGAAAAATAAACAATGGTATTTCCGTATCTTTACCCGCCAACTAAAACGCCAACCATAATGACGGTGCGGAGTGTTGCGTAGGCTAACAGGGAAATTTTCATTTCGAACCAAAATTTCCCTGACATTTCTTTAGCTTAGTAAAGATAAAGGGAAAAAAATCGTATAAATAACTTTCTTTGGCTTATTTTCATTAATTCTAGCTTAAATCGAAGTTAAATACAGTCGAAATTCGATATAACAAACTTCGAAATTGCTCTGCGAATTCTAAAAGGTGCTCTAAATTTTTGCGTAGCTGGCCCAGTTGCCCGTAGCTGGTCCAGTTGCCCGTAGCTGGCCCAGTTGCCCGTAGCTGGCCCAGTTGCCCGTAGCTGGCCCAGTTGCCCGTAGAGCTACGCCGAAAATTTGAGGCACGCTTTACGTTCATTATATCGAAATTTTCGATCCCGGGCGATTCGCAAAAATTGAATGAGAATGTCTCGCATTTACTTGGAGGTTACGGTATTATTTGGGTATTTTATTTTCTGATTTTAGTGAATAGCAATGGATACTGTGGTTTCCTAAAACGTGACACTATTCTTGACCACCTGTCTCTAGAAGATGCTTGTCTCTAGAAGGTATGCTTGTCTCTAGAAGGTTTAGGAGTACTGTAGCTCGGAGCTTTACCGTAATCCTTCTTAAAGAGTCTTAAAGGGACTTTTTTCGAGCGAAATTTTGAGCAGGTTTTAGGATTTCAAATTCGACGTTCTTTAAATCGAATTTTGACTGTACTATATAAAATTTGGATAAAATATGTTAAAATTCAATGATAAAGTAAGAAATGAAAGATCAATTTCCATATTTCCATATTGACGGGGTAAAGATGCGAAAGTATCAATAAAGTCATTTAATAGAGAAATAAAAATTCTCAGCTAATATGCACTGCACTCAAAAATTAATCTTTTTATCACCTGATTCGGCTTTCCGTTTGTGTGGGTTCATATTGAGCAGCGACAATTGAAAGGAATGATCCGAGTATCCACAAATATTGACACATTTCTGAATTGAAGAGGAATTGAAGAGGAAATGAAGAAGGATTGAAGAGGAATTGACGAAGAATTGAAGATGAGTTGAAGATGAGTTGAAGAGGAATTGAAGAGGAATTGAAGAAGAATTGAAGAAGAATGGAAGAAGAATTGAAGAGGAGATGGAGAGGAATTGAAGAAGGATTGAAGAAGGATTGAAGAAGAATGGAAGAAGAATTGAAGAGGAGATGGAGAGGAATTGAAGAAGGATTGAAGAGGAATTGAAGAGGAAAGGAAGAGGAAATGAAGAAGAATTAAAGGAGAATTGACGAAGAATTGACGAAGAATTGATGAAGAATTGACGAAGAATTGAAGAGGAATTGAGGAAGGATTGAAGAAGAATTGAAGAGGAAATGAAGAAGAATTAAAGGAGAATTGAAGAAGAATTGAAGAAGTATTGAATTGCTGAATTAAAGAAGAAAAATCACAAGCACAGTCACATCAGTAAAAGCTTAAAAAACAAAAATCTCTCCCAAACTTTGGAACTGATCATTTCTCGACTTCGAATGAAGACTTTCAATCAAAATGTGATGCTTTATATGAAACAAAATGATCGAGTGTGTCTGTATGTGGATGATGTCTCGGATTATCGTCCTTTTGTCTCGTTTTTGTAGAAGAGAAGTCTTTTTTTGGGGCTTATAGAGTAAAGGGGAACAACCGGTTTTCCCCTTTTCACTCCCATTCATTTTGGCAACGATTTTGAATCAAAAAAGGAACTGGTTATTGCAGCTTAAAGCGAAGAGAATACGACCGATTTCTGGGTGATTCACGGGAAGGGAAATGGAAGAGGAAATCTCTCGATTGCGATTGACCTGAGGCAATCAAATAACATTCAGCGCTACTCCTGTTGGGGTTTTTTTCCGCACATTTCCATGCAATAGAAATAGAAATATAGGAAAATTCATTGCCGTAATTCGTTTAAACAATTTTTCGAGAATTCGAGAAAGAAAGGATTTCCTTATTGTGAAAGATGGAGGGCACTGATCGAGGCGCGCTGCCACTTCTGGGGATCAGTGAGGTCATGGGGCACCCAAGTCCCAAGTTTCGATTTAAATCCAAGGGTATGAAGGTGATTTAGCACTGTAACATGGTCAACCCCTAACTCTTCTCCCAATTCACGCGATGATACCCGATGGTCGTTAGCAATGAGTTCGAGTAATTTGGAATCATCCAGTTGGGGTGCGGCTCCACGGCCCTCTGCATCTTTCAAAGATTTGTCCCCAGATCGAAACTTGGCAAACCATACTCGACACGTTCTTTCGGAAGGTGAGTCCTCCCCATATATCTTTTTAATATTACAGTATTTACGGTAAGAACATAAGAAAATAAGAATTTGATTTGAGAGCTAACTTCTAATTGATAGATCGGACCTGCCAGGTCTATCAGAGCATAGATATCAGAGCAGAGCTAAAAGCTAATTTCTATGCAATCAGCCCCCATTTAATTCCTTTTCCCTTTATTTTGTCTCCGAAGAAAGCGTTTTTGAGTGTTCGATTGTATTTTCTATTTTCTATTATGATTGTATGCATTTTCTCCCCAAAAACACTCATAATTTCGTCATAGCTGCCAAGTCAAAAACACGTCATAGCTGCCAAGCCTGCACTGTGCTCTTGTAGGAACTCATAAAGCATGACATGACGAATATGTCCCGGTGGCAGATTGTCGAGTGCAATAGAAGTGAAAAAAAATGCCAAAAAATAAAAAGCTGGAAGCATAATTTTTTCGCAATAATTTGAGGAAATGTTGAAGTAACCAAACTCCCTTTCAGCTGGTTTTTTTTAGCTGCGAGTCCCGCGAAATAGCCAGCAGTTTTCAAGTCACCAATCCAATAGAACTACGTTTAAACTAAACGAAATATACTTTGCGGGAGAACACTTCGATTCGGAAGAAGCAGTCAAAAATTGGCTTTGAAAGTTTTTCGATTCAAGTTTTCAATTCACCAACCCAATATATAAAATTGAGTTTTTTTGAAACAATTTATGAGTAAAAGGAAATGGAATGGATTCAGAATGTGCAAAAAAAAAAATTTCATTCGACTTTCCCTAGGTTAATCTGAGTTAAAAAGCTAGTTTTTAAGTGTAAATCATAAGCTTTTTTTTGGATTGAGAATCTCTTCCTATTTTTGTTGATTATTTAAAATTTCATCTCACATATAAAACTAAGCTTAAACTCAAAGGAATATCCTGAAAATCTTGAAAAAAAAAAAAGCTCGTAAACTTTCCAAGAAACCGGCCTTTTTTTCGACTTACACAAATGCCCAAAAGAATTTTCTACAAGATAATTGTTAGCTATTGTTATCTATTGTTATCTATTATTATTTATGGTTATCTATTGTTATCTATTGTTATCTCTTGTTATCTAATCGTTATCTATCGTTATCTATTGTTATCTATCGTTATCTATCGTTATCTATTGTTATCTATTGTTATATATTGTTATCTAATCGTTATCCGATTGAATTGTTCTTTATAAATAGATTATATTCTTAAAATATGATCAATAGAACTTAGCTAAATGTATTGTGTTACCAGTTTTTTACTGCAAAACAACATTTTTGGGACATTGCGGGGCAAAAACATTTTTGGGACGAAATTTTTGATTATGAAAAAAGCGCAAAGTGACGAGCACAAAACCGGTTTATTTCGCAGAGAGTTCAATGCTAATCGAACGAGTTTTTATTGTCAAAATGGAATGTCAAAGGGTGTTCGTTGAGAGAAAGAAAGAAAGAAAGAAAAAAAAAGAAGCGTAACAATTCATACAAAGAAGATTATCGTTTCGGTGGGTTCAACTTAGAGAATGCTGAAAAATGTGATTTTTTTTTTGTTAGAAAACTTTATTCCATTAAAGAGTAGTTGACAAAAACTGAGACGATTTTTTTAAAAGAATGATCTTCGAGATCGAGAAAGGCACAAGAAAGGCAAAAATCACAAGAAATCACAAGAATTCAACGTAAAACCAAATCCCAAAAATATAAATTTAAAGAGAAAGCATAAAAACATTAAATTTTAGGCATTTTGATCAGGTGGTTGATAGACAGTTGATTGAAGAAAACATTGACAATCATCATGTAATTTTGTGGGTAAAGCAAGAGAAGCAAAAGTGAATGGAGAGGGAAGGATTTCACTCGATAAATTTGACGATAAAGGATCGATCATTATGTATTGAGGAGTTGGTGGAGCCTGAATTGTAAACATTATATTTTGAGGGTTTTATTTTATGCTTAGCTTTTGAGGGTTTTATTTTATGCTTAGCATTTACGAAAGCGTAAAACTCACCCCATTGTGTGAAATCTCGGCCGATGTTGTCAATAAGGGTCGTTCACTCTAAAGTTTCGTATTGAAAGTATCGATTCTTGGACTTGGGTAGTTTAGAGGGCTTTTAAATAGATAGTGAAGCTCTAAATGTCTATAACTTGCTAGAGAGGCAATATATCCGTCTACAAAAGAAAAAAACAAAAATAGTTTTTCAATAGTTTTCGAGAAAAACTTTTAGCAAATTAGCAAACAAGAAAAAATTTTTTGGCATCTCGGAAAACGGAGCCTAGAGGTTAAAGGAGGCTTCTCGCCTCCCCGGGAAAGAAGTGCGGTGGTGCAGTGGATAGTAGATTGGGCTCAGAAACTAGTGTCATCTTTTGCTCACAGGTTCAATCCCAGTGTGCGGATTTTTTTGTTTTAAGCTTTTCGCAATGTTTGTTTTTGTGTTTCTCTCGTGCTTTTAGACAATTTTTAACATTACTACAATTTATCTTAAATGTATTGAGAATAATAGTTTAAAAAAGATGGAGTTCTTTCACAAAATGGGTGAAGTATGTTTGTGTGGCAATGTATTGCAAGATACAGAGGCCAGTTGTATGTAAGATAGCCAGTTGGTCATGGCGACTACGTTAATATATTTTTAAAAAAACGCATTTTAGGCTTTCAAATGAAACCAAATTGAGCAAATTGGTTAGATCAGTCCCGAAAGTCAAAGAAAAAAAATCAACAACGACGATTTTCTCGAGACTGATCAATCCAATTTAGCTTCATTTGGTCTCATTTGAAAGTCTGAAATGTATTCTTTTAAAATATATCAAAAGTAAATGAATATATTGTCTCTGTAGTAAGTTCTAGACATTTTTAGAGCTTGTCTATCCATTCAAAAGTCCCCTAAACTACTCAAGGGTCAAAATATCTGATTTCTTTTATGGTATCCCCTCTTTTCCACTCACTTTTGGTTGATTTCGATCAATATGTTGTTGTTGTTGAGCCAACAAATATTGCATTTGTTGAGGAGTCATCATTGGATACTGTAATTGATAAAGATGAAGATTGATAAGTCGAATTATTTTTGCCATACCGTAAATACTGTAATAGTACCCCACCCCGCTCGTACAGTCGCGTAGTCGCAAAAGTTTTTTAGTATTTCATTTTTTTCAAAGCGCCCGTACTTTCAAAAAATACGTCTTTGGTATCAAAAAAATAGCTGAAATTCGGGGCTATTTTTTGATACCTAAGCGCGCATTGTAGCATAAACCAGTGTCGAGAAAAACTCGTTCAAAGCTAGACTACGGAACACTCCGCACCGTCAATATGAGGGTGGGGTACTATTACAGTATTTACGGTATGTACATATTCTTTAATTATAAACCTGCAACATAGTTGGATTGGGTGCAGCTAATTGATGGGAAGAAATTGCCATCGAATTGACTCCATTCAGTGATTGAGATGTTGGGATGATCCCTGGGAATGACATCTGAAATAACTCTTTCTATCACCAATCCCTATCCACCGACTTGTGCGATCATTTGTGGCATTTGTGTGAGATGATGTGCATTCAACGCTCCTCCATTTGTTCCACTCAAATGTGAGCCGATTGATTGCGCGAGATTCATTGGTTGAACCATTTGTGGAAATGCCGTCGCTGTCGCCAATCCACTCATTTGATTTGATACCGATGCAGGGGGACGGGGTTGCTGAAAAATCGAGAAGTTTATCGTTTTATTCAACCTTAAGCAAAAAGGAAATTTGTTGACCCGAACTTTGGACCGATTCTCACTAAAATTATCGGCATAGGGTGATCCAAAAGTTTCCGTACAACTTTTTACTAAAGCTTGATTTTAAAATGACTGAGGAAAGCTATTCAAATAAACTTTTTTTTAAACAATAAAAACCTTAATAAACTTCCAATGTTTATACAGATCTTTAGCAATCAAACAATTTACACAAATTTTTTTCTAATTAAAATAAACTAAACTTGATATTGGACACCTTTTCTGGGGGTTTTCTGGGGGTTTTCTGGGGCTCTTTTTCGATAAAAAAAACGAAAATCTGCTAACTTTGATCTGCGAGGAAGTTTCTTTCTAAATAAATGTTAGCCTAAACGCTTTTAAAATCATTTAAAATCATTTTCTAACGTTTTTAGCATAAAGATGAACATTAAAAGTTTATAAATTTTTGTTTGGGATTAATCTAAACATCAAGCATGACTAAAAAAATTGAAAAGAAAGTCGATTTTGGCAGCGTGCCACTTGTGCGCGGTTCAAAGGGCTAACCATATAAAAGAGCTATGATTAGCTATAAGCTTCTTATTAGTCGTTTTAAATATAATTTTATCAAGGTTTTCATTTTTAAAAAGTTTAGTTAAATAGCTTTCCTCAGTCATTTTAGAATCAAGTTTTAGTAAAAAGTCTTACGGGAACTTTTGGATCGCGAACAAAGTCCGTTTTCAATTTGTACTTAAACCCTCAATAGAAATTTTTTTGCTTCTAGAGTTAATTTTGGTCAAGGATTACGAATTTCGTATTATTTATGTCGAAAAACCGATGGTTTTCGGTCTAAATCACGTTTAGAAATAGAGTGGTAGTTTCTAGATTTGTGCACAGATCGAATACAATTTTTCTGTACAGCGGATATCTATTGTCGTAGCCGATTATGAATGAAATTTTTTGGCAAATCTTTCTAGTAGAGCAACCCTTTAATGTATGAGGACAATATTATATCATCTTGTAGCGAATTAAATTCTGCGTCGATTGGTACCAAATTTGTGAGGTTAGGTTAAAAATTGCCGGCGCTACAACGTTTCATTCAAAATCGGCGGTAGCCGATTATGAATGAGTTGGGTCTAGGAGCGTCCAACCATCAAGTATTTAGTAACATTCAACGCAGAATCATTAATAATTATGTTAAATTTTTAAAATTAGCAAGATTTGATAAAAAGAAAAAAAATTAGAGCAAAAAAACTGTTTGTTCAAGAGAAAACTTTGAAACCCCATAATTTGTGTTCTTTTTATCCAATCTTTCTAATTTAAAAAATTTAACATAATTATTAATGATTCTGCGTTGAATGATACTAAATACTTGATGGTTGAACGCTCCTAGACCAACTCATTCATAATCGGCTACGACATATGAATCTCTCGAATAATATTGTTATTCTTGTATAAACTAAATACTATCAAACTATGAATAAATGCTATCAAGCTATCATTTAAAGTTTGAAAACAAGCGCAACCAACCTGTTCATTTTGTTTGGGTGTCGGCGCTTTGACTCCTTGATTCCCTTTGTAAAATGGATTGGGTAACTAAAATATGAAAAGATTTCAAAAAAAATTGACTTTGAATACCTGAAAGATGTGTCCATTTTGTTCAATGCTTAATAATGGTCCTCCGAGATGATCTTGTATTTGTTTTTGAGTCGGTTTTCCGCCATACATATCTTTGATCCGCGCCATGATCTTAAGAAATGATATTCTATTGGTTTAGCCACAAAGTCTTGTCCGCCTTTTTGACAAATTTTCGTTTATAAATGAATAACTAGCCGATAAAGGTCTTTTTTTTTAAATAAAAAAGTTTAACTACAGTTGACTCTCTATAACGAAACTCTATATAGGAAAACTTTATGTAATGGAATGGAATTTTGGTCTCGGCCGACGCTAAGCTATATAAAACGGCACTCTATCTAACGGAAAGCTTTATAGAGCGGATAAATTTCTTGGTCCCTTCCATTCCGTTATAGAGAGTCGACTGTATTAGCTTATTTTAGCTTATTTAGCTACGTTTAGCTTATTTTTCGGCAAATTTGAGTAAAAAAAATTTGACTAACGCTAGCTTTTTAGAATTTCCTTTCTTAAAGCTTCCTTAAAGAGCAAATTGTAAATAAATAATAGAGCTTTCTAATAAAAGAAATCATAGATTGGTTCATTATTCATTTCAAATAACCATAAATGAATAACTAGCCGATAAAGGTCTTTTTCTTCAAATAAAAAAGGTTAACTACAGTTGACTCTCTATAACGAAACTCTATATAGGAAAACTTTATGTAACGGAATGGAATTTTGGTCCCGGCCGATGCTAAGCTATATAAAACGGCAATCTATCTAACGGAAAGCTCTATATAGCGGAAAAGTTTTTTAGTCCCTTCCATTCCGTTATAGACAGTCGACTGTATTACGTTTAGCTTATTTTTCGGCAAATTTGAGTAAAAAAATAACGGAATGGAAGGGACCAAAATTTTTTTTCCGCTATATAGCGCTTTCCGTTAGATAGATTGCCGTTTTATATAATTTAGCAACCAAAATTCCATTCAGAATTTCCTTTCTTAAAGCCTCCTTAAAGAGCAAATTGTAAATAAATAATAGAGCTTTCTAATAAAAGAAATCATAGATCGATTGGTTCATTATTCATTTCAAAAATAAACTTTCAAAAAGCGGACAAGACTTTCCGACTAAACTAATCAACAATGATAGACATAACTTTTAAAATCACCAACCATATCTTGTTGTTCTTTCAAATTTTGTTCCAGTTTCGCTTTGGTTTCTGGTGGAATCATTGCTGGATTTGAAGTGGACGCAACTTAATGAACTTTAATATAAAAAAAGGTCAAAAATTTCCGTTATTTACCAATATTTCCCCTCGATTGTCCAATAAAACCTCCAATTCCTTGTAATTGTTGTTGTTGTTGAAAGAATTGTTGTCTTCTTAACATTTCCGCGTGTTGAGCTGATTGAGCGGCTGAGGTTGGCGGAAGAATTGGCGGAACCATCTAAACAAAATGCTTTCGTCAAAGAAATTGAGATTTTACTTGTAAAGCGGGTACTTTGTGTTCGACTCGTTGAATGGGAACTGTCTGCGCTGAACCGGCTTTTGTTGGCGAAGGGACAACTTGAGGGCCAAGCTATAAATATTTAAAATAAAGACAATACACTGAAAGATATCGAATTACCGTAAATACTGTAATAGTACCCGACGCTCATAATGACGGTGCGGAGTGTTGCGTGGGTTAGCTTTGAACGCGTTTTTCTTGACACTGGTAGATGCTACAATGCTCGCTTAGGTATCAAAAAATACCCCTGAATTTCAGCTATTTTTTGATACCAAAGACGCATTTTTTGAAAGTACGGACGCTTTGAAAAAAATGAAATACGAAAAAACTTTTGCGACTACGCGACTGTACGAGGGCGGTGGGGTACTATTACAGTATTTACGGCAGGAAAATATATATTTTTCACTCAAATTACAAATCCATTTACAAATTGCATTGTTTAGAGTCAAAAGAGCTTTAAAATAAAGCCTCAAATCCACAAATGCTAATACTTATATTTAATGTAATAGGAGAGAAATTCTATACAAAACTCTCAAAAAACTAAAGCTATAAAGATATTCAGTGAATGAGCAGAAAGATTCCTCTACTTTTCCCCTTTCTACTCATCGAGAATTCTAATCTCTCATGATTTTTGACGTTTCTGAATACAAATCAAATTCTACAGCTACAGCAAATTCAAATTCTTTCAGCGGCCTTTTTTTCAATAATTAATCAAATCTAGAAGAATCTCAAATAAAAATATCAATTTTTAAAACAAATAATGATCAAGAATCGGTTTCAGCACAGAGAAAAAGAGATTTGAGTTTAGAACGAATACAATAAATATCTCGAAAAGTTTTCTTTTTAGTTTTCTTTCTTTTTTTGTGAAAGTATTGTAGCAATATGTTATCTGCGTCTATGATTCGCGGATTCACTTCTATTCGCCCCTGAATTAAAGTACCGTAAATACTGTAATAGTACCCGACGCTCATAATGACGGTGCGGAGTGTTGCGTAGTCTAGCTTTGGACGAGTTTTTTTTGGCACTGGTTTAAGCTACAATGCGTGCTTAAATATCAAAAAATAGCCCTGAATTTCAGCTATTTTTTGATACCAAAGACGCATTTTTTGAAAGTACGAGCGCTTTGAAAAAAATTAAATACTAAAAACTTTTGCGACTACGCGACTGTACGAGGACGGTGGGGTATTATTACATTATTTACAGTAGTACAGTCGATTCTCGATTTAACAACTCTCGGAGACTATATCAAAAGAGCGCCATTCAAAAGAGCGCCAATGCAAAAACGCTCAAAAGAGCGCGACTAGATTTTTGCGCCCCAATTTTTTTCGTTTTTCTTGATGTTTTTTTTATGTTTATTTACAATTTTTTTTTTTTTTTTGGTAAAAGAACGACGGGGAATTCGAATTCGCCGTTGGTTTTGGCAGAAAACGATCGGCAAGTCAAGGTAAGGCGCATTTTATCAAAAAAAATATTTTTTGTTGTTTGTTTTCATTTATTTTCATTTATTTTCTAAGTTTTTAATTTTAGATAAAGAATTTTTTTTTTTAATTTTAGAGGGGGGTGGTTTTTTTGGGGGGGGGGGGGAAGGGGGGGGGGGGGGGGGGGGGGGGGGGGGGTTTTTTTTTTTTTTTTAAAATTTTTTTTTTTTTTTTTTTTTTTTTTTTTTTTTTTTTTTTTTTTTTTTTTTTTTTTTTTTTTTTTTTTTTTTTTTTTTTATTAAAAAAAAAAAATTTTTTTTTTTTTTTTTTTTTTTTTTTTTTTTTTTATTTAAAAAAAAAATTTTTTTTTTTTTTTTTTTTTTTTTTTTGGGGGATTTTTTTTTAAAAAAAAAATTAAATTTTTTTTTTTTTTTTTTTTTTTTTTTTTTTTTTTTTTTTTTTTTTGATTTTGTTTTTGATTTTTTTTTTGGGGTGGGTTTTTTTTTTTTGGTTTTTTTTTTTTTGAAAAAGTGGAAAAGGGGGAAAGTTTTAAAAAAAAAAAAAAAAAAAAAAAAAAAAAAAAAAAAAAAAAAAAAAATGAAAATTTTAGGGATTTAATTTTTTTTTTATTTTTTTTTTTTTTTTTTTTTTTTTTTTTTTTTTTTTTTTTTCCCGATATTCCGAAAAAAAAGAAACTAATCTACAATCGCCTACAATGTTTGTTCTGTTTGCTACAATGTTTGCGGACAAGAAAGTTAGCTATCTAGAAATGCGGCCTTAGGAAGATCGCATATTGAACATCTTAAATCTCTGTCATTTTTACATCAATTTTAAATGTTGTTATCATTTTTTTGTTATTCTATAGAATTTCTAAAAGAATTCCATTATAAATATTTGGAAACAATACAAGAGTTTTAAAGAAAAACAAGAAAAAAGGTGAAAACGCAGTTAGTCGTTGAATTTAATAAGATTTAAGGCTTGGCGCTCTTTTGAGCGTTTTTGCATTGACGCTCTTTTAAACAGCACTCCTTGAACTATAAAGGAACTAAATAGGAACTAGAAAGGAACTAGAAAGGAACTATAAAGGAAATATAAAGGAAATATAAAGGAACTATAAAGGAACTATCAAGGAACTAGAAAGGAACTATAAAGGAACTATAAAGGAACTTTAAAGGAACTTTAAAGGAACTAGAAAGGAACAGTCGGGACTATATCTCTGATATAGTCCCGACTCTCGATACAACGATTTTGAAATTCTAAAAGGTGCCCTTGCTTTCTGCGTAGCTGCCCAGCCAAACACAATCGTTGGCCGTTCAGGGCAGCGACGCGAAAAATTTGAGGCAAATCGAGAGTCGACTGTACTTTGTATAAGTATCTAAAAGATTATTAAAACCAGCCTTAATTGATGGACTTAGTCCTTGTGGTGGCACAGTTCCAGAGACAAAAGTTTGAGCTGCTGAATATCCTCCAATTGGGAGAGCTGATGACGGGACAAACATCATTTGACCATTCGGCAACATTGCCATCTAAAGTGTTCAATAAGAAGCTAAAGTAATGGTTCTTGTGACGGTTACCCATTTTTAAAAATTTCAAATTGATTATTTCCAATGTAAAGTGAGCGGTAAAGTCATAAGTAGACGGCTAGGCAAATTTCTTGCGCAACTCGCCATAACTTTCTCCTAAGTGGACTAAGCTTTATGATTTTGGTGTCATTTCGTTGCACTTATTGAGATCTACAAAATGACACCAAAATCATAAAGATTGGCTTACTTAGAAGAAAGTTATGGCGAGTTGCGGAAATTAGCCTACCCCGTAGAGCGTGTTTCTCGTGTTTAATGCGCTTTCTAAAGTGAAGTAAAACGTTGACACGCTCGTTATATAGTGCGTAAAAGAAATTCACACGTAAATGATATTCAGCTCATTTAATTTGTGCACAAATTTGTTTAATTGACGCATTAATTGAGACAAATCTTGACCTTTAATCAACTCAAAAATTTGTTAATGCAAATTTATTCAAATAATGATTTAATCACGAGGAACACACTCTAGTGAAAAGTACCAAAGCAAGCAACTCTACCATAGACTTGGGAAAATTCCAATCCAAACCTAATTCCACCTTTTCTTGGCCGATTCTTTGGCGGATTTCTCTGAAATTTTGTCTACAGATTGTCTATAAGCTGAAAATATCGATTTCTAAATTTCAGAGAAATCCGCCAAAGAAACGGCCGAGAAAACGAAGATGGAATTAGGTTCGGCTTGGAATTTTTCCATTTCCACTCTACTCACCGTTCCCGGTCCCATTGGCATGTTTAGAGAAGTGGATGGAGCTTGTACTGATGATGGACTTGATCTCATTGTGTTACTGAAATTGATAATTTCAAGAGAGTTTCAAGAGAGTTTCTCAAAAGCTCACCTTAATGTTTTTGCTGATTGTGGTGGTTGGGCAATTCCTATAAAGTCCATATATAAAAGTGTTCACTGAACAATGGCACAAACCGATAATCGAATTCGATGCTTTTCGAGTCTTGAGTGCCTCTCCATCTTTCGATGTCGTTGGTTTAGATGAGCTCTCTGTATCGATTACATTGATCACCTGGAATGTTTAATGAAATAGATTTATTCACACGAACAATATGGTACAAACAATACACAAAAGCACAATAGCTAAGCCCAAAATGTAGGGAAACAAAAAATCTATATAGATGGAAGAAAAGAGAAAAAAATCTAGGGCGCGGGATTGAACCCCCGACCCCCCGAGCAAGAGACGGGGCTCTTAGCCACTCGACCACAGGGGACCGGGATGGCCGGGGTATAATTTCGACTTTGATTCAACCTGCGGTTCCTCCATTGTCACTTTCATCGGTGCTTCAGCCACGATCATTTCAGCTTTTGTCGCAATCTCTTTTTCTTCTGTTTTCATGGAACTTGTGCTCGGTTTTTCTTCCTATAAATTATATTAAAAGAATATATAGTAATTCGAATATTTATTATATAAATAAAGCTATATTTTATCAATTTTATCAATAAATTTTTACTTCTTATTTACCTGTTCTTTTTCAGTTGTTTTGAGATCAATTTTCTCTTTATTTGAGTCAGAAGCGTCATCACTTTTCCCCATATCGCTTCCATCAGCCTGAAATCATTTTATACGAAATCTCTTTCAGAATTAATCATTTATTACGAAATCCCTTTCAGAATTGATTATTTTATACGAAATCCCTTACAGAATTGATCATTTTTTACGAAATCCCTTTCAGAATTGATTATTTTATACTAAAATCTCTTTCAGAATTGATCATTTTATACGAAAATCTATTTGAAATCTTGAAATCTTGAAATCTGTGATTTTTATATGAAAAACTTGTCTCTTCACCAAAAACAAACCGCGATTTTTTTCATCATTCCGAAGAATTCATTTCTTTTTGATGGATCCATTTGTGTAAGAAATGTTTTCACAAATTCTTCCATCATTTTTTCCCCATTCACATCTTTTCCCTTCTCCTTTTCCTTTTCTTTCGTTTCCTCTTTGATTTCTTTGACTTTCTGAAAAGTTTAACGATAAAAAAATTGGTGAATTTCACAAAATGAGACCTCTTTCTTTTCATTCACCGATTGCTTCTTTTCATCGCCATCTTTTGCCGTTTCCCCCATTTGAATCAGACTTTAATTTCTGAAATTTCTGAAATGTTTACAATTCTTCAAAAGCTAAAGTAATAAATGTTTACAAATATATCAAAATCGAAAATAAACCTTATTTATCGGCTCATCCTTTTCTCGATTTTCTTTTGTTCTTTTCCTTTCTTCGCCTTCTGCTTTCTTTTCGATTCCCATTGATATACTGTAATCAAAAATGATTCACTTTATTATAATAAATCAAAATGATAACAAGAAAAAAAAAGACTTAAATAATGTTACTTTGATAAAAATTGAATAATGTGAATATCAAACTCAATATCAAATTCAAATTTTACGTCAAATTCTCTACGGGGTTTTCCTTTTTTTATCTTGACAAGTTAAGTTACCGGATAACTCAGTGATTACAGCAATTGTGGAAAGCAAAAGTGGAAAGGCTTAGTGGAATGCTTTAAAATTGTTAAAGGCATTCATCCCGACCCCCTTTTTTTCTGGTCACTTTGAATTCGGCTCTCTACGGGGTGCCTCCAGAAGGCCTTTTCTCATACGCCAACCTTCCGTTTTCTCTAAAAGCCCGCACAGTTTCTTTTTTAATCGAGTTATTAAATTCTGTAACATTTTACCCCCTCATGTTCATGATAGATATTCCCACCTTGTCTAGATTTAAAGCCGCTATTTCGGCAATTGATTTGACTGCTCTGTGATTCTTTCTTGAGGATCTGTGATCTATTTATCTTTTCGGTGGGTTTTGAGTGGTGTCCTGGGTAATTATTGTGATTTTGTTTTGTCGCTATTCAACTGAATAAAGCATAGATGTTGAGTTGGTGAATTGAAAACTGCGGGCTATTGTCATATGTGACAGTTTAAGCACTTTCTTCAAAAGAAACCCATTTTGGTGTCAATGGAAAAGTTGTAGAGAATCAAAAATCAAGCTTATATCCAAATTTCGAACGATTCAAAAACTGGTTTTCAAGGAATGCCAAATCTACGAATTTTCACAAAACTTGCATTTTAAGCGAAACTACTAAGTGTATCTTTTTGGAAATTTGGCTATAAGCCTCATTTTTGATTCTCTGCAACTTTTCTATTGACACCAAAATGGGTTCCCTTTGAAGAAAGTGCTCAAACTGGGACACTGGGACATCTCCAGTCCTCGATTTTTGAGTCTCACACTTGTCTCACACACAAACCAAAATCCTACTACGAAAGAGGAAAAAGTTGCCTGTAAAATGGGCAGAAGTCGTCAATAATAATGGAAATTATTTCGAATGAATTTATGGCTTTATGTTCAATAAATTTTAGTTCAAAGTCTCGCAGTTTTCAATTCACCAACCCAATATAATACATTTTGGGATTTTGTCGCGTAGTGAAGGTCAGACGCACTTCGTCTGATTACCAAGAAACACAAGAACAACACCAAGAAATTTGAGCTTAAAGCTTGATCGCCAATGGCAAAGGGGGAGGGGCGCGTACACGACGCGATGACGACGTATTTTGGGCGTACAGTCGCGTAGTCGTTAATTGTTTTACTGATAACGAAAGAGGAATCCGCAAATTGCCTGTAAAATGGGCAGAAGGCGTCAATAATAATGGAAATTATTTGGAATGAATTGATGGTTTTATGTTGAATAAATTTTAGTTTAAAGTCCGGTAGTTTTCAGCTGACCAACCCAATATATTCAAAAGCATTATTCCTGAAAATAATCCAAATTACTAAATTTGACAAATAACATTTCTTTTCTTATACTCAAAGCTCTAAGAATTTTTAAGAAAATAGATTTTGAAGAAGTTTAAATAGAAGAAATATTAAAAGAAGTTGATTAGAAGCCAAAAAAAAAGCAATGACGTTTGATTTTGACGTTTGAAAGAAGCAGTTTTTTGATGACAAGTCATTCGAGGGTTGAAGAAAGGTAGAAATAAAGAGATATCAAGAAAGAAATCTAAAGAAATGAAAAAAAAAGAATGTTAATCATATGATTACTCGTTTTTGTTATCACGAAACGAAGCTTTTGGCCTCTGGTTTTCCTTTTGCCTTGTTCCTTCTCCCTCGTATCACTCCTTTCCCCTTATCACCTCCATTTCATCCATAAACGATCTCTTTCTTCTCTCTTCTTTTTCTTCTTTTTCAAATTTTATGCAAACATTCTCATTTCTTCTAAAGAATTCTTCAAATCCTTTCTTTCGTCAAAGATTACTCTTATCAATATAAGAAGGGGAATTTTATTTGGGTGAAAGACATTCAATGAGAAAATTGATAGATAAAAAGAAAACTCCCCGCTTTAATGCTCGACTCATCCACAAAAAAAAATTGATAAGAGAAAGAAAAAGATTTTGAAAGCTTTATGAGAAAACTATGACGGTTTCATCGACAAAATTTGACCGTCATAGCCGACTGGCAAAGTTTCGAATAGATTTGAGAATGAATTACCTTAGAAAATTGGTTTCACGAGTTGCTGGAATCATTACTAAGAGAAGTGGTGATAAGAAAAGGCTCGAGTACAATGTAGCAATAAAAAGATTACAAACAGATCATAGTTGTCCGGGAAAAGCTAGTTATAGTTCACTCAGTAAGCAAGCTTTTGAAAGGATCAAGCTAGACGACTTGAACAAAACAAAGAAGTTCGATTTTGAGTTAGTTTGATAGGCACTAGTGGCTGATTAAACAAATCAAGTTCAAATGTACTTTGTGCTTTGTGATTTTAAATTCATTAAATAGATAAGATGAATAGGGAAAATGAAAAGAGAAAGAGAAATTTTCATATCTATTTCTCAAATTGCAGAAGATTTAGAAAGACAGAATCTAGATCAAAGACAAGTCTAGAAAGACAGAATCTAGATCAAAGACAAGTCTAGAAAGACAGAATCTAGATCAAAGACAAATCTAGAAAGACAGAATCTAGATGAGAGACAAGTCTAGAAAGACAGAATCTAGATGAGAGACAAATCTAGAAAGACAGTAAAATTAAGATTCTCTGGTTGATCCAAGCGGTATTTTTGACTTTGATAATGCAAAATTTCCATATCTATTTCTCAAATTGCATAAGATTTATGTCCGCCAAAGACTTTAGAAGATCACTAAGGTTTTTGTGACTCTGTTGGACACAAATTTGCATATAACTTGTGACGGAAACATCTGTCTTTCCTTTTTTTGCTGTTGGCCATTTAAGCTCTTGTTTTTCTCAGCATCAACCCTTCGATTTTGACTATTTTAATTAACATTCGATGCTGAATGAAATTGCGCATCGAATGATACCAAAATCAACTCAAAATCTAATATCCATATAAAGTTATAAGGCAAAAGATTGAGTCCCATCCATAATGAACGGGGTTTAGGTTTTTAGCCAATAACTTTTCATGGATATTAGATTTTGAATTGATTTTGGTATCATTCGATGCGTAATTTTATTCTGCATCGAATGATAATTAAAATAGTCAAAATCGAAGGGTTGATGCTGAGAAAAACACAAAAAAGCTTAAATGGCGTCATAAAACACAAAAGCATGACCATCGATGCAGAATAAATTACGCATCGAATGATACCAAAACAATCAAAATCTAATATCCATGAAAAGTTATTGGCAAAAACCAAACCCCGTTCATTATGGAGGGACTCAACTTTGCCTTATAACTTTATATGGATATTAGATTTTGAATTGATTTTGGTATCATTCGATGCGTAATTTTATTCTGCATCGAATGATAGTCATGCTTTTTGATGTTTTAAGATGCCAACATCAGCCAACAAGATTTCCCATTCAAATCACATTGATTTATGGTAATTTTGCGTTTTAATTCACTGTTGGAGTTAAAAAAAGTAATTTGCGATTGTTGTAAAGAAAAAAATAGTGTCACTAGATTCACAATTTACCTTTTTTTCGTTAGCTAAATTTCGTCTACCTTGTAGACAAAATTTTTGGACAAAAAAAGGCGAGCTCATTTTTGGTAGCCGAGGTTGGTTAAGGTTAATGAAAAAAAGCTTTATTCTACCTTGTGCTCGTTTGTTCAGCTTGATCATCAATCGTTTCATTCGTCGCACGAGTGCCATCACTGCTGATTCTATAAATTGTTGCTTTGGCGAAGGTAGCCGAGGTTGGTTAATGAAAAAAAAAGCTTTATTCTAGTCAGTTAGATGTTACTGGCCTACCAAAAAATGGTTTCGCCAAAGCAACAAGTTCTGTTATCTCGAAATTTCTTCTTCACCGACCTCAACTTCAACGGTTTTATCGGTACCGGTCGATGCATTTCCGAAAAAAAGAATATAAAGAATATAAAGAATATTTCTCTTGAAGAAGATCTTCACGTTGATGCTTTATCTCTAAAAAAAACTCTAAATAACTAAATAACTAAAAAACTAAAAAAAACTAAAAAAAGCTTTTGTCAATCTTTCGGAATATTTATTAAGAAAACAAAGTGAGAATACAAATGAACAATTGATTAAAAAAATTTGCTGAGGATTACGGTAAAAAAGATCGAAAAGAAAGCTGCAAAAAAAATATGATTTCGAAACGGGGATGGGACAAATGCGACCTTTTTTTTGCGCACCTGGACATTTGCGCACCTTTTTTTGCTGGAAAAGGCCTTAGGAAAGGTCGTAGAGCTTCAAAAATATTTCCATAGAAGGGAATCGTATGCGTAGATTCTGAATTTCGACTAATCAGACCTCGCTGACACGTCAAATTTGGGCTAAAAGGCAAAAACTGCGGAAAAGCGTTAAGTTGCGTAGTTTTTGCCTTTTAGCCCAAATTTGACGTGTCAGCGAGGTCTGATTTGTCGAAATTCGGAATCTACGCATACGATTCCCTTATGTGGGAATATTTTCGAAGCTCTACGACCTTTCCTAAGGCCTTTTCCAGCAAAAAAAAGGTGCGCAAATGTCCAGGTGCGCAAAAAAAAGGTCGCAAATGTCCCACCCCCTTTCGAAACGATAAAAAATAAGAATCAATAGACGTTTATTTTCTCTAAACTTTTGTACAAAATAATTTTCGTTTTTTTTAGAAAATCGGTAATATTTCATTTGGAGGCAGCTTTCATAGAAGAAATGCGTCAATTCGTACATTTAATATTCATGAAAAAGTTAAAAGATTGAGAATTTTGGGGGATTCTTCGAAGGAATCATCAATTGAACAGGTGTAAAAAAGAGCATAAAAATAGAAAAAAGTGTTTTCATTTGTAAATTGAAAGAAACCACTTTTGGGACCACTTTTGGATTTCCTTGTTGAGGTTTAAAACTTTGAATGCCTTAAAAATGATGCCAAAGATTGCATTAAAGACGATCATTTTGAGTGTACAGTCGCGTAGCCGTTACTGTTTTACTGATAATTTCATGTAATTGAAAGATAAACTAAAATATTCCACTCAGTCGATAGCCTTGAATCTCCGTTTGAAAACTGGTCTAAAGTTAGCAAGAAATTTATGACAAAATCCTTAAAAACGATCGTTGATCCCAAAAAATGCGTCATTAGTGCGTCATTAGTAAAGAATCGTAATCCTACTGGTGAGTCGAGTGTGTGAAGATGGTAAATGGAGTAAAGTAAAAGTAAAAATAAAAATAAAAGTGGGAAAGATTTCGCACGAGGGGGAATGAACCCTCGACCCACCGCTCACCAGCGAGAGAAGCTTTACCACTGAGCTATTGGCACGTTCTTTCTTCGAGAAAAAAACGAAACAAAAGGAAGAAAGAAGATAAGGAAAGGGTTGTTGAAAAGTCAAAAAAACATACCGTAAATACTGTAATAGTATCCGACGCCCATAATGACGGTGCGGAGTGTTCTGTAGGCTAGCTTTGAACGCGTTTTTCTTGACACTGGTTTAAGCTACAATGCTCGCTTAAATATCAAAAAATAGCTCTGAATTTCAGCTATTTTTTGATACCAAAGACGCATTTTTTGAAAGTACGGAGCGCTTTGAAAAACAAGAAATACGAAAAAACTTTTTCGACTACGCGACTGTACGAGGCGGTGGGGTACTATTACAGTATTTACGGTATGTTTTTTTGACTTTTCAACAACCCTTTTTCTATACAAAACTCTCAAAAAACTAAAGCTATAAAGATATTCAGTGAATGAGCAGAAAGATTCCTCTACTTTTCCCCTTTCTATTCATCGAGAATTCTAATCTCTCATGATTTTTGACGTTTCTGAATACAAATCAAATTCTACAGCTACAGCAAATTCAAATTCTTTCGGCGGCTTTTTTTTCAATAATTAATCAAATCTAGAAGAATTTCAAAAAAAATATCAATTTTTAAACAAATAATGATCAAGAATCGGTTTCAGCACAGAGAAAAAGAGATTTGAGTTTAGAATGAATACAATAAATATCTCGAAAAGTTTCATTTCATTCATTCATCCATTCAATGGATGAAAACCCGGTGAAAGTTTGAACCTGAATGAAATTCTGAATGAAAAAGTTTGAATTGAAGAATTGATTGGAAGAATTGTTGGGGATTTGTATGGAAAAGTCAGCGATTTCAATTTCAATTTTATTTGATTTGAATGGATGAAAAATGGGAAAAGATCAATTGTTATATAAAAAGGGTTTTCATCAAATTCTTTTGCAATTCTTTTTTTTTGCTAAATTTGATGTTTTATTGACTTAGTAATCGGGGAAAATCGTGTGAATGGCAATGTTTGTGATCATCCATTTCAAAATGAATTTTTATCGAAATCACGTCAATGAAATCTTCAAAAAACCTCAAACTTTCTTTACCATACTTATTTAGTATCTTTTTTCTTTTCCTACGCTTTCTTTTGTTACTAAATAAGTATGGTAAAGCCCAAAAATAGCCTTTAAAATCTGATAAAAACTAAACTTTTGATAAGGTCTTTTTTAGGATCTTTATTTTAGTCATTTTAGCAGATTATGCCAAGTGTTTAGTATCAAAAGATAGCTTGAGAAAAGGGCTTTTTATTGGTAAAAGTTTTAGATCTGTTGGAGATTTGAGCGCGGAGTTTTAGCTGCTTCCGCGCGACCACCCCGGACTTTTGATAACCAACTCTACGCCACACTTTAGAGGGCCTAGATTGGCCAAAATTGAGGCAATCTTTCTGATTTTTCTGGAGATAAATCTGAAAGTAGATCTCCTAGAAGAGTGCCCATTATCTAATCGTTTCAACCTTTCAACTTTTTTAAATAGCCTTCAAAAGTTGAGAGCTGAGTGTCGCTGAACCTCAACTTTGGAAGGTCATATAAAAAAGTTGAAAGCTTGAATCGATTAGATAATGGACGCCATTATAGGAGATCTATTTCAGATTTATCTCCAGAAAAATCAGAAAGATTGACTCAATTTTGGCCAATCTAGACCCTCTAAAGTGTGGCCCTATAATTGTGGGCCACCGATCGCACTCCCACAAATTCCACTGGACTTTAGACAAGCAAAAGCAAGATAAAAGCACAAATGTCAAATCATTGTACATGAAGTACATTGGAGTACTTTCGATTTTGAATAGAATATTATTGAAAGGAAATCGCCCATTCCCCTTTTCTTTTCCGATCAAATGAACGGACCTCCAACACGAAAAAGACGGTGACGCCAATCTGTGCAAATAGCATTCAAATAATCATTTCTTTTTCGAATTTCAAATTTACACAGCCAATCTTTCTGCGATTAATTTATAAAATTTCAAAAGGAATGTTGGAAAAGCTGGATAAAGCTGGTTAAATATTTCAAAATTTGGGCAAACATTTTTTTTTTTGTGAATTTTGAGGGTCGGGAGTGATTGGAAGGGTTTTGTTGTAAGTTTGTTGAAAAAAAAAACGAGGACAAAGTTCAGCAAAAGAAGCAGCTAATGCTTGAGCTCAATTTCGAGGAAACAGAAAAGAGAAAATGATAATGAATGATAATGAATGATGAATGTTTAAAGGTTTTTTTTTGAGACTGAGACAATGAAACTCGTACAGTACTGGACAATGAAATATGATATTTGAAAAACGATCGTCAATTTCGCGCGTCTGTAACTCCCTTGTCTTTGAGTTTAAACTACTAGTGTTATACATTTTCTGAAAGCTCTTTTCAAGGGCTACACAATGGGCTATTCAAGGGCTATTAATATTTACAAATACGGTAAAGACAATGGAGTTACAGACGCGTGAAAGTGACGATCTTTGTTCAAATATCATATTTCGTTGTCCAGTAGTGTATCTAATTAGAACAAAATACGAGTTTTTGTAATACACTACCGTAAAATGGTTAATTTTAAAGTTGATTTAAAGCTGAAAGCTACAGTACTGGACAATGAAATATGATATTTGAAAAACGATCGTCACTTTCGCACGCCTGTAACTCCCTTGTCTTTGAGTTTAAACTATTAGTGTTATACATTTTCTGAAAGCTCTTTTCAAGGGCTACACAATGGTAATATTAATATTTACAAATACGGTAAAGACAATGGAGTTACAGACGCGTGAAAGTGACGATCTTTGTTCAAATATCATATTTCGTTGTCCAGTAGTATAGATCTGAATTTTGTCGCTTGAATTTCGAAGAAAAACTTTCTCTGAATCATTTGAAAATGTTTTTGCTGTCTTTCTTCTTTTTTTTTCTTTTCTTTGGAATGTTAACAAAAAAAAATTCTACATAATTTCCCGAATTTGGCCAAAACAGAAAGGCTAGTCAAAATTTTTTTGAATGACTTTTATTATTCTTTCATTTATATTTATCAATAACTTTAAAAAAAAGAGAAAACGAAAATTTTTGAGACAAAACACAATTATGAAATGTGAAATTGCAAACATTCCGGATGCTTGAAATGAGGAAAAAATAGATTTACAAACTTACGAATAATGTTGTACAAAGAATAAACAAGTACAAGAAAGAATAACAAACAATAAACAAAGAATAAACAAGTACAACAAACAAGTACAAAAGTAATACAATAATAGTAATAATAACAATAGCCAAAACCTTTTAAGTATGGCTCAAATTAAAGCCCTTGTTCTAGGCTCGTAGCATCGCCATAAAGATGCAAAAGACGCAGCTTATCAGCGAGCAAATTACTGAAGAGTCAGAAACTGAAACACCAGAAATTGAAACACCAAAAGAAGCCAAGGAAGGAAAAAATCAAAAAAACTAGCCAGCCGAGCTTTGTTTCTTAGCCAGCGGGATTGATCCCTTGACCTCCCGACTAGGATACGAGAATCTTAGCCAATCAGCCATGATGACGTTTGAGAGGAGAAGAAATTGAGGGGTAATGTCTTCGTCATTCGTCATTCGTCAAAGATTCGTCACGAAATGAAAAAAACGTAATCAAAAAGAGGCACAAATGTTTAGATTTCAAAAAAAAACGAGTCATCATTTTGAGAGTAATTAGATGAAAAGAAAAAAGAGAAAATCTCTGAAAGAAGCATTGGAAATCGTTTAGATTCAAGTTTATATTCAAGAGATACGTCAAAATAAACTGAGCTCTTTTTCGATGGAAATATTCGACGGGGAAAGAGAGGCCTTTCAATTCGATTACAAACTATCGAATGCTTGATATGAATGGGGGAAATGAAATGGCACAACTCTGAGAACTTTGGAAAGTTTCCAACATTGCCCAAAAAAACCAATAAAGTCTACCGAAGTGCACCTTTTACTCAAAAAAGTCAAATTTGTATCTTTAAATCTGATCTTCAAAAGGTTATTTAATAGATTTCAATTTGAATTTCAATTTGAATTTGAATTTGAATCCCAATTTCATTTCAATAGATTGTTTAAGTCAAAAAATAAACCGAAAACCTTTTAAAGCTCTTTTTTTTTGTCATTGAATTGACTTTTTATGCTTAAAGAAGGGAATCACAACCGATTTTCGAGTCAGCTTAAAAATCGAGCGTCTCAGCTGATTTTGGTTCAACAGAATGTAGAATTTGTATAAAAAACAAAGACCAATTTGAGGCAAAAATTGACCTAATTCTCCTCATACTTGGCTGCAGTTTTTCTACAAATTCTACATCCTGTTGAACGAAAAGTTTGAGTATAGTGACGCCAAACAAAGCGGAAGTCGGCTCAGATAGAAGCGAGTTGACCATTGAAGCCATTTGAGTTGAAAATATTGAATTTTGTTTTGTCGCTGAAACAATTGTCAAGTCTTGATGATGCTCAATTGTCAGGCCTTGATGATCTAAAGAGGATTGAAGGTGGCGACGGCCGGAGGCTCCGTCACCTTTCAATATCCGTTCCTTGTTACGTAAAATCAAGGTGAAGCCGGTGCAGTCGCTCATCGCTCCTTCGACGCCGCAGTCGCTCATCGCTCCTTCGACGCCGCAGTCGCTCATCGCTCCTTCGACGCCGCAGTCGCTCATCGCCCTTCGACGCGCCGCATCGCTCCTTCGACGCCGACGCTCATGCTCCTTCGACGCGCAGTCGCTCATCGCTCCTTCGACGCCGCAGTCGCTCATCGCTCCTTCGACGCCGCAGTCGCTCATCGCTCCTTCGACGCCGCAGTCGCTCATCGCTCCTTCGACGCCGCAGTCGCTCATCGCTCCTTCGACGCCGCAGTCGCTCATCGCTCCTTCGACGCCGCAGTCGCTCATCGCTCCTTCGACGCCGCAGTCGCTCATCGCTCCTTCGACGCCGCAGTCGCTCATCGCTCCTTCGACGCCGCAGTCGCTCATCGCTCCTTCGACGCCGCAGTCGCTCATCGCTCCTTCGACGCAGCAGTCGCTCATCGCTCTTTCGACGCCGCTTCGAAAGCGAAGCCCCTTACTCTAAAGCCCTATGCTAGACGGCGAGCGATTATGTGCGCGCATAAAGAACACCAGTCACCTTGGATTTTTCTTTTTCTTTGTATATGTTACAAAAAGAATATTAAGCTGTAAATTTGTACTCAGGGGTTTTCAGGGTCGAGGAATCGATTAGTGATTCATTATCCTATCTGGCAACAATTTGGTTTTAGTGAGAATCGATTCTAAATAGTTCTTTCCTTTCCTTTAAATATTTCTGTTAATTATCTCGACTTTTTTCATGAGTTCTTTCAGTGAATCATGAATCATGTTTCAGTGTGATCATGCGAGAAAAGAAATTCGATCTTTCCTTCATTCAAAAGACGTTTTGGTATTGAGAGAAAATTGGTGAAAAATGGTGTGAAGTGAGAAGAGAGAATATTGGAAATCTTTGGAAAAAGAAGGATCCGATTACAAATTTGGAACACTTTTGAGAAAAGGCCAAGATTTTTGACAAAAACATGAGAATTTTCAAGTTTCCAAGTTTCCAGAAAGCTTCGGGACATTTAGGAAGTTAAAAACTTCCTAAATTGTTGCTTAAATTGTTAAATTCGAATTTCTTTTGCACTTTTCTCAAAACCAACATTATCCAAGGATATCCAAGGATATCTATAGCCATTCCTTTCTCAGCAAATCCCTAGAGAATTCTTCGTGAAAGTGCCAACATTGAAAAGGAATGGTTCCTTTTTGAAAAGAAAACAAATTGATGGGTTTTGAGGTTTCTTTTTGAAATTCTCTTGTCAACAAGTGAACTGTTGTGGCTATTTTTAGATTGGTAACCAATGCATTTTCTCATTTCTCATTTACATTACTAATTTCTCCGCTAGATTGAATAGTTTAATAGATTTAATAGTTTTAATAGGTTTAATAGATTTGTTTTCAGCTTTGAAATCTTTTCACTGAAAAGTTTAGGCTCAGTGATTGTGATTGATCTTTTTCCGGTTCCATTTAGCGTCAATTTGTCTCAAAAAGATCGATCAATTGAGGTGTGAAAAAGAAGAGAGATTTCATGTGAGAGGCTCATTTTTGAAGTGAGCGTTGTTCGATTTGAAATGGATTGATTCAATTAAAGGACGGATCCGAAGAGAGGCTAAAAAAACCAAAAAAACCAAACCAAAAAAACCTAAAACCAAATTATCAGCAGTTAGGTTATTTTGTTGAAGTTTTCTTTGGAAATGATTAAAGTAAATCGATTTCTCATCGATATTACGACAAAATGAATACCGCCAATCTATTGTTCGGCCCCGAAAACCCTTGGGAACAAATTTACAGCTGAATATCTTTATATATCATCTACAAACCAGAAGAGAAATCTTGGTCGGTGTTCTTTGAGCGCGCGCACAATCGCTCGCCGTCTGGCATACGGCTCTGGGGTAAGGGGCTTCCCTTTAGGATTCCCTAGAGCAAGGAGCGGCCCGGGGGACTGAGCCGGCTTTTCCTCGACTATACGCAATAAGGAACGGATATTGAATGACGAATGACAGAGAAATGAGAAATCGGTGTATTGTTTTACAATTGACTTTTACAATTGATTTTTACAAATGTTTTATAAATGGCGAGGTTGTACAGCCGGGTAATCACTTGCCATCTGGCATACAGCCTCGGTATAAGGGCTTTCCTTTTGGAATCATCAAAGGAAAAGGTTTTTTGTATTTTGTTACAAATTCTGCATCCTGTTGAACATCTTGACACTTTTTCTCGCAATTGACAAGAGCACATCACTTTGAAGATACCGCTATTTACCCAATCAACTTGTTCAGGGCGGGGAAAAGAGCAGACTTTTGGGGATGAGAATAGGGGAAATAGGGAAGAGTCGGTGAAAAAAAAGGATGAAGCTCTTTCAGATCATCGATGCATCTTTTTTAAACAAATGATAACTTCCACCGCTTTCGGCATAGTTTTATTTATTTCTCTTGAGTTCTCTCAAAAATTTTTCATATAACAGTTGTTTTTTTGGCAAATAGATTGCTAATGCTTGGTTTTTTTTCATAAATATTTCTTGTGACAAAGCAAGGACTAAAGAAAAACTTTCGAAAACTGACTTTGATTGAAAAATTTACGGATCTATTTCTAAATTTGCTCTACAAAAGAAAAAATATTTAGTAACAGCTCATATTTTGGATTTTTGCGGTTCAAGACGATAACAATTGACGTTTTATAATGATTTTGCATTCAAATCGCGTTCATTATGCTAATGTTTCGTGTTTAGTTTCATTTTTTGGAGTTAAATTCAAATATGCGAGTTTTTGGATCATTTGCCACGTCCCTTTTTTTGCCTTTCCCCTTTTCCCTTTTCCCTTTTCCGGCAATCTGACTTTAAGCTCAAATTTCTTGGTGTTGAGCTGTTCAATTTCAGTAGTTTTTGTACCAATCGATAGAGAAAGTCTTTGCGCATCTAATGATATCAAGAAGGTTTAGATTGAATAGCCCAACACCAAGATATTTGAGCTTAACGTTGAATTGCCAATGGCAAAGGGGAGGGACGACGGACCTTTTATAGGCGCCCCTCCCCTTTCTCCATCGACAATCTGACTTTAAGCTCAAATATCTCGGTGTTGAGCTGTTCAATTTAAATAGTTTTTATATCAATCGATAGAGAAAGACTTGGTGAATCTAATCATCCCAAGAATATTTAAATTGAACAGCTCAACACTAAGATATTTGAGCTGAAAGTTAGATTGCCAATGGCAAGAGGGGCGGGGCGCGTATAGAAGGTCCGTTGCCCCTCCCCCTTTGCCATTGGCATTCAAAATTTAAGCTCAAATTTCTTGATGTTGGGCTGTTCAATTTAAACTTTCTTGGTATCATTAGATGCGCCAAGTCTTTCTCTATCGATTGATACATAACTATTTCAATTGAACAGCTCAACACCAAGATATTTGAGCTCAAACTAAGATTGCCGCTGGGAAAATGTCTGATAAGTTTTGCGATAATTGTCTAGACAAAATTGCGTTCTGCTAGAGTCATTTGTACTAAAATTTCATCTATCTTTTGTCCCAAAATTATCTAAAAGTGGAATATTGCAGTGAAAAGGTGTGTGATGTTTGTATGTCAATTTCCCCCTTTTCTTTCGAGATTTCTCTTGCAGTTGTTCACGCGTGTCCCCTCACTTATTCCCTTTTCTTTGAGATCAAAAAGTGCTTTCTTGTTTCCTCTCGAAAAATCGCTCCTTTTTCCTGCAATCGTTTACTCATCGGATTTCCAATTGTAATGCAATCGTTTCTTTTCATATTTCATTCACATCATCATTCATATTTGATCGTTTCCTCTTATTTGGAGTGTTTCCAATTCTTTTCAATCACTCTAACCATGAGCATTTGATTTCTATTTATTCAGAGAATTGCAAATTTTGTCTTTTATCCATCTTACCGTTTTGGAATCGTATTGGAACCGTATTGGAACCATATTTAATCAAAATAGGAACCGTATTGGAACCGTATTGAATCAAAAGAGGACCCGTATTGGGACCGTATTGGAACCCTATTGGAAAAGCATTGGAACCGTATTGGAACCGTATTGAACCATATTAGAACCGTATTGGAGCCGTATTGAAACCGTATTGAAACCGTATTGGAACCGTATTGGAACCATATTTAATCAAAATAGGAACCGTATTGAAATCGTATTGAAACCGTATTGAAACCGTATTGGAACCGTCTTGGAACCGTATTGGAACCGTATTGAAACCGTATTGGAACCGTATTGGAACCATATTTAATCAAAATAGGAACCGTATTGGAACCCTATTGGAAAAGCATTGGAACCATTTTGTAACCGTATTGGAACCATATTGGAACCATATTTAATCGAAATAGGAACCGTATTGGAACCGTATTGGAACCGTACTGATCAAAAGAGGAACCGTATCTTACTAACTTATCGCATTTGAAATTTGCAAAAATCTTGGGTAAGCAAAGCTCTTGGGTAATTTAGGGAAATTTTGCGAGTTTAAGGAAACGTTTTAAATGGATATAAATAAAATGGTGAACTCGAAATGCCGATAAATATTAGGTTTGAATTGAATGAAACCGCCGCAAAATCTTTTGTTGCTAAATCTTGAATCGTTAAATCGTTAAATCGACACAAAATCTTTTGTCGTTAAATATTGATTGCTGGCTATCTAATCAATTGCTGGCTATATTTTTATGCTATTTAAAACCTGTTTTTTTTGTTTTTCATTTGTCTTTTTACCCTGCTAATTTTAACTTTTTAAGATGAACGATTCGAAGTATCGATTCAGAGAATAGCTAATTTTGTCTTTTATCCATCTTATTAACTTATCGTATTTGAAATTTTCATTATGCTATATGCTGTATGACTTCAAGCAAGGAAAAACGGCAGTCGATTCCCAATAGAGTCATTGCAAGTGTATTTGGTCAATCAGCAAACTCCGAAAGACAATGTCGAGCTTGGTTCCAACGATTTCACGAAGGAAATGAGAAAATTGAAGACCAAGATCGAGGCCATCCACTACCGGTAATCGATGACTTGGAGTTGTGCAAAACCGTTGAGGAAAACCCATGCGTCTCCACTCGTGAGCTTGCCGACATTTTTGGTGTTGGTCAGACAACCATTTTGACTTATCTGCATCTAATTGGAAAGAAAATCTGCACTAGAAAATGGATTCTACCTCAGCTGAGTGATGCAAACAAGGCAACCAGGGTGTTGTTGGCTGGAATACTCCTTCGAAAGCCAAAGAACATAAAGAACATCGGGTTCTGGGATTCATTTTAACCTCCGACGAAAAATGGATTTCTTACAAGAATCTCAACAGGAAACGACAGTGGCTCAGTGTAGGAGAATCTCCTGTAACGACTTCAAAGGTATACCTGCACGGAAAGAAGGCAATGTTAAATGTTTAGTAGAATACAAAGGCACTTGTGCTTTTTGAGGTGCTCGATCACGAACAAACAGTGAAT